CTCGAGAAGTTCTTCGGCTCGTCAGCGGCTTCTACCATTAACCCGAACCAGCTGCACCACTTCAATGGAGGCATCGCACTGCCACAATCGCCTTTCAAGCAATTTGCCAACCCCTTCGCCGGCAACAACCCTATCGAGGAAGACGATTTCGGGTGGGGCATGGGCATCGACAGCAACATGATTTTCACCGGAGCCAACGAGTCGGCTCTTGACGGCTCCTCGCCATCGGCCATTAGCACTGCGAGTCAGGGTGCTTTCAACGACATGATGCTGGACGGCTCAAGCCAACAAAACACTGCAGCTATGTGGCATAACCCTCTAGTAGCGCATACCAGCATCAACCCAACTGCCTTCACACTCGATGCCATGGCCCCGGTCTTCCCTGAACTTATGATGAACAACACCACTCCGCAAGAGCTAGGCGATCATGGCGTTCAGAATGATTTCTACTCGTCTACTCCACCTCCTTTAGTGGCCATGAGCCCTTCAGCTGGTATACCCGGTATGCCGAATCAGTACTTTCAGACGCCCATGACTTTCGCTTCTGATGCCCGCAGCATATCATCTTCCTCATTCAACGGCAGCGCAAGGCACAGTTCTGTCTCATCATTTTCCACTGAAACCATTACAGACTCTACGCGGCAGGCTATGATGTTCAACTTGACTCAAGCAATGGGCTACGGTCATGGAGCTCAACGGAGGTTCTCGCAACCGGCCATCAGCTCACCCCTGTCGTCCAATGGCACTGGGAAGCCTTCCGCACAGGCTGGTATACTTCCGAGCACTGTCGACATCCAGCGCTACGTCAATGCGTACATTCACTATTTTCACCCGCACTTACCTTTCTTGCACATTCCGACACTTTCCTTTGATACCCCGGCATACACCTACCAACTTCGCTCGGCCGGAAACTATAGCCAAGATACCATGGTTGGTGGCGGCGGATGTCTCATTCTTGCAATGGCTGCGATAGGTGCTTTGTACGAATACGAGCAGAATGTCGCAAAAGAACTGTTCGAGGCTGCAAAGAAGCTGATTTTGTTCTACCTTGATGAGCGCCGCAAAGCTGGACTCTCGGCTGTCAACGGGTCGAATGCCGCAAACGACCACATCAACAAACCACCACTCTGGTTAGTGCAAGCTATGCTGCTCAACCTCATCTTCGGCCACAGCTGTGGTGATAGACAGGCTGCCGAGGTTGCGAGCACTCATTGTGCAGCGCTTGTAAGCCTTGCTAAAGCTGCTGGCTTGGATAAGCCAGCCCCTCCGGAGCAGACTTCTTCCAGTCCACCCAATCATACTAATGGCGACAATGTGGACATGTCAGACGAATCGAGCTCGCAGTATGGCCAACATGCTGATAGCGTGGACGAGCATGCTCAATGGATTCAGTGGAAGAAGATCGAAGAGCGCAAGAGGACTTACTTTGCCATCTTCTCCATGTCGAGTTTGCTTGTGTCCGCTTACGCGCATTCCCCACGCATATTAAACTCAGAGATACATCTAGACCTTCCCTGTGAAGAGGATCTCTGGTCTGTTGACAACCCTCAAACGTGGGTGGCCATGGGAGGACCAATGATCGCTCAGACTCGAGGCTTGTCTTTCATTTCGGCCATGACATACCTTCTCGAAGCCAGCTCAAGGAACACCACCTCACGGATGCGGAACTCCTACCCCCAGGCATTTGCAGGCGGCCAGCCAATGAACGGACCATCTGAGAGCGACATCCGACCTAGCACATTCGGTTGCTATGTGTTGATAAATGCCATGCACGTCTACATTTGGGAAACGCGAAACAGGCACAACGGTCGCCTGTGGAAGGCTCAGGAGACAGAGGCCATGCATGCTCAGGTGGAACCCGCTCTCAAGGCCTGGCAAGTCGCGTGGAGAGCCAACCCGAACCACAGTATTGAGCGCCCAAGCCCTTTTGGTCCTCTTTCCGCCGACTGTATCCCATTACTGGATTTGGCCTATGTTAGACTCTTCGTCAACCTAGGTCGCGCGAAGGAGCTCTTGTGGCAACGCGATTTTGACGGCATGGCGAACGAACTCGCCAGAGGCATCGATATCGTGGGTCAAGCAGATGGAACGCCCGAGAGATTTGCATCGATGGATCTCAACCAAGGTTCCCCAGGCCAGATGGGCTCACAGGACCATGTCAGTCCCGGAAATGCGGCAAATGGGTTCTCCAATTCTCAGTCATCCAAACGTGAAAGGCATCTCCGAAAGGCCGCTTTCTACGCTGCTGACTCCCTTTCCATGGCAGACAAGATGGGTGCCTCATACGCCGACTTCACGGCTCGGGAGCTGCCCAACTCATCCGCATTGTGTACTTTCGATTGCGCCCAGGTTCTTGCCGAATGGGTTGCAACTGTGCAAGACCGTGTTGGCCGCCACATGGGCGTGCTCGGCAGAGACGAGATTGACTTTGCGGGCGTGCCAGCTGTTGTGCTCCTTGAAGAGGAAGACATAAAGCTGCTACAGAAGATCTCCGACATCCTCCACCATGCTGATATGAAGCTGGCTTACGACATCTCGTCAAACAACCTACCGATGCTAGGTAGTCTTTCCAACCTCGGACATTGTGGTTACGGCACCAAGTTGCTGATGGTGACGGCTTACATGCTGTCAAAGGCCGCTGTCTGGCCTGGTGAGTCGGCTAGCTCAAAATATGTACAACGTCTGCTAATATACCGGTAGTGACCCATGTTCAAGCTCGTGCACTGGAGGCGCATGCCCAGCACATCAGCCAGCGCGCAGAAAACTCGCTTCATATCCAGTAATCACCCGCCTTCTCTGAGCTTGTACAGTACTAGACTTCTTCGGCTGTCAATATGCCTACTGCACCGTGTGTGCCTCTCGGATACCTTTTTTTCAACCACATTTTCCACTGGGTTACGACATTTGCAAGCAACGACCGCACCCTCGTCCATTGATCGGTCCTTTTTGTACAGCTGGCTTCCTTGATCTGAATTGGCCGCACTGCTTTAGTCGCTTAGCGACAGCTGGAGCCCCGCGTCTTCCAGGTACATATTATTCCGGTGTGGATAATTCCAGAGATACGTGCAGTTACAATACGTCGACTTATGTTTGACGATATCGCTGCCGAAACGATTCTTATTTTTATTATTCCAGGCGTTGGGGACAGGACGCAGGGCGTTCCTTCTCATCTTGATTTTTCGGATTTTACTAGGAAGTTTGTACACATGGCGATACGTAATGAGACACATTGCTGCTGAGCACTTGTGTCTTGCCCGGTGGTGGCTGTAACACGCGCAGAGAACGATGATGCTACGAACAATCCTTTACGACAACCCGGGTATAGGGATAGGGTATGGGCGGCGCAAATGGGACAATGGGTCAAAAAGTCAATTTTGATCACGCAGCCAGGGAAGACCTGCATCACGAATGAAAAACTTACCGCTCCGAACTCCATTATGCCTTGTGACGCCAGCACATGCCGCTGATGCTTCAACCGCCTTCTCCGCTGCAAGACCTACATGAGACTCAAGCTCACCAAGCATTCTGATTTGCTCGTTGTACTGTGTCACCATCTTAGCGGGTGGCTTACAACTGCGGCGTTATTCTCGAACCAAACAGCGGCGACGCCGTTTTGAACCTAAAGATAGCCAAGAGACACCTGGGTAAGAACGAGATCTGGGCCCCTTCAACGAAATGAAATCTAGTTACCGAAAGACGTATTGCGTGACTTGGACATGTCCTCGTCTCTGCGCACATCTTCACGGTAGACTACACCACACGAAGCCCCCAACCAATCCGCCATCCCGATGACCAACCCTCGATGCTCGTACCTACTACCACGCCCAGCCCAAGCGCAACTAAGCCTCACAGCCTCACTCCTCTAACCCAAACACACCACCCAAGCCGCCGCCAAGCTCCAACGCGTAAAGCCTCTCGTATGCAGATCGAAGACTAACGCACTAACCAAATGTAACCACACACCACGTGTACATACGAGCGTGCGAGTCCACTCCCCGGATGCGCTCGGATGACATGGAACACGGCGGGCCATTGGCGGCGATCCAGCCGCTCGCCGCAAACGTGTACAGCGTCGGAGGTAGCTCCGGCGTGATCATGGGATTAGGTATGGGTGGAAATAGCGCGGACATGACATGGAGGACGGCGCAGGGTACAGGGTGGATAATGAAACAGGGTCAGGGTCAGGGTGTGCTGCGGAACTTGGAAGGGAGGGATCGGGGGAATGTTGCTGTTCCTGGATTGAGAGGATTGTTCATTGATTGGGGTGAGAGACCGGTCTTGGGAGTGTTACGTTTTGAGTGTGTTGAGCCATGGGTAGGGCCGATCGGGTGAGGTGAAGCGTGCGTTTGCGCGGCGATTGGATGTGGGCAAAAGTGCGAGTAGCACGAGGAGGATAGTATAGAGATGGATGGGAAATGGACTTCGCTATGCGATGTGGTGTACTATTGCGGTGTGTAAGGTGGGAATGGAGTACTTTCTATTGTGCCTAATATGGGCGCGTTGTGTAAAAGACTCGTCGGCTACAGATCAGCTACAGTGATCTCACACCGATCTCAGCTTTTCAAAGTACCTTCCCTCCGTCTGTAGATTCTACGCGCGCAGAAAAACGAGGTGTAAGCCCTGTCATTCGCGACTACCTGCCACAGGCACGCGAAGAGCTGATCGCGACGCGTTGATTGGCTGGAACTTGAGCTTGGGTCGCGTGCACCTTCCACTCTCAAACGCTCCTTCACGACAACTACAATCGCGCGTCTGTTCCAGCGAATAACCCGCTTATCATCAACTTCGAATAGAAGAACGTGTAGGAGAGAATAAAAGAGTATCGGCTGTCAAGATGTCACGGCCCGCAGCGCGTAAAGCCGCTCCTAAGGGGGAATACATCGAGACCGTATGTCCCTCCCACATCAACAAAACACCAGAAAAACATTATACATATCTCCCTCCTTCCCACTCTAACATAAACCCCAAACTATGACCCTCTCCACTAACACCACCTTTAGGATTCCGGTAACAAAGTCTCGCGCCGCAGCGCCATCACAGGCACAGCCAACATCACGCTCGGCGGCCGCACCGTCATCATGGCCGACGTGCAACTGCGCGGCGACCTGCATCCCACACGCTCGGCACCCTCTTCTTCAGGCAAAGACGTAACGCCCACGAGTATCAGCATAGGGCGCTGTACGGTCATCAGCCAGGGCAGTGTGATTAAGCCGCCGAGTAGGATTAGTAGGGGCCAGGTGCACTATTATCCGATGAAGATTGGGGATAATGTTTTTGTTGGTATGTTTTCTTTCATTGTTCTGATTGTTGTTTCTCCTTGGTTGTGGTGCGAAAGAGCTACATACATGTTGTGCAGCACTCGTTGGCTTGTTTCGTTGTGCTATACTAAAGGATGTGACAACAGGACCAAACTCGACTGTTCAGGCTATTTCCATTTCTTCTCATGTGCATATCGGGCATCACTGCAATATCGGTCCCTTTGCTATTATTAAGGAAAACGTCAAGATATTACCAAACACCGTTGTACCGGCGAACATGGTCATTGCGTCGGGATCCGTGGTGGGTGGTCAGCCGGCGAGGGTGGTGGGCGACGTAGGGGAGGGATGGGGCGTCAGTGGCGGCGGTGGTGGTGGATTGGGTGTTGGCGGTGGAGGAGAGGAGAAGTGGGTGGAAGGTGGCGATCTTAGGGAGCTCGTTAGAAGTATTAGATGATGAGAGCACTGGCGTGTGGGTGGAGATGAGATGGGGATGAGGGAAACGTATGGCGAAGAGAAGATTGAGATGATATCCTGGGAGTGTTGATGCGTTCTCTCAGAGCATGGAGATGTGTTATTCCTGGTCCATTGAAGCTACCATACTACAATATAGGTAGTTCATACCCCCATCTCAAATATGTACAAAGAAAGGAGGCGAAAAGCGGCAAGTAATTCAGCGCAACTCCGCGACCACCAACAATGCCAAAGCGTAAATTCCAAGCCAGTCATCGAGTATTGCTACCTAATCATCAAATCAACCGTAATAACCGTAACGTTCGTATCACTGAAAATCTCCACTTGACACATATATCGATCGCAGCGAAGCGTCTCCATTCTCTATCCTAGCTATTGCCCGCCCCGTAGGTGGCCAATGTATCTACACCCATCTACACCATCTCATTCCCTTTCTGCGCTTTAACCTCCATGGTGGTCAACTCAAACTCCCTCTTCTGATAGATACCCTGAGTGTCCCAAGAATCGGGAGGCCCCTCGCTTTTCGTATCGTTGAAGGTCGTTCGTCCGTCAGAGTAGATGTGCGCTTTGTGCGTGGATTTGGTGCCGATGGTTGGGCCGGGGCCGAAACCGAAGCCGAAAAGGGATGGAACACTGTATGCGGTTAGCGTTTTGCGATAGCGGAGATACAAGATAGAGACGTACCGGCTCCGGCGATTGGTTCCTTCTGCAGTGGATGCCAGCTTCTTTGATGTAAGGGAGGTTTTGATGTCCCGGAGGAGAGGTCGCAGCACGGGTATGCACTGGACAATGATGGTGCCGACGATTTCCGAGGAATACCAAATGTTGGAGTGAGCGTTGCGCCAGAAGTACCACTCGTCCTTTACGTTGCCCTCGTCTTTCCAGCCCGTGCGTACAGCAGATACAATAGCAACGAACATTCCCTATTCGAAAGTCAGTGAATGCATTATAGGGGCGTACTTGAAGAGACGCACCAGACTCATGGCAACGCAAAGCCCAATCTTTTCCACTCTTCGCATGTCGAGGTTCCATGTGATGACCCAAGGGAAGACTGCGAGGATGAAGTCCATGATGATGTTGTACACATTGCCGCCTTCCTTGAAGTCGTCCCTAAACTTTGAGTCGAGGCAGAAATCAAAGCGGTACCAGACATCATAGGATTCCTTGCCGCACACCTTTGCCCATTGGAGAATGACCTTGGCAATCATGTATGCATTCATACTGCCGATGATAAACCAGAGAATCCATTGGCCCCAGTTCTTTGTCAGCTTGAGCAAAGTGACAGCAAAGGCGGTTTTGGTGAGCGACTGGTTTATCAGGGTTCCACAGGAAGTAATATTGATAAGGATGTGCATTCGGTCGTCCCATTTGTTGGTCACGTAGCCCGTGGCATACTCGGTAGAGATAATGGCGTTATTGACAGCCAGTAAGACCTGGTACAACGTCAGCTACAGCTATCTGCGAGCCCAACAGGTGCCTTACCCATGCAACGAGGAGGATGTGGTCATCCCACCAGAGACCGTGGCGACGAGTGACTTTGATCCATATCCGGAGCGCCAGGAAGAGTGATGCCCCAGCAAACATCGTCCATAGCCCAACATTCAGCTGGAGCGAAGGATCCACGTAGTGGTGACCCGAATCATCGTGGTTCCGGCGGATCATGTTTTCCTCACGGTCGGAACGGGATGCGGCATAGAAGCGAAATGAAGGAGACCGTAAAGAGTGTGATGTAGTCGCAGACCGACAAAGTTTAAGAAACGAACGAACGAATGCCTCCGGCACTCTACACTGAATGACCGGGGTGGTGGATGGAAGAAACGACGAACGAGAAACGCCGTAAAGTGCGAAGCGGCACGAAGTCTAGATGACATTTGCGCATCCCCGTGCAAGGATTACACGGCTTTCCTGTTGTTAGTATCGATCACAGCCCAGCAAGCGACAATCTGCTTGACATTCCAGACTCGGAGGTTTTGAAATGAGTCCCATCTCAGAGGATGGTTGGTGGAACCACTATGCCGGTAGTGGGCAAGCCCCGGGCGCCGTCGCACGATAACAGCTGTATCTTCCGATGTATCCTGGGGAAGTTCGTGCTCGCTAACTGAGATAGACGTTAGTTCGCGAGACTCACATGGTTTGTGCTGACGCGGAAGGGCTCCGTCATTTAGTACGCTTAGGAGAAAAAAGCAGAAACTGCTCAGTGCCCTTTAAGCGGTGGGTTGACGACATTCAGATCAGCGATGGTCATGGCTACTGAGATAGCTGCCACACAGTAGGACAACGTCGCACAGATGTGCGAAACATGGCAAATGCCGCGGCCGTGCATACTTCTCCTGGGTTTGCGCAACGTTCCAAAGTCGTTCCAACGTCGCTCCAAACAGGCCACGTGCCGAAGACGCCACTGCGCCCGTGTACTGGCGGAGAATTGCAACCTCGATTATCCTTGGGGGGCGGCTCGATATTAAATCGATGCATTGCAAACACCAGGTCGGCTGCGCCGAGCGTATGGTACGGAATGGGTAGGCCCGGAATGCCGCAGTTATGCCGTTCGGTAATGACTGGCATCCCCAGCGCGCAGAGTCTACTGTTGGGTTATTTTGCAGAGATGAACACGAAATCGATGAATCGCGAGGGAAGGGGTTGGAAGAAGTGTTTCAGATTGAAAGTCGTCGGGTCAGTAGCCGATGCGCTGTTTCGAAACGGGTAAAGTATATCCGGGCGCATGAACGAGGACGTCATTCGATCGTGCGCGCGACGAACACCTCCCTTTTTCTTCTCTATTCCCGACGTCTCAAGAGGATACCATGCTTTAACGAACACATCGGTTAGCAGTATATGAGCAGTAATGATGTAAGAAAGTTCAGAGTATTCGCAAATAGAGATTGCGCGATGATGAATCCTCATTACCCAAGCCCTAAAGCGAAAACAATTGGGCATACCTAGCTGCCTCTCATTCTTTCGCGCTTATCTCACTGTCCGTGCAATTTCTCACGATGGTTGTTACTTTTTCCTACTCTCTGCGCTTCGCGATTGTTCGACCTCAAGTTGTAATGCTTCCAGGACGCGCGACATCCCGGTACGGGAGCAGCTGCAGCGCACCTTCCTTAGCTGCCACCGCAATCACACCTAGGCAACAACCGCCATGGAATCTCGAGACTAGGGGAAAAACAACAACCTAAACGTCGCGTGTCGTATCCAGACAGAGAGATTGCGCTCATCTCGTTCGCCAGATCTTGAACTATCTAAGGCTCACCCTTTCTTAGACGCCGTTAGAGACCCATTTCGCCAGATGCGCATCGCCGTCCAAGCGGCGTGCCAGTGTCTTTTCAGAGTTCTCGAATGCGATTGGCTCGTCCGTGCTTGGAAAATTTTGTCGGCAAGTCGTGAGCCGAACTTATATCAAGCATTCAGTTGGACATGATCGTCAACGTGTCGAGCATCGCATGCTAAAGGGGATGAGGGCGCGTGCCATTACGACTTGAGAAGGGTGAGCGAGATTGGTGAAGTGGTTGTCAATCAAGGTTCGCATGGGCGGCCACGCCCCACCGGAGCTGGGCCTTCCCCTATCCGCCCTCATCGTCGCCTGGTCATATCCAACTTGCCCTGTAGAGAAATCTCGTAGACATGTGCGAGCCTTCAGTGAGTAGTTGGTGTTCTCGCGTAGCAATAGAGGCGATGTCGTTGGCGGATACGTTGAGGTCCGTAAAATCGCCCATGGTTGGGTCATGATGGGTACTAGCAATGGACACGTTTGGTGAACTAAGGGATCGATCTGGCAACACTATTTCTTTCTTGGTGAACAATATAGTATTGCATTGTGTTCACCAACACGCAACAAACCTCTTCTCAAGTCCTCAGAATACAAAAAAAACAAGTTCTACTCGTATTCAACAATCAGTCTAGACATACGCAGTTTAGTAAGATGGCACCATGCTTAAGGTCGGCAAGCGCACTGCGCTCCGCAGCTGTGTACCCCATGAGTCCATCAAGAGCTTCATTCGTCCGTACACCTGCAAGACCCTCCGCCTCGAGATGCATGAGTCCCATCCCATCTCGTAGCTTCCGACCGTCTATCCAGCTCTTAGGCCCGTACAATAAGACCGTAGCATCTCCAAAGACATCATCACCCCAACCCCGACGCCCTACAGCTCGAGTAGCCCCTTCTATCTCACCCCCACGGAAGATTAGATACAGACAAAAACAAGGTCCAAAGACCTGTCTCCTCCGCAAAGATGGCAAGTCCAAACTCAAGAAGCCCGTGTCCAACATCCACAGATACTTTATCTTCACTCTACTGCTAGCCCCTAGTATAACGTTCCTAGCCGTCGGAGTATTATATGGATATGAATTCAGCGAGCCGACCTCCAAACAAGTGATTGAAAGAATGGTAAACGAGACGGGAAAAGAAACGGGAAAAGCAACGGGGAGGGTATTGAAAGAAGGACCCAATGACCTGTGGATAGCCCACATCAGGAAGTACCGGGCCCGGGCATACGGCCAGCCTTGGCTCGCCGGCTTGTATATCTACGGAAGCTTGGAGTAGGAATCTGAAGGGCTTTTGGAGACACCATCGTTGTCACACACCGGCTGAACACGAGCTTCCTAGAGCGGCGATAGAGGGGACAGGAGACTATCAACACCACATCAGAGAAGACGATGACCCTACGCATCCGGAACGACATCTACGTCGACCTTTCGTTCACATACACGACTAACCCCCCGTGAAGATCATCCAACACGCAAAGCTGAGTTTCCCAATAATGCCTCTTCTGCCGTCTTATACTGCATTTCGAGAGGAATAGTTACCCTGGGAGTGTATATCAGATCTCCCGCCTCTGAGCAGTCAGCCTACCTCGCTGCGTAGTGTGTATGCTTTTCGATATGAGGATACCGCCACCTAGCTTCTCCACAAGACAATAGAAACGACCTAGAAGTCTACATTGCGTTAGGACCTTAACAACGTTCTCTTTGCTACTAATGTATGCTGCAGCGCGCCTGTCGTTCTCTCTGGTGCACGTTACAATTAGCTGCCAACAAGAATGACCCAGTTGTCTACATTGCCGTCGGATTTTGCTCATTCTCACTTCTCTACTAACGTAGTCGCAGCGCACCTGTTATTGTTTTCGGTCCACGTTACAATTAGCTAGAAATGGAGCTAACCCAGGAGACTATATTGCCTTGGGATCTTAGAAACGTTTGCTTTTATACCAATGTAGGCTACAGCACGCTTGTTGTGGTATTCAATGTCAACTAGTTAGATTCCATCGTGGCAGTATCTCATTTTATAGCAGCTGTGTTTTGATATCGTATGAAGGGACTACCTTCGTCAAGCATATCGAAAGACACCTGATACTTCACTTTCCATCGCAATTCCCATCCACTTTTCAGACAGGCTTGAAGAGAAGCTCGCATCTAGTTGTCAACGGCAAGCAGAACAGCCTCATACTTGTTCTTCCAGTAGAGAGCATCACTGCCAGAGGCTGCAGCTCCAACACCATTAGTAGTCTTGGAAACTTTGGCTTGGGCAAGCTCGAGCTCCAGGCCCCTGATGACTTCGTCCCTGTCAACGACGTCCTGACGGTACTGATCGGCCTTCTTGTAAGTGGGAAGCATCTCCTTGTATTCGCTGTAGGAGCGCTTAGCCAGCTCAGTCCATTCTAGTACGGTCTTCTCGAGCTCTCTAATCTTGTCCTCTCGAGCACGTGCTTTCTCGTCGTTCATGAAGGACGGAGAGCCACCAGCAGCAAAAGTGGGGCTCTTGGAGGCCTTGAGCTCGTCGATCTCTGCCTTGAGTTTGGCGTTCTCCTCCTTGAGGGACTCGCAGGTCTGCACAGCTGTCCTATGCTCTTTCTGCTTGGTGAGAAGCTCGGTATTCTGCGATTCTAGCTGGTCAACCTCATCGTCAAGACCCTCGAGCTTCTTCAGAAGCCCCTCCATTTGGATCTTGGTCTTGGTTTCTTCCTTCTTGCTGGCCTCCAAATCGGCGCTGAGAGTGCTGACTTGTTCGGAAAGAGCCGACTTTGCTCGGAATAGTTCAGCAACCTGGGTCTCGAGGTCAGCAAGGTAGACAAGACGCTGCTTCTGCTCGGCGTTCTCCTTCTGGTAGAGACCAAGATCGGCCTTCAAGCCTTCAACTTGCTTGGCCTGCTCGTTGAGTTTCTGAAAACACATTAGTTCAATCTTCATGGAACTTGTTATAGCATTGTCTCTTACCGCGAATGCCTTTCCGTGCTCAGCTGCCTGGTTGCTATAGCGCTCGTTCAGAGTCTTGTTTTCCTTCTTTGCTTTTTCGGCCTCGAGACTAGCAGTGTTCTCGCCTCCCTTTAACTGACTGATCATGGTATTTAGAGCCGTTATCTTCTGTGTCTCCTTTGCGAGAAGGTCGGCAGTCGACTTTAGCTCGGCGGTGAACCGATCGGCTGTCGCCTGCTCGTCGGCCTTCGTCTTAGCCTGGAGGTCTTGGAGCGTTTTGCGCAGGGTGTCGGCTTCGGCAAGGAGTTGCTTCTTGGATTCCACGAGAGTCTCCAGCTCCTTCTCGAGAGCGTCGACTTTGCGGAGATCTTCTTCCTTTGCGGAGCGCGCTTGCTCTAGCAGGTGCGCATAGTTGTCGATCTCGGTGCGGAAGTTGCCCTTCTCGAGCGTCAGACGTGACACACGCTCCTGGAGGGCATCGATCTCCTTCAGCTTCTCGGTAGTCTGCTCCTTGTGCGTAAGGAATGCCTCTTGGTGCTCGAGAATGAGGTTGTGCTGGATGTTGACCTACATGGCGCGAAAAATTAGTGAATGTTTCGTCGGTATGACGAGTCTTTTGAGAGTCACTCACCTTCTTGTGCTGAATGTTGAGTTCGTCTTGCGAATCCTTGATGGCCTCGTTCACCATCGAGCTGTGATATAAGCTCATGTTGTCACGCTGCTTCTCGAGGAACGCAGGCAGCTTCTCCTTGGCTTCATTTGCCGCAGCAAAGAGCGCCTCCAGCTCAATCCACAGGGCTTCGACAGTCGGGTTGGTCGCATCCAGTGACTCTGCGCGGATCAACTCCAACAGTCGGCGCGTATTGGTGACTGTGGTCGAGACAGTCCTGGTGAACTTTTTGGCATGCTTGGCGACTTGGTCCTTCAGAGCATTACCTTGGGAGATGGCGAGCTGCGCATCAGGGTTGTTCTGGGCTGCAATGACGACTACGTGAGCGCCACTGTCTGCGTCAGCGTTGTGGTGAGCGTCTTTGAGGGCCACATGGGAGTCGCTGGTGTTGGGGGCAGTAATCTGCTCCTTGGTGACAATAGTGCTATCGACAGTGGGGGAAGCAGCAGCGATAGATGCAGAGGGGTTGATGGACGCGACCAAAGTTGCCTTCCTCAAGTGCGGAGCAGCATACTTGGAGTATCCGAGAGAAACGGGGCCCATGTAGGGTTTTGCGGACGCCATGTTGCGTGATGGATGGAGAGAGCGCGGAGTTCTGTGCTGGGCGTGAGCCGTTGTCAATCACTACGATCGGATGTGAAAGTGAGGTCGCCGTTGCACACGATGTAGTCGAATGCGATGAGTGAAGGATACGACTTACGATTGCCGGCAGAAAACTATAAGGGCGTGGGACAGCTCAATTGGAGAGGATGAGGGTGTGATATTCTGGTTGGTGGAGTGAAGCTGGCGCCGTGTTTGTGGACAGAAGGTAGAGGGCAGTCGCGCTCGGCCTCAGGGCAACAACGCAGGCAGGTACTCTCGCCACCTAATCGAACCAACCTCATCGATGAGAGTGCTATCGGTAGACGTATGCAATCAAGACATCTTTGCGGTGAAGTGAGAAATGAAAAGTGTGGACTACATGGTCACGTACTAGCAGAGAGAGTCGCTGCCTTTACCTTATTCACGCCCGTATAACGACTGGAAAGAGCTACGGGTAGTTGGCAGTCATGCTGAAGAGCGGAGATGTCTCATACAAGGAAGACACTGAACAAGTGCGCCGCAATCTACATTTGTCTAAGAGTGTAAGTTTATAATATCCTGAGATGATGTAGACTTCTAGGTTTTTCCATTTTTCCTAAACGGGAAGGAGATAGGAAAGACAGAACAGGTGCATGATGAGATGAAAGCAAAGAGACCTGGCTGCAAGAGAATGTAAGGAGATTGATCTTCGACAAGAGACATGAATCAGGTGTTTTCGCTATCAGAGCTGCCACCTGGGCAACAGACGTTCCTCGTGACATTTGAACGTAAATTCAGCAAGAGCCCGCGGGCGATAGCGACTCTTCAGACCTACATGTTGAAGTACCGTTACACAGTTTTGTCAGGGCGATCGCGGAATGCTGATTACTTAAGATGTAACTTGTGGAGAGAACAAGTCCATGGTCCCCACAGCCCGCCAAGCTGAACATGCGACCTGGAAACGGGAACGTGGCTCTTGGCTGATTCAGGATACGATGTTGGATCAACGTCCCCTCAAAAACAAACAAAAAATGCTGACAACGCAATGGCAAGACGCGGCTTAAGCCTCGGTTACGGGACAGAAACACAAAAAGCAACAGAAACGCCATTCAGCTTGCCTGTCAAACCAGGGAGACGGGTCAGATTCCCATTCGGCATGCTGTGTGACGGTCATGCCGGCGTGCGATGGACCACGATCGATTGCGTTAGCCGTATTCCCCGTGTTCAGACGTGCAGAGGGCACATTTTGATTTTCATCGAGTGGGTTCAGGGTGGAACAGGAAAGTTCCAGACACGCAGGCAGCCGAACACCCGCGCAGAGGACGGTCCGCCCCTTTGAGGATGTTGGAACGGCGCTAGTTCGTTGTGGTTTTGGACGCTCGTGGACTATGTTGCTGTGGGTCCCTTAGGGGCTCCTCGCTATTTATCCAAGTGGCCATGGGGAACGGCCGTTGAACCAAGCGAGTGGGGGTCGCAGCGTGTTACCTCGGGCTGAAGTGGCTGAAGTGGTTGAAGCGAGGTGAAAAGGGCCGTAGAGGCAGCAATCACAAACTTGTCGAGAGAGAAAGGCCGAAAAGAGACGTCTTGGGTAAGCATTGGAGGTGATGGGGGTGGGTCCACTTTCGGAGGTATGGCGCGGAAAGAGCCGCCATCCAGCGTCTGAAACATAGTCCGAATTGCTACCTAGGCCGTCCTGCAGCAGTACGGGCGAGCTGGCGTGTAGGAATGCATCATGACGGGGAAGAAAGCAGGCAAAAGTTGGGCAAGCAGCGCACGAGCCGGCAGAAGGAGCTAGTTATGTTGCACTCGCCTGGACGGCAGGGCTAGCAGCGTACAGAGGCAGCCCCCTACGGTGGACGAGTGAAACGCGGAGGCACCGGTAGAGGTCCGAAGCATCAGGTTGGGGAGCAGATGTCTAGTCATGTTGACGAGCGACGGCAGCAGGCTTCCTAGCCCGTGGTTGGACTGGATGCAGCGGGAATCGATCGTCGCGCCAGGTTGCCGTGTCTCGTGGCTTTCACGTCGACCATCACGTTGCGTGTGCCGATCGCGTCCGCATGGGGGACTGGCAGCCGAACGTCGGGCTTGCACGCTTGACCTGCCCTTGGCCGCTGTGTCGCGGGAAGACATTTAATATCATCCTGCCCGCCCAGCTGGGTCACGGCTGCTGCTGCTGCGAGCATGGGCCTTCATCGCGAACGGTGCAGATCAGGGATTCTTTGCCGACACGTTATTTCTTAGGCCAGTCGCATACCGTCCCGGCTGTTCAGTCGAAGTGTTAGTGCTGCATAGTGCCTCGTTTGCGTCCTCCTGCCTGTCCATTGAGATACTTTTTTTGCTTCTTCGTCCCTCGTTCAGTCGCGTCGTCTACCAGCTAGCACCGTACACCACCCACCACCACCGCTCTACTGCACCCCTCCCAACCTCCGGTAGCGTCTCCCGCTCGCCTCAGATTCCAATTACCTGCACGAGTCACGCCCGCTAGGACCTCAGCTAACACACATGGTAGGCCTTGACTGCTCCCTCGCTACTGCTGTATGCTCGTAGCCCATCCCTAGCGTGTCGCGACTTCTCCTCTCCATCGCCGCTGCCTCCAGCTCCTCCACGACGTCACCCATAGCAGTTTATGGCACCGGCAATCATGTGCTTCGGACGAAAACCCTCTGCCACCGACCCCGAGTCGAGGAAGAATGTCGAAATCGAAAAGAACCTCCGCGCCGACCGGAAGCGGGCTGAGCGCGAGGTGAAGCTGCTGCTACTCGGTATGCATTAAATAGGCCCCGGTGATACAGCGTGACTGAGACAAGAGTGCAGGTGCCGGAGAGAGCGGCAAGTCGACCGTCCTCAAGCAGATGCGCATCATCAACGCAGGCGGATTCCAGAGCCTCGAGCGCAAGACATGGCGGGCCACCATCTTCAACAACCTGGTCTCGGCCTTCCAGACCATCTACGCGGCCATGCAGGAGGATGACATTGACTTTGAGGACGACGACAACATCGTATGTCCTGCCCAATGCTTCATGCCCAAACACCACTAACAGGCGACAGCGGTATTCCGAGATGGTCAACTCCGCACCCGACATTGGCACCGAGGAGCCCATGCCAGAAGAGTTTCACACAGCCTTCAACTCGCTCTGGGCCGACAAGGGCGTGCAGCTCACAATTCTCAAGGGCAACCAGTATGCGCTGCACGACAACTTGAACTAGTACGTTCTCCTACTCCATCTCCACCACCCCCGGACTAACATTTCAGCTTCTTCCAAAACATCGACCGTCTGTTCCAACGGGACTTCCTCCCCACCGACCAAGACATCCTACGCACGCGATTACGGACCACCGGTATCTCTGAGACCATCTTCGAGCTCGGCAACCTCACATACAAGATGGTCGACGTGGGTGGTCAGCGCTCAGAGCGGAAGAAGTGGATCCACGTCTTTGACAACGTCCAAGTCGTGCTCTTCCTCGTGGCCATTAGCGGATACGACCACGTGCTAGTAGAAGATCGGAATGGCGTAAGTCACCTTTTCACGTACATACGTCACATCCACTAACACAAACAGAACCAAATGCACGAAGCTCTGATGCTGTTCGAGTCGATATCCAACTCCAAGTACTTCGAAAAGTCGGCACTTATCCTCTTCCTCAACAAGATCGATCTCTTCACCGACAAAATAGCAAGTGGCATGAGCCCAATCAGGAGGGTCTTCTCCGACTACACCGGCGGCGACAGAGATGTGGAAGCAGGCAAAGAGTTCTTTGCCAACAAATTCCGCAACCTCATCCGACAGCCCAAGAAGGAGGTTTACGTGCACTACACCAACGCGACCGACACCAACCTGCTCAAGATCACCATGGCGTCTGTACAAGACATGATCGTCCAGCGCAACCTCAACGCACTGATACTATAGTAATCACGGATGGTCGCGTTGCGATCGTCGCCGTCTTACACACAGCCCAGGAGAGCGCTCGCGCGCCCACGCGAAAGCAGGGGTGCACACGCACACGCGCCCGCGCTGTCGACCCACCTGCCCTAGAACTGGGAAGTCCACCTGGCGGGACCGGAGTAGCAACGGACTTTTAGTGGACGAGAAGAGACGACTTCCACGGCCCTTTTCCATTTTATACCCCTGATATCCCTTTCTCCGCTTCTTCATCATCTTCGCCAGTACATGACGATCTCACGACTTAATTTCTTGGTCTTGATTCTAGTCTTGATCTTGGTCCCTTTTTCTTCTCTCCTGGTTTGTTTTAGTAAGCGGATACACGCACTTGTAGATTGATAGTGTATTGCAGATCTGAGGAGACGAGCATGTCTTGGAACTCGACTGTTGACAGATACAAGGGCTGATAAAATCTCCCTCCCTATTTCGGCTTTGGACAACTACCGTTCATTAGGTGTTGTGTACCTAGTAGTCCTGCGCAGTTGCTCACTGAGAGTGGGCAGGGTCATAGATTGGGGTTGGGCAGTGCCATGTCCAAAAAAACACATATTACATGGCATTTGACGTGCAGCGGGGAATGCAGTAGAGGTACATTTCGCTGCTGCAGTGTAATATCAACAAACCATCTTACCCAGCTCCGAAGCATGTTCATCTTGACGTACTCCGGTGTCCGTGGTTTCCGTGTCGTCGCATATATGATAGCCACTTACATAGCCCCATGTTCGAGGACGCAACTTGCAGCTTACATCATATTTACCCTGATTTACCCATCGCAAGCGAAGGACGATATGATCAAGATGGTAAGAAGCCGCATCCCGCGGGGTTCGTCAACGCCCATGCATCATGCGCCTCTGCGGCGTGGTTGCCTACAGACCGAACCAGTCGCTCTCGGTCCGTGCCGCTTCTTTCCGGCGTGGGACGTTGACTCGCACGTCGCAGATGTGGGAGGAGGGTCTATCCCTCCAGATAGGAGGGAGTGGCTGAGCCAGTGGCTTGGCTTGGACTTGTGGCGTCGGTTTTTAGTGGAGAGAAATGGGATGGGTGGATGTGTATAGGCAGGGCGAGATGGATTGTAGTGTAGTGCAGTGCGATGCATTGGAAATGCGGGGTGGATGGTCAGGCGCTCATAATGGGATTGTGAGGTCACATTCAGTGTATTGGCAAGGTGAGTAAAAGGGTGCTGTTGGTGAGGGCAGTGTGGTTTGTGGAGGGATGCGAAGTGAGGTAGTGTGAATGGGGGAATCCCTTGCTCTGAGGAGTGGGCAAGGCCTGTCAGAGGGCGATAGTAGGCGCTTGCTAACACCAAGTGTTATCGTGGGTAGACGCTTAGAGAAGGGCAGCAGGCAAAACTGTAAGATATACACATACATGAATTGAATGGAATTGATGGTGCAAACAGCGCTCTCTCGTTGGCCGATTGGTACTCATCCATGGATCCTATATTGCAGATAACGAGTATCAGAAGCGGGTGCATTGAAGTCACGATGCTTCTACAGATACCAGTAGAACATGCGGGAGAGATGATCTAGAACACTCACCGATATCTCGCCACGAGACCCGGGTAACTACCCGTGGACATTCACCGTACTCTCGACCGCTTCGCGCTTCTGACATGTGCAATGCTCTCGTGACGGGTGCCGTGCTAGTGCCAATCGGGGAAACATCGGCGCGTGGAGCACCTGCAGCAAGTCCTGATAGCCGGCCGCCTTGAGCCTCATCAACACGCTCGTCATACCCAATACCCCTCCATCCAGCTGGCCATGTTCTCGCCCGCTGTTGGCAGAGTCGCCCGCTCTGCAAACACTTTCTCTACTGCGCCTGCGGCTTCCTATGTCTTCACCCGCTGCGCCCGCTCTGCGCTGAGCACCAGCACGGCGCCGCAACAACCCTTCCGACCCAGCCACCAGCGGCGCTACTCGTCCTCGAAGCCGTCCACACCCCCGAATAGCAAGAAGAAGCCCACCGAGTTAGATCAGAATGCGACGGCAGAGCTCCAGGGTGCTGGAAAGAAGTCCAAGGAGACGAAGAAGCTGAAGGAGCCCTCGACGGCTACCACAGGCAACAACGTGCCCTTTGTACCGCCAACAAACCACCTCCGGGAAGACGGTAAGATGCGGCGGGGATGCACCTCGCCTTGCATATGCTGACGTATTGTAGATGTCAAACTATCCGCCTTCTTCGGCCTCCACCGCCCCATCTCCATCTCGCGCTCCTTCCCCAACGCAACGTCGACCGCTGAATTCGATGCATTCTTTGACGTGAACCGGGCGAATGACGTCCAAAGAATGGAAGCCACCAAGAACGTCCTCGCTGGCTTCTTGGACCGCGTAAACGCCGAGATCGATGCACAGGAGGAGCAGCGAGCCGATGCGATACAATCGGAACAGGAGGTATACCACCTCGATGTTGAACCCACACAGCAAAACGTAGAAGACTGGGCTGCTCGCCTTGTTCCCTTCCAAGCACCAGCGGCACCCGAGCCCTACGATCCTCTAGCGAGCGCGCCTCAGGCCGAGTCCCACTCCGCTGAAGGTCTCTCCGCTAGCATCAACCAGCGCATAACCGAAGTCCCGCTGCCCGCGCAAGAGAGAAAGCCAAGCACATTTCGCCAGCACGTTGCGCGACGAAGATACGGCATGTATATGATTAGTGTAAAGAGGCAACGGAAGCTCAAGATGAAGAAGCACAAGTACAAGAAGCTCATGAAGAGGACGAGGCTGTTGCGGAGAAAGCTCGATAGGTTGTAGTGAGTACATAGCGTTGGCGTTATAGACATGCATGGCCAGGTCGAAGAGAATCACTTCATGGACTCGCCGACTGCTGGCCTTGGGACTTCGATGTCGCCTGCGCCGCCGCGAAACCGGTCGCAATGACCAGGAATAACACCCGCGGCTTAACGGTCGCCTCCCTACCGTCCTTCGCTTGACAGAAGGCATTACGAATTTACTCGACTCATCTCTCGAATTTCGCGCATTGTCCTGGTGTTTTGAGCAGCTTGTTTTGATCGCATTTGGCACCGGACAGGGCTGCGTCTTCTTTCCCAATACCACCGTCAATAACCACCATTACGTGCATTTCCCTTGCATTGTGTTTCTGCCCGAGCATCTCGCTGTTTCTTCATGCATTGCAAAGAGTCTCTGAGAATTCGAATGGAAGTTCAAGATCGAACGCATTGATGATCGGCGCTGTCAAGCGACGTTTGTTGACGGCGGCTATACTACGCTATAGGCGTAGTCCCGCGTCGCAAAGTCACATGAAACCCCACCGCGACTGAGGCCGTCACAACACCCCCAACATCAGGCAGCACGCACGTCAGTACTCTGAGTCGGTGCCCCGCACGGGAGCCTTAACAGACGGCTCCTAAGGCGTAGCGAAGTCGCAGCCCGGCAATCATACGTTCCAGCACGCTCAAGAGCGCATGACGCCTTGGCACGAACACCCCTCTGTCATTTTTCCACTGCGTTTTCAAGACCCCGCTGTGTTCTGGGCGTCGGATCGAAGGCGGGATACACGTCTTGGGTGCATGGTTGAGACGTCCAAGTGATCCCTCCTCCAGGCATGGCGCTTGGAGACAAGTCCCTTGGGGAGAGAGGCACACATGAGTGCGATATATAAGCCTGGTATACCTCGCCCACAGTTTGAAGGCCAGCAACTTCGACAACAGCAAAGTCAACAGTAGCATCCAGCAAACTCCCTTCTTTCGCTTCTTACAGCACTTTTTCCATTCTTTCGCCCAGGTCGGCCTTTATAACAACTTCTCTACCTATTACTTACTTCTTTCACTCAAGAGCTAGTCTCTCGTTTTCCCACTTTTAACGTTTTAACGCATTACTACTATTATCGTCTTTTGATTCCAAATCACATCAACAACAAATCAGCAAACATGGTTTCCAAGACCTTCATCATCGCGGCTATGATCGCTTACGTTCAGGCCCGTTTCGGTCAGGAGCAAGTCCCCATCGATGCCATCAGCAGTGTTCAGGGTGGTGATGGTGGTGCCGCTGCTACTATTGCTGGTGCGGCCATCTCTGACCTTCTCGGTGGAGCAAACTCTTGCGATAAGGTATGTGTCCTCCACTTGTTTACCTCCACATCCCCGGGTTTTATGCTAACAAATACATCAGCTCGTCCGTGCTGATCAGATCTTCACCGAACTCGGTGGCGGTGCTGATGCCCTTGCTGCTGCCATTGGCATGGTGACTGCGGAGAAGAACACCAACCCCTTCGCTGGCGGCAACGCACAGAACGTCTGTGGCGATGCTTCACTTCCGGCTACTGCTGAACTCCGTGGTATCACTCCTCTCATCGACCCTGATGTTGATGTCAACGGTGATGCTGCGGCCCTTAGCGCGAGCAGTGCCGCTTCCCCTCTTGCTGCCGATGGTCTGAGTGTCTTTGATCTCATGGACCAGGCTGGTCTCGGTGACCTCGTCGTCAGCCAGGCTTCGGCTGGTGGTGCCGGTGCTGCCGCTGGTGGTGCTGCTGCCGCTGGTGGTGCTGCTGCTGCGGGCGGTGCTGCTCAAGGTGGCAACCAGGCGGCTGCTGGTAACAACGCCAACGCTGGTAACAATGCCAACGCTGGTAACAATGCCAACGCTGGTAACAATGCCAATGCTGGTAACAATGCCAATGCTGGTAACAATGCCAATGCTGGTAACAATGCCAATGCTGGTAACGGCAATGCTGCGAACAACGGCAACGCGAACAACAACCAGAACAACAACCAGAACAACAACGCCAATGCTGGTAACAACAACAATGCTGCGGCTGGTAACAACAACGCTGGCAACGACAACGCAGCTGACAACCAGCAAAATGCTGGAAACAACGCTGGAAACAACGCTGGAAACAACGCTGGAAACAACGCCAACAACCAAAACAACAACCAGCAAGATGCCGCCGCCGGTAACGACAACGCCAATGCCGGCAACCAGAACAACAACAACGCCAACGCCGGTAACAACGCAAACAACCAGCAAGACGCTGCCGCAGGAAACAACAACAACAACGCCAACAACAACGCTGGTGCCGATGCCGGTGCAGATGCTGGAGCCGACGCAGGCAACGCAGCAGCAGGAGGTGCCGGCGGCGCCGAAGACTTCGGTCTCTGCACGCCCACCATTACCTTCCAAGGCGGCGAGAACGGCCGCGCCGCCGACGAATTCACCTTCCAGATCGCAGACCCCCTCGCCCGCGGCGGTCAAGGCGAAGCCCTAAACCCGGACATCATCACCAACGCGCTCTGCAACCAGCTGACCAACGTGTGCGAGGCCAATGCGGCTGCTGTAGCTACCTGCGAGAGCGCTGCTGCGGCTGTCCAGGGTGGAGACAGGAACAAGGCGCTTGCTGATCAGTTCAACAGCCTTGTGGGCTTCCCTGGTGCGGTTACCAACCCTGATGGCGGCGCCGAGGATGTGGGTGCTGCAGCTAAGGGCAGGAAGATGCGCAGGGGACTGAGGTTGTAGATGGAGAGAGTGAGGGGGTTATGATATAGAAGATGAGTATGAGTATGAGATGAGAAGATAGAAGTGGGAGGAGTGCTCTGATTGAGATATGGAAAGGGATGAACGGTACGCATTTTTTGCTGGATGTCTACTGTTGTTGGAAGTTGGCTCGACTTTTCCTTTTCTCTTTGTATTACTGTATTCTTATACCATTGCATTTGTGTTCGCGTCTGCGGAACGAAAGAGTAGACTGATATCGATGAAGAAATCTGTTACGATTAATATTGTTTGTCTGTTGCTGAGCTGTGAATTGCGGGCTTGTCTCTTTTGATTCCTTTGGAAACCCTGTACCATGTGCTCTTTTCGGTTGCTGGTAGCGAGCCTCTCGTCGTCATCTTGGTGGCGGCAGAGAAGAGAACGTAACTCGGCCCAGACGGGCGTCTTGCTTTGGTTCGGGTTGGTCATTGAAGTAGGACTTTGGTTACCTGGGAGGAGGTAAAGCTTGAGGGATCTGAAATCTGCAATGCGAAAGACCTCGCCGACGTCCATACTTCCTTCGCTGCGTCGGTGGCTCTAGATTCTGTTTCCATTGAGAGAGAGGCCTTGTCTTGAGTGGCCTCGTTGTGGTTGCTGGTAGTGAGCCTCTCCTCGTCACTTGGGTGGAGGCAAAGCTTGAGGGATCACGAGGTCTGCAATTTGGAAGTCTTTGTCAATATTCCTGTTTCCTTCGCCGACCTGATAGTTCTAGGCTCTGATTTCAGTGGGAGAGGCGTTGTCTTGAGCCAGTCGAGATGTCGGTTCTAGATCTGCCTCCTTGCTTTCGCAGTATCTTGGTTCTGAAGGAGTCGACCCACCGGATAGGCTAAGCGCTCTTTGCGCCATGTACACCACCTACATCACCTACAGTGGCAGCTGATTCATGGATCCGTACGGACAACAGCGCAAGCGGAGATTTCCATACGACGTCGTGTGCCATAATCGTGGTTGGAAGCACATGAGGATACAATCTAGAGGAGGCTGTGTAGAGATTTGTGTTCGCTTACAGTATGTACCTAATGCAGTGGACCAGCTGTCTTTTGAGATGTCTCGAGACGTAACCGATGTGTATGATCATTGGTAGCGAAGGCAGCTGCATCCTGAATGCGAGTCTCGTGGCACCGCTTACTTCACTGGAGAAGTTGTTGGTATCTGCGTTTCTCCTCGGTCGACGGGACTCGCACCCTCTCTTCGGTTAGGCACGCGACCGATCCAGGAACGGCGAGGTGGAGAGTCCAGAACTGGGGGAAAAGCAAGCGTTACCGTTCCCTACATTGCGGGCTCGATCGATGCTCCAAGTTCCGTTACTCCGCCTCGAAAAAGCAAACAAAAGAACGTGGCCAGACAACGTCATGAGAAAATCTCCGTAGTCGCAGGTTGCAAGGTACATGCAAGTCCTACGATACGACTTTTGTTTGCGGACTTGGACGCAAAACCCGACCGAGCGTCTTCACCACACGGGCTGTGCTTAATCTAATGCACACAGGATGGATACTTCCTGGTTCCGAGAATCCTCCCCGGAATCCCCGCCCTGCTCCGCCTTTACAATTGTGTGCGCTGCTGTCTGTTGGTACGCGATATGCGGTAGATAGCGATGTCACACGCTCATTGGCCATGAGTAGGATGAGGTTACTTGGTGTGGCTGATCTGCAAGTCCGTTGCGATCTGCGCTGCATCTGTCTTCCGCGGAGCTGGTGGGGATGGACGCTCGACTTGCCTACGAAGGCGAGGTGGCTTGCGGAGAGACCCTGAGCTAGAAGGTATGGAAGAAAGGAAGGAGTGTGTGTGGGGATGGTGAGTCTCGCCAGGACCAGGGGAACCATGTACGCGCTTGGAGTCGGTGAAGTGGAATGAGCTGTTTTGGACAGCGAGACGAGTGTTGTGAGCTGGTTATGATAGCGAGGCAGCTTTGCCGTTCCGAGCAAGCGGCTGGCGCACAGCAATCATGTGTTGGACGATCATTGGGAATTGCAGGAGGCCAAGGCAGAGCTATGAGTGTCCATAGTCCACGTGTGAAGGTGCTAGAGTCAGTAAATCCCGCTGTCGTTCATTGCTTTTGAGGCGGAATCAGGCGGCAGCCACAGATGCATTGTCATGGCACACAACCCTTCTCACGTCGCATTCGCTTCGATGTGGCGCAACGAGTGCAATGCCGGTGTCGAATGCCTGGCAAAGTGGCTTCGTACGAACTCTAAACGCGAACTTGAGCCGTCGACACCGGATGGGTAGTGCCCGCCCATGGAGTGAAGCTACTGGGACGTTCGTGCCTGCTAAGCCCGATCTGGGCAAGGGGTGTCATCCAAGATGAGGATCAGGTACGACTGCATTGACTCGACCCACCAAACACGTTTGAGGGCTGGCAAAGTGAGGTGGTTGATGGTGAAGAGTGACGGCGGAGAGCAGGGCCTCGGTGGCTGGCTCCCCAGCCAGGTGTGGCAAAACGGCTGCGCTACGGTGATCACAAAAGCTTGAATGCCCAACAGATGCAATGTATGGGTGACAGTGTAAGAGATGCGTTCACTCGACATGACATGGCGGCAAGCCATGCAAGTAGTGCAGTGCTCAGACAGCATTACGCAAAACACTAGGTCCGCATGGGCTTAGGCGGGAAAGTGGGTCCCGATGAAAATCGCGTGCGTCTCGACATGCATTCCTTCCACACAGACAACAAAGCCTGTTAGCCTCATTGCGCACGAGCGTCGTCTAGCATGGCACATTATTAAGAGAAACATTTAGCACAGGGCGAGAAGCCAAGGGAAGCTGAGAAAAAAACTTTGAGACGTGCTTGCTGAGAAAAGGATCACCATCGGTCCTTTACTCGGTCCCATTCCCCCGCCATCCGATTCGCACCGCTGCAACACGCCCTGATGACGACGTAGGTGCTAATCGCGAGTGTGGTTCTTCAGTTCATAGCGAAGTTCCTACCTTACACCTTCTTATGTGCCTTTTTTCGCCGATTGAGACGCGGAATACTATAGTAGTCTATGCTTGCCGCTCGCCAACTCCCTGTGGATACCTACTAGATGAATCAGGCCAGCATGACCACTCCGCGACGGAAGGCATGTGTCGAGTGCCGACAGCAAAAGGTACTTCCCCACCTCAATGGATCGCGACAACGTTCGCAATGGCTTTGATGGTTTACTGATCATTTGTTTGGCAGATCCGATGTGATGTCGAGCAGCACAAGGTACCGCATGACCCATGCGGTCGCTGCAAGAAGATGGGCCTCGAATGCCGCATTCTTCCCACGTCAACTAGGAACTTGCGCCAAACAAAGGCAGAGATGCGACGCGAATTGGAAGAGTTGCGATGGAATATGAGGCAAGGGCAGAATCCTGGCGATGCAAACTACCCACAATCGACAGCATCACCGACCGTCGACATGCAAAACTACGCTCCGCTTGAACACGCTTCGGGCACATATTCTGATCCTTCCGGAAGGACAGATGCATCAGATTCAATGTCACCAGCTTTCGACTCGAGGCCGCCGACGCGAAAAGGCTCCGATCATCACGGCACTGTACCGCGTGTGATAGACGGCTACTTGCTCGATTCAAAGAGAATTGACGATTGCTTCACCATGTACGTTGACTCAGGATGTCATTCTTATCTATGCTAACATGACTGCAGTTACTTTACCCAATACCATCCGCTGTTTCCTATCTTGGACCCTTCAATAGGGCCGAATGACTATTATGACCAATCGCCGTTCTTGTTTTGGACTATCGTGGTCACGGGATCGCGGCGGTACTCTGAACATGAAGTCCTCGAAAGGACGAGTCAGCCCATCACCCAGCTCGCATTCTCTTCGATGGCGCTACGCACCTCACAAGTTCCGATCATCCAAGGTCTACTGATACTCTGCACATGGCGGCTACCTACCAACTCAATGTACAAAGACACGACACACCTCATGTGTGGATCGGCAGTACATCTAGCAACACAAATTGGTCTGCACATAGCAGGTGTCGGCCAGGACTTTGCTAGGACACCACTCGAGAAGGACCAGTCGCTCAAGGTGCAACGCGCCAGACTTTGGCTGTGTTGCGTCATCGTTTCTATAAGGTGAGATCTCAAGACAAAGTGATACTTTGACCCGCGCTAACCGTATATAGAACGAGTTGTGTTGAAGGTATACCGCCTCTTGCTGAATCCTTCTTCGATGGCGACGAGCAAGACCGAGAAGACATGGTTCCATACCTCCCGTCTGACCTACAGTTTTTGCACAAAGTCTACATCATCCTCATGCGTGCCATGGTAGCCATGGGCAAGACCAACTTACAATCCATTCACTGTGATGTTCGTGTACTGCGGTCGTTGATCGGCATATTCGACTCCCAACTCCTCAGTTTGGCCCCGTCTTCTCCAAGTGAACTTGGTAAGTCTAATCAGGCTCTTTTTAGACATGAACTAACGAAATAGATACCCTGCAACTTAGCTGTGCACGTATACACGTTATGGCGTTCCATTTCTTTGCTCACCCCACGAACCCTGGACCCGATGCTGAGGGTCTTTCACGATTCTACTCCCTTTGCATCTCAGTAATCCAGTCCGCTTCGACAATGCAAACGACACAGAAAATATTTCTACCCTCCGTCTCGCAATCATTCATTGACCGAACTATCACTCTCGCCGGTTTTACTATTCTCAGACTTGTTCGAAGTCCGCTCGCTCAACATCTGGATGTACTTGCCGGCGAACGAGCTTTCTCACAAGCGTATGATTTCCTTAAGAATGTCTCGTTACAACCAGGAGATATCCATTTCCGGACTGCGCACATCATGAAAGATCTGTGGGGTAGCGACAAGGTGTTCCGTAAGAAGGATGGCCGTGTGGAATCGCTGTATCTGAGGTTGCGGACGCGATTGAGCATGAGCATCAGCTACGACATGTTCTGGTACTGGCGGGAAGAGTTCAGCAACATGAAGAATCCGTACGGCGACGAAGTGACTCTTTCGCACGAGAACGTCCAGCAGAACCCTCCTCGTAAGCATCTTACCTCAAGTCTGACGGGCTCTTAACTAACAAACATGTCAGAATACCCATCTCAACAACAACACCAACAGCAGCAGCAGCAGCAGCAGCAGCAGCATCAACAACTCCCGGATCCCTCGATGAGACAGCAACAACTCCCAGTGACCAAATTCGACCCCAGCTTGGTGAATCCTCAGATGCAACAGGATCCATCCGTAATGAGCTTCGATGCCTGGGAAGGTCCAGATTACGGAGTGCCGCCAATGCTTGATCAATTTCCCGATTACGACTGGGCGGCCGGCTTTGAATTCTCGAATGCGGAAATGCCCAATGTGCCGGTTGGTCCTATGAATCCAATGATGACAGCACCAGGGCCCGGAGGCGCACCGAATATGGCATACACCTACGGTTAGACGTCGAGGATCCGTGTGAGGGGATGAATCGGGCGCGATGGAAGAGTAATAATAGCGGTTTCTCGCCTGGTGCGGGAGTTGAAGCGTTCAGATACCGTATACCTACTCAGATACGCAATACCATGGATATTACTTTACCCCGATCGTCCGTTGAAGACGCCAGCTACGGTCTACGGAGACCTCCCAAACGTAAACATCTGGATTCGGGATCGCGATCGCGGGATCGGTACACCGCTAGACAATAGTCCAGGAACAGACCGTCGTTGCGCAAATTTTTCGATCGGTTCGATGCACGCTGCATCTACCTGGGAACAGGCGCGACGCCAAAGAGCTGGGGTGGTGTGCTGACCTGACCGAACGAACTCCGAACTCAATAGAAATCAATTCCCATGGCGTATACGATAACTAAGGGTCTTCTTTCCAGTGGGGACAGGTACAAGACGAACCTTGCAGCAAAAAGCAAAACGTGGGTGCGATCACCTGTAGTGCCGTCTCGCGCAGGCTGACCCTGATGGGCCACTAGCGGCGCCTTGTGCACCACGCTCCTGAAGGCGTGTGTACCCAGGTACCCAGGTGGAGGAGGAAAGAGGAACAGGCACAACAACACCAGAGGAAAAGCTTGCCATGCCGGCCAACAGCTCACTTTAAATCCCAGTCTACCCCTCTCACCAACCCCCATGCGCTCGCTCGCCTACCCAGGAGACTTCGGCATCGGCCAGTATGCCCAACGGGGCATTCCATCCTTCAATCCTTTCTCATACGATATCGCCTCCCGCCTCAAACGCGCCGACCATGACATCGGCGAAACTGAACTTTGCAGTCTTGTCTGACCAGTGAGAAGGGACAAGCATGACGCTCCTACCGGTCAAACTGCCGGCGAACATCGGCGCGACACTACGTCAGCAGCAGGCAGAGGAACAGGGCCATTGCGGGGGTGGTCACCACCACAGCCTTTTCCTTGGTGTTTTCGCATCGTCTCGAGGTAGAATGACGTGAGTGGATTCTGTCTTTTCACAGTTCTAATGTATATACTGCTGGTTGAATGTTCACCCGATAGGTTTTCGCCATTGATCGCAAAAGAAGATCTTTTCACAAAACCAGATGGCTACGGAGTACTTGGCCGAGAAAGACGGGGGAGGGATACACTGGTCTGCATATCTGCGGCGTAGACCTTGTCAACTGAAAGAATGGTGTGGCTACTATTATTTTTCCCTTCGATGCTTATTCCAAAGTTAGCTATTAGATTTCTATATAAAGGTTGCGTAGGAGTTAGGTCCGGTTGGTAATGCGAGTGTATAACTTATCTGAAAATCCGCGGTCGCTTTTCGGGTTGACAGGCTCCCTAGTTCGCAGACGGGTACGTAAGGCCATCGCTTCCGCATCTGGTCGACTATTCGTGGATAGCCCAGCCTTACTTGTTGCGGCCCGCCACAGTGTATACGCAAGACGCCGATACTCAGCGGGCTAATAGTGAGGCCGCTGCGTGTACCTTCTGCTCGTTTTGATACCTGATGAGGACATCATACCTCTTGAAGTGATTGAATTTGCTCCTTTTGATATCGAGAAAGACTTGGTTGCGCATACACCGTAAAGAGTTGGGTTATTGTTCTTATCCACATTGTCAAGGCGAAGAAGAGAAGGCAATATGGGATCCAGCAAAGCAGGGCAAACAGAAAGGAAGATGACGGCAGTCGAGAAACTTCGGAGCATGCTGGCAGATCCAAATAAGTTCCTATCCTGTCCCGGAGTATACGATGGTTTCACAGCGCGGATAGCACTCCAAGAAGGCGTAGATTGTCTGTACATGGTAAGTCTCAACCACCTCCATATCCACAAACACCTCACTCCACGATGTCAAACAACACCAAACCAACCTGACTAACACATATCCAGACAGGCGCAGGAACAACAATGTCCCGCCTCGGCGCCGCCGACATGGGCATAGCCACCTTCACAGACATGCTCACCAACGCCACAATGCTCGCCTCCATCTCGCCCTCGACCCCCCTAATCGCCGACGCAGACACCGGCTACGGCGGACCCGTCATGGTCGGCCGCACAGTAACATCGTACATCCGCGCGGGCGTCGCGGGTCTGCACCTCGAAGATCAAGTCGTGAGTAAGCGGTGCGGTCACCTAAACGGCAAGCAGCTCGTCGATGTCGAGGAGTTTGAAGCTAGGATCCGCGCTGCGAGACTGGCGCGGGAGGCAAGTGGGGGTGATATCGTTATTATCGCTCGGACAGACGCGTTGCAAGGTTTCGGGTATGAAGAAGCATTGCGCAGACTGCGTGCGGCTGTTGCGCAAGGCGCAGACATGGCGTTCCTAGAAGGCGTGACAACAGCGGAAGACGCTCAGCGTATATGCTCCGATCTAGCGCCTACACCTTGTCTCTTCAACAGCGTACCCGGTGGCGTATCCCCGGATTTCTCAGTCGAAGAGTGCAAGTCCATGGGGTATAAACTTGCCATCTTCCCGCTGCTGGCGTGCGAGGTCGTGTATCCCGCGGTTAGGAAAGCGGTGCAGCAGATGAAGGCGGGGCATGTTAAGAGTGTGGAGGAGGATGGGAAGAGGTATGGGCCTAGGGAGTTGTTTCAGGTTTGTGGGTTGGATGAGTTGATGGAGTTTGATGTTAAGGCTGGGGGTCTGAGTTATAAGAATGGGGCGTGAGGGGGATGGGAGGGAGTGAGTCTTGAGGGGCGTTTTTTTTGGGGGGGGGGGGGGGAGAGGGATGTGGGAAATGTGCTATATACCACTCGTCGTTTTGCATTTGAACTAGTTTCGAAGAATACTTGTGTTTGTTTAGATGTGGCATTCATGGTGAAATCTTGAGAATCCTCCCTCCAAGCTACTGTACGACCATTCTTTGTAGGACCGTACCTAATCACAATCTCCAACGCCGCACTAAATTCCCCACCTCTTCCCAATCCTCTCCAACACGCTCCTCAAATCCTCAATATCCCTCATGACCTTCTCCAACTCCTTAAAAGGCTTACCCTCGATCTGACCCCTCCTCAGCTCAAACTCTAGCCTTGCGATCTCCTGGACAATGGCAGTGGTGTTGTTGTGGTCTGTGGCTACATCGTGAATTGCCGCCTCTAGCTGCTCAAACGCTTTCCTAGAGGTTTCGAGCTTGCTGACAGAGGGCATTGTATGGCGAGCTGATAGGTTTGGCGGCGGGTGCGTGACGGAGATTCTCAGGCTGGGGATGGTGTCTGTTGTGGTGGTAGGCTGAGTGGGAGGAGGAAGGCGGGTAGGCGTAGTAGTTGGTGGCGAAACTGCAGTGGACTTCGCTTTTAGATCCGATGTCGGTAGACGTGCGTGGTAGTGTTCAGAGATGGGTAGGTCAGCATCATGATCGCTGTGCTTAGGACCGCAGAAGTAAAGGGTGCGGGTTTGCGTGGAGAGGGCGAAGATGGCTAGGGGACCAACTACTCCAGAGTTGGTGACGGATCGGATGCTTAACGCGAACATCTTGGGTGATAGCCTCGGTATTTTGGGTTGTTCCTACGAGGCGTTATGTGTCTTTGTAGTTAGTTGATTTGGTAGTGAACGTTGTCGTAGGTACAGTGAACTTGCTACGAAGGTACTTCATGCAAGGAGAAAACTGCGTACACTTTATACGTATAACTGCGAAGCCTTGCTGTTCACTCATAGGATTCAACGCAATGACCTGTGATTATTTCCACTGAAGTGATTTGGGTCAGCAATAGAGATGCAAGAGAATGACAGTCACCACAGCTTTCCAGCCACGGTACCACGGTCCATTTGCTACAGGCCCTACAAACATACAGTTAGTGGAATTGCTGCCTTGAGTAGGCAGTCCCTGGTAAACCTCGGTGGGTCGATTATCTTGCGCTCGCTACCATACAAACTCCTGGCTTTCTCTTCAAAGGAAATCTGCCCTCACAGAACTAGCAATACCCGTGATATCTCCCACCATGATGACCGCAATGGTAACAACGATGCGGGAAAGATAGAAGATAATCAGCTTCAGGATCACGGTAGGTCTGTGATCTACGTTGCATGTCCGCCAACGCCGTGAAATAGACTTCAAAGTTGGGCACCCTTGACTCCACTGCACCATCCAATGACGCCGATGCCAAATCCAGTAATTGCTCAGGTGACTTCTAGCCGACTCTCTTGTCAGCTTCCTCATCCGCAGGCGGCGCCGTCTCTTTGGTCAAATAGTCGGCATCTTCGGCCTCCTCATATTCAGCAATCAGACCTTGCACGACTTCCTTAGCCTCGTCGAACTCGCCGAGACCATCTTTGAAGGGCACTTCACGCTTGTAGCTTTCAAGGAACGCGTTGCGTTTACGGAGCGTGGAGTATTGTGCGACTATGCGCTTGAAGAGCGTAGCGATACCCGTGTGATTTGCGAGCATGAGTCCGGAGACGCGGTGCGAAGAGGTCACGTAGGGCGACTTCTTGGTCAATGCGACTTGGATGGAGGCGGGGCCCCATGGTATAAAGGTAGCGAGACGTCGTTCGCGAATGCGCATAAGCGATTTGTGTACCTGCGAGTCAGTGAGCTAGATTCAAGCGATCAATGGGAAGAGGCGTACATCTGATGGATCTGCTTCTCCCTGGATAATGTTCAGAATGGACATGTAGCAGCTCTTCTTGGTGGGGTTGGTGGAGACCATGCGGTTCTTGGGTTGTAACAGTCGTCTCATGACGTCCAAGACGGTTGTCTTGCGAACCGTCTTGGCCTGCTCTACATTCTCGCCGGAGAAGGGAGTGTATGAAGTCATGAGGAAGTGACAGCGCGGTGTGGGAATGAGCGATGCGACGATGCCAACGAGATCGTTGTGCATGTATCCGGGGTAGCGAAGAGTCGTGGTACTGGCGGACATGACGGTAGACACCAGCTGGTTGGTCTGCTCGAACGACGGGTTCATAACGTGCAGTCGGTCTGCAGCAATCCTAGTCAACGCTCCGTTGTCAAGGACAACCTGGGAGGTCAGTATGAATGTACGCAAGTACCACTAGGCAGCTTACCACGGAGTCTGCGTTCTGCGTCAATCTTCTCATGCTCAGCAGACTGTTGTATGGCTGGACCACTATGTCGCCGTCCTGTGTGTTGGGGAAGACACTGTATGTCTGGATGAGCTTCTTGGGGAATCGGTCGTTGAGCCGTTCGAGCATGTAGGAGCCGAGACCTGATCCAGTACCGCCCGCGATGGAGTGCAGCATCATGAAGCCCTCAAGCGAGTCGGAGCCGTCTGCCTCGCGATCAATCATGTCGAGGATATCCTCGTGGACCTGCTCGCCCATGCTGTAGCCCATGCCCCAGTTGTTACCGGCGCCGGTGCCATCCTTGTGTATGTAGAAGTTTTCGGGGTTGTAGATGTTCTTGTAGGCGCTCGACTGGATCGAGTGGAGGACTCTGGGCTCGAGATCTAAAAGAATGGCGCGGGGAATATAGCGGGTGTCGTCTGACTGGTAGAAGAATACGTCTTTGCGGTCACCGCCCTCGGTCGCGAAGTCCTCGAGGTTGCCGTCGCGATTGATACCGTGTTCTTGACACAGCTGCTGCCAGAACTGCTGCCCAACGCTGTTGCCGCACTGGCCCGCCTGCAGTGTTATTATTTCCCTAGCGCATGTTAGCTACAACATGTGACCGCATTCTGATATATATGCGGGCGTACCTAGGCATGGTGGTGTTGGTCAGCAACGTGGTGGGATGCGAACGCGCTCTGGGCGGGGTGCACGCGTCGGGTCGCTAGGTAAATGTTTGGACCCTGCCGTCATAGCTCTCTCCACCCAACACCATGGCCTTCACTCCACCATGCCAACGCTGATATTCGCCACTCTCACGACCAGTCCATGTCTTCTGAGTGTCATTGTTGATATTCGCGTACTGCTAGTCTATTGCTCCTCCTCTTCTTCCCTTATCCTGACTAACGACTTGCCCTGGAACCCAAAATAACACTGGAACAAGAAGGTGTAGATCAAGCAGAAGAAGTTATACCGCAACACATCCAGCCACATCAGCATCGTCACGCCATCCTTGGTTCCCTCGTGCCATGACCTCCGGATCTCCAGAAATAGCTTCGGGTCGTCCGTCACGACGCCGTCGAGGCCCTGCCGTATATCCCAACGCATCCGGCTCTCCGAGTTCACCGTCCATCCGTACACGGGCCGACCGTCGCTCTGAGCTCGCCGTATAAACATCCTGCCCCATGGCGTCATGAGAATGGCCTGGGCCATGTTGGACGAGACATTCGGTACACTGAAGAAATGTGACGCAATGAGTGTTGAGAAGCCAATATGCGAGATGGAGAAGCCGGGCAGATACCGCGAACATAGTGGAAGAAATTTGGCTGCCCAGCACCCAAGGACAATACGTTTATGCCACGGTCTTGACGGAGAAGCCGGCACGCTGTTGATTGTTTCACCAATCAAGCGCATCACATCGTCAGCGTTGTTGTCGAGCTGTATCGCGTCAGCAAATGCTTGTATAACTTGGCTAGTACAATATACCTTGATATCGAGCAAAACCCAGATGTCTTCCAATCCAGGCTGCGCAAGATACTCGAGCAAGTCCATAAGACGAGGCATCGGCTCGTGTGGTGCTTGCAACGTTCTCAGCTTACTTATAAACTCATAGTCGCAATCTATAACTTTTTCCGGCCTCCCAAAGCATCTTCTCAAGTTCCTATCCTGCGAAAGAGTCAGTTGGCCATCATTATTTGATCTGGGTGGACTCACGTGGGACAATACGACTACACCGTCTTTCGTCAGATGTATGTCTGTCTCAAGAGCATCTGCGCCTGCTTCGACCGCTCCTCTTAACGAGGCCATAGTGTTCTCGGGGTGCTTGGCCATGTACCCTCGGTGGGCAATAGCCTGTGGTAACCGCCTGCCTGACACATCTTTACGCGCAAACGCAAACGTAGCTATACAGCTGGTCAATTTACATTCGCCACCAGAACTCAATAGGTTTCCTACCTGCGGGGAACTTGGTCTTCGGGCCGAGTAGTGGCTGCTCTACAATCTTGTCGAGCTGCTTCGTGAGGCTCTCAAACACCGGCGGTACTCCTACGACCATCTTTTTCTTCTCGAGCAATGGTGTTTGCACGTCGAACGCGCTGTCGGTGTCTATCTTGACCTCAGACATGACGAAATGCTTCTAGCGCGGCGGTTCCGAAAGCGGACGGAGCGGAGACTTTGGGGTAGCGTGGTACTCGGGGAATGTACAGCGAAGGACAACGAGCAAACGTATGCGCGACTTGAGCACGAAGACAAAGTATACAAATCTCACAACAGCGGCAAACAAACATCCAAATCTCCCCTCTCCACAAGTCCACCCGCAAGGCAAATTTGCGGCGCGGGATCTCTACGACCCATTCCTACGTCGGCCGCCGAACGCGCCCTCTCTGGCCGCAACACACAGAAAATGCGCCGTGCAGCAGGACCCATCCCAACCCACATAACTGCACTCCAGGATACCGAATCCGTCCCAGAATCAGCCACCCATGTTACCGCAACGGGCATGGTAAGCTGCAAATTGCAGACCGATGGAGACACAGCTTGTCCCGTATTGGCTGGCAGGGCAGGCTAAGCTTCGTTCCAAGATGGAGCTCACGAGCTCCGGATGTATCAGCTCCCGGGCGCCACTAACAGTTGGAGTTGCAGGTATGCAACCCCTTGTCTCACGCAGTACGTGTCAGATACGCGACCGTGTTAAGTGTTATTACAAGAGGGATTATCCTTTCTTACGCGCTCTCATGCGTCTTTCACCGCCCGGAGGAAATGGACTTCTCGGACAGCGGTGATAGAGGCGCGAAGGTTGGTGAAATTCCATCAGATCCGGTGCCGTGGTTGATCTACCGCTAAATGCGCGTGGCGCGTCGATCAGGTCCTTGCTGGCTTGCGTGCAGCTTGCGCACGCCGCACGGGTTGCTGTCAGGGAGATGACTTTCCCGTATGCACGGCACTTACATATGATCCTCTTGTATGCAAGGGTTATTAAAAGTTGCGCATACTGTTGACCGCTCGGGCGTGGCGGCGCGAGTATGCGGAAATTCTAAGATAATCTGATTGCATCACGTGGATCTTACTCGTCTATCCGCTTTTTTTCGCACACGCGGGGCCGACGCGGTGTTTGTTCGCGCGACGAGAAGCCTTAGTGTTCTGGTGGCGTGCCTGAGGCTGAGTCTTGTGAGGGGTTGGAATTTGGAAATAGGCTGGTAGTAGGTGGCCTTACTAATTCCTCTCCGAACGGTCCCAAGGACTTGTACACTCAACGTACTCAAGGAACTGTATACGTGTACTTACCTTCCTCTTGCTGACAAACGTACTTGATTAGGCTCACGAGCCTTTATGGTAGAGAGCGTTGGTGTATGTTATTACCTAGGTAGAGCTGAGGTCTCGCTTCCAACTCCATCAGCCTCACGAGAGCCTGCCAACATTAAGAAAAGCCGATAATCTATTTTTGTCAAGTCTGCCTAATTTTGGAAGTCAATCGTTATGTTGGTCGTTCAATTATTCAGTCGTCGAGCTGACTGTGATGCATTCTCTACGTGCAGCTATTGACCCAACACGTCCAACGAAATAAATTTCTATACCTAATAAATATCGAGATCCTCAACCGGCACAGCAGACCCCTCCTTCCCTATATCCTTTGCCATCTCACCATACATGATGCCATCCAAATAGGTCTCCCCAATGAGCTGATATCCTCCTTTCTCGAGTGGCCTTAACACCACCGGCACCTTACAGCCCAGCAATACAACAACCTTATCCCCCGGTTCTACAGTGGAAGAACCAACTCCAATATACCCTCCCTCGGTCGTATAAACAAACCTTTCGTAGCAAACCTGACCAGCACTATGCTCCAGCGCAGTCCACAGCGGATGAAACGGCGCAGGAGCCGAGAAATCGAACTGTGTCTCTCCTGAGGCTACCGAACTCGACGCCTGCGCTTTGTTCTGTGCGTCTATCAAACCAGCCTCAACATGCTCATGCAGCTCCACGCCATCCAACTTCAGATTGCGCATACTGCGCCATGCGCGCTCGAAACCCGACGCACGCATGTAGAACGGAAGGGGAAGAGGGAGAGTGTCGTCAGCTTCGTACGGTGCCGTCGTGTCCCTCAGCTCATGCCACCGTTTCGCAAAGATGGTGTTGAACTCCGGGGGAGGAGGGCCCCAAGCACCCATGCGATTCGTATGGGCAGTGACTGTCCTCAATAACGCTTCGAACGCACCGACCTGTGTTCCATACGCGTTCTTCTTACATTTCGACTGGCGGAGAGAAGTCGGTCTGTCTTTCCACCATGGATCGCCCGCGACGCCGTCTACAGTATCGACGACTAGGCCTTTGCACCTGAGGAAGATGCCCGGTTCCATCTTCTCGCTCGAGATAGTAGCGACAGCGGCCGCTCCACTCGCCGCATCAAAGAGCGGCCACTGCTTCCCCGTGAACAGCGAGCAGAGCATGTATTGCGGTTTCGAAGGCCCCCAATCCGGTAACCAAGAGGGCAGCGCGTGATACGTCCTTGGTTGCATTCCCGCCAGGCAGATAACATAAAGATCCTGCTTCTGCTTGATGAACTCCTTGAGGAAGGTAAACCAAATATCTTCCGCCTCAGCATTATAATCCGGCGGACACAACTGCACCAACTCCTTTCCACTGAGCCCAATCTTAGCAAATAGATGATCGCGCGGATCCGTCGCATTAGTCAATCTTGTCATCTGCAGCGTTGCCAAGGCAGAAAGCTGTTCACCCTCTTGTAGCCGTCGGCGCAGACTCATTAGGTTCCGGGCTGGGTCGAGCACGCGCGGGTTGATGTCTACGGCTCGCGTTAGAGCGGTCACGCGCTCGTTCTTCGAGGGCGTGAATTCCATGAAGATTAGGTGGTCGGCTGCTTCGAGGGCGTCGGCAGAAAGACGGCGCGTGCCGCAGATGAAGACGACGTCTTTGGCTAAAGCGAACTCTTGTACTATCCTGAGAAGTGGGTGTACAAAGTCAGTACATGTCTCATATGCAGTTCGTACAGGGACATCTCTTACCATGCTCTTTTCCACCAGTTCCGCGCCATTAGGGCTCGTAGGCCTTCCCATGTGGGGTATGTATCTGGATGCATGCCTTCGTTCCCCAACCACGGTCCAATACCCTCTTCATCAGAACGACTGGCTAGGTTGGCGAGGAAGTCCATGGCAAGATTACTCCCTTTCGCCGGCGGACCCAGCCAAGCCCAAACATTCGTCGCGTTGGAGAAGATCTGTCGCATGAGTGTAACTTGGATATTGCGCTCAGGAATGTTGTTCTGGTCTATACACAGTGCGTCGGCCCAGATACACTGCGGGATATCGCGACGAATAGACCGCAGTGCCTTGGCTAGATTCTGGTGCAGGAATGTTTCGTGTCCGTCCACATCCACGGACTCGAGTACATCATTGCTATCATCGTTGCCTTCGAGCTTGGATGCCCAGGTGTACGATAGTGCTGCGTAGGATGCTTCAGGCTTGTATACATTGTCGTGGAAGACATGCACTCTGAGTGGGGCTGTTATTGATACTGCAGGGATGAGAATTAGCAGTCGGAACTCATCCTTCGCTAGAGGTCGGTACTCTAGTAGCGAGGACATGATGCGAGCCGCGGAGCTTGCGGTATGCTAGCCCTGGGATGGCGGTGGGTCATTGCTTCTAATCCCGGGTTACTGGGAGGCCGGTCTTTAAACTAGGTGGCACGCGTGGTATCGGCTGGCTGTTTGCGTGGAGAGGCTCAAGTGCTGACGGGCGTAAGTGGTGTGATGTCACAAACATGTGGACAGGAGGAACTGCATACCTAGGTACGTTCAGCCTTGTCAGTGTGGACAAAACTTTGAATGCGACAGTTGTAGGAGCCACTTATGTTGTGAGTAGATACACCTGATATTCTTCCGTTTGTTGACGTGAAGCTGACGGACGATGCTATCATGATGTTTACCCCACAGTGACTGTGAAGGACCCTGGTGCACGGGCCACCCTGGTATGGAATCCAGATGTCACGCAAGGCTGAGGCATACTTATTTTCGCCCCCACACTCTTATCTTCGCAATCAAGCTAGTAGAATGAATCTAAGCCTACTTAAATCGTCTGTTTTCTCTACACGGGAGGAATCAACTGAGATGTTCTCCTGGTAGCGTTAACAACTGCGAAGGTCGACACAAATAGGATTAGACAACGTGATGCTTGTGTGCGGTTTGGAATATTAGCGCGTGAAAAAAACGACGAATACTTCTCTGTGTTCATCTTCGGTTCAACCAATGGAAGTATGAATACATCATGTTCACGAAGTCGTCTATTCGTTCTCACAGATATTCCTCACTTTCATCATCGCTATCATATGCCCAAGCCCCGGCAGCCTCCAAGTCTTACTCCGTCGGATACGCCCACGCATGCATAATTTCCCATTCCACAATCCTGGCATCCCGCTCATGCTAAGTAGCCCCGTCGAATCTAGTCTCTTCAGGTCAGATCTTGGGCTCAAACTTGGTGGGATCCACGTCTTGATACACCACGCCTGTAGACACCAAGTGCGCAAAGGCGTCCTCTTCCTATGAAGCAACCTCAAACTTTGGTGTGTACTTTGCGGCGGCACTGGCAAACTCGGCCTTCTTGCTCGCCCAGTCTGCGACTGCCCTATGCTGTGGGGCGGAGGTTTGCAGTTGTGTTTTCAGCTGTTCGGTCTCTTCCTTCTTTCCCAACAGTGTGTTGAGGACGATGAGGTTTGCGATTGTGTCGGCCGAGGTGCCGTCGATGGAAATGGCTTGTTGTAGAGCGGCTTCGGCTTCTGGCAGGCGGCCGAGGTGGATCTCCGATACGGCCTGTGCGACGAGCGAGTGTGGGGAGGTGGATTGGGCGGTTGTGGCTAGTTCTTCGAAGACATAGAATGCGGATTGGTACTTCTCGCCGCCCTGAGTGCGGTGTTAGTGTTGTGACATGTGACAGTGATGTATTGAGGGAATACCTCGCGCATGCCAACCCAGCTCTCAGCGATGTTGACTAGAAGACTGTCTTGTGCCCATTTCCGTGCGCGCTGGGCCTCTTTTGCGGCCAGATCTGTGCGGTTTTGTTGAAGGTGGATTTGTACAATGAGTGCTACCCTGTTCGCATGTTAGCCATGACTCCCAAAATAGTCCACGCAAAGGGACTGTTCAACGTACGCATCCAGGCTGCCCTGGTGCTTGCTCAGTACATCAAGCGCAGCCTCTGTCTCGCCCGCCCTCTCCAAGACGATGCCCGCACAAAGCTGCACCGTCAGGTTCTCCTGCCCATGTTGCTCTGCCAGCTTCTTCGCCTGGTCTACTACGTCCTTGCCTTGCTCACAGTCTGCCAGTAGCTTCATTGCGACCAGATCTGGTGTCTTCTCGGATGCGAGCTCGCTGGAAACGGCTTGTGCTTGGCCCAGCGCGATTTGGCTGCGAAGTTTGAGGACGCGAACGGGGAGCGCATTTGATGCGGAAAAGGACGAAGTGTCGAAATCGAGGACTTGCTGGTAGGCGCCGGCATGGAAGGCCGAGTGGATGTTTATGAGCTCTGGACAGTCGTTAGTGGGGCTTGAGCTGGCGTGGCAGGCGGTTCGACGAACCTCCTTCGGGCGAGTAGGGGTCCATGATTGACGTATTCGTGAAGTGGCTTTAGTGGGTGAGCGACGGGAAGATTTGGTATCAATGGGCTTTGGATTGGAGATGCAATGGTGTTGAAGCCAGATTGAGTTTGGCCTGTTTGCTCGGACCCTGGATGGCGCTCATTGGTTGCTGCTCCGCAATCCCCATGTGGCAGCCACGATCATGTCAACAGAGACTGAATCAGAAACGTATGTGGGCTAATGATTGCATCTATCAATACCGAATATTACCCCTACAGAAAATTCCTACACCCGACGGACAGTAAAGGTCATGAATCTTGTACCCGGAGGCACAAGCTTCGTCTTCATCCTCTTGGATAGATCTTCTTGACCAAGTACAGCTTCAGCCTTCCATTCCGTTCCAGTCTCTTCCCCAACCTGCTTCCACATCCCCGCCCAGGATTCTGGGTTGTGCCAAAAAGCGCTCTTCTCTTTCATAAGGTGTGCGAAGCTACCGGCTTCAGGCCTGCCACCCTGTCTTCCAACGATGAGGCTGCCAGGCACTGGCTTCAACAGCTGAACAACGCGCTTAGCAGCTTTAACCTGATCGTCCAAGTCGAACAGGTGGAAGAATGAGGCGGCATTGATGATGTCGATCTTACCGTCTACCTGCTTCAGCTCGGAGTCGGCGTCGAAGATGTCGGCTTCCATGAATTGTGTCTGCAGAGTTGACTTGTCGAGAAATAGATCATAGCCAAAGCCCCAGAAGTCTGTTTTGACATCGGAAGCGAACGTGTTTTCGGAGGAGGCGTCGTTGTGGACCAGTTTGCGGATGTCCTGGCCCATACAGCATCCAAGGTCAAGGAATTGCTCCCCGTTCTTGATGCGACCGAGAACTTCTTGGTAGGCCGGGTTCTTCTCAATGGAGAAGTTCAGAAAACCCCAGTTTCCCAGGCAGGGATACGGAAACTGCAAAGTTGTTAGTACAGCTGCGCTTTTGTTGCGTACGGTAGACTAGACTCACTACTGAGAATGCTTCATCTCTCACACGTTTGATATGCGTGACGATGTCCGCTGGTGGTACCTTGCTGTACTTTTCAAACAGATCTCGCGTTTCCGGACTTGGCTCTTCGAGTTCCTTCGTGTACCATGGTAGTAGCTCAGGATTCCTCACATATGCCTTGGTCGCGACAACTTGCTCTACTCTGCTGCGCTCCTCCTGGGCTGGGTCTTGCACTGGGGCGACTTCGGTCATATTTGGGCTGATTCTGAGTGATGCCCAGTGGTAACAAATCTACGCGTTGATCTCATTATGAGCGTTGCGTCCCAGCTCTTTATGTCCTTCCTACCTGCAGTCTACAGCCATTTACGTGTTAGCATGAACTTTGGAAGGCTACGGCCGCCCTCGTTGTCAGCACTGCCTTAGCCACCCTCTACATCAACTCGGTGTCGCATCCGCGTCGTCTGCCCGCGAAAATCACGCAAAGAAAGGACGTGGGATGGCAAACATGAAGCGCAGACCTGAGATGGAGATAATGCTACCCAATATAGATGCCTGGCGGCTGGACCTTCCCGGGATGATGGTGGGGGATGGCGGGGCAGGTACGGCGCGCGCGACCAGTGACGTGCATAGGCCTAGAAAATTGTGCCCAACGCAAACACCAGGAAAAACTCCGCCAACCTGAAGGTCCCCATATATATCCGGCGACAGCTCTGTCAATCTTCTGTTTACTTCCGTAGATCACGTCCATCACTCTATAATCCCCTTTCCACCTACAAATCCTTCAATATGCCTGCCATTGAACACCCTACCATCAAGGGTAAGTTAAGTCGACTTTTCAACAGTCATATAACTATATCCTTTCAGTTGCTGACATTCGGTGCAGATGGCTGGTTCCGCGAGATCTCCGGCATGTGGCCCGGCCAGGCCATGACCCTCCAGGTCAAGGAGGTTCTTCACCACGAGAAGAGCAAGTACCAGGACGTCCTCATCTTCGAGTCGACCAACTACGGCACCGTCCTTGTCCTCGACAACGTCATCCAATGCACCGAGCGCGACGAGTTCTCGTACGTTACACCCCAATTGAAAGGCGCGGACAATGGTTGATAGTAGAGCAGATACCAGGAGATGATTACCCACCTGGCCATGAACGCCCACCCCAACCCCGAGAAGGTCTTGGTCATCGGCGGTGGTGACGGCGGTGTCCTCCGTGAGGTCGTCAAGCACGACTGCGTCAAGGAGGCCACCCTCTGCGACATCGACGAGGCTGTCATCCGTCTCTCCAAGCAATACCTCCCCGGCATGTCCGTCGGCTTCGAGCACCCCAAGACCACCACCATCGTCGGCGACGGCTTCAAGTTCCTCGAGGACAAGAAGGGCGAATTCGACGTCATCATCACCGACTCCAGCGACCCAGAGGGTCCCGCCGAGGCTCTCTTCCAGAAGTCCTACTTCGAGTTGCTCAACGGTGCGCTCCGTGAAGGCGGTGTCATTACCACCCAAGGTTGTAAGCCCTCTCCTAGTCCACTCAGTCTATGTCCACTTTTCGACCGCCATGCGCCGGAAAGGTGCTGCTTTGGTCAATGGCTAACATTCTTGTATAGCCGAGAACCAATGGCTTCACATGCCCCTCATTGTCAACCTCAAGAAGGCTTGCAAGGAGGTCTTCCCCAACGTCGAGTACGGCTACACCACCATCCCCACCTACCCCTCCGGCCAGATTGGCTTCATGGTCTGCAGCAAGGATGCCAACCGCGACCTCAAGAAGCCCCTTCGCAGCTGGTCTACCGAAGAGGAGGAGCAGCTTTGCAGGTACTACAGCAAGGAGATCCACGAGGCGGCTTTCGTTCTGCCCACCTTTGCTCGCAAGGCTCTCCAATAAGCGTATGGCTTGTCGAATTTCTTTTCGTTACGACCTCACTAGATACCACGATATGTGATGAATATCAAAAGACTGTAAAGTCATACCCAACGATACATCGATACTTTCGACTGCATACGCTCAGACATGCTTGTTTTGCTAACTACGAACATTCTACACCAAGCTGGCAAACTGACAGGCACAAGCGCCTGGTTACTTCTTGCGCTTCGGACCGCACCCCACATTGCCAGCGCACAACAATGCGTCCAGCTTCCAGGACATCGGCAGTTGAGGCTCTTGGACGCTTAGTGAGAAATCGTGCCTGGGCAGGCTGATATCATGCGCGAGTTTCAGCAACCAGCTTTAGCCCTGAGGCAAACACACAGTCGCTGGCCTATGAGTGGACAGAAACGATACAGAGACGGGTCCTGCAACCATGTCGGTAGCGGTTATGAGCCCACTTCACTCTGTGTTCCACGCGACATGTGCCGTACACGCTTGCCACATCTCAATTCCATGTCTTAGCCATGCGTGGCGTATGAGGTCTGTGGGCCATCGGTACTAACGGCAGCAATGTCATGCAATCCGCAATCGCCCGATAGACGTGTCAAGAGGTCTACATTTAGCGAGGAGTGAGCTGTCTCGCCTAAAACTCTCCTGTACCAGGTGAAGATTCGAAGCAACAGACTACTGTTGGACGCGGACTAGGCCATGTTGGGTTGTTTCGTCGTACAAATGATTTCGCTAGTACAGCCGACAGATGGCATAACTTGTGCGGCGATGCGATTCATACTGAATCACGATTACAATTCCCCTTGACCGTAGTACCCGCTGTGGCTTTGTAAACGAAGTGTGGATCAAACACGGAGGGTGTCGGTATGATCCGACAACTGAGACCCGTCCGTGAGCGAGCGCTTCTCGACCATGAACGCTCAGGGTCATCGAAGGATTCTGTCAATCCAGCGGTGTGGCCATACTGTGGAGCGTGCCTTGGAAGACAGGATGACAGGAACTTCTGGGCCGTTGTGATCTGTGTCAAGATCGCGGTTTGGGGTGAAGCGTCGTTCTATGTTTGGCAGATACTCCGGCGTGGACCCACGAGTTTGTGACACGCGCAGTGTCACAACGTTGCCGGCGGGCTAGCCGCTACAGATGGCGGGATCTTTGGTTTGAGGCTGGCGCATAGGATCGTGATGTGGCACTGCTCCAGAATAGCGGTGGCAGAGATGTCATCGAGACGGAGAGTGAATATAGTAGGTCTCACATCGTGCCTAATACCTGCCTCAAGCTGCACCACTGTCTTTCCCCCACCTGCGCCTTCGCTCTTTCGGCCACGACACCGTCGTGCACACTTCACGCATCCTCTTTTTTCTTCACTTTTACACGGTCGAGCCGGGCTCTTCCTTCAATATAATCTTTACTTCCACGGCGGGTTACACGCTCACCGTTAGCAGCCATCACATCCAACATTACGACTCGCGCCCATGCAGTAGTACGATCCCTCGCTTCCTTCTCTTCCTTTTCATTTTGCCTGGAGCATTTATTACCTTTGACCGAACTGTCTGGCTACGTTCATCTTTCGCTGTACATACTTCGCGTACATACTTTGCCGCCGCAACCGAATAACGACGCCGATTAATATCGCACTCGCCAACTAGCACACCAAGCGCGCTAGACCAGTGCTCGATCAGTAAGACAGAATCAAGCGACGATGTTATCGGCAACATACCAGAATGGGGAGCCGTTTAGTCCGGCCAAGGTTCATCCGCTCCTGTCCCCACAGGCGCCCAACTCAAGTTTCTCCGACCTTAACCCCGTCGATGCCGATGCCTCATTTAATAATCCCACCCGCCCAGAGTCTCCACAGCCTCCGCAGACCAGCGTCCACTGCCCCCAGGACGCGCCGTATAATGCGTCGGTAGTACCGCGAGAAATTGGCGGTACGCCCGCTGCAACACAACACCCAGCCAGTCTGACATCGGACGAATCCTCCCGCAACGACGACCCCACCACTATCACCAAGTCCTCGTCCATCGAGAATCTGTCTGTCCTGCCGCGCGTGCCCTCCTTTGGCGAGCACCGCATCCGGAAGCACCGCAAGAACGCCTGCTCCATCGATTCGGCCATCCCCCGCCAGACCATTCTCAAGGCGTTGCAGTCTCGGCCACCGCCCTCGTCGACGTCACAGTCCATGGACACCGCCATAATGGAGAGCGCAGGGAAGAGCGCGCGCTCAAAGAGCATCACGCACTCGCAACTCGCAAAGGCGCTCAACGAGCTGGAACTGCACTCGGCCGACCTTTCCGCCAGCAAGATGGCCGCGCTCGCATCACCATGCTTTTTCCACAAGAAGTTTGACAAGGCAGTGAACCTGGGAAAGGTCATGGAAGAGATGAACGATGCCGAGGACGACACGATATCGCATTCGAGGCTCGTGCAGACGGCGAACAGCGTCCGTGAGGTCTCTAAGCAGCTGCAGCGCCGTCCCATCAAGATGACGGTGCGCAATGTCATGATTGTCACCAAGGCCCGGGATAACAACCTTGTATACCTCACGCGCGAGCTGGCAGAATGGCTCATGACGACCTCGCGCTACGGCTCAGACGTGGGAGTGAACGTCTACGTAGATCACAAGCTGCGCAAGTCGAAGCGCTTCGACGCAGCCTCGCTGTTGGCCAAGGACAAGCGCTACGAGAACATGCTGCGCTGGTGGACACCAGATCTGTGCTGGGAAACCCCTGAGATCTTCGACCTTGTCCTTACTCTTGGTGGAGACGGCACCGTACTCTTCACCTCGTGGCTCTTCCAGCGCATCGTGCCGCCGATTCTATCCTTCTCACTCGGCAGCCTTGGTTTCCTCACCAACTTCGAGTTCGCACAGTACAGGCCCGCGCTCGACAAGATCATGTGCGAAACGGGTATGCGCGTGAACCTGCGCATGCGCTTCACATGCACCGTATACCGGTACCAGAAGAACGCGGCCGCCCAAGGCTCACCATCGCACATTGAAGCCGAGCAATTCGAGGTCCTCAACGAGCTCGTCATCGACCGCGGCCCATCGCCCTACGTCTCGAACCTCGAGCTCTACGGCGACAACAACCTGCTCACCGTAGTCCAAGCCGACGGCGTCATCTTCTCCACGCCCACGGGCTCAACCGCCTACTCGCTCTCCGCAGGCGGCTCGCTCGTGCACCCAGACATCCCCGCCATCCTCCTCACCCCAATCTGCCCGCACACCCTTTCCTTCCGCCCCATGCTCCTCAACGACAGCATGCTCCTCCGCATCGCGGTGCCCCTCAAGTCGCGCGCAACCGCCTACTGCGCCTTTGACGGCAAAGGCCGCGTCGAGCTCCGCCAGGGCGACCACGTCACCATCGCCGCTTCCCAGTACCCTTTCCCCACCGTCCTCTCCCAGCCCACCGAGTGGTTCGATAGCATCAGCCGCACGCTACGCTGGAACTCACGTGGCGCGACCCAGAAAGCGTGGGACGGCGACGAGGATGGCGAGGAGGCTGAAGAGGAAAAAGAACCGGATTTCGACATCGACTTTGATAATGACGACGTCGATCGCGATTCTGGATACAGTGCTGAGGGGAGCACGGTGGATGGGAGGGGGAGTCCGATGAGGAAGGGTGTGGTGCTGCCTTTCTTGTAGGCTTGCCATCCCCTTGCCTGCGAAAGAGGTGGATGTGTATATGACGTACAGGGGAGGTTTACCGTCTTCTTCCCACTGGTCATCCACTCACGCATCGTATTGCTGCTTGGGCGGGTCCCGGTGGTTTCTTTTTGGTTGTGTATATGATGGTCGTTGAGTAGACGTCACACGCATAAGCATGTTTCCCAGCATTATTTCATGTCATTCGCTTGCGTTGGTTTGTTGATGAGCGTATATTGCGAGAGCTATGATATCCTTAGAAAGCATGTAGATGGTAGTAGATAGTGGTAGTGATGGTGGTGATGAATGGAGAAGCGATTGGTTCGGCGACCTTTGCCTGCCTTCCGTTGGCTTTGATATGATCCTGTTCCTTTTGTCTGAAAGCTGCATCTACACGCCCGTCTGCCAACACGGCGCCTCAGCCCGTGTACATAGGTGGTATACGCACTCTTTCTCCGCAAACGCCTCTTTCCGTACACGATTACTGCTACCACAGCCTGTATGGAGGGATGGATTAGCGGTATCCAAGCCGGTTCCTTCCGATGTGTCAAGATTGGTGGAGTGTCTTCTCTGGAACCGTGGTATTACAACGGAAAACCGTAGAAGAACTAGATGACGATCACGACCGGATACTTATTATCTTGCTGCCTACATGGCATACATAAAAGCTTTTCAAACAACTCACGTAACTATAATATCCCCCGAGGTCGTCTTGGGCATCAGAACAACGCAGTCTCACCAAAATGTCGCTTCTTCGACCCATGATGCGCACACGCATCCTGAACGCCTCAAACCCACTTTCGCGGCAACTACGAGCGGTGTCTGCTGCAACGCCCGTCTCAAAACCCGTTGCAGAACGCATTACCCACAATTCAGCACTTCACTGCGCCACCTGCCCATTTGCAGCATACGAACGAGTCTAACTCAAGGCGCCTCTTACTGGAAAAGGAAGACATGTTCAGTCAGAAGACAAATTAGTCGAAGCGCTGGAAAAGTACTACCTCATACGCGCAGCCAATACGCCAACCGATTATTCCGGCGCCGACAGCGAGCAAAACTACAATGCCCGTACCCAAAGCCTCGAAGCCCACCGCCGCGCAAAAGTCGATATGATGAAAAACTCCATCATCAAGCAACTTGCCTTTCAGCAAAATACGACTGAGCGCAAGGCGCGACAGCATATTGTACAGAGTATGGTGAAGAATGATATCGATATGTTTGAAGGTGTACGCGGACGATTCCGGGAGCAGGCGCAGCGGCAGGAACGTCGGGAGAAGGGACGGCAAAAGAAAGAGCAGGGAGAAAATAAGAGCTACCAGAGAGAGCTTCTTGGGACGATCCTTGGTGTCTTACTTGGACAAGGTGTAGCTTTGGCTGCAATCGGGATATACTACTTGATCGAATTGCGGAGGAGCGAAGAGATGGAAGGTGGTGATTTGGATGTTGATTGAGAATGTTGAGGCATGAGAGTTGGTAGAGGCAGTGGTCGTGGTAGGACCAGTTGGTAGATTTGCATTAATACACTTCGCTCAAATAGAATTTGGTCCACTATAACTTCATTTTCTCTTTTCTACTCTTCTCCGGCACATAGACGGGGTCTCTTACTTCCGTTCATATGCATCCCATTGTGTTCCTGGCAATGCCTGCCTGAAGGTTTCCTCAAATGTGAATATATCCATCCAATTGTAAAAGTCTAAAACGGCTGTCGTTGGGATAGTAAACCATCCAAAGTATCGCTGCGGACCAACCCGGGGATTCTTTGGCACAGCAGCAACAGGGTCGTACTTCGCGTCCCCAACTTTCAGCAGATTGAGGTCAGGTTCTTGTAGCACTTGAGCATCCGCCACCAGGAAGATAGCGGTACCCCAGTTGTTACGCTGTAACCCCCTCATCGGTTGACCTCCATTTCCTTCCCGATAGACTTGCCGGACGTCTTCTATCGTCAATCCGTCTAAGGTGGTGGGAAGGGAACGTGCATCGAGTCGAAACCAATCCCTTGCTTTCGTGACAGCGTCAGGCTTGTTGTCCGCTTCCTTCAGTTTGGCGAGACCTTTTTCCACACCGTCGGTGATAATCTTGAGCAGCTTTACCCACTTCTCATCAGAGCCAGGGCCATAATATGTTCTGTAAATTGTGTAGCCCCAATGGTCCAGAAACTGTTCTAGAAACTGTTTTTTATCCTCTTCCGGCTGATTGTTCCAATCTTTAGGATACATGTGGAGCTGATCGACTCTTGGGTACGTGTACAGGTGGTCGACAAACTTCGTGATTTGTTCCATAGCGGCGGAAAAAATATAGACAAGGAGTGGCTTGGGTAGAGGTGTACGTATGAGTGAGCATTGGTAGGCGTACTTAGTGTTTTAGAACGGCTGCGCAGGCAGAGGCCAAGTAGTAAAAAAGGCGATTCGTCTGGCACAATAAGACGCTAGCATGAGGGGTATCCTTGCCGTTTCGCCTTTGGGTTAGAACCGGACGGGCGAGCTATGTGGCACGGTCGCTGCTGCCTGCGCAATTGCTATGTGGCCGGAAGGGCTTTGTAGTAGCAAAGACAACACCTAATGTACTATTAACTACACCCCCACTTTGTAGAAACAGGAAAACTTGCATACTTAAATATTCAGGTTAGTATAGGCTGGAATAGACGCAGTAGTAGTAGTGTGGCACGGTGAGCGAAGCTGATGTACCAGGCGACTACAGGCGTATGGCTGCGAAATTTGACGAATGCCACAGGTGACTGTGGGGCATATGGGGAACTTCTTGATGATCAATAAAGTGAGAAATATGTATGTGTGGGCATACGGGGACTTCTCAATGTTTAATAGAGTGAGAAATGTGCATACGAAGTCATGGACGTTGCTTGCTGTGTTGAGGTGGAGTGAGGTAAAAAGGGGGGACCTAGAAATTTACGAAAGCCCCAGACCTTATATGAACACTAGAAAACGTTGCGCTTGACAAAAATGGTACTCATGCTATGGGATCAATGGGATTAAAGCGCAATACCATGGAAGCTCGTACGCCTCGCGCCCTTGATCTTGAAGAACTTGACGAGGTCGTCATCCCGCTTTTGCTCGAGCTCTTGGACGTTTTTACCTTGAAGCTCGTCTGAAACGCTTGAACCCAAGGCATCAATGCTATCCTGTGACCAGTCGAACTTGTGCTCCTGCATATCCTCGACCCAGACTCGGCTTGCAGGTCCTAAATGCTCAAGAAGGTGTTTGAATCCCTCACTACCACCGCCCCCTCCCATTGCGTTCGCGAGGAATGGCCCAACCATGGCCCACCGAGGTCCCAGACTAGTAGTGATGCAAGCGTCTGGGCACCTGTGATTAGCAAATCGAGGAAGACATGGGGGAAAAAGAGGAGCTCACCAAGATCCTGGGCGGTGACTATTCCACGAGCCACTAGGCTGTATGCTTCATTACAAAGGGCAGCTTGAAGACGGTTGGCGACAAAACCGGGTACCTCGTCTTTGATGTGAACAGGACGACGTCCCACGGACTCGTAAAAGGCCATCGCATTTACGATGGCTGACGAACTTGTATTTGCATGCGGAACGACTTCCACAAGTGGCATGAGGTGAGGTGGGTTGAACGGGTGGCCAATGAGTACTCGTTCTGGGTGCTGACATTGGCTGATGAACTTTGAGCTTGGAATTCCTGAAGATGAAGAGGCGATGACAACATCTGGTCGAACAGCCGCGTCGATCTCGGCAAGAAGTTTTGTCTTGAGATCTGGCCTTTCGGGCGCATTCTATATCATCCTATCAGCTGGTGAACTTGCAGAGCAGACTCTATACACTCGCCTCTTGGACAAAATCCACGTCTTTGTAGTGTCTGCCTAGAGTCGCGCCTACAAACTCGTAGTTCGAAACAGAGGCGCTTGATAGAAAGTTAGAATCAGCTTGTGGCAGACATGAGTGTAGTGTCATAGTTACTTCTCATCGAGACCCATGATCTCCAACGCAGGCCAGATACTCTGCAGATAGGAGGCCAGCTTCTCCTCTGCGCCAGGTGCCGGATCTGCAACAATCACACGCAGACCATGAGCGAGGAAGAGGCCCGTCCATGATGCTCCTATCACGCCAGTGCCAACAATACCGACTGTACGAATGGACATATCTCAGAGACAACGGAGCCCTAAGACTGCGAAGAATGGTTGAAAAAATCTGTGAGGAACGATTGGATTTTTACTTGACGGGAGCCGTCGTCCCTTTAATGCGATCGCGGGAACTGAATCGACTTTGGTACGTATCGGCCGGGCTGTTGCATGGAGGTGTACATTCAGATGGTGTGCCTAGACGGTGAGGGCCGGGAAGCTGCAACTAGCATTAAAACAGGCCTTTCTTTTTCGCACGAAGTTCAACAGCGTCACCATAGTACATCCGCTTAGAAGATCTGCTGAGGAGTACTGCTTGCGAATGAGCTGCAACCAGTGTCGCATCGGATCTTCCCATGTCTCGCCCGAAAGGTCGGCCGAGTCTTGTTAGAGAGTCTACGACATTGCATGTTGCATCGTGCAAGGTTCGATCTACAAACATCATCATCACTTGATAGTGGAACAGATTGAACACCGTCCTAGCCAATCCATGGATGAGAGCCAATTGGCGGTGCCGAGGCAAGATGGGCCGTCAGCCAATGGGACGTTGAGCCAGAACTATAACCCAACCGAGGCCCAGGCTCTTCACGTGGTTCGATCGGCTCCCCCGGGCCTCACCCAACGTGCCGACATTCTGTTCTGCAGGCGCAGCCTAGACACTACACCTGGCATCAAGACTTCGGCGTTCGAAGACGCTACTGCCGTCTACGGGCGTAAATCACAGCCGTCAATGGAATGCTACCCTTCCCAATACGATTGGCTGCGGACTCCCAGGTATCGTTACACACTGGTCCTTTCAAAAAAAGCAGTTCATCCACACACTATAAATGTCATCAATGTCTACAGACTTCCTCCCTGCAAATTCTTCTACTTCTCAGAGAAGCATTCTCTTCGTTTCCTTCACCAATTAGCTAGTATCAATTTTCTCTAAGCACGATTGTACCCTCGTCATGGCAGCGCATCAAACGACAAAGGACACCTTTGGCCCTGGAACATTCGTTGATTGCGACTTCATTGGTGTACCTGCCGATGCGAGTAGACTACTGAAACACCTGGCTGGTATCACACCTGGCTTCACGACCGAGGAGGCTGCCTTGAATAATGTCGAATTCTCTGGGGGTGAACTACCCATCATCCCAGGACCCTTGAAATCGCAGGTCTTTGTGCGTACTCATTCCTCCCAAAACTTCAAAAAATCACAATGTGCTCACTTCCTTTGCGTAGTCCGCCGTTCTACATGCCATGATCGGAATTGTTGCCAAAGAGATCAGCGCACTTAAAGGCATCGAAGCGGGTAAAATCCACATCGACACTGACAAGTGTGGTCTGTACCCTGCCACCGTAGCCCTCGTCGACATCGACGGTAAAGGACTCGGTGATGTCCAGACCGATGGCACCCTTACAAAAGCCAGTCTGGATGTTGACAAGGGCTGCGTTAGCAAGAATCACATGTATATTCGCTCGTGGGCCATCTACCCGACTCGGGATCCTCGCGTCTGGTATCAGGTAATGAGTAACCTCAACGCCCCAGCATTCTTCAAGGCCTACGGCATCGACGGAGAAGCCCCTGTTGGGACCAGAGAAGAGGCCTATAAGTTGATCAAATCCACCATCTCCGAGTATTCGGCTGCCGAACTTGACATCAAAAACATGGAGAACGGATTTTGCGGGCAGACTTGTTTCACACCACAACACTGGAGAGAAACGTCGATGGGCAAGCGACTGGCTACGCACCCTTTGATCGACTACGCACAGGTCAAGGGCACTTCAGCATTGCCACCTGTACCTTTTCCACAGACTAGTGATGCTCGCCCGTTGGCCGGCATCAAGATTGTTGAAATAGCCCGCGTAATTGCTGGCCCAGCAATGGGAGCAGCTCTTGCAGCCTTGGGTGCGGACGTCATCAAAGTTCAAAGCCCCGATCTCCCCGATCTGCAGGTACGAGGCGCTGTACACTCTATGTTTACATCGATCTGACATTCACTAGCCTTTGAGTATTACGCTTACAGTCGGTAAACGTACATATGCGTTGGACCTTCAGAAGGAGGAAGACAGGCAAGCCTTGACTGACCTGATGGCGGGTGCGGATGTTATAATTCAAGCATTCCGCCTACGCTCTCTCGAACGGAAGGGCTTTGGGCTACAGGACTTGGTTGAGATGTCGAGGCAACGTAACAAAGGAATCGTCTACATCGATCTCAACACCTACGGTCCGGACGGCTACTATGCAGAACGCCCGGGATTCCAACAGATTGCTGATGCCGCTTCTGGATGCTCTTATGTCTGCGGCAAGGCTTATGGATTCGAGGACGGTGTCAGTGTGCTCCCTGCTCTTCCCGTTGCCGACATGCTAGCTGGGGCGGTAGGTGTCGTCAACGTTCTCCTTGCTCTACGTGATCGCGCAATCAAGGGCGGATCGTATCACGCCACTTCAGTCTTAACGTCGGTGGATGTAATACAGCTAGGAGAGGCATTCGGGTTGTATTCGCCGGATACAGTGAAGAAAATCCAGGACAAGTTTGGTTTCAAACCCATGACACCGGATCTGCACGTGGAAGATCTTCTCTACATCCTTGGGAAGGCTTGGTCAAGCCATTCAGACCTTCTGCACCGTGACGGATATATGGTCACTTTCGACGATACGGCGTATGGCAAGAAGCACTCAATACTGTCTCCGATCGTTCGATTTGACAACGAGGATGTCAGTCCTCGCTGGACCCATGGGCCTGTGGGATATTGTGCGTCAAAGCATGAGACGTGGGCATGATCACACATTGGTGATACCGCCTCCAACCAGACCATTCATAGATAAGGACTTCTAGTGGGAGTTTTTGCCAGTTTTGTTTTACGACGAATCAGCCACAAAGCGAGTAGGACGTTTGCCGCAAACATCATGCGTTTCCTGATATCTTTCCGTTCTGCCCAAACACCAATTTCGTATAGAATAGATACCAGCACGGAATGATCTTCATGGCGCGTTGACCTGCACTTTTTGGATGTTCAAGAGAAGAATGAGTTGCTTGGAGTTTGTGAGAGCACAACACAAAGAAGTGAGCTTAAATACCCAGCTGAGCACGGGAGAAGGCCCGTACTTCCAGAGATCCGCCAAGTATAACTCTGTCATGTACAAAGAGCTAGCTAATTCATGATACCCTTGCCCTTCACGAACTCGTCCTTCCCAGGTTGGGGTACCAACTTGAGGCCCTGCTCCGGCCGACGCAGATACACTTTGTTCCTGCACTCCTCTTCAAGCTGCGCAACAGAGTTCTCGCTAATCCACACCCATTGTTTGCCGTACTTGACAGTCTCCTTCTCGTTACCTTCAATATCAACGAACGCCTCTCGTTCTTGAAGCTGATGCTTATCTGTAATTTCGTTCCAGCTTTTCATCTTGCCAAATGCCAGGTTGTGCACATGTCCGATAGGTCCAGATATGATGCCGTGAGAAGCGCGTAGTTGCGAGATCGGCTTCGGATACTTCTCGTCGCGCCTTGAGAAGAACAAGAGTTGCTTAAAGTTGTCTTCTTCGAACTTGAGATCCCAGACCTTCATCTCCGCAAGGTGGGACAGCGGGACGTGAAGTTCGACTGTCCGTCGATCAGCGACCGGACAAGCGTCAGTGATCAGCGATGAATAGTGGTTTGAGACCCAGATCTGATGAGTGAAGTAGAGTCCCCCTCGTCTTGAGAAGTCTGTTGGTCCGGTGGACTCTAGTCGTGCGAGATTCACCGATCCATCTTCGGCTATGCATCCTGCGCATCGTCTAAATTCCACGCTCTTGAACAGCGTGATATGGCCTCCAGGTGTTTGAGGTACGGTGTATGGCTCCCCTTCTCCTCCCCTCAGGTTCACTCCCGATGGAGGTGCGAGCTCTTGTAGAATACGCGCATTCATGTCGACGAGTGCGAGATAGTTGGTTTCCAAGATGTCCTGAAGCCACATCGAGAGTGACTGCACTCCGCGGATCGCATAGTGTTCTTCCTTGATTAAGGCGTCGGAAATCTCTTGCTTGACACCCACTTCTTGCATCTTCTCTTTCCAATCATCGCCGTCGTCGTGTGTGTCCGCGCAAAGCGAGACGACATTTTCCACTACCCATCCTTGCAGGTCGATGTTCTTCTGCGTCTGTTGCTGTCGCTGCTGTCTGCTGGCGTATAATGTTTGCGCCTTTTCCGGAGTCAGCCCCATAAACTCGAGTGTTTGAGCGGAGTCAAGTCGAGTTGGGACAGAGATGTAGACGATTTCAGCGGAAGCTGAAGACGCGGTTGAGACACTTCTTGAAGTATTCGATGAAGGCGGGCTTAGGAGGCCAATAGATATCTTTCTTGCGCCGTTTTTCTCAGCGCCGACAAGGGAGGAGTCTCGGAGTTTCAGGCGCTTGACAGTGTCCTCTGGGAGAAGTAGTGGGGATGACATATTCAATGTCTTGTTGAGTCGATAGTAAGTGTGAACAAATCTCGAGGTAGGCAATTAATTGTTCTGTTGTGAGAAGGAAGGTACATGAGAGAATAAGGCTGAGCAGAGGTTATTAATTGCTTGAAAGTTAGCGCGCAGTAATTTCAGGCTCTCTCACCTTCACCCAAGGTTCTATAGTTGAGTCACATAGGTCAACCACTCGAATCTCACAGGTAATTGAGCGACGTTTGATAGGCCAGAAAACAAACTGTTGCCTAGAGCGAACCATATTTAAAAAATATGAAAGCTTTCACCTTTACTAGTGATATGAAACCATAGCTCTTGCGTTGAAATTATAAATGTCCAGAAATTCGAGCCAGCGGAGCTCTCCACAGGCCATGCGGAGTGATATTGACATTTCTAATCAACCGTAGGAAATGTGTGACGAAGAAAGAAAACATGTAGAAGAGAAGGGGCTTTTATACCCAACACTGCGATCACGAGACCGTCACGTGAAATGCGGGAAGCTGCACCCATCCATCGATACATAATGCACGAGAAGCTGTTACCAGAACTACCTAATCGAAAACACCTGGAACAAGATCAAAGTGATGGTAATGTATAACGAGAATTCGAATAAAGACGCCATATAAGGCGATGTGCTAGCCATCATGGCTTTATGTTACAAATATACAAAGAATGAACATGTGAGCTGCTGGCGAGCGCGCGCTAGCGTCCTAACTACCATTCTCAGCTCAAGCCAGCGGATTCGGATATTACCTTGATTCCATGCCCAATACTCCCAGCCGTCTCGCCGCTCCCCAACGCCCACCTCAGAATTTCGATCCTCAATCCTCAATAGCAAAGTCATCCCCACCATCCGTCTCCGCACTCTCTCTACCCTTCTCCCCCGGCGCAAAAATATCCGGATTCCGATTCTTCAGCGCCGCAATCTGACTCTCCTTGAACAGTTTGAACTGCTCCGGGTCTTCCTTCTCCAAATTCCTCAACTCTTCAGCATTCTCCACGACGCTGTTGAAAGCCTGTTCCCAGCCTTTGCCTTCGATCATATGCCTCATCTCGTCACCGCTGTAGTTCTGAAAGTATGCGCGCAGGGTGCGAAGATGCTCGGGAAGACCTTGATCGTCTGCCGTGCCCGAGATGAAGGAGACGTGGTTTTCGGAGACGTCAGGAGTAGTGGGGCGGGATGGGTTGAAAAGACCGGTGCGGACGCGGTGGCCGAAGCGGTGGAGTCTTCCTTCTTCGAGGGACATGTGGCGGGACGCGAGAGAGACGTCGGAGTTGTGGCGCGAGCGTAGGGTGGAAGGTTCGTCTTCGTCAGATTGATCAGCTGTGAAGTCTGTTGAGACACTGTTCTCGAGTGTCGGAACGAAGGAGGTGGGTGGTGAGCTGCTGAGTTTGGAGCTCGTCGTGGAAGCGGCATCAGATGGCTGGAGACGCGTCTCTGGGTATTCGTCTTCGAAGCGTTGGATCATGCCTTGTAGTGTTGTATCCAGGAAAAGTAAACGACCTATCAGGATGTTAGCATATCAACATGACAAAACGTTTGTGAAGCTTACGGTAGTTCAAGTCATTGTCACTCTTCGCCTCTCTGATGAGTGCAGGCTGAATTCTTGACCGTGTGTTTCGCGCAGTCTCAAGAAGATCCTTGGACATGGCTCTGGCCTTGCTTGGTTCTTCCAACACTGGTACCCTGTTTCTGCTCCTAGGAGTAGAAGTACCACTTGCTGGGACAGACACCCTTCGAAGGTCGTTCTCCTTGTGCGAAAGACAGTAGCTAAGCGCTTTCGCAATTCCTGTGCCTCCCACGATGTAGTCATTATCTGCTGCATTTGACACATTGTCGGTCTCCTTGTAATCGTCTTCCGTACCGACAAGACGCAGCAGGATATCTGGAACCTCGACTTGCTTAGGCGCTGCTCGAAGTTCTGGCACTTCGTTGATGGATTCAATGTTGCGCAAGCAGTACGCGACGACTTGTTTGGCGAGCGCCTTTATTACTTCGCCTTGCTCCGGAGCTGGAATATCGACATCGACACAAATGAGCGACTTGGACAGCTTAGCCGCAAGAGTCAGTGATGCATACAACGCAGCAGCTTCTTCTTGTGTTTCCTCATCGGTCGAGCTTGCGACGCGCGTTATCTCAGGGTTCTCGAGGATATTGATATGTGCGATGTGAGGACAGTCCGGCAGAATCTCCGCAATAGCGATCGCATCTTCTGGCTTCATATCGACATTCATGAGATGTATCCGTTTCAGCTCTTTGAATTGAGGCATGTATTTCCTCAGGAGAGACAGGGATGTCTGGCCCATGAAGAGGCCTCTGTTATGCGAGAGATCCAGGAATCTGAAGGAAGGTAGGTTGATGAGAGTCGGGATAAGTGTCTTGAGAGCGTCCGGAGTGAGATTAGTATCCTGTAGGCACAGTGCCCAGAGTGGGCTGTTCGGGCAGTCCTTGATACTTTCGCAAATCTTGCCCATCAATGATCTCAGGTCATTTCCTCCAATATCAATACCCTGACAAACACCAGAGCGCAAGTAGTGCAGGACGTGCTCCAGGCCTTCAGCGTCAATGTCGTTCGTCGCCAGACTAAGACGTGTAATACCGCTGATGACGCAGCCGTCGATGATTTTCCGGATGCTTGAGGAAGTAAGGTTGCATTCAGCCATGGCTAGCTCTTGAAGTTCTGAACCGCCCAGTCGTTCCGATATGGCCTTGGAGAATATTTCAGCTACGTCTGCCGATTTAGCGTCCTTGGTGGGTGACGGCGCCTGTGTGCTGTTCGTAGGCGGGGAAGCCACCTGCGGGCGAGACTTGGGAAACGGTATCATCGACACGTCGACCGCCATGATGGACTTGCACATGTATAGGAACAGAGCGATGTGTTTCCAGCCTTCAGCTGTGATCTTTGGGTTGTTCTTGAGAACTAGCTTCTTGACTGCGCATGAGCCTTGCTGGCACAGCCCGTCCTGTGTTCCGTCGTTGGATAGATCACGTCGCTTCGGCGGCTCAGGAACCTTGGCAGCCAGGAGACCAGCGAGTATGACCCGTATCTTCTCGTCATTCAGATCGGCGTCTTCCAAAAACAATTTCTTCACAGGTACGATGGCGAGCCAGTCCGATAGCGTCAAAACGTCAGCCAGCTGCAACCTCGACCCTGTCAGGTCCAGACAGGTGACAACTCCTGGCTGAACAACGGAGCACGCGCGTGGTGCCGCAAGCTGGTCGCTAATGCGTTTGAGTATGGGAGATTCGCGGAGTTGGCAACATCTTCGGTAGATGCGCAGTGGGTCGATCGTAGGTCGGTCTTGAGCGCGAGGAGTCGGGGCCCCAGTCGCAGCAGGTACTCCTTCGGCGCTGGCGCTGTCGTCGTCTCTGGTAAGCTCCATGGGGATTGTTCCATTTTCTTCGGCCTTCTTGCGTTTCTTCTCTTTCCGCTCCTTGCGCTCAGCCTCGGATCGCTTCTTCTTCTCCTTCTTCCGGCTCGGTTCCTGCTTGTCCTCGTGCACGACAGTGCCCTCTGGGTTCGACTCGGAATCGTTACCGACGACTTCCTGGGCGATGGAGACGACGCCGTCCTTGTCTTTCTCCTCAGCTACGGCATCTGGGTTCTTGAGCGCCTCGCCCTCGCCGCGCTCTTTCAGCTTCTTTTCCTTGCGCTTGGTCTTATCGTCTGTCTCAACATCATCCTTGTACTTGGGCCCTCCAGCTATCTCAACATCCACACAGAATGCCACTTTGCGCAACTTGTTCTGATCCAGCTCCGGGACGAGACATCGCTCTCGGTTGGGGTCGACATTCATGATCTTGCGCGGGCACATGCCGCCGTTCGGATAGACCTTGCCAGCCGTGCCAACCTGGGTTCCAGATGACAGACGTCGCAGCACATTCCCTACGAAGGAGCTCTTAGGCTGTTGCGGAATGTAGGGCTCAGGCGCGCCATTAGTGCCTCCTGATGCCGCCTGTATGCCGTTCAGGGCGCCGTTGGCCGAGGGTGAGGCGTTGGTCGCGCCATTCGCAGCAGCGGGCGAGCCTTGGGCCTGGGTGTGTGTGGTTGCGGCGGGCGAGTTTTGCGACGAGAACTTTGAGCTGATGCTGTTCATCCACGAGTTGCGTCGCGAGCTGTTCTTGGAGTCGGGTGGCGTCGTGCCGCTGCCATTCTTGTCGGTACTGCCCCGGCCAAGCAGCGCTGGCCGCTTTGGTATCTTTTGTGGAGGAGTTGGGCCAGCTGCAGCAGCTGGGGGCGGTCGCGGCGGTGATGCGGGTCTCGTAGTCGCCGGTGTCGGCTCATTATTTTGCTGCTCATCGTGGCGGGGTCTGGCGGGTAGGCCACCATGCGACGATGTCTTGGGAGGCGCATCTCTGGTCAGGCCGGGCGACGAGGGCGCTTGCTGGCGATGGTGATGGTCTGCTCAGGCGCAACATGTTAGTAGCCTCTCAAGCTCAGGGTTGCGCCGCAAAGCCGAGACGTCTCCACCCAGCAAGGTAAGCGGGCCTCACTTACCTCTAGTCGAGTGATGCAGCCATGATACATCAACACCGTGAATGTCTTCCATGGCGGACGCGGTATCGCCGGGTGTTTGTACGGCTGTCATTGCGTATATAGGCGTCTCGCCATGCGTCAGGGTTACAAACGGCCTCGGTGAGGCGGACGGAAGTCAGCGGGGTTTCTGCTTCCACGAGAATCCGCCGATTGGAAATGTTGCAAACTCTCTCAGATAACGTGTTCCGTGCGACTTCAACGACTCGCTGCGCTCAAGGCTGACGGCTGCGTGATTTCTGGGAGCTGCTCTGTGCGATACTCGGCCGATGCGATGTTATGGCGAACGTGCACTGCAAGCTGTGGGAGCCGGCCGATGACGAAAGGTGTCGGCTGACTGCTTCGGGTCTCCTTCTCCTCTCCACACCAAGCTCTATCGCGTCCTCAATCCTGCCGAACATCATGATCGACTGCGAGGATGGCCTATATATCTATCTGCCCTCTTCCTTGAAACCAACCTAATCGCAAGTTATCCACATGCCTCACTCTGCTGCTGGCTGATGCATCCCGCGGAGCAAAGCGTTGACTACCGACTGTTCCCTTAGTACCGCTGAAACACCTGACCGTCATGGCCACACAAAAACAGCAACCCGTGCTTGTCTTTCCACATGGTCAAACCCGTGACAGCACGCCATGTGGTGTCGGCCGCTACCGACCACACGCGCGTGTCACATGTTGCTATTTCAGAACATTTCACACACATTGAACAGTAGGGGCACATTGTTTGGGGGGGTATCTTGTTGTGGTAGCCAATCGCGGCGTGCCGTCTCGTCATCTCATTGAGGTCGTGAGGCTAAGTACAGTAGATGTATCCTGCCACGGCAGGCATCCTTTCCATGTCATCCCCAGACGCCAGAGCCGTGCTTTTGTCATGATAGAGCAAAGTAGGAACAAGAAAGAGAAACAGCTTAAGCAGTGATCTCGGCGATCTTGGCCTTGACGCGCTCCTCCTTCTCGGCCTTGGTGAGCTTCTTGCTCCTGAACTTCTGCGACTCGGCCTTCCACTCGTCCTTGGACTTCTTGGGGGCCTCGCCCTCCTCCTTCTTCCAGGGGTCCTCACGGATCTGCTTGTGTGCGTCCTGGTACAGCTCCTCAAGGCCGTCAGCCTCGATGTCGTCGTCGATGTAGCCGCTGAACTGAGACTTGTAGCGCTCCTCGTCGTCGTCGGCGAGAGTCTCCATGTACTCAGCGACGTGACCACCGAAGATGTACTTGCGGAGGGTCTCGGCGTCGAGCTCCTTGCCTTCCATGTCGTATCCGGGGAAACGGTTCTCGGAGTGGGGAACGAAGACACCACCGTCGGAGCAACCCTTCATGGCACCGAAGACACGGGCACCGGTGGAGGTACGGGTGAGACCGACATCCAAGAAGACCTTGAATGGGCGGCGCTCCTCGCCGTCAACCTCAGCGGCCTCGGTGAGGGTGAACTCACCGTCAGCCTCCTCTACACCAACGAAGTCCTCATCAAGCTCGAGCTTCTTGAGGACACGGCGGGCAAGGAGAAGACCGGTGGCGTAGGCGGCGGACCAGTTGGTAAGACCGTGGGTGATGCCGTAAGCCTTGAGCTCGTGGGCACTGAATTGTTGTTAGTCAAGAGTCTGGCGAAGCGCAGTCGCTAGGACGTACTAAGCAGCCATGAAGACCTTGTCACCGCCAATCTCGGAGTGGACGACTTGGCAGATGATGTCCTTGTTGGTGAAACGGACGACGAGGCGGTACTTGGGCGCATTGTACTTGTTCTTGGCCTGGGTGATCAACCGCTTACGGGCGTAGTAGTCGGCTGCGGATTGTTAGATTCAGTCGCGATTTGACGGTTTGATTGATACGTACTCTTTCCCTGCCTGCGGCGCTTGTACTTGACTTGGTACCGCGAGAAGTAGGCATCGTTCTTCTGGAGCTTGGACTTTTGACAGAGTCAGCGATTGGCGCTTCAAACCCGCATTCGAAGCATCTCGCAAAGACTCCACTCGACTTTCGTCGAAGCGGGGTTGCCGTATGGCAATGGAATGGAGAGTTGCATTGCGGACGCAATTCAGGGTGTACTTACGAAAGGCATCTTGACCTGCTGTTAGTTGAACTGGCTGGAGAGAAAGTTTGGTGTTGCCGAACGACGATATTGAAGTGGGCAGGAGGCGCTCGGACCATGCCTTAAGCGATGCGCAAGTCGCGACTTCCTCAAGTTCCCAGGTGGGTGACCATGCGACTAGCATGAGGTGGGTGACCACAACTAAGCACCTTGGTTCTGGGCATAATTATAGAGATGAAGTGTAGGAGTACTAGGTTTTCAACAGGCCTCCGAGTGCAGTGATGTCAATCATCGTATGTATGTGCTATTGAGGAAGAAACCTCTTTTGTACAACAGACCTGCAGCGCCATGGAATATGTGGCATATCATAAACGTTATGCATCGCCTTTCTTTTCTTAACAGTCTATTAGCCTATAGTATTCTTAAAGTCTTGACGATATAAAGTGACGCATTTCAAGTTGCCGTGAGCATCGCATTGCCCGTTTGAGTGCTCACGGACCCCTGGCCAACCATGCGCCCCGCCAACGTCGTCAACCTCAAGGCAGGCAGCCCCGAGCTACGGCCAGCTTCCAACATCCACTCCTTCAGCCCCAACAACCCTTTCGAGCTTTGCACAGGATGGCTGAAGCTCCCATTGGTATGCGCAGCTGCCTCAGCTATATGTGAAGCTCTACTTACCCTCCAATTAGTCCTCGATGGCGGTACGGGTTTCCTCAAGGCGGGTTACGCCGGACAGGTATGTACTATGTAAAGCGGCAGACTGGTCACGGCAAAAGCTAAGAGGTCGCTCATTAGAACTTCCCCGACCACCAGTTTCCCTCGATAGTCGGCCGACCCATCCTGCGAACCGAAGAGCGAGATGGCGGTGACATCCAGCTTAAAGACATAATGTGCGGTGACGAAGCAGCGGCAGCGCGCTCAATGCTTCAGATCACGTACCCTGTATGTGCATCTTTGAGATCTCTCAAGTTGCCTCCGAGCTAACGCTGTCTTGTCCGTAGATGGAGAATGGTATCGTCAAGCGATGGGATGACATGCAACACGTCTGGGACTACACCTTCCACGACAAGATGAAGCTCGACACTACAGGCCGCAAGATCCTCCTCACCGAACCGCCAATGAACCCGCTCAAGAACCGCGAGACCATGTGCGAAGTCATGTTCGAGCGCTACGGATTTGGAGGTGTATACGTGGCGATCCAGGCCGTCTTAGCTCTATACGCGCAGGGATTGTCATCTGGTGTAGTCGTCGACTCGGGAGATGGTGTGACGCATATTGTTCCCGTATACGAAAGCACCGTCCTCAATCATCTCACACGCCGTCTCGACGTCGCCGGACGCGACGTGACCCGCAACCTCATCGCCCTCCTGCTACGGAGAGGATACGCCCTCAACCGAACCGCCGATTTCGAGACGGTCCGTCAGATTAAGGAGAAGCTTTGCTACGTCTCATACGACCTTGAGTTGGACCAGCGCCTTAGCGAAGACACAACCGTGCTGGTGGAATCCTACACTCTACCTGATGGTCGTGTCATCCGGGTTGGCAGCGAGCGCTTTGAGGCTCCCGAATGTCTGTTCCAGCCGCATCTTGTGGACGTTGAGCAGCCCGGTATCGCCGAGTTCCTGTTCAACACGATCCAAGCGGCCGATGTCGATGTCAGGAGCAGTTTATACCAGGCCATCGTGCTCAGTGGTGGTAGCAGCATGTACCCGGGCCTGCCAAGTCGGCTGGAGAAGGAGCTCAAGCAGCTGTGGCTCACCAAGGTCTTGGGCGGAAACCCGGAGCGACTTAACGTGGGTACACACCTACTATGACGGCTAAACTCTGCTAACACATACACAGAAATTCAAGGTCCGCATCGAAGACCCGCCACGGCGAAGGCACATGGTGTTCCTCGGTGGAGCCGTGCTCGCGCACATCATGGCCGACAAAGAGAACATGTGGATATCAAAGGCGGAGTGGGAGGAGCAGGGCGCGAAGGCGCTGGAGAAGCTGGGCGCGAGATGATACTAAGGAAAGCATGCAGCGACATACATCAACCAACAAATCCAAACATTTCATGACACGAACTGCGTACCGCAAGTAGTATGAGCGAGCCGAGACATGTCGCTGGTGATTTTACCATCTGTCACACCTTCTCAAAGCGGTTTTGTTTGCCGTGATTTACCTCGGTGTTCCATAAACAGCCTCAATCCAATGCGTTGCGCCAACTCGATGTGCCCGAGCTCTTCCTCCGGCTGCATGGCTTCATCTACCTGAGCCGCACGCGGGAGATCTACGAAGCGATACAACAATACAACTTCCTCATCGCGAGTTGACGCATTGACGGGATGCCCAAATGATTCCCATAATTGCCGCGCTAACCTCTGTCCTCTGGTGCCCAAGCCAAACTACGTGACAGCACTGCATTGCGGCGAGCAAAGCCGGACCCTCTCTAGAAGAACATCACATACATTAGAGTTCGTGTGCTGGCGTCATCGGTCAGCGCTCAGTAGACGATGGAGAAATTATGTGTAGGAGCGGCTTCGGCGGCAGTCTCCTCAGGCGGTATTTCCGCATGTTGGGTAATATGGGATTGTGCAGCTGTGTTTGTACCGTGCGAGCGGCTCTCCCTTCAAATAATATCGCACATATAATCTTCGGCGATGTTAGGGTGAACTTCGGGATAGGCAGAGAAAAAGGCGCATGATAGATCACGATCGGTCTTCGTCGTTACATTCATCCAATATGTGCATGCCCTTTTACGAAGAATGCCGCAGCCGTGCTGCACAGGTGCAATGCACTTGGCGTTGCGGCCACAATGTGGTGGTGTCATGTCTTGTAGGCGCTACCGTTTGTCTCATCAGACCGTACTTTGAGAGAGCACGCGCGCGGACGTGAAAGAAAAAAAGACGTTGCTGCAACCTGCCGCAGGGCTCTACTGCAGATGCAACGGTACCCTATCACACCCACCATGTCGCTGCAGGGCAATTGAGGGAAGTCTGCAATGCTGTGTTCACACCACGCGTTTAGCGCCGGGCATTCTAAGGCGGGCACGTGTTCGGTCTTAATCATGAGCCGGGTATGCTGCACTGCGTCATAACGGACAAGCTGCACAAGCTGCTTAGGCGTGTTGGACGATTCGCATGGTTAGCGAGGCAGGAATTCAGCGCCCCGCCCAAACCGCGGAACCAAGGCCTGCGAGGTGAAATGACGAGGTTATAGCGTCTGCAAACATGGCGCGCCTCGCTGTAGCGGCCTTGTCCTCCGTCGGTACTAGCTATGTAAAGGCCACTGTGTACCAGTTATCCTATTCACTGTTAGATTAGCTTTCAACCCTCCCTCCTCTGCGCCCACCTCAGACTAGCCGACGCACTCCATCTTACTTTGATTGTGGACCCAGGTTTCGGGAAAACACACGCGCCATCTGTACTCCGCCATAACCGGCCCGCAGCCACCTGTTGCAACTGATAGACACCGGCTTGGTGTGCTGCCAGTAGCAGGCGCCTGTGCTTCCACCACATTGAAACGGGGTCCACTTGAGCCGTGCATCAGGCTTGTTACCCTCTCAGGAACGATTACCGCACGACGGTGCGCCTTCAAGCGGAAGATCAACACTGTACCTTTCCAATAAGATCGGCCACCATCCCGAGCCCTGCCACCAAGTCCCAAGCCTTTGCTGGACCCTCCCGCTGCTAGATATATTAGACACCGCCGCTGCTCTGTGCTTTGCTGCCTGCAAGCACGGTACTCTATCTTTCGATTATCCCTCTCCTCACTGTCATTCAGGAGAAGTTGATATAACAACTCACCGGAGCCGCACCCTTCCTTCCTCCAAGTGAACGCGAGATATACTCGCCACACGTCATATGCGATCTCCGCCGACTTCGCCTTCCCTTTCGCGAGTCATCTTCAGATCCGATACCTCTCACCAGAACATGTCTTCTCGAACTGCCGACCGCAGCATGCCTGCCATCAGCTCGCCTCTCTCGCCCAGATCACAGCCTCTCGACATTCCTTCCCAGGCTCGACGTCGCCCAGCCATGAACCCACGACAATCCAGCAACACCGGCCCTGCTGCACACCTGAGGCTTCCTTCTCTACCCCGCTTCCACCCAGCAAACTACGCTTCGTCCCAAGGCTCAAGCCATGCAAACACACCTACTGCGGGTCCTGACAGTCCCAACTCACCCGCTTCGCCTCGATCAAGCAACAGGCAATACGAGGTTCAGAGACAGATGTACCTCTACCAGCAACAACTCCTTGCCAACACCAGCCGTCAACACAGGGGCTTTGGACCGAAGCCAACTAGCCCACGCCTAGAGCCACTCGCCAGCCCTGGGGTAGTCACTCCTTTGGAACTCGAAGAGGACGCTGGCGGTTACCTTACCGCTGGCGTGAGCCGTGCCGAAGCCGACCAGCACGTTGAGAAGTACATTCGCGAGGAGGCTCGTCGAAGGGGAGAGTACTCCCCCGGCCGTGCAACCTCCGTTGGTGGCCATTGACTATCCCGCCACCAACAAAAGCAAACACAAACACACCACCACTTAAGCACTCGCACTCGGATACGGCACCGAAACAACTAGCCACTCTACGTCCTTCCATTTGTCCAGCAATCTCGGAGTTATATCACCCCACGGCACGGAGCATCAACGGCGTTCATCATCACCATCACAAACACAACACATAAAACTAGCACACGAATCGTACACATATAGACGGAGAACGGATGGAACGGCTCGTTCTAGCAAACACGGACTCGCAACATTCTTCTTCTTCTTCTTCACTCTCACACTCCAAGTGCTGGAGCGTGGCAACCGATCGCTTTTTCCCAAATACCCAAATATGCGTTTTTTCAAACTCGGAGTATACAACGTACCGCATGCATGCATCTCGCCTGTCCATAGCTTCACTGTAAGCGCTCCACCAGTTGGTGTCGAGCTGGACAGATGACGGGTCTTTTTCCCCCTTCTCTTTCCTCACGTAGTTAGCAATGACAATTCAACTCTATCCCATTCATCATCCTTTTTTCGCCTCCGTGATGCATGCCAACAATGCCTCGATCTAGCAATCTCATATCTCATCCTGTTGGTCAACACTGCCACCTCCTCCCTCTCACTCCGCCATATCCAGATAGGTACGACCCGAGCATGCCGACCTACCCGACTCATGTCCTCCCTTCCCCATTCTTTCGCCCCCATTAAAAAACCACGCCCCTCCACTTGCCCACCCCGTATCCTTTACCCAGCATGTAGCGCGCGCCGGCCACATTCGCCTCTCTGAAACACGCGATCACCTGCTAGCCGCCGAAAACAGCGGACATGTATTTGTTCGTGTACAAGACGTGGTACGAGTCGCTAATTACCACCACCGCTAAACGTGATTCCCTGCACTTTCCTAATGCGAGTCGATGAGAAGGAAGAATATTCCCCACATACTCCATAATTACTAAGGTTGAAGCCAACGCATCGTAGCGTCAACTAACCCGTGTGAGCGGACCCTGATTCTTCTTTGCAGGTTGGTAATTTCCTAATCTGCTGTGCGCATCCAATCCACCTTTGCACTGGTGTTGGCACTTTGTTCACGGGCTACTATGTGACTAAGGTCCGCTGCCGCTATGGTTGCAGTTGCACTCTCGCTTCGCATCCAGCGGCACTTCCCACCACAGCTCCGGGTCAATCGTGATGAAAGACAAGGGCAAGGAAAGGAGAAAGCAGGTTTAGACGGCCCGTTGACCACATGTTTCGATCACCGCCAACACATGGCCATATATCAGCTGAGATATCGCTGTTCATGTTGATCATTCGGCGGCGCGTTGGCGTTGGTCGCCGTTCGCCGTTCGCGTAAACCTGCGTGTCTGCGAAACAAAGAAGATGGCCTAAAGATCATCCTTCTGAATGGGTGATGGGGGATGTGAGATTTGCCAAGCGCAAGGTGCCCCGCAGTGCTGTGAAGGATCTTCATGGTGGGTTGCTGCTTGGGGTGAAGTGTGCCGGGTGGGTGATCTTGGCCCGGAAGGGGTTTGGAGATGATGCTTTCGAGGGGAACCGTGATTGATGTGTTGCATGTTGCGCATGGGTGCTTGTTTTTGCGGGAATATGCATGTGTTGCGCATATTGTTTGTGTTGTTGAAATTAGGGTCTTCCTGTACAACAAATGTGCTGGTAATCTCCTTCTCTTTGTTGTCCCAAACCCACACCTACCCAACGAAAACGTACCAGAGATAACAGTTGGACTGGGTTTAGTTTGACAACACATGCTATTTTTGCACAGCCCGCTCAAGATCGCAAAGGAATGCCACAGAAAAACAGGGTCTTTCTTATCGCCGTATTATTTCGTTTTGGGACCGGCTTCCCTGCGTCTTTTGATACGAAAGCCGTTGGTTGGTGTGGTGTGGTAGGCTTGTGCCCCGTGCGCCTTCCTTCACGGATCTAAGATGCCGAGTGAATGCCATATGTGTGGGTCAAGAGTTATGCAGGGATTCGGCATCGGTTGTTTGCGAGCATCCGGGCATCGATGCTGTTGTCAGTGGAATATGTGATGCGCAACGGTCGTGGCACCCTGATGACGCGTGACGATGAGAGCGATGCAGAGAGAGACGCGTGTATATGCTGGGAGAGCCAGGGAAACCTCAAGATGGAGGAAGTGGCGCGACTGTAGCCTCTTACTCGTGGACCGCCGAGATGATTGCAGATCACGTGCGTGCGCTCATGAAGATCAGGGAAATCATTTCGAAGATACTACTCGCTTGTTCGTCCGTCTTGAGTCGACATTGCAGTAGTTGCATTCAAGCCAATCGCACGTACTCCAGGGTAGATTAGAGCCGCACCTGCTACTCGTCATTGGTCGCAAGTCGCTCTATCGTACAACACCCTGGGTCCGGTTACTATACAACGAGTTAGAGCATGATTGGTGCAGTATTACGTGCATGTCCATGTAACGATGAGTAACCGGTGGTATTTTTCAAACTCCACAAGACGGCACGCGGTATTTCGTATCGACGCTGCCTCCACTTCACGAGGCGCGAAAGCCATTAGCGTACGCTGTCCAAGTCGGCTCGCTGAACTCTGTCAGTTGTTAGCATACCAAGCACGACGCACGTGGCCGTACGTTTGCCGCTCTTTCACCGCTTACTTTGCCATTGCGCCTCTCACGCCATAATCTTGGAAAATTTGGTTCGAACCGCAGCTAGTGTTATGAGACGGATGACATGACGACACACGAATCGAAGGCCCAGGAATCGGGTCGTCGTCGGTCCCTCGTGTGGAAAATGTCGATTCGATTGTAGCAGAGAGTCAGGTCCACATTCTTACTCCACAGCCTGCGCGATTTGTCAGTCGAACGTAATTCAGGAACATCCAGGAACGATGGGGATGTGTTTCAGGAACGCCAATCATTTCGCATGTGAAAGGTGCTGGGGATCGAAAAGTCAAGATGACGATTGAAAGAAACTACGTCAGCGGCGGTTGCGCTGGGATCTGGGATGCGTCGACGAGGTTAGGCCTCTTGCGGTTAGATAACCTCTGCTCTCCGCTACCCCTTTGGGAGAAAGATACCTCAACGATGCAAGAGCAGCATGTAAACATCTACAATAACCATCGCGATGGTCCTGAAATACAGATCAATGATGCGGCGCTCCACACAATATCCAAGTCACCCTGATGATGTATCAGGAGACTCCTTTGGACCGCCTCTCACAGCTGAACTTTCTCCACATCATAACGACCATGGCAATGCAGTGTGCACATCAACGAGTATCTTCCGCAACCCCACTTGAGAGCCGCATCATCTGCGACCCCGCAATGCCGCGTGAGCTTTTGCGGAGAGTGGTCAGATCCTCTCACCGACTTCTCGTCTTACCAACCCATCGGCTCACAGCGCGTAGTCAACTTATGCAACGATTGATCCAGAAGGTTAAGTTCAGGTTGCATCGTCATCTTCACCTGTACCTATGCGTCATTGTTGACATCAGGAGGCGGACAAGTATAATGACGGAACACCGTTGTTTTCCTAGGTGGGCGCAGGCCACTTCACCGCTGGCTTCTCATCGATGGTACAAGGATTGGAAGAGGAAGATACACGAAGCCTGCTCAAGGAGTCCATTCTAGATGTGGTCAAGCACTACATGCACGGAAACCTTTCTCGTCTAGGCATGGCATGTCAAGGGAACCTGCAATATGCAACTGCGCCAGGCCTCCCATCAATAGCATGAACTCACGCAGGAAACTGTTCCGTCATGGATTATGAAGAGACAGGCGTGGGGAACATCAGGTGGGATGTTGACCTAGTAATTGGGAGCAACCGACAAGGTACCTCATCCACCAGGTGGAGGTTGTCAAAGTAACTTGACCAGCACTAACAGCCTTGCTTACGACCACAGTGAAAATCTCGACTGCAGCCCAACACGATCAATCAACCATCTTCGATCGCAGTATTCCTACAGTCACATGTACTTTACCTCCACGATCGCGATCGCAGCACAGATCAGCCGCGTCGGGCCTTTATTATCGGACCGTATAGGACCCGCCATGCACGAACGGGACATGGATATCTTTGCGGCAACCACGCGTGGGATCAAGCGTCTTCGTTTTTTTACGTGAACTCGGGATTAGTTTCCTTTGGGATTGTGAGGCCCCGTCGGACATGCCCGCTTCCTTGCTGCAACGGTTGCGTGGGGTGCTCGAGGGTGGCAGGATACAGGTCCATGGCGACGCGCGTTGGTGTCTGCGACAAGCTCGCTTGTTGGCCGGGTAGTCGTTTCTTGATGGTGAGGTGAGGTCTCCATATTCATGGATACCTATGGAGACTCCATTACATGTGTGGGTGGTTTGAACAATTGTGAGGCTTAAAGAGTAGACGAGCGAGCCGCGCGTGGCTATTGTTGCGGTGGCGAAAGGACTTCGAGAAGTATTCGATCGCGTGAGGCGGATGTGAGAAAAACATTGTGAGTGTTTTGCATTCATTCAATGTGGTGCGTCGGCCATCGCGAACAGATGGCAACAACGCATGTGGTTCGCAACGTTCTGTTGGGTAAGTGCGCGAGGAAGTTCACACGACGATAAGGACTATCACTCTATAAGCTCAGTATCCCCGCTAAGTATAACTCTATGTTGTACAGCAAGTGCGACATCATCAACACGCCCATTCTCATATGCTGGCAGACTGTTGTGTCAGTCATCCTCAATACATTAGCCTCGTCATCAATGAGTATGCCTACCTTAGCACTGCATATATAATTTGCCTAAACATTCAAGTGCATGCTCTCTGAATTCCACAGCACCCACGTTTTCAAACACATTCTCCTAGCTACTCCTAGCAATCTCAATCACATAACAACCAATCATGCCTCGCAAAAGCTCTCGCAAAAGCCGCCGTACTGAAGATCACCCCGACCCTTTCGCGAACTATGACCACAACGACCCTCGTGACTACAGAATCGGCCACGAAACATATAGCGACGGAACCCACCGCTATTTCTCCGGCCATGTCGATGCACCAGACTATATTGGCAACGGCGGACGGCAGCAGACTTACGACGAAGCCGCTCAAATGGGTTTTGATCAAGCGTGTCGGGAGAATCATAAGAGTGGAGGGGGGGCTGGGTGAGTATCTCTCAAGTCTCAAGGCTTCTTTGTCAAGCCTCTTGAAGACGGTGTTACGTGCTACGCATCGTTTCTCGCCATGCTGACATGTATATCTTACTAGATAACGCCATGGATACAACCAAGGCGGACAACGCGGCTTCATGCAGGGAAACATTGATGAAATGTACGATGGACACAACGATGGTGACGACTATGGTCACGAAAGAATGTATCAACAAGGTGCTTTTCGCGGTGATATGTTCGGGGGTTATGAAGACTACAATGACTTCACTGGTGGCATAGGCGGGTATGGTGGGCATGGCTACGGAGGATATAATGGCTTTGGTGGAGGGTATGATGGATACGACGATTATGGGCCGTTTGGGGGTTATGGAGGGAATGGTAGGTATGGCGGATACGACTACTACTGAGGTCTCATGCAAGTGATCAAGTAACGCGTTGGGACTGTTAAGACAGTACATGAGATTCTTGATCCATGCCTGTAGCTTGGTTTGAGAAGGAGGCAAATCTAAGTCAAGGTCAACAAATCATCTCAACATCTGTCAACACTTAGCTCAGGTACTGAAGTATGGTAAAGCAAGGTTTTCTATTCTCTAGCAACGACTGTAGTATGATTTTCTCCCCGTTTTCTACATGCAAGGTTTGTGGTAAGCCCCCGAGGGTAACAAGGAGTGTGAAGAATTGAATGCTACGTCTTCGATATAGTCCATAAAGACCTCTGCACTGCGGCCGGAATCCTCATCCTGCTTTGCGTCTTCTGTACACCTCTGCCGGGCCGAAGTTGAAGTACGATATCTTGCTGGCACAGATATCCGCATGCAACCGCATGCAACATAGCACCTGAAGGTGAGATGCCAAGCCGGGCTGCAGGGCGAATCTGATCCAATACCGATATCTGTGCTAACGCACTGGCAGTCGCCTTCTTTGGTCCTGCCGACGGAGCGCACTGCGGGTCGGACGACCCCCTGTGAAGCATCTTGCCCCGTTGGGTGGAAGAGCGGCTAGCAGCCAAAACGTGGTAGGTAACCAGTAGGAATAGTTCCTACGGTATTAGTAAACAAGAGATCAGTCGTATCCGTTGTTGCCAGTGCCTATCTGGCTGGCGAAAGCCGTGGAAACGCTACGAGCATCGTCATCCTCAAAGCCACCAAGTCCACTGCGCAGACCGCGACCAGCACCGAAGCCAGTGCCAACGTTGGGACCCTGACGGGTGGTCTCTACGTAGCGATTGAGGCGGTCAGACTGGCTGAGGGAAGTCGGCTTGTTGTAGTCGTTCAAGCTCAGGCCAGATAGACTGATACCGCCCGGCGCATCGCTGCGAGTATCGGTAAGCTCGCTAGCGGCGACCGATTCACCAGCAACGCTTGCAGGCGCGCCATTCTTGCCCTTACCGTTGGGACGACCAGGAAGAGGCCATGACTCCTGGAAGTTGGAGAACATGGGAGGGTAGTTGGACGGAACACCAACACCGCCAAGAGCAGAAGAGTGGACTGAAGAGACATCATCTGGGATGTAGCCGACAATCGAGCCGTTGTCATTATACTCCTGGCGGGGCTTGTTGCCATTGAAGCCAGCCTGACGGCCAGAAGTCATAGCATTAGCGTGTTGGTAGGCCATCTGGTAGCGCTGAGGGCCACGGTAAGTCTGCTTCGGGCGGCTGAATTGCAGAAGCGAGACCTGCAAGTTGGTCAAAGGACCCTCAACAAGGCAGTTGCGCTCCTTGAAGTGAAGAAGGAGGTAGTGCCACAGCGGATGCTTCGACAGGACCTTGGGGTTACCGAGAATAACAAGACCGTACTTGGCTCGGGTCAGGGCGACGTTAAGACGACGAGGATCGCTCAAGAAACCGATTCCCTGGTGGTCGTTGGAACGGACACATGATAAGATGATGAAGTCCTTCTCACGACCCTGGAAAGCGTCGACGGAGGCAACTTCGACTTCCTTGTAGTTTTCCTTCTTAAAGCTGCCTGTTGCCTGCATGGAGCTGACAACATAACTACGCTGACCTTCGTATGGGGTGATGATACCGATATCGCCAGGCTGCACACCGGCCTTGAAGAAGCGGGTGACAATCTTCTCGACGTTCTGAGCCTCGGTACGGTTGAGGTAGGATGTTCCAGAGGCTGAGATTTCTTCAGCGCCGAGGTTGGACCAAAACATCATGGGGCTGTCGACAACGGGCCAGGGAAAGTCGACATCGCGACGGATGCGCTCCTGCATTGTGACACCGTTCTGAAGAGAACCTTCGTAGAACATGTTCGAAGGGAACTCCGACAGACAGGGATGCATACGGTACTGAACCTGGAGACGGATCGGAGAGCACCCTAGAATGACAAGACGCTCGAACAGAGACTGGTTGAGACCAGCTGTGGCGGCCTTCTTGTTCATGATGACAGGTCCAAGTTGCTGGTGATCACCAACAAGCACGACTTGCTTGCATCCTAGAACCAGAGGAATCATACACTCTGGCTCGGCTGACTGTGTCGACTCGTCGATGAGGACAGTGCGGAACTTCATCTTGGAGAGACGAGGATCACCAGCACCGACACAAGTACAGCAGATGACATCGGCTGCGTTCAGAATCTCGCGTTCAGCTGCACGGGTGAGCTGCTTGAACTTCTTCTCATCCTGGCTTGACAGTTCACCAACATCGCTCTTCAACTGGTTCAACTTGTTGAGCTCGACATTGGTATCGTTCATGCGGACCTGTTCGTGAAGGGAGAGGAAGCCGACGGGAGATTCAACATCCTCCCTAGACTTGGCGGTGACACGAACGGTCTTCAGCCCAGTAAGATGAATACGTTCGCACAACTGGTCAACAGCGACGTTGGAGGGCGCGCAAACCAGGACCTGGCTACCGCTGATCTTGCAGAGATGATAGATGATGGTGGCTGAGGTGACAGTCTTTCCAGTACCAGGAGGACCTTGGATCAAGCTGAGCGGCTTTTGAAGAACACTCTTGACAGCGTTGATTTGACTAGCGTTCAATTCAGGAAGACCTGGAACGCTGAACTTGCGGGGAATCTGGATCTTCATGGGTGCGGAAGCAACCTCGTGGCCGAGAAGACGATGGAAGATGTAGCCTGAAACACTCATCTCGTCAATGGCAAAAGTCTTCATGGCATGCTGCATGCGGTCGAACGAAGTGGCCTTCCAGACGTAGTCGGCGCTGAAGTTGTGGGTGCACTCAGTAGGAACGGACTTGTGGTCGCCCTTGGTGCGCAGCTCAATCGTCACCTCATCGGACTGGTTGTTTGGGATCTTGATGACATATCCAACGCCTTCCCAGTGTGGGCGAAGTTCTCCTGTGTAGCGCAATCGCATCTCGTCACCGACTGCGAGTTTGACGTCACCCAGCTCGAGCTTGGGGAGGATGAAGCTGGCTGTGTGCTTATTGTTCAAGGCCATATCCCAGCGAACCACGAGATTATCCTGCGACTGCGACTCCTTCAGCTTGCGATCGTAGTCGGCCTCGATCTTGACTAGGGGACCAAAGACATTCTGGTATTGGAAGGCGTCATCGTAGCGGAGCAGGACCTTGGCGATGACCTCCTCTTGACCAGCGCCCTTCTCAAGGTCGGCAATTGTAGCATTCGCGTTGTCCTTCCATAACTCTTCGAGTTTCGCGATAGTCTGGGGGCTCAGGTGGCGGGCGCGGAGTTGCTCCTGGTCGGTTGGGGCAGGCACGAGCCAAGGGAGGAAGGAGCGGTCCTCGATGAGCGGCTGCCAACGTGACACGTCCCAGTTCATGTCCTTTTGCGAAGGCATAGAGGCGCATGGCTGGCGACATAGGAGGACGACGACGGTGTCTGATTTGGCGGGGATAAACCCGAGGAGGAAGACGTTCTTGGTACCGCAGTTGTAGCATTCGAGCGTCGTGTCGCCGAGCGAGGAGGCGGGGTGGAGCTGGACTTCCTTGTGACGGGCGCGGACGAGATGGTTGATGATATGCGAGGACGACGAGTTGCCACGGGCGCTGCAGAACCACTTGCTGCAGGCGAGACACTTCACGACGCTGCCGGCGTTGTGAATACCGCAGTATGCGCCTAGTCGGGATATTAGTATGCCTCTCATTCCCTCCCAGACCATCGTTACCTACAGGCATGTGCTGGTAGCTCGACCTCGGCGTCGTCCGCCCGCATAGCAGACTGGCCGTTGCGTCCACCGACTGGCATGCTGGCCATGCTCTCCAGGTCGTCTTCATCGTACTCTTCGTCGTCATCTGCGCGTCGCCTACGCGAAAGACCGCCGCGGGCAAGGTCGCCGTCGAGAATGCCCTCATCTACGTCGCCGGCGTTGATGGTGGCAGCCGAGTCAGACACCAGGTGGTTGCCCATATGCGTAAAGGCGCCCTCCATGGTGAAGGTTCGCGTTCAAGGCTTCCTGGTTTATTCGAAATTTGTGGGGTCGGGATGAGAGTTTCGGGGGCAGTTGATGCCGGAGGAGTCGAGAGTGGTGTATTAACCTCACACCATTTCCAGCGGGAGGTTGTGTGTGTATGTGTGTTGGCGCTGGGCGTGTTTGCGCACGAGAGTGGTTGTGTGGCGGAGATAGAATTGTGTCTCAAGGTTGCAGCAGCCAGCGGGGTCGGAATGTCGGAGCACAAGGCTTAGCGCGTTTTTTTACCGGAGGCATCGCTCTTTCCTCCACAAGACACTCACTCACTCTGTCCCCAAGGCCATAGCTCGAGTCTCATCTCTTTTCTTTCTCTTTTCACTGCTCAACACCGCCATTCCATATACTCAGTCAGTTCAACGTCTGCATCCATGGCAGTGGCGCTCTGCTAGGTGTCTCAACGGCTTTTGATCGTCAGTGAAATGACCTGCAGCAGAGCCGCATTAATGGACCCTTTCTTCTAGTGCCAACGTCTTTTGTATAACAAAGTCGAAACCATACGCGCTTATGCTCGCCAACTTTACGTTCTTTCCCTGTAAGATCCGCCACAGTGCGAATTGAGGACTTCACGATTGCTGCTCGACCATGCCTGTAGTAACGGTTCACGGCTTTCACTGATTCCCTTTATCTCAGAAGATGTCACTCACATCGGTGGTATTCGTTCTCTTGTATGACGTCAAACGCAGTAGTCAGTTACGATTTTCACCATGGCACGTTTCCCAACTGCCAACCCGGAGGACTCACCAGTCACCCCAAATCTCGCTTTCACCATGGCTGGGTAAGGGCGCCCGGCTCACGTTACCCGGATACTCTATACAACTCGAAAAGCCAGGTCTTCACGGCTTGCAAAACAACCCACATGAGCGATTGGGACAGTAACACCATCGACGACGTCAGCCAATACCAAAACAACCTTTTCTAACTCCCGCGTCTGTATAACGGCCCAACATCAATGTACCGGTACATGGGGATGTATCTGGTCTTCTTACACCGAAGCTGCGTACTGCCGACGCAATGCTATGCCAGCTCGCCGAGCACTATCGCCGGAGATCATCCGAGTGCCCCACACCTACTTATTGGAAGTGGCGGCTGCCGCTGCATCCCACATGGGTAAGCTCGTCGGTTCCAAGAGACAAGGCAGCAACGTGCCGCACGGGACTGGCCGAATGATCGATCACTTGTTTATTTGGTGCGGGGTGCAGTCTTGCGGCACGACTTGCATGCGTTCTCTACCACTTGCATTGCCCTCCAACAGCATGCGCATACTGTATCAGCCAGCCCGCGATGTAATTCTGGCAGGGATGATGTTGCTAGTAAGCTGCAAGCTACCTACTTCACGACTTTGGTTACATGGCTTCAGAGAGCATCAAGAGGTATCTCGGCCTGGATGTATTACAAAATCACAACATCTAGTGCCGGCAATGGCGTGCGACCCGAAGTACGTAAAAGGCGCATATCTCGATTCGGCTGAGGCATGAAACTTCGCCGTATGACGTCGCAAGGCTACGTGTACATGTCTTGGTCCACGCGCAGCTTACTCCGTTGCTTCGCTGAAGGATAAGGCCCCAGACTGTTCGATGTTACAGCGGGACGAAGGAACAGGAGTGAAGTGACATGATCGACTCTATCGCGCCAATAGTACCTGACGCATTGAAAACCACGCCATATGCGGCTGGCTCAAACAGTCGTATCAGAGATAACCGCATCAGCATGGTCGAATGAGCTTCGTACTTAGGACGTCGATCGACTCTTGGGCTATGAGAACATATCACTTTATGTTGGTTGATCACCCTCTCGCGGCACTTGCGGATTCAAGAGGTGACCAGATATACCGGCTATCTGGATATATTTTAGTAAGCAGTCTCCTTTCTGGCCTACGATGCCTATTGAGATATGAAGATCCCTAGCCCTGTGCTGCAGAATAATTCGAAGTAGGCCATCTCGTCATTATCGCAATGATAATGTCACGCATCTGCAAGCCTCCTGCTAGTCAGCAGCTTATGCACTACGTTCATCTCTCAATCCGATATTCCCGACAATGCGAAGCGAGAGACAGCACCATTGAGCTTCATGTTTGATTCCACATGCATATACGATCTTACATCGACTCCATCAGGCGACAGCTTCCTGCGTCTTCATTATGCAGGACGCCTCATTCGCAAGATGGACAGCCCACCGGAAGATTTCACATCTGACATACAGCCGGCTATCAGTTCATGCGCAGCCCCCACAAGGAATACCACGTTGTTCACCTCCTGGTTCGCATATCCACTGTGGGACCCTACCTGGTGAAGAATTTGGCGAAGAAATCTTGAGTAACCGCGGCTTGCGCCTGCACAAGATGATCGGCGAATACGAAAGGCGCGGGAAGGACATTCCAGCTTCAAGTCAAAGGCTTGACGTTTAATCGGAGTACGGCGCCACGTGCGGTAAACACCACGTCGCAAGCCTCACAGTCAAGGAACAGAGTGGATACCCAGCACCTACCACCGAGTCGAGCGCGCTTATCTCACAAATTGCGGAGGTTACCAATTTCGCAAAATCCTTACATAGAACATTTACGCCCTGCAGAAGCGAGGTACCCATACCAGACGCCCCGACCTTTGTGCGAACTCAGAACTCAGCTTAATGCTTACGAGAGAATCGGAGCGTCATCTTCACCGATCAGAATCACGGTGACACAAATCCGATATGCCTCACCTCTTCGAATCTTCTTTTTCGGTGCAGCGAACATCCACTCTCAGCCTCGTGCATACTGCATACTGCAACCTCCGCAATAGATAGTGCAATCGGTCCTACTCACGGTCATACAGCATCGTAAACGCAAGGCACAACACCCACCTGCCTTTCCCGCTGCTACTTAACCATTATACAGCATACTCGTGACATATAAAACACATCGGATCACCATCCGAGCAAATAGACTCTCGCATGGCAGTTCTCAGCTCCGCATCCACCCGCCTCGCAGGGCAGTCGTACATGAACACGTACATGAAGCTCGGCCCCGCAATCCTTTCCAAGATTTTCTCGCTCAAGCGGCAGTCGGATGCGTAGTAGCTCTCACCAGGCGAGCCATTCACATAGTGAGGAAGTGACATCCACATCGTAAATGTCTCGCGTATGTTCTGCATGCTTTCGCATCCACCATCTCCGATGCCCAATGTGTGCCTCAAGCCCAAGATCTCCATGTCGACAAATCGCGAGCAGAGCGCCAGCAGCGGGAAACATTACTTAACTACTACCAACACGCGCCCTTGTCTACCTACCCGCGACATGCGTGTCCTGCGTGCGAACGTGCACGCGCGCAGCGAGACTTAGCAACACCTCACGCCGAAGGAACGCTGCGTTGCGCTCGGACACTACGTATTGCGTGCATGCTGTGTAACATACTATACATATATACACATGGCTCATGACTCGGTACATGACCCAAGCCCCGTCTGCATCTGCACACTGCTCCGTAGTAATGCACGGTCATAGGTCAGAAACGGGAAGGAACGGAGGAAGGCAGGAAGTAGACGAATGCGAAGAGGAGCGCACGCACAGCCGCAAAAGACCAGAGTTCGCGTCACACAGGCACAGCCGCAGGCAGGCAGCAAGACTATTGAATTTGACTGCGCGCCTTCGTATCTTGGACTTGGACTTGAGCTTGGTTGAATACGCCATGGAGGTTGTGTAACGTTACCGCGGTGATCGGATCGTGCCGTCCTGGTTCCGCTCTTTGATTTTGCTTTTTCGCGTGTTCCCAACGCGCAGCTGTCAGCCTCGAACGGTTCCTTCCATACTTTCGGTACGGGGGCATCATCATCATCAGGAAACACTAACCATCTGCACCGCGCATCTCCATCCATCCTTTCGCGCAAGTCCTGCGCCCCTAGCCTAGTTTGTCCTTCCCCTTACCTCACCACTTGCCTCACTTCCCAGTATCTTCTCCTCTCACGCAAGCAAGCGGCCAAAAAGGCCCAGTCCAGAGCGCAGCGCCCAAACCACATCCGCAACACCCGCAAGACCGGATAGTGGCTTTTGCGTTCCCGTGCTCTGCGGGGAACTTTGAACCCACACTTCCGCCGCCGGTGCTACGAACCAGCTTTCGGCCATGCGCAAGGTTTACCTTTGCTTTCAACCCTACCCGTGCGCCACAGCGGTCCAGATCGACGACCGGCTCTTGCTCCTTTTCTTTTCTTTTCTTCTTTGTCAACGGACCTAGCTAGCTAAGCTCGTGGTTTTCTCCGCACGTTGGAGCGGTGCGGTGTTGTTGCAGATGCAAGTGCATAGTGTTGTCATGATGTAGTGAAAACGGGTGCGGAGTATAGTGTTTAGTGCTGCATGTGGAGAGTGAGTGTGGGGTGTGTTGGCAGAAGTCATTCATCATTTTCGCGAAGAAGCTACTGCAATAGTAAAGCCAGCTGTAGTGTGCGCATGGTAACGCTTGGAAGAACACGAGGTTAGGACGGAAGCTAGCCACGTCAACGTGGTCGGCCAGAGATTAGCTGGAAATGTCACTGTTCAAATTACCATGTCTGCATGTCTGCCGTGCGCATGCGTTGCGGCGTGCGGCGGCGTTGCGGCTCCGAGGAAGTGGTTGAGAGGCAGCGTAGCTCGTGCTCTCGAGACGAAGATCGTGAACGGCTGCGTCGATCGGGCTGCAAGGCCAGCCCGCTCCCAACCCATCGCCCCTTTCCACCCGCCAGTCCAGTCTCCTGAGCGACGGGGAAAATATCTTCTGTGCTCATCATCACGGTGGTCAGAGCATGGAAGCATCGAGAAGGAGTTTGTGTGGAAATTTGACTTCCAAATCTGCGCAATCGTGGCGCTGAAGTCGTGTGGTATCATTTCTAAGTGTTTGTTGAGTGGTATCTTCCTGATGATTAACCTTATCCCACGCCATGCCCATGCCCATTTACCCACAACAAGCCAAAGAGTGAACATGCGCCAATGCCCACCCCATCTTCCTTGCAAGACTAGCATGCAAGACCGGGCCGGCCCACGTATAGAAGTGAAGAGAAAAAGATTGCACCAAACCATGTCCTGCATCGAAGCGAAATTGATCGTCCTCTATTGGAAGGAGGAGACGAAAGAAAGAAAACAACCCTAAAAGTCAACAGCCGACCGCCCATGCGGAAACCCCGCACCGCAGGCTCGGCAATTGAAAACAATGCTATGCAAAGCAGTTTTGTGTTGTCGTCGCGTCGTTAAGAGGTCGCTAACAAAGGAAATAAGAGAGAACAGTAGAAGCTTTGTACAGGTAATGATCGAGCGATGAAGCTCAAGAAGCAAGTCTATGGGATATCGCCAAGATGCAGTAACTAAGGTCAAAGTTTGCTCGCCGGCAAACGATCCTTGTTGGTCCCCCATGGTTGAGTATTGCGCCGATGACCGATGTGAAAACAAAGTATTGGTTGTAGAAAACGGGTATATGCTAGAAGCGAAGAGTGGGACGAGGCGATCAGTGTCCAAGAGGACACATGATCAACGATAACTTTTGAGTGCCGAGGCCAAGTTGCGGTTCGATGGAGTTTTGATAGCCGTCGGAAGCGGGCCTGCCAACACAATGCGGTTGGGCCAGGACGCGGGATTTTGATTGAGGATGGGTCGGAGTTATTTGCCGTGGCCATTGTCGTGGCGCCAGGCACCAATGGAAGATGCCGAACCGGAACGCCGTAGGATAGCAGAGTAGAGGTCGGTACAGATGAGATGTATGATACAAGCCGGATCGACGCGTGGCGCGTCGTCAGCTGCAAGCAGTGGCGTCATGCTACGCTATCGCTCGAACGTGCTCGAGCGACTGATGGAGTCTAGGTCGGATTCGCGCGACTCGCTTCCCGCGCGTTGTTGCTCTTCCTTGCGCTTCCTGCGCTCGCTGGGTGCACGGCTGATCAAGCGCCTCACGAAGCTGCGGCTTGCCTTGGTGTTGGTGGGCTCTTGAAGTGGGCTGGCAGGCTCAATGGATGATCCGCAAGAAGAGTTGGCGGCAGGCTCGGGTGCGTCGACAATGTCCTGCTTCTTGATCTTGCAGAAGAGAGTGGAGAACAGGTACTGCTCGCCATTGCTGTCGTAAAGCGGGAGATGGCGGTAGCCTTGCTGGATGCTGTTGAGTTTGGCCGTGAATGTAGCAAGAGGGGCGTGATTGGTCGTTCGTGCATCGAGCGAGTTCCAGACAGTCCAGCGGACGAAGACAAGGCTGGGGTACCTGGTCGTAACTGTCATATCAATCTCGTTGCCGAACTCGGGGTTGTAGCCATTGCCCTCTACGATGCGTGTTCGTTTGCGCAGAGGGTTGCCGATGCCAGAGTGGCCATTGCGAGCAGATGCGTCCTGGCCGCCAATACCGGTGGCATTCGCACCCATGTCTTCGGCACAGTACATCTCGAACTCAACATACGGGTTGATGTTGGCTTCCTGTCCAAGGCCGCGGGGGCGCGGGAGCTGTTGAGCAGAGATGATCTGCACAGTGAACTTCACTTCCTTCTTTGGTGCCTTTCTGTGACCAATGACTGGAGTCTGTGACTCAAGACGCAGGGCTGCTGGCTTCAGCACGTAGCCTGTGCGGTCCTCGCCACCAGCAAACATGGCCTCGTTCAACTGTTGACCGAGGTCGTACGTTTGCCAGTTCAGCGCAGCCATCTGGACGCCGCGACGCCAGAACTTGAGAGGATCGAAGTTCGACGAGTTGATGCGGAAGGCGTGAGGGTAGACGCGCATGAGGCAACGCATGTTGTGCTCCTCAAGCAAGTGCTTCTCCCGGGCTCCGGGCTTGGTGAGCTTCTCGAAAGCGCGCTCGTTGATGGAGAAGACATGGTTGAAGGTGTTTGCGTCGATGCTGCCAAAGTCTGTGAACTTGACTCCTCTCGTGTAGACACCGAGATTGCCGAGCTCTTTCGTGATGTTGCTGGTCTTGGCCTTCTTCGGCTTACGTCGATCATCTACTACTTCGGCAGTCTCTGCCGTGGTTGCATTGGGGCTGTCGCTGTCTTCAGCTGAGCTCACGGCTGCAGAAGTGGGTAGCGTGTTGTTTGAAGTTCGTGGTGTGGCCCAGAAGGATGCTGCTCGCTCTGGTGGACTCATTGAAGGTGGGCTGGAAAGAAGAGGCGAGTTTGGGATGAGGTTGTCGTTCAGTATGACGGGTCTCGACCAGGGGGAGCTGAAGCTGCGCTGTCTTCGGGAAGTGATTTCGCCCATAAGAGCCCTGGTGTCGATTTCGTCACCAGCAGCACGCTTGACCTTGATGAGAATGCGGTGCTTTAGTTCTTCTGGTGAGGGAAGCGACTGCGACTCGAAGTCAAGCGGCTGGAGGACCAGCTTGTCGCCAAACTCCTGCATCATGATCTTGACCATGGCAGATTGTTGGACCGGAGAGCAATGCACCTCAAGCGAGAGGATGACTGGGTACGGTGATTCCGTGAATGCGTATTTGTTGATGACCTTGATGGTGTCTTGGAAAAGGATGCTCTTAGTCAAGGTTCGGCCGTGCATGACGACCGGAATATTGTCGGCACCATCCCAGCAGTCGATCTCGAGGCATCGGCAGCCCTTCTGAAGCGCAGTAATGTATGCCTCAGTGCTTGATTCGCCTGCAACTTGACGACCGAGCAGGTAGGTGTTGTGGGAGCTGGAGATGTAGTACTCGTTCAAGGGTCGGTTGAGCTCCTGTGGCTGGCCGACTGGCTTGAGGATAGAGTTGGCAGCAGAAGTCAGGTACGTCTGGAAAGCGGGGAAGTTCATGGCCAATGGCAGTGGGACCTCTCCGCCTTCGGTTGGAGTAGCAGCCATCCTGGGTCTTGTTGCACGTGCAAACTTCTCAAAGGTATTGGTCCAGTATTCGAGATCGGCGTTTACGTCTACGCCTTGCTCACGCTGCAGAAAGTCGAAGAAAGTGTGCTTGTCCATCTCAATTTTTGAGCCAGACGTGTAGGTCTTGTAAATCGCCTTGATGTCTTTGCGCTCCTTGAGACGTCGCACAAAGTACAAGAATTGCGATTGGTTTAGTTTTCCAGCGTCGAGAGTGTCGGCTTTCTGGAAGTAGGCGCGAAGGGTGGCTTCGGTGCAGTTAATGTGTAGGCTTCGGCACAGCTCGACGGTGCTGGGGAAGTCGAGCGTCTCGTCGCCCTCACCACGCTTCTTCATTGCGCGTTGCCAGACGAGCTTCGCGCTCTTGTCGGCAAAGCCCAGTAGGCCGGCCATGAGGTCGATGCGGTTGCGCGATACAGACTCAAGCGTCTGAGTCCACATGTTGAAAATGCCAACGTCGGGCGCAATCAAGTGCATTGTTCGTATCCGGCCCTTGGAGCGTGTTGTGTCGGTGTAGACAATGGTAAACCAGTAAGGTGCCCAGTTCTCGGATAGGCCGCACTCTTCGCGGTAGTGCTTAGCTTCCGGACCTGAGCGGATCTCCTTGACATCGTCGATGTAGAAGGCTTTGGAGGGGCGCGAGGAATCCCAAAATACCTTGGCTGATTCCAGATCGAGCCGCAGGTTGATCTCCTTCTTCTCCTTCTTGGTAATCTTTCTCAAAACGGTGCCTTGCTCGAGGCGGGAGTTGCGTACGGGGGCGACGACGGCGGCGTCTGGTATTGAGCTGAAGCTGGGTGTTGGGTGTGAGATGCCGAGGCCGTGGATGGGCTCAAAGGGGTCTTCCACGGCTTCCTCCTCTTCAAAGGCGTCGAAGTCGGAGATGCCAGTGTCAGCGTCGGCGGCAGTCCTGCTGTCGCTGCGGCGGCGCATGATGACAGGACCGGAGCTCTTGTCGCGCTGCGCAGACGCATTGCCTCGGCGGAAGCGACCTGGAATGCCCTGCGCGCCGCGGCTCACTCTGCGGATCAGCCCCGGTCCCTTTCCTAGGGCCTCGGCCATGGCTGACGGTGAGGACGTGGGCGGCGACTGGACGGGTGGTGGAGGCAGGAGCGACTCTGGCAAGGTGTAGGAGGGAATGGCGGGCAGCGAGGACGAGACGGGCACCATGCCCTCGGGCGTGGACTGCAGGGAGCCATTGAGAGAGCCATTGAGGTACGAGGCCGTCAGGGCGGGACTGGAGCGGGCGGGTATGGTGATGGCGCGTCCGAAGCTGGGCGAGGGTGAAGGCATGCGCGGTCGCGAGATGGCGTCGTGCAGCAGCGACATGGTTGTGGATGTGGAACAAGCAAGAGGATGGATCGGGGCGGGCTAGTAAATCTTCATGGCGCGGGCAGTGGTGAGGGAGAAGGAGCGTAACGGCGAGCGGGCGCCACTGGGTAATAAAAGCAGACAGGATCAACAGCCTGCTGGGTCCTGGTGGAAAAGCTCAGGCTAGGAGCAGCTTCGCATCGTGAGACTGACGGAATGCGTTGGGGCTATGACGAGTCGGGCTTGGGAAGCGCGCGCTGCGCGAAGATGCAGACGCAGACGCAGGTCAGCTGGGATTACTGGAGAATTGACTTGCATGCACGATGCATGGATGATTTGGGATCTGAGTACTCCGGAGCAGTCGTGGGGGTTGCAAGCGAATCGAGTCGGCAGACCAGGGCGGGCGAAAATCAGTCAGCGCGCGAGTGGATGCTGCAGGAAATGCGGAGAAGGGTGTGGTGAGGCGGCGTATCGTCGTCGTCGTGGTCAAATTGTCGGTGGTGTGAGGGTCGCGGGCTTGACGTGGACCAAAGATGCGTCTGCAATTGGGTGTAGTGCTGGATAGTGTGAGAGAGGAGTGGGCTGTAGGGCAGACAGGTAGTAGTATATGGGCAACGGCTGCGCTTGGCGGCCGTCTTTGGGCCAGGAACAGACAAGGCGCTCACCGAATTTTCAGCTAAATCTTACAAGCACACGATTATCCCTTGACTCCTAGTCATTCGGGCTTCCATCCGCCTCCGCTCAATTCGGGCTCCGAGGGCACTTCCCTGTTTGTCTCCTGGCCTAGCGCTCGACTGCGAGAGCCGCGACGCTGGTTAAGGCCCCACTGAGCAACGGTGTCCTGTATGACGCAGCCCATGGTTATACTATGGGGTCCGCCAATCATCACGTCTCGCCGTTTGTCGCCTGAGAATCCCACGGCATTCCACAGGCACCCAGCGCGGCAGCCATGGTACGATGAACAAGAACAGAACATGCACTGCCCTGTCGTCTCATTGTCCACCGAGTTGCCTCACGGGGAGCCATGGCCCATAGCCGTGATCCATTGTCACGATGCCGTGCCTTCCGGAGAGGGGATGGTATGCCCGGAGAGGCATGGCATGCACGAAGAAGCAACCTCAGCGGCCCTGATGCTGTTCGGTTCGTGTGTCGTCGATCAACTTTGACTCACCGGTATGTTGCGCTGGCCCTGTTGCAGAACCTTGATGCGTACAGGCCGGCTCGGTAGCATCGACTATGCCACCGTCGCCATGTTTGCTACATCGTGTCCGCAGCGCCGACACCCACAGCGCGCGGTATTGCTAGCCTCTGACTGGCCTGGCACAGCAAGACGGTGTGTCCGAGTCACACGAAGCAATCAGTGTACTGCATTCCGCCCACAGTCGCTGGCTGGATGGCCGTCGTGTGTCAAACAAGTCGTCCAGCCAGTCGCATCCGCTGTGCAAACGCCCCAAGTGTGGCGGTGGAATCCCCCGTCTCTCACACGTGGCGCGCGGGCAAGTGAAACCCAAGTGCGAAGCCGGCACAACGGTTCCATCATCATAGCCGGCTTCTGACGGCCGGCGCAAAGTCAGGGATCCGCCGTCGACGCCCGCCAACCTTGTGCTGGCCCCTCAATTTGCTGCAGCCGACTCGGCTGCTTCACAATTCCTGCACGTACCGCTTCTCACAAAGAATGGCGCGACAATGCGGTGCGCCCAATGCTCGTATCCGCATCGCCCTGCCACTGCGAGTCGCGTGATTGTTCCACAAAACTTTCCACAGCTTCGAGAAGGAAGGATTCCTGCCCCTGGCGCCCTGGTGCCAATCAAACCACGACGCCCCCGCACATCAACTGCACACGATGCCAACGTGCCGGGCTTTCCACTTTCGTTATGTCCATGTGACTTGGGGCGGTGTGATGCATCAAAGTCCATCGTTGCGCTTTGTCCAATCGTTTCTTTGATGCTGCGTATCCTGAGCTGCCGCTTTCATGCCCTGATTCCTTTCATGTCCTGATGTCGTGTCACCGCATTCGGCCCTTGGGCACCAGCGGCCTCTGGTAGCCCTTCGGACGCATATCCGGTAGGCTCGCCGTTGTCCTCGTTGCCGTTCGCTAAGTAAGGATGGCCGGCACTGTGTTGTCACAACTTGTAGGGCTCACCCGAAATAGCCCTGCACGTAGCCCCGCCTGCTCTGAGCCTGCTCGAAACATTTGCAATCGATGACATGCATCTCTGGCCAAGATACCTTGCATTCAGTGCCCTGTACCCATTCCCTGTGCGAAGGGTGATGCCTCCACATATTCATATCGCTATCTTCACATGGCTTTCTGCATTGAGCTTTTGCATCCCTCTGCTACGCCATGTTCGCGCTGCCGATGCTGTCCGAACGTTGAGCAGCGCGGACGATCGGAATCTTATTGTGTCCATGAGCTGAGCTGAGCTCATGCTACCGGACTGCGACATGAACTGCTGCTCATCATACACAATCTGGGCCAATGAGAACATGTAGGCCCCATAAAATATTTTGATTCGCTCATGGCAGTAGGTCGCACGCTGATTCTTAGCCTACCATGGTACTACGTTGCCATATCGATAGGCATGAAATGGCGAATCCATGTTACAGGAAGAGCCGAAACTTTCCACCAAATTTCAGCCTCAGGCATCCCGCGTCTGCACTGAGACGGCCAACCAGCATGTACCTTGTCAACGTCTGTTAGGATCGACGAGGTGGAGTGTCCCATCATCGCTCGTCAGGATATCGCAGCCAGAGGAAGACCCTTGCGAATTTCCGCACAATATGCGTCTGTTCGACGATGTTGGATTATGTGCAACGGCACTGGCATGTTGCTCCAAGATGCGGGACGTTGTCGTGGCACTAAGGACCCGTGAGGAGATTATGTCTGAAGATGCGTGGTTCTGTAGAGATGCATGGGACTGCCCGTCGAACACTTTGCGACTCAACATCTTCTCGCCCTGCTTATTCTCGGTCATTCCCTCAACAAATCCACAAAGTTCCAATGAATTGGCGTTGCGAAATGTTGATGGCGTTAAAGCTCTGGATTCCAAGGCGTCGTAGCCCGTGCCAGAAGCAATTCGAGGTCTAGACTCGTGCGTTGCAGGGCTAACAGAGCTGACAGCGCGAGAGAGTGGCAGACACCTCGAGGATGAATTCTCCGAGTATTTTGGAACCAGCGGGGATGTCTTGCGTGCATGATCATGCATCCCTTGATGCTTATCGTCGCTCTGGAAAACAAACGCTTGCCAGTTCCTTTCGTCTTCATCCAGACTCTGCACAGCAGCGTTGACCGGTCTGTCCCGACGAATGATGGCCATGTCGGAGGCATGCGCCGATATTGGTTTTCTTACACCTCTCTTCAAAGCGGGCAAAGAGGCGGAAATGGAGGACGAGCTAATGCGACTCTCATTGCCCTGACCTTGAGTGGCATGCTGTGACCAGTCTATTGCAGCTTCGTTATTGTGTCTCTTGGCGGGGTAATGCGGGACGCTGCTTCTGGATGGAATGGATGTGTCGGAGTGGCTTGAATGATCGGAGATTGCGAGATACGTCTTCCAGGGACCCTCATCGACGATTGTGTGGGCAGCGGAAACGTCAACACCGACTAATCGTTCCCTATCAATATTGAGCTGATGCACATATCCCATCTTGGACTCACCTGCCGAGTCTGGATCGCTAAAAGGCTTTGTCTCACCGATCTGGTGGCCGTCCGATGCAGTGCAACCACGGGCACATGCAGTAGAGTTGGAGCCGCTGAAGGCGAAACGAAATGCGCGCTCTTCGCCGTAAGCATAGTGCGTAAGTCGGAAGTCATGCGTAGAGCTCCCGTTCATACGAGAAGTTATTATCGCAGGTTGACACTGCAGCTCAAGCGGATTACCCGTGGAGCTCTTCTGTTCAGAGGCACCTGAAGATGGACTAGCTACACTGCGCCGAACAAAGCCATGGTGCTGAGGTTGCTCACCGGTCGACGGCGCACGGGAAGCAACATCAGCTTGCTCGAAAGCACTAGTTGCTGCAAGAAGCTCAAGGTTGACAGATGGCTTCGCTGAGCATAGCTGTGCAAGAGGCTCCTCCTGGTCGAAAAGCATTGGTTCGGAGGAAGCATGCGATTGCGCACATTGATCCAATTGTGTAGAGTAAGTGTTTGTCATTGCATCTGTGCCAATCCGGATTCGAATATCATCTAGACGCTGGCGTGGAACACTATGTCCAAGGACTTGGGCAAAGGCGTCATCTTCAAAGTTATGGTCTTCATTTCCGAATTCGTCATTGTCCTTTCGTCTTGGGACTGCACCGCGTCCTCTTGTCGTTCTTCTGCGCTTGCCGATCTTGCTCTTCTCTCTGCTTGAGCGGAACTGCAGACTGACTGGCTTCGATGGGTCGATACCGACCCAATCTTGCTGTGTTAAGAGCCTCTTCCTATTCATTTCGAGTAAGTGCAGTTCCGTATCCACTCCGGAGGCCTTGCGTTTCCCGTCACGCAAGCCTATCTTTCTATTAGTATCTACTGGCCACTTAGGTAAGTAAGTGACGAGTCGTCACTACTACCTTTATGGGTAGGCCGGTCGTTCGAGAGTAGCTCTCCATGTGACGTTGTCTCATGATGTTTTGTAGTTGGCTGATAGTTGCCTGGCGTGTGCTCACGCTGCGTTCTCTCACAGCGACGTTTTGCTGTGTGCCCTGTGTGTCGCACTGAGCCTGAGCCACATGGTGTTAGGCCCAAAAGGTAAGAGTCCTCGTCGTCTTGCAAATAGCTAGGGCGAAAGGGAGCGACAGGTGAGTTAGTATCATTCTGGAGCTGCGTTCGCGCTCTGGCAAAGTATGCTCTCTGCTGTTGGAGCACGCCCGTGTTGGCCTTCTTGGTGCGCTGTAGCGAGCCGCCTGTCCAGTTCATACTCTCACGCGTCGAGGATTTCCCGGAGTCGTCCTGTATATGTGCGTCTTGATGGAGAGGATGTCCCGATACGTGCTTGGGCGAGGTGCACTTTGCTCGTTGTAGCTGCCCAGGTGCTGCGCGCGCGCTTGGCTACTGACAGCGGGCAGCTCCTGCCCTCTCCAGCAGCTCCTCTCTCACGTCAACCCCCCCCCCCCCCCATGAAACCCAGAACTGCAACACAACTGCAGCACGTCACTCCGCCTTTCGTAGCGCTGGCCTACTTATCCTCCTCGGTTAGACTCAGCTGTACAGCTCGAGTTTCTTGCACGATTCATGCTCGGATCTGTCGTGCCGGCGGCAAAACGACTACAGATGCGAGGGTCCAATCTCCTGATCGATCAGCGCCTCCATCTTCCCTCCGCAAAATTAGTGGACCGCCGCAGATGTGCCGAGACCCTGCGACGGGAACCCCGTGGGTGTAGAAAATCTTCTACATTCATGGCCAGAGGGTGGTGGAGATTGGACCTAAGGGATCATCGCGCTGCTACACCATCTTCAACGCATACAGCAACATATGCGAAGACGACCAATTCTGCAAGGTCGATTATAGAGCTATCCACAACTCAAAACTTTGGGGCAACACCTGGGGAAATCGTGGAGAGGTGGAGAAGAACGTGCTCGACGACCAAAGCCCCATACAAAGGTCCACCACCTCCAACCAAACCCCATTCATCCGTCTCTTTGAATTCGAAGCCAAAACACCGGTCGCGACAAGTGCGCTTGCCGCATAATGCTGGAGCTATCTCAGATCATTGCTCTTTGCAGAGGGGATTCCGGTCCTAGACGGGTCTTGCGGCATTCTGAAAGCGCCAATGTGCACAGGATGCGTGACTTGACTGGCCGCTAAATGTGTTCTCCCAGACTGACCAGGCACTCGTGTTGCGTTCCCACCCAAATGCCTCAATCTACGTCCACTACGCCCACCACTAATCATCAACAGTCGTTCAGCTTAGTTTCCGAGGGGGTTTTTTTTTTCTCTCTCTCTGAACCAGGTGTTGAGCTTGGTTTTGATTAAATACGACCCATGTCCATAATGGCAGCCCGATCCTATAATGCGGAATGATGGCATACATGCTTCCTGGCGCCGCAGTCCATACTGCACATGCGCCGCCAGTTGCGGTGTACATTCATGTACAGTTACGTCAAGCGCTATGGCCTGAGACTATGCCTGTGGGTACTGGTTCTACTCGCGGCCCACCACATGTAAGCTGGGGAGATATGGCTCAATGCACGCGCCTACACTCGGAACGAAGGTGCGTCAGTCGTCTCATTCGACATGTGAAAGGGAGCGATAAGGCCCGCGCATGAAATCGCAGGTGTATCTCATCTGTATCGATGCTGTGTTATTTAGTCGAGGTTATTTTTCAATATGGTGACGACGGACGAAGGCTAAGAGCCTAAGACGGATTGGCATGTCTGCCGAGATAGCCTACGTTTGAGCCTCAAGTTGCCTCATCTAGCTTCCGATACTTGGCGATAATTGTCGGCCGGATGGTTCTCGCCGGAAACGAGGAGCTGTCGATCAGAGCAGATGGTAGACTTCAAAGGGACTCATCAGCATCGCCTGCCCTGAGTCCCTGAGGCTCTTCATTTGCGGAAGCCCCAGCCGATTCGAATGGCTGTTCCAAGGCGCCGAAGCGATATGCGAGCTAATCAGATATGACATCACTAGCGCAAAAGACCCTCAAAACTCTGCAACACAGTTCCACAGCAACACCAACCGCGGCCGTCTACCACATGGCGCGCATGGGACGGCAATACTTTGAGACCGCCTGAGATGCAGGAGGCCCTGTACCGTGACTGTCATACCCACTATTATTGCAACATTACCGGACTACTTGTCGAATGGGCATCGAGAAACATGCCACAATCTCTCACTACATGTCAGAAGCGCACGCCTGGGCTCTCCCTACCGCTATCGAATTCCGGTGTTGCAAAACCGTCCCTTGCTCTCAATCTGCCCGAGTGACGCCATAGATCTACGCAATGCCATCCAACAGAATCCCAAGCCATACCCTTATCGTTCAGGGTCCGGCATATTCACGCAGAAGCGCAGTGTACCGTGCCGCTAAAGTTGCAGTGGACGTTTGAACAGTGTAGGGGGGCGAAGTACAGACTACCTTGTCCCTTCGGTATAAAACTCTGGGTATCTGCGCGCAAACCAACCATCAATCCACCTCCACATATCCACTTACCCACATACCCACAGTTCTCTCCGCTTCCTTTGAGGGGTTTTCTGGAGACATTACCTACCTATCGGGCTCGCAAACTATAAAGGCTGTTGAACTTCCAGCGTTTTCAGGCTTGCTCAGACCACAACTGTACAACTTCTTGCAACAAACACACGTTGCAAACTTCCTCGAACCCAAACTCCACACATTCTATCACCATGTCGGCACCTTCCCTAGCAGCCCCTTCAACGGGCATGCGTCGCCTCTCTGCCAGTGAGGCCACCAGCGACAACATCAAGATGGGCCCAACGGTCGTCGTTCCCCCACAACATCTCATGGCTCCGTCGTCAAAAGCATCCGAGATTGCTAGTGCCTTTGAGACCGCTAGACATCACCTTGACGCTGCCAACACTCCTGGATCTCCTGGCTACACCCCCCCGGAGACTTCCGTTACGGACAAATACGCCTTCGCTTTTGGTATGTCAGTCATCATGGTGAAGCAAGTCTATTCTAATGCATCCTAGATATCGATGGTGTCCTCATCCGAGGCGGACGACCCATCCCAGAAGCCGTTGAAGCCATGAAGATGCTCAACGGTGAGAACGAGTACGGCATTGTTGTACCATACATTTTCGTCACAAACGGTGGCGGCAAGACTGAAGCCGAGCGATGCGTGCAACTCAGCAAGCAAATGGAGATGGAAGTATCGCCTGGACAATTCATTTGCGGACACACACCCATGAGGGAGATGGCAGAGAAGTACAAGACCGTTCTCGTCGTTGGAGGCGAGGGCGAGAAGTGTCGCATTGTCGCCGAGGGTTACGGCTTCAAGGATGTGTAAGTTCGTCCGCGACGATTATCCAGGACATAAACTAACATTGCTCCAGCGTTACTCCAGGAGATATCATCAAGGACAACCAAGATACCACACCATTCCGCAAGCTCACTGAGGAAGAATACAAGAACTCGCGAGTCCGTAACTTCGCTGAGGTTGACATTGACGCCATTTTTGTTTTCGCCGATTCCCGCGATTGGGCATCGGATCAGCAGATCATCCTCGACTTGCTGATGTCGAAGAACGGTCGTCTTGGAACCCGATCTGCCAACTTCGACGAAGGTCCACCAGTCTTCTTCTCCCACAACGATGTCGTCTGGAGTGCTTCTCACGACCTTACCCGTATTGGTATGGGCGCTCTCCGTGTCTCGCTCGAGGCCATGTTCAAGGCTGTTACTGGTCGCGAGCTCAAGACAACCGCATTTGGCAAGCCTCAGATTGGCACTTTCGAATTCGCTACCCGCCTTCTTGCCGAGTGGCGTCGCGACACCCACGGTATCGACTCGGCTCCATCAACTGTCTACTTTGTAGGTGACACACCCGAGTCCGATGTGAGGGGTACCAACGAGTACAACGAGCACACCGACTCCGCAAACTGGTACTCTATCCTAGTCGAGACTGGTGTCTACCAGCGCGGCACCACACCTCGCTTTGAGCCCAAGGCTATCGTGAAGAACGTTCTGGATGCTGTCAGGCACGGCATGGAGCGCGAGTACAAGAAGGCCCTCCGGGAGAGCATGATGGAGACTGGTGTGCTTGAGGAGTAGAAGTCTTTTGACTCTCTTCTCTCTTTCTCTTGTTTGCTTTTCGTTATGCATAGCACGGCGTATGGGTAGTACCTCATTTGATTTCGGCAACTATAATGCAGCAGTCGCTATAGGTCATGGACATAGCTAGATCGCGCAATAGTAGACACAAACACAATTCTATACCAGGCAGGCACAAATTGCCCTGTTACTTCAATCAGCCAATCTCTCTGTTGCACATCGTGACTTTGAACAACGATGAACAGCACCGCGTGTTTCAAAGCAAATGACCATCTATCTCAAGCAACTACCGACGTCTGCATTCGCAAGCAAGTCGGTCCGGCCTTATTCATCCCATCACCTCGCCTACAAATTCCTTAACGATAGATCCTACCAAAAGGCAGCGAGCAAGTGTTGGCGGCAACTTCCGATTCGACCACTCTCACCCGGAATGACGAGGAGCGCACGCCGCGTTACCCGGCACTTTCCACACGGCGCTCAACACCGCGAAGCTTGTATTGCGAACCGCCTGAGTCGGGCCGAGGTGGCTCGTAGTCGCCGGGTTAGTGCGACCAGCGACACTTGTGGATTACGACGGCCTTCATGATATCAGCCCACGTCACCAACGAAAAACGGCCGAGAACAGCCTGGCCGATGGGATCGCGATGCGAGAGACGTGGAGTGAGACTGTGGGAAGTTAATTGTGGGTGTGTGGGTTGAGAGAATTGTGAGAGAATCGATTGCGTGACTGTCAATGGCGGAACATGTTCCGCAACTGTAAGAGGAAGTTGCAAAGACACGGTTAGGTCCCTCATCGCGATTTCGTGTCTGGCTCCACTACGAGATACTGATACGACGGCATGTGACATGCATAGGTGGACCACATCCTCGGCAGGCACGGATAACACATCTTCCAACGGTGGTGTACCGTATGTAGAGCACAGCACAGCAGCTCGGACATGTTTCGAATCGATCGACGAGGCGACGTTGCAACATGGGCCACATGTGGACCCCCCTCATTGCGAGGGGCACACGACGAACCATCCCATCCCACTCTCTCGCGCAATCTTATCGTTTTCTCAACGGGTGGATGAGGGCCGGCGGAATAGTGTCACAAACAATTCTGAGACAAACGTACGGCTATATTCTAAACTCTCGAGATTGGCCCGACAAGACACTGACAGTCTGAGTTCGCGCTTGACTCATGGCCCTGGACCCCGCGACTCGTTTGACAACAGCCGGCCGCTGACGATCTGGGGTGGCCTTGCAGGCGGTGCTGGACGTGAAATAACGAGGAATTACCCTGTGCGCTCTTCAAGGTCCAAGCATGTAGAGGTTGGGGGGTAGCTGGTTCAACGTGAGACCAGTGATCCTGATTGACAGCCAATCTGACACTGAAGATCCCGTCTGTCTCATTTTCCTCTTCTGGCAAGTGAGCAGATTGTACCGTCTCCCCGCTGGCTGAGGCGTTTTGGTTCTTGTCGGTCCGTAATGAAGTCTTGCAGCAGGCTGTTCGACCTGCGCTGACAGGTATGCTGGACCCTGCAGTTGAGGGTTGCAGATAAGCGGTCGCTAATGCAAATGGCCGATGGTCCGCTCGGCATTCGACGTGTACGCAGTTGTAAGTTGAGGCTGGGAAATGATTGTCGAGCGAGAGGATGATACTGCGTGAACCACTAGTCAGGGCCAAGATGTTGGTAGAAAGTTTGTGCGGATGGTAGGTTTCTCGCCCTCCTGGAATCCGATTGGCGAGCGTGCATGTAGAGGGCTCACAGCGAAAACGAAGACAACATTCCATACACATGTGCATACGTGGATTGTTTGGCCATGCATCAGATGTGCAGTTTCAAACAACACTCCACTGTAGAGGACGCAGTAGCACAGTGGTCGAGACAAACAAATGGTATTGGTATATATGCAAGGAAAAGAGTGGGTTACGTAAAGGCTCGGCTACGTGTGACGATGCCTCCTTACTCAAAGAGCGCTTCAGAGCGCTCGTCGTAAGCGTTGAGGCTGTAGAACCAGTCCAGCTTATCTCGTATAGCCTCTTCTGTGTAGTCTGCGTCGTCAATGTTCTTCGGTCTGAACTTGGGCTCCATGGGATCGATGAACATGGTGGAATTATCGTAGCCCCATTTCTCAAGGTTCGTGACGTTGAACGCGACCATCATGCTGCCCACTGTTAGTGTTGGATATCGTATGATTTTAACGAGACAACTTACTCATGGTCCTCGTGGACGAGGTTGTGACAATGAAACATGTAAACACCTGCCCACGGTGCGTAGCGAGCCACAACCCTGACAACTTCACCAGGAGCGATCCACACGACGTCCTTCGTACCCGCTGCCTCATATGGCATCACCTCGTTACGGTTACCCGTACGAGACAGCACCTGGAAGTCGACCAAGTGGATATGAACAGGATGCGAGGCATTCCCACCTCCGTGTCTCAACTCCCAGATCTCGTCTTCTCCCAGTACAGGTCTTGTCAAAATACGGTTCTCGATATCCTCCCAGCCTACACCATTGACAAGCCACTCGCCGTCGATTCGGGAGAACTTGAAGCTCTTGGTGACGTTGGTTTCCGGAGGTGGAGGGATGTAACGAAGGTCGGATGGTATGGGATCGTTGTTGGTGCAATCTATCACGGTGTCGCCGACTACGAAGCGCATGACGCGGTCGGTCGCGGCGTAATCGAGGTTTCCTGCCATTCCACGCTCGTTGAGCATCGTGATGTTCTTGCCTTGAAAGTTGGCGAAGTCGACGACGATCTCGTAGCGTTCACCTTCGGCGATAGCGAAGCTCGATGTGTTGACAGGGTGGGAGAAAAGCCCTCCATCCGAGCCGATCATGGTGAAGTCAACGGTCTCTTCAGTCGCATCGTCTTGCAAGTATAGGACAAAGGCTAGATACCGTTAATGGAGTCGTAACTGGTGAATACGGCATGTCGACTTACAACGGCTGATAGTACCGTCGAGAATGCGGAAACGATACTTGCGTGGCTCAACGTTCATGTACGGCCATGGCTGACCGTTTCTGCTTGTGGATCAGCTATAAATTCGAAAATCAGAACCAATGCGTGCTTACACATGGATTACATCGCCCCACAGTCCCGTATTATTATTCGTATCGAAAAGGAGAGAGCCATCAGGACTGTATGTCTTCGCACTCAAGGATAGAGGGATATCATGGTCACCAGTTGGCAAACCGAGGGCTTGTTCGTCTTCGTCCGTTATGATGTAAAAGCCAGAGAGACCTCTGTATACATTTTCGCCAGTCTGGCGTTCAGTATGGTCCTGCTAAAAGTCAATATGCGGGTAACAAGATGGAAAGAGACCAAGAAAGACTGACATGGTACCAGATAGTTCGAGCGTTCTGTGCGTTCGGATAGTAGTAGTCTTTGTATTGACCGGGGAATGCGTAATCTGCGGCCCAGCCATCGAATGGAGCACGATTATACTGGCCATGAACATGGACTGATGAGTTTGTTGGACTGGTGTTTGTATATCGCACTACTGCCTCTAGAGACTGGATCAGCTTCGACTTTATAGACAGAATGAAGCCGAGACTTACCTCGCCCTTTTTGCATCATGAATGTCGGTCCCGGCGATGACCCATCGTATGTGTATAGAGTGGTTGCCGGCAAATTAGGGTATATTTGTTGGGTAGCAGCCTTGACCTCCACCTCGTAGTAGTCGATAAGGGCACCGGTGGTCTCATTGGTGTAGGTGCTACTTACTATCAGTGCTGGTCTATGTTCAAAGTAAGGAGTACTCACAATTTGACCTCCTTCACAGCAGGTATTGGAAGGGGATACTGGAAGATCCATGTGTATTCTGGACTGTCCCATCTTTCGGTCTTATTGTTTGAGGGTATCGTGTCATATGGTGGTACACCAGTTGGGCTAGGAATTGGAATGAGTGACGGTAAAGTTACGCTGACTAAAGGAGTGGCACGTATGCTGCGTATCAGACAGCCGACGAAAAGAAACGAACGAATGACAAAGGGAGAAAACATCTTGGAAGGGAAACTCTACCAGCCTGGTTCCGCGGATGGGGAGGCATCTTGAAAGCTTTAAGGGGAGAGCGATCAAAAATTGTTGTTGACGTATAAGAACAGAACCGATCGGTTTGATGAGACATGGGCCATGTGATAGATCCTGCGTATCTGGCAAAACGAAGGACAAGCGCAGGGACTGTTGTGGCTGTCTCCCAAGCATGCGGATCGGTACGTAGTGACTCTTCTGATGGAGCCATGATTCACCATCCCAGGAAAGGAAGTTAAGGGGAATTATCGAAAATGCATGTTGAGCAGAGAAAAGCCAAGAAAAAGGAAGGCAAGGGGGATCTGCGGCATTACGCCACGGGTGTGTAGTGAGTGTAGCCGACATCATTAGACCTATACATGAGAGGAGCACTATACCATTCTCCATCACTCAATAGACGAAGCGGCTATGCGATTACAACGTGGCGCACGAGTTGATGTCGTGAGCAAGGAGCTGCGATGATCCGTGGACCCTCCCCGCGTGCAGATGGTGTCTAGGCCCAAAGCGGTCACACTAATGCTTTCTTTGGCTGCGCTTTCTCCTTACACTGCGGCCTCCACTCGTGGTAACCACACTCATCATGAACGCATGCGCAAGACACTGGCACCGCCTTTGCATGCGTTCTCTTATCTGTGATTGCCAATCACCAAGCTTACAGTCGCGCATCAGTTGCTCTCTCATGCCCCTCCTGCTTTGAAACATGAGTCACTCAGATGCTGTAGCTTAGGCCAAGCAGCGCCTTACGACCTCAATATCCCCCACTCTAACAAAAAGAACGTTGGTATCTATTCTTGTTATATAGCCGAGCGCTAGCATGATGACGAGGCTGAACGCGAGTTATGGGCATGTCGCATCTGCCACACTGCCACAGTGCTTGTTGCCATGATCGGCATCACGGCTTCGAATACCGCATGATATGTAGTGGTACGGCACGCTCTGTTCGTCTGGTTCGGGAGATTGCTATCGTTGGCGCGGTAGAGCCATGAAGCGGCAATCGATCATCGATGTGGAGATGCACGCCCTTCGAATATCGGTATGGTCCGGGCAGTACATGTGTACTTGTATCTCATGGCTCGTTGTGTTTTGAGGGATGGAATCAGATCTTGTGTGGAACTACGCTGACACTGTGGCAAAGTACACCAAGATACACCACCGCAGAGCATGATATGAAGCACATTATTTGAGTGAAGATGTGATAGACACGACTAGGTGGTAATTCGCTCATTATCCGGCTGCTTGGTTGGCTTTACTGGTTTTACTGGCTTCAGTGGCTGAGGGCTGCGTAGTACATTGTCAGAGTGGGTTAGCTCGAATGTGTACTTCCTGTTCATATCATTTCAGCGCGTCTATTACCAGAACATATGCTATGGCCCAGTAATAAGGCTACTTTACCCCTCAAAAAATGGCTGTAGGATCGGCTTATCGAATTAATCTTTTGGTGCCTTGAGTGACATCGTCGAGTCCTCATCAGGCGTCTTCGTGCTATTAGATTCCATGCCTAGCTATACCTTACTTCGATACCAAATATCGCGCGAAGAGCTACGCAAAGATCCGCTTAACGACTTGAAATATTGCGGTGGCGTACGAGGCTGAAGTTCTTCATGTATCTAGTCATGAGGCTGGATACTACCACAACTGCTCCTACAACGTTTGTTGTATAGTTGCGGAGTAACGTGCTTCTAGCGCGTCGGGCTTGTGCTATCATTCTCAAACCCCAATAGCTGCTGCCTAATTGCGGGGAGAATATTTTATAGAATGCCTGCACCATCCATACGCGGTGAGGCTGAGTTGATCGGAGAAGGGCCATCCTTGGCGGCCTTGCGGTCTAAAGTTTTGCGCCACCCTTTTCGGTTATCTCGTGACTTGTTGTCTGGTAGCCTGATTTCACGCCGCATCGCTCCCTTGACTTCTTCTAGAGTACGAAGATCCGCCAGCTACTGCGCGGTATTACCTTCTACTGAATACCCGTATCGCACCTTGAGTCATGGACTATCATGACGATCTCTACCACCCTTTCCCCTCATTGGGCTTGGAGCTTGCTTCGCCGCCAGAAGGAATTGCCCCACCGGAACTGTCGCACCTGAACGACGGACTGATGCGGAGGCCGCCAGTCCACAGTATCGCAGACGAACTACAAACAGACGGAGCGGGGAATTTTGGAGAACATGCTACTCTCCAAAGATTCTACGAAGGCCCAAAGACATGCAAATGCTGTCCAAACTGGGTCGAACGTAAGCCTGAGGCTGTACCAGCCGATGCCCAAGAAAAGTACGATGGAGTCGCCATACGGGTCTACATGGGCAAGGACCATCAGAAGGACACACTGGGTGGATTGAAGACTACGACTGCACAATTCATCGTCATTCAAAGTCCTATCATTCGGAAACACATCGGGCCAATTCTTGCTGAGGCTGGGATGTTAGGTGAGGGTAAAGCCAAGATCACCATCTACAACCCGTTCAAGGTGCTGTTCTTCACTTCCGGCACTTTGAGAAAACTGTACCTATCCTTCCCTCAAATGAGTCAAGAAAGCTTTCACTTCAAGATTCTCCTGGATTTGTTCGACGAATTCTTTCGCGAGAGCGTGCCCAAAATTTTTGATTTACACGAAAAACAGATGATCGACTGCGCATACTTGTGGACAATATTTCCGAAAGGAATAGTGATTTACAGCAAGACTGAGGGGGAAGACGCTTTGTACGAACTCCTTGAAATTCGCCTATCCCCAGACCCTACTATTCTTCTACTCGAATGTCGTGTCGTCAATTTTGACGGGACGAACTTCGGGTGGGAAGAGCGCACCCTAAGACAGCCAGTATTCCATGGCACTCACCGAATCACTGAGTTGACTGCATACCCTCTTGCCTTCCACCATGACTCTTCGGCCATTGAGAGGAGACTCATCGCGCGCGGAAAAGCCTTCCTTGCCTATCAGGGTATGGCGCACAGAGAGTATTCAGGCGACGCAAGACTTTGCGCCAACGAGGATGACGAGGATGAAGACGATCAGCGACGGCGAAAAAGCGCAAATGTAAGTAGAATGTTCAGTTTCCATCTCAGTTGATATCTAGTCTCGTATCTTCATAGAGAACTAATGCCTTCAAGGTCACCGGGCGAGTACTTGTAGACCCGTTTACCTACTACAAATACAACCCATACTGGACCCCTAGGGTCGATCCCTTGGAGCCATCAGCGAAAGAATCCGAGCAGGCCGGCAATTCAGAACAAAGTGAATCTCGGACCCGTCTTCGGCCTTCCAAAGAAAAGCAGGACGTTAATTCCGCACAAGTTGCATCGAAGAAACTGTGGCTATTACTCCTGAACCCTAATGTTCCGGGATTCTCGTTCCGCGAGAACAAATGGTGTAAATATTTTACATCGCCCAAGCTTCCAAACTACAACTGATTGCATCACAGTCATGCTCAATATCGATCACCTCGATGAGATAACATGGAATGATCGTGCATACGATCATCTTATTATTGCAAATGAACGCAAAGAGCTCCTGCTTACATTTGTTCAACAACATGAGGATGCCATGGGAGTCTCCCAGGATGTTGTGGAGGGAAAGGGTCAGTGATAACTTACCGCCCTAACATTGAGCATACTTATGCATGACTAACTGACATTTGGTCTAGGACAAGGCCTTGTCGTTCTGCTGAGCGGACCACCTGGTACTGGAAAAACCTTGACTGTGGAAGCAGGTAAGATTCAATGCGATGATAGCAGTAGCCATGCTCAACCATTTAGTTGCGGACAGAGCAAGGAGACCGTTGCATCGCGTGCAGGCTGAAATGTTAGGAGGTACCCCTATGACCATTAGTCGCAATCTCCGGCGATTGTTCGAGTTATGTGTGGAGTGGAACGCTGTATTACTCCTCGATGGTGAACATTCCGTATCCTTAGTATATGGAATTGACTAAGAAGTGTGACAGAAGCCGACGCATTCCTTGGAAAACGCGAGGGAACAATGAGCACACGCGAAGACACCGTTTGCGGTAAGCGGTGCCGACCCTTGCCTTTAGGAAATGTACTGACTTTGAGAAGTCATGTTGAGACTCATTGAATACTATAGTGGCATTCTGTTCCTTACTACTAACATGCCAGAATTTATCGACCCTGCATTTGCGTCCCGGATGGATATACACCTAATGCATTCAACACTCTCCCAAGAGGCAAGGAGAGCAATCTGGAACAACATGTTGAAATCCACGTTGGTGAGTGTGAAAGTATCTGAGGAAGAGCTCACAGATCTTGCTTCCTGGGATCTCAATGGCCGCGAGATTAAAAAGGTCGTCAAGACAGGCATGAAATGGTGCTTCTTTAAAGGCAAGGTTTTGACAGCTCAGGGTTTACGTACTGCGATATCTGTGTCGGCACCGACTGCTGAGAAGTCTACTGTTGAGGACCAAGAAGATAGAAGCTCAAAACGCCAGCGAATTGATGACTAAAAGCTAGCAGCAGGGTTTAAACAACACATTCAAATGTCACGATATTATTCCTTCCCCATGTTCCCCCTATCACCATCCCTAATCTGAGTCGCTGTCAGATATATCCTCAGCAACTCTTATTTGACCTGAAGGATCCCACCGCTCTTGTGAGGACTGATTCGGCATGAAATGCTGCTCTCTGTTTCGTATTTCTTCGTTCATCCTGAACGATTCGCAAAGATGTTTGGATGCTTGATCCGATGATATGTACGGCTGAAAACTGTCCCGGTGCCCTGAAACAGCAACAGGATCCCAGCGACAGGTCTCTATATAGCTATCGTAATTGAGAGTACAAGGCTCGTCCAAAACAGCGTCTCGGTGGAGCTTGCAAGAAGTGTGTACTGACCACCCTTTTGTAAACCGTAGACATGATCCTCTCTCGGTGGTCTCGCTGATCAACCAGTTTTCCGGCTGGGAGATATATGTGTGCTTATTCCGGAGCGGTACGTTGACCTGAAGGGCTCTGCCCTTGCACAAAATGTCCAAAGACATGGCATCTTTTTCGCAGAAGCCACAACAAGGATCTTCGTGTTGACTGACAGCAATGGAAACCCCGAGAAATACAAAGGACATATGGTCTCTGGGAGAGTGCATTGTGACGAATGCCTGGATTAAGTCGTTTTTCGAGTAAAATGTTTCTGTAGCGCCAAAGTGCGTAGCTGATAAGTTGCTGATGCTCTCATATTCTTCGGCTGTCATGTACGCCCATTTCTTCCTCCAAAGCAGAATCTCGGTATCGCGCAAATGAAGAAGCTCGTGAGTTATGAAACTTGAGTTCTGGAGCTGTAGCATAATCCTGTTGCGCAGTGTATCGGCCGATCTCAGAGTCTGTTGTGACGATTTGAACCAAAACCTTGGTACCCCTGGTCTGGCCGCTGAGCCGTTCCTGGTGGTGCTCGCCAAGAGCGGGGGAGAATGACGAATCCAATCCATGAACAGATTGCCCAGGTCCATAACTCGCTCCAAAGCCTTGGTGCTGTCTGTGATCGGAGGCTTTCCGAAGTAACTGTAGGCAAAGGCTCCAATCTGATGTATGTGGCTCCGATCTAGCACATCCGAAAGCCTAGCGGGCCGATATGCTTGTACTGTAGTAACATCATGACTGCCTTCGAAGGTCTCTTCGAATGCCGAGATTGTTCTAGATCTTTCTAATGATGGTGAACCGTCCTCAGCTAGTTTCGGCGTTTTATACGAGAATCCTGCGGGCGTCGCTAAACAACGTGATTAGCGGTTGCGAACTGGCACAAAGATCTCAGTATACACTAACGCATAGATGGTGAAGCCGGCGCCCCTAGATATCCAGGGTCTCTAACACGAAACCTCTGGAGCCGCTCTTCGTTGATGAGCCGGCCGTTCCTGTAGAATCTTGTTTGTCGCCCCATGCGCGTACGAGCATCTTGCTTTGCAAGCAGGATCATCATTTCCGATTTCTCGAAATTCTTCTTCAAGCCCCACATCTTGATCATATCCAAGAACTTTCTGCGTCTATAGATATGTTAGCCGTCGCATTCCAAGTATGAGTATAGTGTTCACTTTACCCGACAGGGAAATTGTGCACCTCCTTGAGTGCCTCAAGTACCTCTTCGGTTTTGAGCTCATCCTCAACGTATAGCTGTATGATCGTGAGCTTTTTACGTTCCCAATCAGCATTGCTGTGCCTGTTGCGACGTTTGACAGTGTCGGTACTTCCGTTGCCTGAACTGGCGGTCGCCTGTACATTGCTGATGTTGTGACTAGTACGGTTCGACTCCCCGCTAACGCCAAAATCAATACCTCGGAGAGAAGCCATCGGCTGTTGGATCACACGGTAGAGATCTTTGAACCGAATACGAAGATCGAAACCCCGAGGTAGACGGGAAATTGGTCAAATTTATGCCCCAGTTTCACCTCCCGAGGTCTGACGCCTTGTACAGATGGCCTTCCAAGATTGGTCATATGTTCACCGGAGCACTGACTACAAAAAGTGCGTCACGATAGCAGCCAATCACCAAAAGTGCGTTATGGCAGCAGCCAATCACCAAACAGACGCTACGCCATTCAGATAAGGCTCTACGTCTGGGCAGTGTACCACCTGCTTTCACAATGCGACCAATCAACAAAAGTGCAGTACACGAGATCGGCCAATCAGATCCATAATGCTTCTTTTTATGCATCCGCCGTCAGCAATAGTGATTAACCCTAGATGTTTGAGTGTGTCCAAGTTCAGCAGATGATGCGTCCAACGCCGCTCCGCCTGCAAGACTAACGGTGGGTGACACGCATTCCCCGCCCTATTGTTCGATACTAGGTGGCTAAATCCGACCATAGAGCCAATAACGTCCCTCGAATGTGTAACGCACTTTTGGAAAGTAGGTATTGACAAGAAGAAAGAAACATGGAATGAAGGCATCCGGATCAAATCCTCGATTGAAGGCTAGTGTACGAGCTCTTTCAATCCCCATATAAATGTGGAATGCAATGACCATCTCGTGCAATTGCAAACACATTTTATATCTCCCAGTTTGTCGAGCTGATAAATAATGGGGATTCCATACTACACCTACGGTAGGCGCCTGGATACTTCGGTATCGTTTGTGAAGATGCTGATCCGCTACCCATTAGGTGCTGCCGACCCTCGCACGCAAGTGGGAGGCCACCAGAACGACCACATGGATATCCGCGCTAGAGCTGTATGCCGGTGGGTTTCAGCCAACTCCAAACTTGACAAGAATTTCTAACAAAACGTGGCATTAACAGTGAAGAGGTTGCAGACAAGCACATCTTGCTAGGTCTTGGAGCCTGGGCAGATCAGAGCAGCTGCCCATCTCGCTCGAATGCCCCTCAAAGTTCCCGAAGTACACCAGCAGTACCTGTATGCTCGCCTCAAGAGAGGCAAGATAAGTCTCTGCAGATGGCAAACGTCGTCATGGCCCGGTGGTTGAGCGAAAAGCCCGACAGCCAGCCTTGGTCCACGACGAACCCGCGTGTCTTTCAGAAACAAGGCGAAGCACACCCTTTGAACTGAGACCAAGACGAGAAGTCTACAAGTGTATGGATCTGTCTATGGCGGATTCGCGCACAAGGCCGGAAGAATGTGTTACGTAGTAACGTAGTTTATGGCGATCAAGGATGTCTACGGCGAACAATGGAGGTATATCGTTTGTTTGACTTGACAATGTACCAGAGCTCTCACGGTGTTGAGCTATTCTCTCCTTGGAGTTCCTCAGCGTTCCTTTCATTGTTGAATATGCACCTTCGCACAAGGCCATGACGAGATGTGATGATGCAGGTGACACGACAAACGGCGGCCAGGGTCACAATAGCTAGTTCCAATATCGCCTGTCTTCTTCGTCAATAATACTGTAGTATGTGGTAGAATACTTCCTTGTGGGGAGTAATGAATGCAGCTCAGAAGGGTACATCGCGTTGAGTGAACGTTTCCTTACAAATTGTCGAAGATCGAAGATGCCAATTCTCTTTAGTAGAGGAAGCGTTACTTTTCGTCCGAATGAGCACGAACGTGCACCGAATTCACACCTTGTGCAGCTGATTAATGGATGCATCGGGTACAATGATGAGGAGGAGCTCGCGACTGCGATGTGGAAAGCGGGTGTTGACGCATATCTGACGTGATGCAGAGATGGCGATAATGGGTTCCAGTGCCTTGGTGCCCCACTAAATCTACCATGTTCGCCGCAATGCGGCATCGCGTGCAACACGACCCCCAATGTCAACCGTCCGGGACCGAGACTTGTCTGAGCTGATGGATCCGAAGCATTGCCTCCATCAACTGACGAGCCTTAGTATACACAGGCTATCGTATCTCGACCGGCATTCTACTACCCATGCGCGGCTTCTTTGTCGCATGGCGCAGCCTTTTAGGGCTGCGTCCTGACAATCAGGGGTTTACAACGACAACACCAACTCGCATCCTTGCAAAGCCTGTTGTTCAGTACGTCTACGTCAGGCGAACGCGCAGCAGATATCAGCAGTCGGTCATCTATTCGTTTCTCGATCGATCCGGTTGCTTCAACGGCTCATGTGCTCGAAGGTCTCTTCCTTGGCTATCGCCATCGGATGGCCTCACTCTTGATCGGAAAGGATGTTGACGTAGTCACCTTTACGTGTCAAAGAAGGACCAATTCTGAGAGACTACTGCAAGCTAACGAAGCTGACAAGCTCAGTAGTAGTCTGTCTTCTGGGCGAAAGGTACACACCACGATCCACCACTGGAACTCATCGAAATGACTAGTAAAACCCATAGCCTCCGAACTCTCCGCCATGTGCACCGTGTCTTTCGCCGTATCCTCTGCCATATCCTCCGCCATAACCCCCTCCGCAATTTATCATCGTATCCACCGCATCCATCGTCATACCTGCCATACCCATCGTATCCATCATATCCGCCATCGCATCCTCCGTACCCACCGTCAAACCCTCCCCTATACCCACCGTAACCTTCATCATACCCGACATATCCGCCATACCCATCGAACCCTCCATCAAAGTCATCGAAATATCCACCAGGAGCATAGTCCTCATACCCATGATCATACTCAAACATCCCTCCGATAGGCGTTCCCAGCCCAAATTCCCTCTCATATGCTCTACTCGTTCCCGCGTCCTCGTATCCATCATGATAACCATGAAAGGCTCCCATGGAGAATCTTTCACTCATACCACGTTGATCCCAGCCGGCCTTCTCACCGCGCTCACGGCCTGCCTTATATCCATGTTTGGGATGGCGTGGCATCTCGCCCTTTGGGGGATCCTGGTCTGGCAGCCAGTACTGTGTTGTGGATGTGTCCCCATTTCCGTCCTCCCAATGGTGTGTCCATGGACCCTCTGAACAAGATCACGGGCCGGCTACGAAGGCGCCGTCCAATATATGTTGCCGGCTTGGTGCCTTCCTCGATTTCTTCACCATTGTGGATTGACTTGGATAGTAGTCCGTCAAGGTAATGTGAGTGTTGCTAATTTGCGAAGTTGGAATGTGTGCTGAGAGAAAGAAGAAGAACCAAGGAGCAGAACATATACTAAATGTTGACCTGTTGATGACGCCGTCATATGTTGGTGACTCGAGGCCGTGCTGGCAAGATCTTGATAAAGAGAAGCTATACGTTTGGTCAAAGTGCGACTTGGCTACAATTACATGATTTGACATGCTGTTTGTTCGATCAGTCACATACTTGTGAGTTCCACATTACCCTCTATTATTCCTCGTCATACTTCCTGTCTACTTTGTATCCATTCGGTTCGGGCATAGCATTCCATGTACTGCAGAGCTACTTTAATGTTGAAATGTTTCTAGAGTTTTTGTGGGTGGGCTATTTCATAATCGGGTAATTTGTCAAAAGGTGTAGATCGTTCGCGTCTGCATGGCTACCACCGCGCCCCCGGCCCAGTAAGTGTGAGAGTAGGCTGGTCTGTCACACATCAGTTGTATGAGCGGCCCTTTTCGATCTTCCTCCCAAGAGGAATGATGGTACAAAATGAAAATCAATCAAGGGGCGAGAGTGAATACAGAGGCTGCCATTGATTTGGGCGAAAGATATTCGCGCAGTCGTGGTAGTCCTTGGTGGAGACATGGAAGAACGCACTTTGGCTGTCAGTGCACCCGCTTCATCGCTACGTCGTCGTTTGTTTTCTACTCAGAGAGCGCCAACGACATAGTATCAGGGAAGGAATGAACAGGGCTTCTTTCTCGTTGCATGTGATAATCCGGAGTGGATTTTGGAAAGATCCACGCAACGGCAACTCCGTCAGACGTGTCGATATCTCTTTTTGTTGCAATACAGTAATAGAAGTGTTGTGGAAGAGGTGAGTGGTAACTGTGCGGGAAGTCGCGCGCCTTTTATGGTCCACGATGCGCAACCATGGACTCAGACAACCCATGAGAGCGCGTTGCAGTATGTTTGGTACGCATGTATCAAAATACCGCGAATCTCGCTCGCATGACTATCAGTAAGCTCAATTTCGTAGCAGCATCAGCAGTGATTACATGCGTTTTCGAAATCCGTAGAAAGCACAATCTCTTAAAGTTCAGAACCGGGGAAACACTCATGAACGATTAGGGCCATGACTTTTTTGGGACAACCTCAGTCATTCTCGCTTGCGCTACTGTTTATGATGCGACAGGAAGTCGCCAGTCTGATCATGCGTTGTGTCTCGTTCGTTTTTGGTGTCTTTCTTGCGCGAACGGAGGAGTCTTCCACTCATGGGTTCTTGGCAGATTTTTTTTGGAAATCAACTTTTGGAGGAATGTTGGTGTTGTAGAAGAAGGTAAAATGGGGTGGAAGACGATATTTATATACCCCTCGTCTGCTTAATGCACGACCCAACATGAAGTATCAGCTGTTGAGTTTGCGCAGATGAGTGCTTCGGAAAGGAGGAATGACAGCGAGAACATCGAATGGCTTTAGGTATTTTTGATCTTGCATCGATTGATGATGTCTTGCTTTTCTTTTGGAAGGCCCCGTCTGCTGGCTCTCGACTCATAGAATTCATAGAGGCCAATTTTTGACAATCTTCGAAGGTGGATATGTAGATGGGACCGAGGCAACACATGACCGGTCAACAAGTGTGATTTTGGTTACGGCCTCTTTGCCCGAGACTCAGACATATCGTCTTGAGCCGCGAACTTTGTGAGAGTGACCAAGGAATGCCAGAGGAAGGAACGCACATCCACGGAAGGAATTTTTTTTTTGAAAAAATGATTCTGAGTGGAAGGGTATAATGGCAGGAATGAGGACGTCGAGCGGCGAGGTTTAACACCTGCATCCAAGACCCGCTAGGGACGTTTGGAGAACAGGATTGTCAGCCATGCGTTTGTTCATGTGTGTTCTGGAAGATTATGCTGCGGGGTACCATGGCTTTTAGAATGTCCTCTTTCTATGGTGTGACGCTCCACACGTCTGCTTCGGTGATGCGACGAGGACGCAAGGAGTACACTCGGTGTATACTCCAGCCCTTCCTACGATCAGCAGAATGTTATCACCGATCACCACGCTATTTGCCTGACCACATTCACGCACAGCCACTCTATTCGATATGCCATCAATTCCATTCAATGCAAGTGGTATCAATACTCCATTATATATCCTCTATCCCCAGTATCAAGCCTCCCCGTCCTTGTATCTGCCGTACGTCCCACCCATGCCCACCGTTTATTTACCAGCCAACTCCTTCTCGATATCCGCCTTGAGATCCTCAGGCTTCTTGGTGCTTGCCCACCTGCCCTTGACCTTGCCATCCTTGCCAACGAGGAACTTCTCAAAGTTCCACTTGACGCGCTTGAGGCCCATGAGGCCAGGCTTCTCGTTCTTGAGCCACTCGAAGGCAGGGTCCGCGGAGGAGCCGTTGACCTATCGCAACAAAAAGTAATTAGCGTGTGTTCGTGTGTCGCACAAGTCGTGGTTCGTTCGTTGCTTACATCGATCTTTCCCAGCACCGGAAAGCTAACACCATAGTTCAGCTGGCAAAACTCCTGAATCTCATCGTTCGAGCCCGGGTCCTGGCCACCAAACTGATTGCACGGGAACCCAATGATTTCAAAGTCGTTTGGGTATTTGGCCTTGACGTCCTTGTAGAGCTTCTCGAGGCCCTCGAATTGGGGGGTGAAGCCGCATTTCGAGGCTGTGTTTACGACGAGGACGACTTTGCCGTTGAGCTTGGCGAGGTCGTAGGGGGCGCCCTTTTCTGGTGGTATTATTAGTTGCTGTTGCTGGGAGATGGGTGATGGGGGAGAGAGAGAGAGAGGGCAGAGGTGAGTGACGTACTGTCCTTGGGCTTGAAGTCGAAGAAGCTCGTTGCGGAGGCCATGGTTGTGTAGGGTGCTATTCGTCCTGGTACTTCTTTCCTTACGTAGAAATCCTTCTTCTCGAAAACAGGGATATAGGAGCGTGTAGAAGTCGTAGAAGCAAGAGGTGCAAAAGTGGTGGTAAGGCTTCGGAGCTTTAAGTCGTGTCGCAAAACAGGTCTGAAGTTCGTCGCGATACGCGGGGCTGTGCTTGTCGCCCCTCCCAACCGAATCATGGACATGTGATCGTAAATTCTGATAATCCTACGCAAACGCGGAACTCCGTTGACCGTGTTTCTGCTTACTTGAAGATTCGGTCTAGCCAGGCACGATTAGTTTGACTGATGGTTTGGGCTTACGCAATAAAGACCCTGATGGAGACCCGATCTTTGGCTCTGGCCGCCGGGCTGACAGGTCAGACACAACCTCGGCTTGTCCCACCCACTGCTTGCGACGGACGAAAATGCATCTGGCGGTGGGGCGCCGTTGACGACGTCGGTGATTACTTGCTACATTTGGGACTTCACGCGATCGGCCTTCTCTTAGAAGAAGAGGTATTTGGAAGCATGAGGGGCTGCCGAAGTGTGCCGGAGGTGGTGAGGGCACCCATGAGACAGCGACTCACACATCCTCTGTTCACGTAAACGACATGATGGTCACATATGCATTAAGGAGGTCGTTTACATAAAGCAACAACAGGATAAATAGCAACACTACGTACAAAAACAAGAACAATTTCTCCTCCAGCCACCAACGTCCGCGCGGCGGGTAATGATGGCTATACAAGACCGACCTCTTCTCCATGGTCATCCTTCCGAAAACTGACAACTAGCCAAAGAAATACAACTGTACTAATTACACTCTTCCGTTAACATTAGATCAATCTGATACATCAACCAACTCATGCCATGCATAGTGCAATGAGTAGACCTCAGTCCTTCTCCCCTTCAGCGGGGTTGCTGTCGCTCTAAGAGCTGACTAGCTATCCTTTGGCATCCGAGTCCACGGCTGGGACATGTCCTTGGCTCTGTATCCTGGGTTTCTCCGGAGTTTGTGGCCATCCAGGGCAAGTGGCATCCATCCGAGACTTGTGGGAAGTCATGGTCCTTCATCCGCGAGGCATGCGGGAATCCATCCGGGTTTCGGAGAACGCAGAAAATCAAACGCGATATGTATGCATTGAAAAAACAAGGGTAGGGGTCCGGCTTTGTGATGACAAACCTGCTAGCGGTTGTCTCTGCAGACGGAGTCTACCAGACGTGTGCTTCATTCAGCCGCCGAAGACATCTCGGTACTGAGTGCAGATGTCGTGAAGGCCGACGACCTCCTTCGTCAGCTGAATGTCGTCGCCGAGCTCGTTGGGGGCACTGAGATTGGTCAGAACATCAATGATGTGCTGCTTCTTGCTCAAGAACTCCTTGGTAAGGGCCTCTCGTCGCTGCTGGCGTTGTTGCTCGGCAGTGAGCTTGACAACCTTGACGCGCTTCTCACCAACCTCCTCGGCCGAGGCCTTGCGCTTGCGAGACGCCGACTTGCGAGGAGCTTGTCCTTGGACAGGCGGCGATGGCTCAGTAGTGGGCCCATCGTATTGGTGCACTCTCTTCATGTGGTCAAAGAGGTTGTAGCGACGAGGGAAGCCGTGACCTGGAACAGCGCGCTCGCAGTCGCGGAAGTGACACAGGTGCGGCCTCGCGCCATGACCGTGCATACCGTGCGCCTCACGTTCGTGACGGAGGAGGCATGCAGTAGAAGAGAACTGCACACCGACGCAGGTCTTCTTGTTGCAGCGGAAAGGCTTGAGGTGGGAGTCAACATACTTGCTGTTGAAAATGTCAGTACGTGTTGGGGTGTGTGTAAGAAAAATACATACTCGTAGTTGCACTTCAAAGCGGTAGGCTTGTGGGTGCATCCGGCCTTGCCCTCTTCAGGGCAGTGGTACTTGCCATCCTTGTCTGGTGTCTGTTGGTAGAGAGGGTGGCTACGGGCAACCTTGGTGCGCTCTTCTTCAAGCTTGGTCTCAGCTGCCTCAGACTGAGAGAGGCTGTCCTCGTTATCTTCCACTGAGTGGGCGACAGACGAGGGCTTGGTGTCCTCGAGAACGTTGACTGTCTGAGGGAAGTGAACACTAGCGGTGCTGGTCGGAGTACCGACGAATGCGCCGAAGCCAGCATCTTGTGCTGAAGCTCGCCGTGACTCCTCTTGAAGAGAGTATGACGATGAGTTGCGTAGGGTGGCGGGACGCTCTGAGGCATCGTAGGAGGCGCTATGCCAGTTTCGCTGAGGCGAGTTGAACATGGTGTCGTTCGTCGGCCATGATGTGAAGGTGAAGGGGTTGTTCTGGAAGTTGGTCTCAGATGCAGCCCACTGTGGTGAGTCGGCGATGGTGGAAGGTGCAAAGCGAGGCATGTTCGCTGGCGAGTAGTGTGTGTAGTCCTGAGCTGTAGAGTAATTAGCATATGTGAGGGGTCCCTCTGTGGCATTCCATGTTCCGGATGTGGCTGGTTGCATGTGGCTCATGTCCAGGGTCTCAGGGAATGTGCTGTAGTTCTCCGAGCTCATTGTCGGGGAGTAGATGTCGCTGCCAACAAACTGGCTGCTCATCCGGCTATCCTGGTGGTGAAGCTCCGGCTTCTGGGCTCCGCGCCGGCTGGCGCCGGTCTGGCTCTGGTATGCGCTGTCCATGCTGCACTCCGAAGCAGTATCCTTGAGTTCAAAGAATTCTGCTGTGTGCATGTCCTGGAAGTCTGAAGAGAAAGGAAAGTCCGGTGCGGAAACGACCGGGGCTGGGATTTCCTTCCTCCACTCAGTGATGTTCGAGATGTAGAAAGCAGTCTCCGGCGGTGAGTCGAAGAAAGAGTCGCTGGACACCAAAGTTAGTATCCAAACGCGCAAACCTAGCATGTTCGTGAAGATGTACAAAGGAAAACGCCATGTTAGTATGTCCGAGGATGCCTATAAAGGAGTCAGTCAAAGTAGCGCAAGGGCGTCAGGGGTTAGCACGCACCTTAGGAAGCCAGTGATATTGGGATTGTTTGTGGGTAGTGACCTGATTCCTGGAGAGACGAGGACGGCATTGTGGGTGAGCTGTAACATCCACGAGTCCTTTGGCGAGAAGTTGGGAGTCCAGGGTATAGTCCAATGAGATCCAGTAACGTCCAATGAGGCCAGGAGAGATGAAAGCGGAGCAAATCATCCAGAACATCTTATGCTCCTTCAACAACAGTCAAGTTAGTCTCGGATCAATAGGTCGATATGAATAGGCTGATGCTTCAGCCTACAGTACGTACTTCGTATCATCCAAATGTCTCCAAATCAGTCCATGACCATGGTAGGTCCTCATTAGCGTCCAGTGGAAAACCGTGGCAGGGTCCATGAGAGGTCCATGTGGCTTGGGGTGCTGCAGGCAGGTCCATGATAGCTTCCATCCTTGTGGGCTCCATAGGTGTGGATTGCGTACATTGATACTACCAGTCGTGTGTCGCTTAGCGCAGTCGAACATGACATAAATGAACGACATTGCTGAGAGTTGCCTACGTTGTCCTGGGGGCGGTGCAGGGTTGCATACCGTTGTTGTTGGTCATCTTCCAGATGGTGCGTCGTAGCGCATGTGACTAGCGCGAGGATCCACTCGTGACTGTTGACCGCCGATTCAAGAGCTCTGCATGATAGCTTTGAAGTCGGGGCAGCGAGGCCTCGTGGTTGTCGTGTCTACAAACACTGCAAGGGCAGTGCGCTACGTCTCTCGGGCTCCCAAGGCTGTCCAGGGAAGCATCCGGCATTAGGTTACTGAAGAAAAGTGGCCATGTGGAGATCCTGTACCAGGGCGGCACATCCGTTGGAAGGTATCCTGTGGCATCCTTTGGGCATCCATGCGGGCTGTAATGGCGGCAAACAAAAAACAAACAGTAGGAAAGAAATACATGAGTCTAGCAACACAGGATGTCGTAGTCAAAGGTAAGAAACGCGTAAAGCAGAACATAAGTTGGGGGGAAACCGTTGGGCAGTAAGTACCTGGATAGGGCTCCGTCTGGGCTCCGAATTGTCATCCTGAGCAAGGGCTCTTGTTTGAGAGTGTCGTCTTTGATGGTCGTTGCTAGCAAATTATGCCAGAAAAATCGCTCGGATATGCTGGTTTGCAGAGGCGATTGCAGATGTCGTGTGTAGGTAGGTATGTGGTGTTGAGTTGAAAAGAGAGGGAGGAAGCGAGCGGGACAATAATGTGTGGGAGGGCGTGCGTGCTGACCGGTTGGTGGCTTAGTTCGAGTGCCAACGCATAGGAGACAGCCCCACAAGCATATCCCACGAGTAAAATCCTGTTACGGTGCTTCGGCGGTACAAAAACCAATGGGCCAAAATCCTTTGGCGGCCGGGCTGGGAAGGCGGCTTTCTTATCAATTTGTGTCAAACGCTAACGTCACAGAGACGGCGCTCGGATCCCCAGTTATCCTGCACGTCTCGCGACTTACATTGGAAGGACAGTGTTCCGAGTCGGCGAAATATCGATGTCGCTCATGGGTACGAATTGTGGGAATCTAAACTGAATTGTTGCCGGGGGATTGTCGGGCTTGCATAGTGGGAAGCGATCGCCGGTGCCAACCACCAACCGCGAGGCCGGATGGCGGCTCGACAACGCCGCCAGACCTGCAAAATCAGGGCCTGTTGCACCGGAGGTACACAAGATCGTTGTGATTCTCGTGTAGTCCCGCGATCAACATGAATAAACTTTACCCCGGGGATAATCCTCTCAAATCATGGCAACAATGCAAATGGAGAGGCTGAGCGTTGCGCGCCTCCCGGGAATGCGCAATAGCAATAACGTTTGATTGATAACATGTGGTGTATGGGACAACGGTGTCCCTCCCTCCCTTCAACCGGCTCACCCGCAACGTTCCGCACTGACTGCCCCCTTGAAATCTTATTTATTCATAGAAGGAGATGCGCGCGCACATATGCGGCGATAGGAGCTACTTCTGAATCGGATCTGACATCTCTTCACGACAGACATGGCGGCACCTGCATACATCACAGTGATACAATTCTACTGGGATTTCCTTATCAAGCGTGCGCTGTTGCACGGGCATCGTCGGCGGCTGTTTGGAGGAAACCACACACAGCATTTAGCCTAGAGACGTTACCAGGCGGCACATCCCTTGCCCGGTCACGGGTGTCTGGTAGGCGCCTCAGATTACGGCCTACTTGGTGGCGCATGCTCTTTGCAGTGCGGAAACCTTGGAAAGTCTATTCATTGTCAGAATGTGTTCGACCAGAAGGTAGACGTGGATAATTGTGGGTTTTTTGTGTCAGATAGGAGCGAAAGACGTTGCTGATTTCGTTCCTCACTGTCCGAAGACTAAGATGAACTATGCTTTGAAAATTGTGGTATCATCAGGATAGGGGGAGGCGAACGACGAATGTAACATACCTTTGGTACATGGTGGCGTCCTCGTGGACCTGTCAGTTGTCAGGGTCCTCGGCCGGCGACGGCAAGGCGAACGTCGATACAAGGCAGTGCAGTCGATGACACGCACTGAGTTTGCGCCATATGTGTGTGTTGCTGCATTGAAAAGGAGAGTGTTGTGCGACAAAACTCGGACAGCTTGGATACGAGGTAGATTTTCTCTCATCGGCCCGGCTCTTCTGTGTCCGAGAGATCTGCATCAGTACCTGCCAATCTTCACCTGTAAGAACCAGTTTGATACCCAACGGCGGGGAGCCTCAAACTCTAAAGACACGGCACAGGACGCGTGTCGCTTCTACCTCGGTTTCTTTGACTCAGGATGCGCCGGTCGCCGTCGATGTCGCGGAAAGATTGGCGGATGCGTGCATCGAAGAGGCGAGTGGCCTCGGAAGGTTAGGAGAAGTTCTGCAGTGCAAGAGCTGAAGACATTTTCTTCCATCCTCGCTTATTGAATCGGGTAACGCGCCATGTTTAGTCAGCCATTGACGTCATGCACGTGATTTTGTCCGGCCCAGATTTGATCCCGTCCGCCCCCTTGACCGTGAACTGAACGATTTGCAGGGTCTGGTGGAACGCAACATAAAGCAATGTGAGTAGTTCGAGAAACGTTCTCTGATGGCATCAACAGCGTTCGTGGAAAAACAAACAACGATGACCTAGTTGATACGGTACTCCGGAGTATGCACACGATGTCAAGGTACCACCTGGCGATAAGGGTTTGGCAGATTCAGCGCTCTGCAGCTGTACGGAGTTAGCCGTCTGGTCGAGCTGGTCGAGCTCGTTGCGAAGCAGGGCAACGCGCGTAGCTGCTTTAGGTCTTCTTCTCAAACACACCGTCGACCACGCCGTCATGGCCCCAGTTTACCCCAGGATGAAGCAGTGATCGGGACAAGACCGATCTACCTCCAAAGGCTAGCGCGATCGGGATACTATGAATGGTATAGACACGTGACTCAGTATCCAAGGGTTCGCCGACAATCCAACCGGTTCTGGAATCTCCCAGACAGTCTTCGAGACCACGACTGTCAGCCTGGATCGAAGTCACGTTGTGGAGGACATGATAGCGGTGGTTCATGCCATGCAGCCCCGAGCCGTACATGACGCGTATGAATCATCAAGACCTGATTCGCTGGATAAGGACCCTTTGCTCTGATCAGTGAGCTCGTAAGCAGGTTGGCGTTCAGCAGTTGCCCTTTCCATGTCATTGTTACAGAAATCAGGGTCCAAGCTGCACGTTTGGAATGCGGGGGAAGTTTAGCATCGTCTGATTGGTACGATCACATATCGTCTGCGTAATGGTCAGGCCACGAGCGATCGTACCTTTGAAGACATTCAGCTGAACAACGGCTATATGAAGCTGCTGCTTTCCTTTGAGCAGGCAATATCATAGTTCAAACATATACCTAGCTTCAATCAACAGAGTCCAATAACCGCATCCTTCTCAAGCACTTCCATCAGCCCAACTACACCACACAATGCCTTCCCCATTCCAGCAGAAGTACTCTTCCCAGAACCACAAGGTCTTTGGCGACAACACCACCCCAGCTATGCCTGAAGCACCCAAGCAAGAGGCCGACCGCCGTTCCTCAGAGTCTTCAGTTGGTTCGTCATCCTATGACGGCCGTCGTAGGGTATGTTCATCGACTCTGGGCTCATGTCCACACTTCGTGATACCAACAGTTCCTAACATCTCTCAGTCTTCCGCCGCGCAGCGATTTGGAAACCTAGAGGCTCTCAAGCGTCGTCAAGACGAAGAGAGCATGGCTCGCAGGCAGTCATTCCACGACGCATACGGAAAGCCAGGCTTCATTGGAACTCTTTGGAACAAGTACGTCATGTTTCTTTTTCTGGGCCTTGACATTTTGCTAAAACCTTGTAGCTTCACCCGTGGTCCAATCTCACCTTCTCAGAAGTAGCCTGATTAGCAACTCTGATATTCCTTTGGGTCTATTGATTCAGTATGTTATAGCGATGATTGGAGTTCGATGCAGCATGCATTGCCGCGTTTGCGCAAAAACAGCATAGCGATGGAATTGGTCAGTTTTTAGACGACCAAATGACTTGTATTATACCAAGAGGATGTATCATATTATGAACTATTTGTTCTTATGAGGCTTGTACCAGATGTTGTGATGTCAATCTTAACACAAGCTTAGGCTAGTGTGGGGATGACCCACCATGCCACGATTGGTGGTCGCGAAAGTGACGTCGGGAGAGAACACGTAAATTCACATGAACGATGCCTTTCCCAAACTGAACGCAGCGCAACTCTTTACTATCGTAACAGAACAAGAAACTCGAAGAACTTACAAGGCGAAAACACATGTTTTGACCTAAGAAACAACGTGTACCAGTTCCTACCCCGCTAACGTTACCTCTTCATCACTCTTGCCTGCTTTCATCGCGACCACCGTCGAGCGCACCACCACATACCGTACGATGACTACAAGGACTCGCTCGCCAGGCTTCGGCGATACTACAAGCATCAACCTCAATCGCTTGCTGTCTAGATTAGACCGTTTGGTACTGATCGACCCGTCACCACAGTTGCGCAAGTCCAACTACGAGCGCGCACGCGTGAGCGCGGTAAGCTTCACATTCCTATACCTATAATCCATGATATGGACTGACGTTATTATAGAACATTGAACATGCCCGTACCCTACTCCTCAGCCTGGAACACTCGGCCTCTACGATACCCTCCAAGTCGAAGAAAGCCGAACTACAAAACGACCTACAACAGAAACGCGAACTCATAAAGCAACTCAACCAGCGGATTTACGAGCTTAATCAGCTAGACGACACAGACTCAGACGGATCGGTAGATTCTGATGAAGAAGACGCGGATCAGTTTCCTTCATATGCACCGAGAGTAAAGACGGAAGCCGGACGCGATGTGTCGACATCTACAGAAGGCAACGAAGCGTTCCAGAATGCAGCACAAGGCATTGCATCAGAACTGCGCCGAAGAGGCAAGCCGGACGCGAACGCAGCAGGGACACAATCAGCATCCGGCAATTCTTTGTTTCCGTCCAAATCTACCTCAAGTACAGCCGACCCTTCGCTCGCAAAAACAGAGGCGCTCCTCTCCCACGAACGCAACGAACAAGAAGAGCTCACGACGGACTTGCTAGATATGGCAAGACAATTGAAAGAGCAATCAATACACTTTGGAAACACGCTCGAAGGGGATAAAGGCGTAGTGGATCGCGCACTTGCAGGGCTGGACAAGAACACGTTGAACATGGATGCTGCCAGCAGGAGAATGGGTGCCCTGCGGAGGATGACTGAGGGAAGGGGTTGGTGGGACAGGATCAAGCTGTATGGCATGATCGCTGGGCTGTGGGTGATCGCCTTCCTGATCGTCTTCGTTGGGCCGAAGATTCGGTTCTAAGGCGACACTCGATCTTGCCAATCCACGTCGCAGCCATCAGCCTTGAACAGTCGTATTACGAATTGCAGGGGTTGGAGAATGTTGGCGGCATCACAGCGCAAGCTCTACTTGAGTTTTCCAGCGGCAGACACAGCATCGTACGATAATAATACCCAGCCAATTCAGTCCATATTCACACCGCTCTACATGCATTACAGCGCATTGTTACCGTGTCAGTGGTTCAATCTTGGATACTCCACGATGGGGCTGCCCGATCTTCACGGCTGAGCCACGTCAAATCTGGACCCTGCGCATCTGCATGTACCCGCTTAGCGGCTCCGAGCTTCATCTTAATGTGTGCTGTCGCTCGACAACAACACAACACAGCATCACCGACCCTTCTCACGCGATTTTTATTGTTACAATTGGTGTCGCGACAAGATGGCCGCTATGGAAATGCACTCATTGGGTGCGCGCTGTACGTACTCGAAGCCTGACACGCCGCGAAGAACAATCACTTCGGTGTTCGCAGCCTACAACGCGCGTTACCTAACATACATTGACAGCATTAAACCACGCCTCCGCCGATACCGAAGCCGAGTACGACCGTCTCCGAGATCTTGCGCGCCAAGAAGCCGGAAAGCGATCCTCCTGTTTCGACAAAGCCCACCAAGCCTACGAGTCCGGCGATGGAGCGCGAGCCCACGAGCTGTCCGAAGAAGGCAAAGCCCACGCCGCGAAGATGGACCAATACAACCGTCAAGCGCGCGACTACATCTTCCGGGAAAACAACGCCGAGGGCAGAGTCGCGGGCGACACCATTGACCTCCACGGCTTGTTCGTAGAAGAAGCCGAGGATGTTCTGGAAGAGAGGATCAGGGTTGCGAGACAGAGGGGAGAAGGCCATCTGCACGTCATTGTGGGCAAAGGTAACCACAGCAGGAATCACGTCCAGAAGATCAAGCCGAGAGTCGAGCAGGTGTGCCGCGAATTGGGATTGCAGTACCGCACGGAGGAGAACGAGGGCAGAATCTTTGTGAACCTGCAGGGTGGTGATGTTCATGAGATGCCGCCGCCGCCTCAGGCTCCAAGCTATGGTGGTTATCCTGGACAACATGGTGGGCAGCATGGTGGGCAGCATGGTGGACAGCATGGGGGACAGCAACATGGAGGTCATCAGCAGCACGGTGGTCAACAACACGGTGGCCAACAGCATCATGGACAACAGCAGGGCCAGAACGATGAGATTGAGCAGATGGCCAAGAAGGGCTTGTCCAGGTTGCTCAAGAAGTTTGGGTGCTGTACGGTCATGTAAGGGCTCAGTTGGCCTGCTCTTGTGTAAATCGCAGAGGGTGACATGGAGGGCTGTGGAGGCCTGCAGGACACATTTGATACCCGCGGATTGGATGAAGGGATGAGTTTGGATAGGGACGACTTCGATGTATATAGAAGGTATATATTTGGATATTGCAAACATGCTAAGAGTACAGCCCATTCTGCTTCAATGCCGCGTTTCCTTGTGCATTGCCTCTCATTTTTGAGTCTGATCAGTTAAACCTCCTTCGTATAGGAAAGAGATCCACCATGTAGACACAAAAGTTGTGCGGACTTCTCGACGACACAGAAAGACAGCAGAGCAGCATCATCAAGAACGGATGATGATATCAGACAAATGGCATGAAGTGAAAACGATCCACTTCGATTAAAGAAAGAAACGGCGCTATCGAACGCACCGAAGAATCAGAGAGAGGAGTTCAAGCTCATATGGAACTTGGTCGTGGCAGCCCCACATGACATCGTCCTTCGCTTCGATACTAGCGCTGCGCCCGAAGATGATGAAAACATGCTCACTGCAACCTGTATAATGCTCAATCAAGCCGAGACATGCATAGTACACTTCGGACAATGGAGTCGGGTTGTAACTTGCTGACATCATGGCGCACCCTGCCGAGCAGCCTGGTACGACGGAGGCGTTCCCTTACTTCCGAAGATGCATGTAACGACGTTTATGCGAGGGTTCGTGTAACGGGTGACGTCTTGTGTGCTATAGAGACGGATTGGAGATGTGTCGGGAAGGGGTCCATGGTGTTTGCGGGGCTGCATATGCATTTTACCTGGATAAGGAGGATGGGGAAAGTATGCGGTAACACAAGCGGTGTCATCTTGTCTCTACTGATCTCCCGTTCTTTGAATGCAACAGAAGCTTCGATAGATTAGTGTGGTGTAACAAACGTCTTCGACGAAAGTCGCGAATGACGTTCACGGAGCCGCGGCCCGTTCCTCCACTTTCCATGCACCTCCGGCGCCGAGCATCCTAACATTCCACACCCAAACTACCAACACACAAAGTACACAACATGATGACACAGACGCAACCGCCAGCCATCCCGTCGCCTCCGCCAGACCTCAGCGCCAAACTCCCCAAGCTTATCCCCCGCAAACGCGCCCCCACATCGCGAGAACCGCCGTCTGCCCCTCCCCCACCGACGCCTTCGTTACCCGCGCCGCCGAACCTAGAGAGACACACATACGCGCGACCGTCGAGGCGCATATTGAGCCCAGAAGATCACCAGCTGTTTCTCAGGAGTAAGACATGCACGCTCGTCGAAGCGTTCGTGTTCGGCATCGCCGACTCGGTTCGCGACCGCAGCATCTCGAGCATCAAAGATGAAGAAGTCACAGACACCGTCAAGACAGTCGTGCAGATACTAGCAGAAGCAGAAAAAGTGCTAGACAGATGCCCACCAGAAGACACAGGCTCGCGCTTCGGCAACCCAGTCTTCCGAACCTTTCTCGATGAAGTTGAAACGGTGTTATCGCTATGGCACGAGAAACTCGGGTTAAGCGACAAGGCGCAGGTCGACGAGATAGCGACGTACCTCCACAACTCCTTCGGAAACAAGCGAAGAATAGACTATGGCTCCGGCCACGAACTCAACTTCTTCCTCTGGCTACTCTGTCTAAATCGCATCGGCATACTCCCCGACACTACCTTCCCCGCGCTCGCCCTCGTCGTCCTCCCCGCATATCTGCGCCTCATGCGCCGCGTCCAGGAATCATACTATCTCGAGCCAGCGGGTTCGCATGGCGTCTGGGGCCTGGACGACTATCAGTTCCTGCCCTTCCTGTTTGGCGCAGCGCAACTGCTTCATCATCCCTACATTACACCGAAGAGCATACACAACGCCTTGGTACTGGAAGAGGAGAGCAAAGAATACCTCTACCTTGACCAAATATCCTTTGTCAACTCCGTCAAGAACGTCGAGGGTCTGCGTTGGCACTCCCCTATGCTCGACGACATATCCTCTGCAAAGTCATGGGCGAAGATTGAATCCGGGATGCGGAAAATGTTCCGTAAGGAGATTCTGGAGAAGCTACCTGTTATGCAGCATTTCCTGTTTGGAAGCTTGGTGCCGCCGGTTGATGGCATGAGCACGGAAGAGGAGGCGGGTGTGGAGAAGGAGGAAGAGGAAGAGGAAGGCGGAGAGGTCAAGGTATTTGACGATGAGACAGGAAAGCGGCATGTACACGCAAGTGCAGGGTGGGGCGATTGCTGTGGTATCCGTGTACCGGCTGCGGTTGGTGCGGAGGGTGAGGCGAGGAAAGGCGGTGCTAGGGGGTTGCGGAGGGTACCTTTTGATTGAAGAGGTAAAAAGCGATAGATCATCTGTGTAGCCCAGGAAGACTGCACTGATTGTGTTCAGTATACCTAGGTAGGCAACAATCCCGGAATCCGATAACCAACTGCCATCGCATGTACCCAAGTATCATCCATCAATACCAATTAATGCGTCATAGTTCAGCAGAGCTAGAACTGCACCTCATACAAGGAAAAGTCTGAATAGGTCTGCAGCGTACATTAAGATAAAAACATATAAAGTAGGTAACCTAACATTAACGTAGGTTCCAGCGTGTTTGGTTCTTTCCTCGTGTGAGATGGCTGGCGGAAGCGGTAGGACCTAACAACCCACCTCCATGTCCAGCCACAGAGAACGCCAACTGTTCCCAGAGCCCGCCAGCGCTCTTTCCATTAGGCGAACATGAGCATCACCCGAGGCATAGTCTACCCTCACGTGCTCTGCCACCAGTCGGTACACGTCACGACGATTCCGAGTTTCCCAATTATGCCACGTTCTTCCTGGCTGGTACGCTTGGGGATATGGATACGTGTCCGCCACAGGAAGAAAAGGTGTGCGAAGTTAGCAGCGGGAAGACGGAAGGATACTGGATTCAAGGACGAGAAGAGCACACTGTTCCTTGTGACAGATGTCCACCTTTACCGGCAATGTCGTTGACAACCCGTCTTGACACAGAACATAACCTATCGTACGTTCAGGACCCGAGAACCAGCCGGCCCGAAACATCCACAGGGTCAAAGGGGAAACTGATGGGGAAGCGGTCTACCTTGTCTACCCCACATTTCAACGAAGAAGACTTGAAAGATTTGAACGAGCCGTCCAAGAAACACAACTCCCGATGTGATGAGGTCGAAAACCCTGAGTATCCTACCAATCGCTGCAGAGTTGAAGGGTGGTTGAAACGTTGTACCACAGAAGTACATGGAATTCCAAAATGTACTCACGGCACGCTGAGGGGTTGCAAATCTGTCCTAACTGTCACACAACGACATACTATACCAAATCAGAGATGGATTGGGGTATTGTATGCATGAAGTCTCCCTCGTTTGTTCCACTGTTCCTTAGCGAATTTCATTGCGTTCTGCGACGATGCGAAGAGCAACCTGTTCGATAGTTTGGATCAATATTCACATGTCCTGTCATGTTGGATGGTTACACATCTGTAGCGAATGTAATCGTGAGTGGGACGTTAGACCGTTTTGTAACGAGTGCTTGCATCACATACAAGGGGAAAAAGTGAACACCCTGCCGTCTACATTAGTCTCAAAACGAAAGTTTGCAAACTCTTAAACCGATGTAGACTTTTGGTTTATTTACATCTTTCCTCTGCTGTAGGTGGGTGTTCACTTCTTTTATTGTATGAGGTGCTTGCTAAAACGGAGCGAGGCGGAGAAGGAAAGCGGAATCACCACGTCTCTCCCCTCCGCCAGCGATACCCCCATTTAGCAACCCGAAGCTCCCAGGCTACCGCGTGTATCTCAAAAACATCCGGCCGCGCTCATGGTTCGCGGGTGTGCCGCTAATGCGAGTCACTTGCTTGCACATGGGTGGTGTGCGTGGGGTTAACGACTTTCACATGACCAAAGGCGGCTGTGACTCGATCACGCATGAGGCTAAGCTATGACGTGATTCAGACGGACTGCGGTCGACACCCAACCTTCACGACGGACGTGATGGAGCCGGAGAGAGTTTTTGGAGGATGGAGATGAAAGGGGTCGAGTCTAAGTTTGTGGGCATGCTGGGACGCGTGGGCACGGAGGTAGCTTGGCCGCGATTGGACCCTGGGGCTCTTGGGGCGGAGTTCTCACGGAGGTTACGGCATGCAGGGGCTTGGCCGAATCGCATTGTGAACACCTGGATATCACCAGCTTACCACTATCCAAGACAGCATAGTGTCCTGCCGCCCAAGACTATCACACGCTTGCAGCGGTCCCACCCACCTACCATCCGGTACCGTCATTCGCTTGCGCCTCCACTCACCTTATGCCTGCTGAGTCCATACCGCTGAGGAAGAAGCCTCCGCCGCATCCTCGCAAAACCCTCGTCCACACCCTCTCCGAAGACTTCACCCTCGAGCCCCCAAATAGAAGTACCTCGCCCGTCGTTGCTTCTGGGTCGAGTTCCCGCCAACTCTCTCGCACACGCTCTTCGTCGCGCCAACATCGCAAAGCCAACGGGAAGTCAGCGCTCAAAGAACCAGATAGCCCCGGCAATTCAGAACTCGAATTCGACGACTGGGATGAACACGACGCGGCTATGCCGTCAGACCTGAGACCCTCAATGGACCACGCCGAGTATGGGCGCGCAAATGCGCCCCTGCTCGGGCGCAAGACGGAGGACGACAACATGGACGACGGGTTGTTGGGAAGGAGCACACATCACTTCCACGAGCGGGATCCAGAGATGCAGGCCAAGCACGAGACGCGGAAGAAGTACACCTACGCCGCCTTTCTGCTTGCGCTGAGTCTGGTGAGCTTCACAGTGCAGACCGAGACCGCGGTATACATCCAGCACCAGTTGAAGTGGGAGAAGCCGTACTGCATGCTGTACATGACGCACGGCTCGTGGATAGTGCTCTGGCCCGCAACCCTCTTCCTCTTGCGCCTCCAGCACTGGAACGAGCCGTGGCCGACCTTCTGGCGGCGCCACGTCCAGCTGCTGCGCCAAACCGCCCTCATGGTCCAGCACCAGAACCTACACCCCACGCCGCGCCAGTCCCAAGTCTCGCCCGTCCGTTACATGCTCAAAATGACGGCCTTCATCACATGCGCTCTCACGCTCGCAGGAGGAAGTTGGTACGTAGCCGTCAACCAGACGACAGCCAGCGACTTGACCGCCATCTACAACTGCTCCGCCTTCTTCGCCTACGCCTTCAGCATCCCCATCCTCCACGAGAAAGTCCGCGCGAGCAAAGTCGCTGCCGTCGCCATCGCCATCGTGGGCGTTTTCGTCGTCGCATACGGCGACCAGTCCCCCGCGAAACACGGTTCTAAATCCGGAGGCGGAGCCGGCGGCGACAAGGCACCCCCGTCGCACGAAGCTGAGAATCGCGCTTTTGGCAACCTCGTCATTGGCATTGGCAGTGTGTTGTATGGCCTGTACGAAGTGCTGTACAAGAGGCTGGCGTGTCCACCAGAAGGCGCCGCACCGAACAAAGGTGTTATTTTCGCGAATCTCTTTGGTAGTTTGATCGGCGCGTTTACGCTGAGCGTGCTGTGGATTCCGCTGCCATTTTTGCATTATATGGGATGGGAACTGTTCGAGCTGCCGCATGGAGAGCAGGCGTGGATGATGGCAATCAGTGTTTTGGCTAATGCTAGTATGTTCCCCCCCCCTTCGCTCTTTCCCCAAAACACTGCAATACTAACGTTCTACCAGCCTTCTCAGGAGCCTTCCTCGCACTCATCTCCCTCACCTCGCCCGTCCTCTCCTCCGTCGCTGCCCTCCTCACCATCTTCATCGTCGCGCTCGTCGACCAGCTTCTACCCCCGCCGCTCAATTCGCCACTTACACCTGCAGCTATTGTTGGTGGACTGCTTATTATTGGCGCGTTTAGTCTGCTGTCTTGGGCGAGTTACAAAGAGATGGATGAGGAGAGGAGACATAAACTTGAGGAGGCGCCTAGTGAATTGGATGATTAGACGGGTTGCGTTTGCGGCACTGCTTGACCAACCAACGACGATCCCGATTTCAAGCCTGTTTTCCCAAGCGAAAAGTACTACTGGAATTCCTCAATCTTTCTCGAAGAAAGTTGAAAAGCCAGTGGATGAAGAGGCTGCAAAGAGCATCATGTTGAATGCCGACGGAGAGTACGTTCAGGTCATGGCATGTGGGAGTGGTCACATTGGTGTTTTGTCCAGTGTAGCTGCGTAGAGCTTCTTTTGTCTTCATTTATTTTGGAATTGTGTAGCGCACTGCACATTTTGGGGTGGTGGTTCATCTGGGACGGGCTCTCATGGTCGGCACCTTCGCCTTGTGCAGACCCTTTATTTTTTTCGGACTTCGTTACGCGCCGTAAATGAGGCATATTGGGTTAGAATCTTTGACATTGCGCCGTACGTTGGTTTGGCAAGATTATTAGTATAGCATGCATAGATGGGCGTTTGATTAGGCGTTGCAAAGGGTAAGACTGTAATTGTCACCCTGGATGTTAGAATGGAATTTTGGTTCGGTTCACTACAGTTTTTGGATTTGATAGTTCTGTGCATTTCCCTTGTTTGTCCGAAGGGAACGGCATGCCGAGCGCACTGCATGAGTCGGACGAAAATGGTTTAGAGATCATTACGAGTAGAAACATGGAGAAGTAAACGTGATGCAATGATGCGGGTGTCGTTGTTGTAGTATTATGGAAATCGTGGGTGCGTTGTCGGTTGGCCCTTGATGGAAACCTAGGTAGTGGAGACTGGATGAGGAGAAAGGATCTCTTTGGATAAGGATTTACGAGGGAGAAGGATGTATATCAGTAGGTGTTCGGCCACATTATTCTCGTTTGACAGCATTTTTTGATATTTCAGTCAGTGCGCTGGGGCGGGTTTTGCCTACACAGTTGATCGCTGTTTCTTGTCAAGACGAGATATGCATTGTCCCCAAGTTCCAGGGTTACATCAACGTCTTTGATCATGGACCGCTACGGTCGGAAGTATCGAGATGCCTCACAAAGCTGCTTTCACATGCGTGCGCACAAAACCCTCGACCCTGAGTCTCAACAGTACCAAATGCATCAACACTGGAAGCGAAGAGCTTCTAACTCTCCGGAGCTCAAAGACGAGACGGTAGGGTACACACCTGCATCAGGGCGAGAAAGCGATTACAGCGCGAGAACACCCTGAAGTATGTAAGCAGCACAGTACAAGACGGCCGGTGGACCTGGCACCTCAGTTCCCCAAGAGACTCCTCTTTCCCCTGATAACCTCCACTGTGCCAGTTGACGTTTGGTATTTCTTCTCAACACCTTTCTATTATTCATTGGCGTGCGTTCACCAACTGTTATCCATCTCCTCGTTCTAGCCATGCCTCTGCTCCAGTCTGTACCAGATGCGAAGGATGTCGACGTGCCCAGGCCATTGCGTATCGATAGGCCACGGTCAAGACCTCAGGCGTCGTCCCCATCTTCGTCTCCTTCTTGGATTCCATCGCCAGTGGCTCAGCAGCAGCACCGCCGGGTAGAAAGCCCAGATGCGCTGAGAGCTCGTCAATACCCTTCACCACGGGCTCAGCCGGTGCCACGTCGTCAAGATGGCGAAGCACAGAACCGGCTGCGTGTTACCAACTCAGCAGTTGCAACACCTTCAACTTCAGCTTCGCCATCACCCTGTCCGAAACAACCTCGCCGATTAGAGCTCTCAACCCCGATACCATCTCGCTTCAATTCAACACCATCGCCAATCCTTCAGCCAGTGGACTTGCCTCATCAAGATTCCGAGCACAGATCTTCACTGTAAGTACTCATCTCTACCCTCTTCTTACCCCACAACTGCCCTCCTCCCAACTTGACTCTAACAACATTGCTTCCCAGCAACACCCTAAAAATCAGACGCAGATTCACAAGTCTCGTATCCAGTGAACCAGCAAAACCCTCCACACCCCTAGGAAACCATGTCTCGAAAACCACCGTCGACACACCCAAGCCCTCAACCTCAACCTCATCCTCCTCAACAGCCCATTCCGCCTATCCCGCCGACAAAACGCCGTCATCACCACCACCACCAACAATCACCCTCGCCCTGCCGGCCCCCTTGACAACTACGCTCGCCAGCCCCAAAACCAGCATCTCCACCACACCACCACCACCACCTAAACCCCGCCACCGCACACCCACCCAGCTCACCCGATCTCTAAAAAACAAGCTCAAAAAGCCCCTCGCCGCCCTCTCCCTCCTAACCAACCGCCGCTCCACCCCCGGCACCACAACCGTAAGCCGAGTAGCCTCCGCAACGCAATCTTGGTTATGCACCGCAACTGCCATGTCACGAACAGGCGGCGGATTCGGCATTGCGTTTGAGAGCAGTACGCGTACGGCGTTGGGGGAAGTGTTGGAGGAGAATGGGTATGTTGGACGGAGAGTGGATAGTCCGGTTGGTGAGAGAGATGGAGGTGAGGGGGAGGATGAGGAGGATGAGGAGACTGTGGTGCAGAGGGCGGTTTTGCTGGAGAGGTTTGCGTTGCTGAATTTGGATGCGGGGAGGAGGAAGGGGGACTATTTCTATGGCTAGGTCGGATCAAGACCAGGCCTTAGGCGGAGTTAAAGGTGCGCGCTGTTGTTGTGGGGGAGGGGGTCTATAAGGCGTCAAGGTGGATTTTGGCGGGAATTGGATTATTGCGCGGTTGATCGTTGGTTATTGACGGTTGGTTTTGGGGGGTTCGGAATTGTGATGGTATCTACCTAGGTATACCCAATGTGGTGACGTTGTCATTGTCAGACACTGTAGCTCGCTGCTTAGAATCGATTGTATTGCTCAGAATTTGGTTATTGCTGCTCCCCTAGACTAGATTATAATATCATGCTGGTCTATCAGTGGATGTTAGCAGTGTCTGTGTCACAAAAACTTACACAGTACCCAATCGTTGGGTGGTGAACCAGGCTTGAATACATGTATACATTAAGAGATAGATGCTCGCTATCTTAGTCATAAATACTCGTTAACCTCGATCTTATCCCTTCCCATCCCAACACCCCAAGAGAAACCCTACAACGGACTTCCATCCAGTCCCTCCGCCCGTTCCTGTGTCTCCGCCTCTTCCAACTCTTGCAGAATCTCCGGTAACATGGACTCGACGTCTTCTTCCCGCTCGCCCAGCGCTTTCGCGATAAGCTTCTTATACGTGCCTTGCTTCTCGCTCATGCCTGCTACACTGAGATTACTCACGACTTCTCGGACGAGCTCTCTCCGCTCGAGTTGCGCGCGGTGTAGTAGGAGGGCTAGGCGCATCTTCTCTGTCACATCCACAGGCGAAGTATCGGCGTTTTGCTGCGGCATGCTACTGCATAGTCGGCGGAGCTCGGCTTTTTGTTCAATCTCAAGTAACGACTCGGCTTCTTCCACTAGTAACCGCAATTCCTCTTCTTGCTGCCGATCCGCTTCGTCGTCGTTGAGGTCAATGTGTAGGCCGTTTGACATGAGTTGTAGTTCGGCGACTTGTTTTCGTACGGCTTCGAGTTCGGCTTGGCGTCGCTTGACTACGCGTTCTGCGTCGAAGGATTCTGCTTCCTTTTCTTGGAGTTCAGATTCGTATGCCTCGGCTAGCTCTTTGCACTTTTCTAGCAGCGTTGGCGCGACTTTGTTCATGAGATTTGAAGCGGTCTGCGAGCGGTACTGGATAGGTTCTCGGACAGCCATGCTAGGGAATGGCACTGGAATTAGCGGTCCGCCATCTAGATGCGGGACGTGTCCGTTGAGTCGGTGTTCTGGTGGTGGCGCAAAAGGAGACGATGAAGCCTGCCGTGGGCGTCCATGCGTTCGTCGTCGACTGTTGAGTTCCCTGATCAGATCGTCTGCCGTTTCGCCCTTTTTGTTCATTATGTCTACTGAGACATTACGTCCCAGCAAACTTCGCACGCATTTCCTCGCCCCGTTCCGCGCAGCAATCATAATCGCTGTGTCGCCATTCTGGTCTACCGCGTTGAGTAACCTCGTGACCTCATCTGGTATCCATGTTTCCGATAATTTGTTGATGATGCAGTCGAGGTACCACCTAGCGCAAACATACTTGTTCGAGCTGCTCGTGGTCGCTGCGATGTGGTGGAACACGGTACTTCCAAACCAATCTGTCCGATGAACTGTCTGCTGAAAGATCTTAACCATGCTGGGCATAGTCTCCTTGTCAAAGTTGTTGGTGAACATGACAGCACGCATTAGTGGTGTCTCTAGGTTGTTTGATAGACAATCAATACGCGCCCCCCGGTGTATCAACTCCTTCACAACCCCCACATCACCCATAGCCGCCGCCCAATGCATGGCTGCGTGTCCCTTCTCGTCGATCGGCCGGTCCAGATTAATGCTCTGCGGTGGTTCAGGCCATGAGACGGCGGATTCGTGGTCTAACAGCATGAAGTAGTCCAGCAGCTGATCTGCCCATATTTGGTGTTGCTGGTCGAGCAGAGACATCTGATCCATTCCCCTCTTGCGCTTCCTGTTGCCGCCCGTCGAGTATGAATCCAACATATCTGCGTCGCCCAGCATCGACTCGGAAATAACGGTTTCGTTGTCCGGTGTCTCTTCGCGGAAGATCTGTGACCTAATCTGAGAGGCCTCGTACGGCTCTTCGCTAACTTGCGACTGCGCGCTCGTGGTCACGAAAGCTGCGATATCAGTCAGCACCATGTCCCGTATTCAAGCTTGACAACGACCAATGAGAGTGACCCCCTACACTGCATAGACTCAAGCGAATAGACATTTTTACCATTCCGAGCTGCCGCCGCCGCAGTTTGCTTGGGCGGCTTCATGCGATTCGACGCAGCAGTCGCATGCTTGGGCGCAGGAGGAGGGCTCCGGTCGCCAGGGACATAGTCGAAGATGGCGCGCATCTTGTCCAGGACGCCGTTCCGCTCTGCCAGATGTCGGCCCTCCTCCAACGGTATCCATGTGCCTTGGTATTTGCCATAACCGCCCTGGACCTTTTCATGCACGCCCTTCTGGACTTCGCGCTCGAGGATGCGGGTTCGGGCAGGCTTATCGTAGTCGGCTACCTTGAGGATGTGGGTCGCGTTGATCCAGTCGTCGGCGCGGCGGCGCATGACATGGTTGCCGTTGACATTGCACTCGTAGACGGGGACCTGCAGGCGGGCTTTGTCAGTGCATCGTCGCAATGGTGAGGTGTCGCAAGCAGTGGGGACTGCGCACATTACTGTATGTTGCCGAGTAAATCTTGCCATCGGGCGCGGGGGGCATCTTCACCATTCGATTAGATGTAGAAGGGTGTCTCGGGGCGTGTCAAGTGATTTCGTGAAGGCGTGTCTGCGGTTCGCGTCAGACCTGGGGGAAGGCGCGTTGGGAGTCCGCGTTCGCGACTGCCCTGCCAAGCATCGGGGTCGTCAGCTTGCCTTTGCCGACACCGAGTGAACCTCACCACGCTCGCCCGCAGACGAACCTCCGCCCACCAGCCCCCCGCGCGCCATTGACGATAATCAACACCCCGGGCCGCCAGTATGACTGTCACCGATACCATCAAGCATGCCGTCGGCCTCGACGGCGAGCCGAGGAGTACGTCCGCCCACGCATCCTAACGCAATTGGCTCCGAGGAATAGAGACTGACGGGACCGCAGAGGCTACCCGCGAGGAAATGAGCGCCGCCAAACTACCGATTCCCTACCGAGACTCATGCGCACATCTTCTTATCCCCTTGAACCGGTGTCGGTACGAGGAGTACTACCTACCATGGAAGTGCGAGGTATGCGAGAATGGGACGAAGAAGGACGAGAGCGGGCGGCTGACGAGAATTCTAGAACGAGAGGCATTCATACGAAAAGTGCCAGTACGACGAGTTCAAGGAGCGGGTCAAGAAGATGGACGAGCTGAGGGCAGCCAAGAACGGACAGCGAAGCAACTAGGGTGTTGTTCACAGGCACAGCTGATGAATATGTCAGTCGCGGGTGGAGCATGCTGCATGTATATATCAAAGCAGCAAGAATTACGAAGATATCAAATCCAATGTTTCGGGGACAATTGACATCCTGGAAGAAAGGCGTCGAAGCAAGAAACAACAGCTCTGACATGAAACGCGTACTCGATCAGTCTGCGACCCATACCGAACCCTGAATCGCTATCTTGCACGGATTCTACCTCTATGAACGCCTCCATCAAATCTACAACTTCGCCTTGGTATCTTCCAGCGCAGCCTTCTCCCTTAACTCCTTCCTCAGAATCTTCCCAGAGGGATTCTTCGGAATCGCCTCAATGAAATGCACACCACCTTCCAAGCGCTTATGTCTGGAGACACGCTCAGCAAGCCACTTCTTGATATTCTCAGCAGTCTCCGGAGTCGCCTTGTCGGGCGACTGAGGCATGATGTACGCGCGAGGCAGTTCATCGCCATTACTGACAAAGTTAGCAGTTGATACAGACTGTAGAAAACGCGGGCCAACTTACGCTTTGATGCCAATAACAGCAGCATCCTGCACATCTGGGTGGTCCAGCAACAACGCCTCCAACTCCGCCGGTGCAACCTGTAGACCCTTGACCTTGATCAATTCCTTCTTCCTATCAACTATGAAGAAGTGGTTCTGCCCATCCACGTATGCCACGTCTCCCGTCTTCAACCACCCATCTTCCGTTAGAGTCTCCTTGGTCGCATCGGGCTTGTTCCAGTACCCCTTCATAATGTTGGGTCCGCGAACCCAGATCTCGCCTCGCTCGCCTTGTGGCGCTTCGACCTTGCCGTCGTCATCTACAACGATCTTTGCTTCACAATTTGCTAGTACTTCGCCAACAGAAAAGCTGGACGAGTAGGCAGACGGGGGGAATGTGGTTGCTGCGCAAGTCACTTCCGTCATGCCGTAGCCCTGCTTGACATTGACTTGACCATTCGGCCATAGCCGCTCGAATTCCTCAATCACTTCCCGACCGAGTGGGGCAGCGCCGGAGGACACGCCCGTCACGGAGCTCAAATCGAATTTTTTCGTTGCTGGGTGCTTTGCCATGGCTACGATGACCGGAGGTACCAGGACCATGTCGGTGATGCGGTACTTTTGTACATTCTGTAGCATCTCGACAAAGTCGAATTTGGGCATCATGTAGACGGGTACGCGTTGTTTCACCGCACCGAAACAGAAGATGGCTTGCGCCATAGCATGGTACATGGGCAGGAAGCAAAGGTATTTCTTCGTCTTTAGCTTCTCATAGTAGTCGGGACTGGTGGTTTGGATGTGGATCTGTTGGCTGCAGTTTGCGACGTAGTTCCTGTGCGTTATCATGACGCCCTTTGCAACACCAGTTGTTCCTGAGGAATAGTTGAGCGCAACTATGCGATCGAGCTCTTCTGGTGTTTTCAGGTCTGGCCAAGAGTATGCATCGCCGCGTTCTGGCGTATCGAGGAGTTCAGTCCAGTGGCGAACATTTCCGAGTTCCATACTCTTCTCCACTTTGCGGCCCTCAAAGGTGGCAATACCATCGTCAAAGACAAAGATGCGCTCAGAACCCATGCCAATCTCTTTCGCAGCTGCGACTCCTGTGTCCAAACTGCCCTCTGCGCATATCATGAAGCGCGCCCCGCTGTCTTTCAATTGGTATGCTAGCTCTCGGGCAATGTAAGTCGGGTTTGCGCCGGTAAAGACACCCTCTGCCATGACGATACCCATCACTACTGCTGGGAAGAAGAGCGTGTTCCCCGAGTAGAGCAGCACGCGGTCTCCCGGTTGGAGACCTGCGCGCCGCAGACCTGAAGCAAAGCGTTTCGCATAGAGACGAAGGTCGTGTAACGAGATGTTGTACTTTTCAGGTTCGCTTGCCGAAAGGTAGAATGGTTCCTTCGGTAGTTCGACGTTGGGTGAGTCGAAGATATACGTCGGTAAGGAAACCTGGGGTATAGGGAACGAGTACCGGGATTTGATCACCATGGTGGCGGTTCAATGTGCTGGCCGAGGAAACGTCGCAAAGATGTCGAAGAGGAGCAGCAACTTGTATTGACGAGGTCCACTCTTATCACTCTCGCTTCTTGACCCACTAATTGTATCCACGACGCGCTCCGTGCTGTGGCCCTTGTTGATGGCTTGCAGAGTTGAACGGTGTAGGCGTCAGCGAATCCTACTCGGCATCCATCAGCAACCACTCAATCAAGTACATGCATACATCCAGGATCAACAATTTACCTTCTACCAACTCCTTTCCCTGTCTAGCTATCGCGATGTCTGAAACAACACAACTACGGTATTCGACATAGGAAGTCGCGATACATAGATGGTTTAACCCAGCCCAGCGCGCCTACCGGTTTCATTCTACCCCGAGGCATCTCTGCTGACGCCACTGCATGAACGGGGCAACTAGTCCAAGACAGCACTTCGGGTAGCTCGATTGCGTTAGAAGTGGGCTCGGACGGGGGACGGATGTGAAGGTGGTGAGGTGCGTTAAGCGGGGGATTGCTAGTTGTGCCGAGGTAGAAGTCTGGGGTAAGGACAGGGGTTAGCGAGCAGACGTCTGGGCATGCTTCTTGAGAGGGTTCGTCCGTTATTTTTCTCATTGCTCATTCAAACAATCCCCTATTTTTATCTATGTCGTTTTTTTATGCTTAGGTACAAATGTCAAGCGTGAAAGTCATGTTGAGGGCATGTCTCAAATCGAATTTTAGCGCGCCATGTCAACAGACCGTCTCAAGCCACGTTGTTCGACATGGCAATCTTCTTCTCAACTCAAGCAAAAACATGAACAGGTAGGAACCGTGATTTTAGACAGACATCCCATATGAGGGTTGTCATTTTTGGTCAGTCCATGTCTGAGTAATGAGGAAAAGAAGAAGTTTGGGGGATCTAGTGAGGTTTATATACTTTCGACACGGCGCCAGAGGGCGGATATATGGGACGAGGTATTCATCAGCATGACGTCCAACATATGCTATCGACGTGAATTTTGTTCGTCGATGACGCAACCAGCTCTCTTGAAACACCATGTCGTCCCGAGAACGCCGTGCGGAGGTCATATGCTCTAAACTCCAAACAAACGTAGCCAACCAACCAAACGATACACTTCCATTCGAACGCACGAACAGCGTTTGTAGCCTGCAAACTAACCTGTCACTGGCGGTCTGACGTCCAAACGCACTCGAAGCGCATGACGCTATGCTTTCCAACGCCAAAACACCGCGATGCTACCCACAATGTCGTATCCATCAATGTCCCTCACGATTCCAAGTACATCTCCAGAAAGGAGTTTGATCCGCCGCATTCGGTTCCCGCATATCTCCGCCGAGGCCAAATTACGTAGCTCAAGGACGATGACTCGATCTCGCTGAAGTCTCTCGCGGACTTGGAGGAAATGCTGGTGAAAGCTTTGATTTTGTTCGCGGACACGATTCATTACGTCAGCTACAAATCCATCGTCTGATGATGCAGGCGAAGACGAAGGTTCTGTTACAGCTGACGGTGCGGAACGTGTCTGTCTGCGCCAGTCTCTAACCATTAACATCGTCTCCATGCTTGGTGGTGGTAGACTCTGAGTCGATCGCCGTGGTGGTGTCGCTCTCAGGATACTTGTGGATTGTTCTGCGGGAGTATAATCCCGAGATGTAGGCGTCCACGGCGCTCCAATAGCTCCGCCAAAAACTTCGTTCATAGATCCCCTCAACGGCTGCGGGTCTGGTCGTTCATGTACCTCTTCTTTCCCTTCCTCTTCCTCCTCCTCAATATCCTCCTCTTCCGTCATCGAAACACGGTCCTCTAGCTCGCGTTCATCATCTGAACACTGAAATTGTTCCTCGAACATGTCCTGCATAACCTCCAGTGCACCCATGAAGATACGACTGGACCAAGTGGCCAACATGTTGGCATGGTTAAGTTGATCTCTCACACGCCGCGCTGCCTCAAGCTCCAACCATGCAGATTCAGCTATAGCGTGCGCCTCACATACAATCTTCTTTTGATGCCCCGCCTGGATCCACAATGCGCATACACGTTTTGGGATCCCAACATAGCATTCCGCACCAGTTGCATGGAGTCTGCGTTGCTCGTCGAAAAGGTTGTCGGTGATCGTCAACAGCTCCGTATACCGCTTGGTGTCAAAAGGGGCATTGCGATCGTAATACGTCTCCTTTTCTTTCCGCGCTAGCGCTTCCATTGCTGGTGGTAGCATGTTTAGCTCGAAGAGCTCTTGTCGACAGCTCGGGCACTTGTTGCGGTTGTCGATGTAGCCTTCCGTCATATCCCGTAGACATTGGAGATGCAGTATGTGCTTGCAAGGGAGTTGAGCAAGGCGGGTACTCGGTTCTTGTACGTCTACTTGCATTCGTTCTAGACAGATGGCGCAGTTGGAGTCCCCAGTGGCCCCAAAGTTTCGGTTTTGTTGTCGGATTCGCTCGTCGAGGAAGTCCTCCAGGCTGGGGAGGTTGTTGGGTGCCATACCAGCGGCGGGTGTACGAGCTGGTTGAATGTGTATTACGAGTGTGATCTTGGTGTGGACTGCAGCGGTGAGTGATTTAGCTTCTGGTGCTTTATATATGGCCATGTGATTGCCTTCAGAGTGAATGGCTGTAGGTAGCATTATATGTGTGGTATATAGTCGTGGCGATGCGCGAAGTGCAAGAGCCTATCCGCGACGTGTAGTGAACATCGCTTTCTCTATAGGAGTAATCCAACTAACTCCAAGAAGTCTGCATATAAGCGTCGACTCGTATGTTCCCAACTTTCAAGGTAGCGGCACAACTCACTCAACTCAACCATGTCGATGCAAACTTCCGCTTCAGTTCCTGACCAGGAAGATGATGCCATGCCAGACTTGCCCTCAATGGGGCAATTCATAGCTACCATGGATAGGTCCATTCAATACTCCGAGCAGCTTCCCAAGACCTGCAGTATATGCTGGGAAGACTACAACTGGGACGATAGCGTTGTGATACGCCTTCCATGCGACCACATCTTCCACGAAGAATGTTGTCTCAATTGCGTGAATTCAACACTTAGAAACCGCAACGCCTGCCCCATGTGCCGGACAGTGTTCTGCCTCCACAACGTTTTGACGCTAGAACGAAAAGATTCTATGAGCGATAGCGAAGAAGGGTACAGCAGTGAGATCATGGCGCCATACGACCGGATCCGCGAGGCTTATCATTGGATTCATGCTGCGGCCAACGACTTGTACGAGGAAGAATTGTGGAAAGAGACTGGTAGTCCCGACTATGTGTCCATCATACGCGAGACAAGGATACAATGGCATCGAGAACATCACCATCAACCGTACGAGTTCATCTGCGACGAGCATGAAGAGGTCGGGGATAGCTGGCTTGAGCTTGTCGTGGCTAATCGTGTCCGAGAGAGGCTCAGCGAGGACGGTCTTGTGGACTCTTTGGAAGGCCAAGCGGTTGAAAGGAGACGCAATCAGCTAGTGAGCTGGGTGAATCAAAATTCTGGCCCCGAGAGCGAGGTCTGGGTCCCTCAAAATATGCAAGAGTTTGAAGAGAGGGCCGCTGAGAGGGGCGCTGGGACAGCGGTGCATGATGAGCATCGTCAGCAAGAACAACACGACGACGACCGTCAGGCTGACGAAGATTCAGAGGATCACGAGAGGTGGGCATCTGCTCATCCTCACGAGGACGAGGAAGGTTCAGAAGAGGGCGAAATCCGAGAGCAAGCAACCAGGCAAGAGCCCTCTGAACTTCCCCATCCTGAGAGCTTTGAACTTTCCGATCCTGGAACAAGTCCAATGGATAGCGGTACAACGGAGTGCGCTACCATAGCACAAAACGACGCTATCCACCGACGTTTCCGGGAAGAACTAGGAGCACAGATTGTCGTAGGAGCTTTGCCCGACGTATACGATTTTAGGCGCGCTGGAACACCACCCAATCGAGAAGTACAGCGCCGTCGTTCCCGCTCTCAATCTTCATCCCCATCCTCACCATCTCCATCGACAGACCCCCTCTTCCCCCTCCCCGCAGCCGCCTCACTAGCCGACCCACCTTCCCCACAGCCCACAGTCTCGCAACGAGATGTGGCCAACACGCGCTCCTGGCTTAGATCAGAGGGACACATGATCCTTTGCGAGATGCACAACGTGGCCTCAGTTGTGTATCGAGGCGATCATAAATATGATGTGCGCGGTTTTGGAGGGGATGATATGGGGGTTGTGAGGGATGCGGATGCGTATCATGTCGCGGGGTGGATTACGATTTTCTATCGTTATGGAGGGGATAGTGGAGATTTCGATGGCTCCAGGGAACGGGTTCGGCGTGGTGTATAGTAGGAGATGTATAAATCTCCTGTGTACGAGAGGTGGGCGGTTTCAATGTAGAATACGTGGAAATATATCCAGGACTTTGTTTGCTTGAAAGCGACGTGGGAGCTTGCAACTGAGTATGTTTGACGTTCCTGTCTTCCAGTGGCGTCCAATTGGTGAAAGAATACGCCAGCCGTTGGTACGCCCCTCCAGAAGCGTGACCGACTTGTGATATCCCCAAACGCCAACGCTATGCATAACAAAAACGCGTGAAGCATGTACGTCCTATGACATCTTGAAAGAGCCCAACTATGCCTTATCCTCGCCCTCATCTTCACTGCTATCCCTCTCTTCCCACCCCACCATCCGTCTCAACACGCGATTTTCTTCGCCCAACTCTTTACATCTGCCCCTCAACCCCTGTTCGACTTCACTTTGGCATCGTAATGCGCTCCTTGCGTTCTCTGCGACGCGACTTAACCCAGCCTGCCAGTCTGCGTGCTCTAACCGCAGTGCCATAGATGTCGAGCGTTCTTGGTCAAGAAGCCCCTGGTAGTGTTTGTGCAGAGCAAGCATGGCGGAGGTTTGCGAATAGGCGTATGGGCGAAGTTTATCGAGGAGAAGGGTCAGAGCGGATTCGTAGTCGGTGAGGAGGGCGGAGAGAGATGTGTTGGTTGAGGTTAGGGATGCGATGGTTGTTTGTGCGCTTGAGAGCTGTGATTGTAGATGTGCCACTGTCGCTGCTATAATGTGTGTTAGTATGTGTTCATCCAGGTCCAGACGAATATCGCCGTCCAAACACTCTCAACGCAGACTTAACATACCATTGATCTCTCCATTGACCTCCCTCATGCCCATTCCCCCGCCAGTCCTTGGTGCAAGCCCACCGACCTCACCCCCCTCTTCTTGCGCAGCCCTCCCTTGTATCGCAGCAACACCCTCCACGATGCCCCTCGTTTGCGCTTTGTTCTCTTCTAGCAATTGACTCAACTGCTGCACCACCGCCCACAGATGGTTCATGTCCGTCTGCTGGCCGCCGCTGGGTAGGCCATTAACCATTGGAACGCCGTTTTGGCCGCCGCCGTTAACTTGCGATCCTGCAATACTGCCGGCTTGTGAATGTGAGGGGGAGGGCGGAGGGCGATTTTGATTGTGCTGTTGCTGGGCGGCTTGTTGTTGGGAGGACTCGAGGAAAGAGAAGTTGTTCATGGCGACAATGGTGTGGGTGGGTGGTGGAGATTAGGTAGCTGCGGATATTGGTGGAGTTGGCGTGCGGCGCGGGCTTGATGGCTTCGGTAGTCGCGCGTGTGATTGGATTGGAAGTCTGATGGTGAGATCGTAGGCGCCTACCAAGATCTTCTCAGTGACGCGACACTCGATCGAGGTATAGAATGCTTTTCTGCGTCTTGTGCGGGGTTAGGTTGGTTTGGGTCGCGGAGTATTGAGGCTTGTTGGCGATGCGCTCTGGGACGTGTCCAGATGACGCTTGCTTGCTTGGGGACTAGTGGCTTGGCCATACTCTATGGCTTGACTAGCCCGCGAACCTTTGCAGATGGATGTGCTTTGCTAGTAACAAGGTATTGATAGGACTAATAACGAAAGCGTGACTAAATTATGCGAGAAATCAAAAGCAAAATTGCACCACAAGAGGTATCCGCAGCCAGTCCATGCCAAAGAACATCCTCCCCCAATGGTATCCGACACTTCCTACACAGACTCAATACGAGCCCACTATGACCGAAAGTTGACCTCGCTTCTCGAAGCGCTGGAGGACTACCCGCTCATCTATCAGGCAGCACATACCTCCTTTCTACACTCATCTCACGATCTGCCTCATCTTCACCTTCAAACCTCAACCTGACGAGATTGTCCACACCATCTCCTTCTTTGCCACCGTCTTCTTTCTTGACCTTGCCATCACTTTGCCTCCAGACAGCCACCACTTCCGCTTTGTAGAAAGTAGTGGTACCTGGGTAGAGAGCGAGAACATTCTTGCCTTTGCTGAGGTCTGGTAATGTGGTGTTTGATGAGGGTGGCGGGATGGGTATCAGGTGGTTAACGGAAGCGCGATAGGGTACTGACGGTGTTGGGGGGTCTGGATCAGCATCGATGATTTCGTACCGACGTTGCTTTCCTTCGCCGATCACGGATGTCACGCGACATAAGATGCCCTCGCCTTCGAAGGACATGGAGGACGCGGAAGAGCGATTCTTCGCGTTGTTTCGGTAGAGGACCTCTGTCTGTGGCGAAAGACGTGGTCGGATTTCTGTAGTGATGTCGTCAGCTGACGTGGTGTCTGAAGGGACATGGGATGATGTGTAAAAAGGGCGCTATGATAGAAGAGATGGTACATGGTGGCATGAGCACATGAAAAGACGTATGAGATCAGATGAGGTGAGATTATGAGCTTGCCTATCCGACTACAAACCTCGAACAAGCCGAAAGGAAATATGCCAGTGGGTATCGTCTGCCGTCTAAGGTGAACGCCGATAGCAAAGTACAGCTCAACGCTTGGTCTTGTACTTGATTGTGGGCTTGGTTTTGGAAGAAGGAAGAACCATCTTACCCTTACCCGAGTCGTCTTCGTCCATCTTCACACTGCCCTCTCTCGCAACAGGTACCGATCCTGCTCTGCTACTGCCCGACTTGGCTACCAGTCGATCTTTCTGGCTGCTGATAACGACCTTTGGGCTGGGGCCTCCAGGACTGTCCGCAGCCATGCTGTCGCGGTCGTCGATGTTGTCGTTGTGCTTTCGCTTGCCTTGGCGGTCGCGTCCAGACTTCCCGTGCCCAACGCTGGTGGCTCGTGATGCTGAAGGCGGGGCCTCTTCCGACTGACGGAGGGCGGCCAGTAGTGTCATCTGGGTGGAGACGTCATTACCGCCTTCGACCGGCTGGAGAAGGGTCTGTGCCTCATTTAGATTACGGATGTTGTCGCGCAGAAGTTCTTCAAGCTCGTCATCAATACGGGCTGAGGTTTCCTCGCCGCGATCTAGCCGGGTTAGCACAGTGGGACGAACATGTAGTAGTCAGTTGGGCAACGAACCCTGACGAGCAGACTGTTCTGCGACGAGGGCAGCGATCTTTTCTTGCAAGACATCCGACTCTTTCTGCGGCATGTCAGCAAGGGAGCACATATTCGTGTAGTTGATATAAGCGAAGCGTGCGACAAGGCACGATTTGTGCACCATACGATGCATTTGTCGACGCGTCTGGCGTTTGTCTTGATTTGTTTCCAGAGGCGCCGCTCCTCCTCTGGATCTTCTTGTCCATGGTCATTTCGATTTCTTCCATATTCATTTCGGTTATGGCCTAAGTAGCCTTCCGAATCGCGAAGATTCCGCGGTACTTCGCTCATGGTAAGGAACGATGGCGATGGATATAGAGATGCAGATTGTAACGCTGGTGTTGATGAAGAAAGTATATTCGTACCATGAGTTGATCAACGCGACGTCCGTCAGCTTTGATCGAGTTCCAGAGGGCTCTTTCCTCGTCGAACTCCTCCTTCAACTGACCACGGGGCCTGCTGCGGGCTGCCATGTTGAGGAAGTTGTGGCCCGTCAACTCCCCAGCTCTTTTCGTGTTACCTGAGGCGGCGCAGGTAGTTCATATGGTGGTGTGGAAGCGACAGACTGAGGTAGAGGAAAGGAAGTAGCTGCAGATGATCAACGTCGGGACCTGTAGTCGGCGGGACGCAGGGTAGGATACGCTAGTCATGGAAGAGGGGATGAGCTTAAACCAACGGCAGGGTGACGATTGTGCGGGACCAAACAAGTGGACCCCGCCCAGAGCTCCTCCGCCAATTCGCGGCATCGCAATACATACGCAACCTCCACACTCTACCGAAATCACATTCAAGATGCGGAACCCTCTTATCAGACTAGAATGCGGTAAGTCAAGATAGTGAAATCAAGTTGAACCAACATTGACCAACTATCTATAGGTGTAAACAGCTACGACTGGGGTGCGTGCCCCGCGTCATCACTCACTGTCGCCCCAGCGGTATGCTGAACCAACCCAGGCAAAGTCGGCAAAGAATCTGCAGCCGCCAAATTCCACGCTGCGAACGCTTCCGACTTCTCCATTGAAGAGGAAAAGCCATATGCTGAGGTATGAAATTCCGGCCTGCGATTGACGCGTTGTTGACACGGTTAGCTATGGATGGGCACACACCCGTCGCTGCCTTCCAAAGACAAGGAAACTCAGCGAACACTTCTCGACCTCTTCGAAGAAAACCAAGCCCTGTTATCAACGGACATTGCTGAGCGCTACGAGAACAAGCTTCCCTTCCTGTTTAAGGTGCTCTCCATCAACAAGGCCCTGAGCATCCAGGCACATCCAAACAAGAAGCTCGCCGAACAGCTGCATGCGAGCGACCCCAAGAACTACCCAGGTCAGCATCGTGCCGGAATTTTTCAACAAAGATACTGACCCCACGCTAGATGACAACCACAAGCCCGAAATGACCATTGCGGTCACTCCCTTCGACGGCCTCTGCGGCTTCCGACCCCTCGCCGAAATCGCCCATTTCCTCAAGACCGTTCCTTCATTGCGAAAGCTAGTCGGCGAAGAAGAGGCAAAGAAATTTGAAGACACCATCAGTGGCAAGGAGACCTCAGACAAGGAAGAGGATATGCAAGAGAACAAAAAGGCTCTGCAATCTGCCTTTACAAAGCTCATGAATACGGACAAGGATGCGCTATCATCTGCCAGTGAAGAGCTTGTCAAGGCAGCGGAGTCTGAGGGCGACAAGTTCGCGGACGGCGGCCCACCCTCCAATGACGGCAAAGAGCTCGCAGACCTCGTTGTTCGCCTCAACTCCCAATTCCCCGGTGACATCGGTCTCTTTGTCCAGTTCTTCCTTAACTACGTCAAGCTCGACATTGGCGAAGCCATGTTCCTCAAGGCTGACGACATCCACGCCTACCTCTCTGGCGACATCATCGAATGCATGGCGAGCTCCGACAACGTTGTCCGCGCAGGCTTCACACCAAAGTTCAAGGACGTGGACAACCTGACAAAGATGTTGACATACAGCTATGCGCCAATCAGTGAGCAAAAGATGGAGCCCAGAGACTACTCACAGGTCAGGTTGAACGCACCGGCGTATAGCTCCAACAGCAGTAACAAGCTGTACAACCCACCGATTCCCGAGTTCGCCGTAGTACGGACTGCTCTTAACCGGGTCGGAGGAAAGGCAACGTTTGATCCGATTGATGGACCCAGCATCATCCTTTGCACCAAGGGTAAGGGAACGATTAGCGTGGGGCCAAAGGAGGAGGAGATCAAGGAAGGCTTTGTCTACTTTGTCGGTGCCACAGCTGAAGTCGTCATCAAGAGCGATGTCGATGCCGAGGATGAGGAGGGTGCAGAAGGCTTGGTAACGTTCAAGGCATTCTGCGAGCTCGAGGACGGCAAGGGCAAGCTATGAGGTATGAGATGTGTAACAAGAGGCTACGAAAACGACATGATGATCTTACGACAAGAGAAACGTCTTCTTGCTATATTGTATTTGACTAGATAATACATCTATCATCTATCAGTGGTATCACAATGCTATGAGTCGCTAATTCCAAAACAACAAGGGAATGGAAACGTCGCTTTATTCCGGCAAACTCCTCATGACACCTTCAAACGCAACCAATGCCATGGCATTCGCTGGGAACGCTCTCAAGAAGCACGGCACGAAACCCCGCCAGTACCCTTTCCAACCTTGCTCCCTGTACACCGCTTTCGCAGCATCTCTCCACCTCGGAAATCTTCTTTGTGCCAGCGGATCCGTCATAATACGCTGCTTGATGACATCGCTCGGATAGCTCGTCAACCAGAAAATCTGCGCCGACAAACCTCCGGCCCAAAAATTGACAGCAGGAGCAGAAAGCGAAGTCCGCTGTTGCAGCTGCCGCGTAAAAAGGTCGTAGGTTCCCCACCAGAAGCAGAAGAATGTGCGGAAGAGCAGTGTAGCGCTGAGACCATGGTACACACCCCTCATTCCATGACCGGTGTATATCTTCTTCAGACAGTCGATCGGTCCCGAATATAGACGCGACTTCTTATCCGCGGCGTATTGTACTTGCAGACGTGCCTTGATGTGCTCCACCGGCGCGGCAATGAAGGATACTGTCCATCCTGCCATTGTGCCTGCTAATGCGTGGCCGTATACGGGTAGTTTACGCTGCTGTTCGCCGAATTGGAGGTGTGAGGGGGGGTTGAAGACTCGGTCGTTGAGGACGCGGCGGTAGACGCTTAGGGAGCCTAGCATACTTTGCAAGTGTTAGTATAGTGAGTTGTTTGGGAGTATGTGTCTGTGTACATCGAGTCCATAAACATCCATCCTACAAGCGGTGGTGTAGCGCCCTTGTACAACCCCGCGAACCCTTCTTTGCGGAGTGTCTGCATGAGACAATCTACTGGGCCGCGGAAATGACTCTTCTCGGTCGTTTGAAGCCTAACTTTCACCGTGTCAAATGGGTGGCCCACTGTGTCTTGTTAGCCAGATCAACGTATCTCTATAGGATGGGGATATTTACCAGATAACTTCGCAATCCCGCTGAACACCCCAGCGACAAAGCCGCGGTAGTGCTTAGGAGACTTCTTCGGCTCATCAGACGTAGCTATCAGCGCGGTGGCAGCCGGCTGTGAAGCACTAGTTTTCAGGTTCAGGGCTGAGGTAGCCATTGTCGCGTCGCTGTTCTCCAGTACAATATCGGAACCATGCCTCCCGTCCAAAAAAAAAAGCGAAGAGAAAAAAGCACCCAATACTTAACGGCTATCAAGAAACGAAGATGGGGACGAGCGGAGTCCGTCGAATAACTCAAAGCATTATTCTCGGTGGAATTGTCAGCAGCGGTCAGTAGGCAACTTGCAGGTCCGCATATCGGAAACGTACAAGCGCCCGCGATGTGGTGACGATGTCGACAGGGCCGAGAGATCGGTGTTCGGACCCCTGAAGTCGCGTTTTAGTGCCTTCCAAGGTTGTCTCCAGGGCTGGACCCTTGAGATTGGCTTGCCAGATTGGTACGATGGTTCCTTCATAGACTTAGCGGCTGCCCCTCCATATGCACTTGCGATGGTGTGCGACCGAGGATGGCGCGGTTTAATCTTTCTGTTGCTAATCGACTACTGACGTTGTTTTCACCAACTTTGTATACCCTGTGATAACTTTGTTGGCGCGCGCGCATTTCATACACGTGTTGTAGGTAATCATGTCGGCGACTACGAGTGCGACGACGGCGCCCGCTGCGGGTGTAGAGTCGAAGAAAGGTATGTTGGATATTTGGCGGGGCGCGTTTGGAAGAGCTATACTAACATCGGCGCAGTATGGACGACTCTGATTACCAACACGGCATACCTCACCGGCCTCCTTACCCTCGATTACTCGCTCAAGAAGCACGGCACAAAGTACCCTCTCATCGCTCTGTATACGGATACCTTCCCCGAAGAAGGCCACAAGGCGCTCGATGAGCGCGGCATACCGAAACAGCATGTCAAGTACCTGCTGCCGATCAAGTCCAAGGACTTCACCGCGGACCCGCGCTTCTACGATTGCTGGAGCAAGCTTACGCCGTTCTCGCTGGAGGAGTATGACAGGGTGGTACAGCTAGACAGCGACATGTTGGTCTTGCAAAACATGGACGAGCTTATGGATTTGGAGTTGGATGCGCCGAGTAGCGGCGGCAAGGGCGACCGGGTGTTTGCTGCGAGCCATGCATGCGTGTGCAATCCGCTCAAGAAGCCGCATTATCCAAAGGACTGGTACGTTTACACATCTTCTAGGTATACCACCCCATGCAACTAACATAACTCCAGGATACCAGAGAACTGCGCCTTCACAACCCAACACGCCGACCCCACCACCGCCCAACACACAGGCGCCCCCTCAACCGCCGGCCTCCGCATGCCCAACGGCGGCCTCCAAGTCGTAAACCCCTCGCTCGCAACCTACAATCTGATCCTCGAGCAGCTCTCCAACGAAGCATCTGGAGACTACGATTTCGCCGACCAATCGCTGCTGGGCGATTTGTTCAACGGGCGCTGGGTCACGCTGCCGTATACCTACAATGCGCTCAAGACGCTGAGGAATAAGGGTGTGCATGATGCGATCTGGAGGGATGAGAATGTTAAGAATGTGCATTATATTCTTAGTCCAAAGCCGTGGGAGGAGGAGGATGGGAAGAGTAGCTGGGAGACGCATCAGTGGTGGTGGGATGTTAATAATGAGAGGAGGAAGGAGGAGACGAGTAGGGGGGTTGATGATGGCTTCTAGGTTTGAGGTGTGTAGTAGAGGCGTTGCATAGTGGTTGGCGTAGGGCTGTAGAGTAGTTTGAGATACTTGGGCGGATACCTTAGGAGGAGCCCTGGAGGCGTTGCATAGCGGTGGGGTAGAGTGAGAATTGCCCTGCATAAAAAGTATTTGGCAGCCGTCAAAGGAAGAACAGATTCCATCCAATAAAGACTACAGTCCGTGTATTGAACAGCTCACGTATTGCTTACGAACACCTTCCTTTTCGGTAGCACGATATTCTCATAGTGTTTTTCAAGTTTCCTTTAGGCTTGGCGTCAGGGTTCCTCCCCGATTCAGTAATCCCTCAGGCTCGGTACTTATGCTTCTTTTGACACATGGTCCGCACGGTGGACCACGTCATGATGGGCGGAACTAACCCTGCGTGGTCTTTGTACAGGGCTTGCTGGGAATTATTAGCAACGCGGACCAGCATTTGGTAGTGTCAGTAATGCTCGGGCAGTTGGAGGGAAGATTCGAGTAACAAGTCGCAGAAAACTTCTTGCATCGGCTTATTTCGCCCGAGATATGAGGCCTCGACGATATTTGAGCCGACTATAGCAGAGACTAAATCCCGAAGGAGGGCTAGCGAAACGGGAAGATCGGAAGACGTCACGTTAACGCCGTGTGTACAGGCAATATCCAGTGAGTGAACTGCTGCCAGTTCCCACGCGAACGGCGCAGACCCCACGGCTTCATCAATCTCAGGAGTAGCGCCGCGTACCTGCGTTTGCCGGCATTCGGTGAATCGAACGGCGGCGGCAAAGTCACACGGCAGGAAAGGCTGATGGAAACTATATGGCTAGCTGCAGCTATCGTGCATGCAGACGCAGCGAGTAACGCATGCGGAGACCCTTTGCTTCATCTTAGCCAAGATTCGCAATCAAAGGGCGTAGTAGAGCTGTGAGCCCCTTTTCGCGGACTGAGGCAAAAGCAGGAGAGGCGGTGATGGTGGTGTGTGGTTGGCGTGTAGGATGAACCCGTCACGATCAAGCCGTTGGGCGGAGCACAGACGTTTGGCTGCTGCGATCTGCAACGCGCCTGCTGCCGTTTCACTCCTGAGCAGCGTGAAACCTCATTTCATGAACAGCGCCAGCGCCCACGCGAGACCCTGTCCCGAGTCGCTACACATTTGCATCTCCTGTGCCGTCTACATCTTGACATCTTCTCCCACACACGACCAACATTGAATCCCACCTTCTCACGCCCGACCGTTTGCCGTCTACCGTCTACCGTCCACCGTCGCGCGCACTAGCTATAGCTCGCTTTCGCCGATATACCGCCCACTTTACCACCATCACCACGATCCATAACGCGTAGATCAGCACCATGGGAGGTTCAATATCCAAAATGATGGCCAAGGTCTTCGGATCCAAGGAGATGCGCCTGCTGATGCTGGGCCTCGACGCCGCCGGAAAGACCAGTACGCACCACTATCACACCACATATACTGTCACTAACTCCCCCAGCCATCCTCTACAAGCTCAAGCTCGACCAAGACGTCACCACCATCCCGACCGTCGGCTTCAACGTCGAGACCGTCACGTACAAGAACACCAAATTCAACGTCTGGGACGTCGGCGGCCAGGACAAGATCCGTCCGCTATGGAGACACTACTTCTCTGGTATGTTGGGGCGTGGAGGCACGGTTCCGGGTAGGCGAGTCGACATGTGCACGCACATGACCTCTCTGCTACTACAGCCAGCCCCCTACGATGTCTTCCCATTGAATGACGTGGCTAATCGCAATTGCAGGCACCCAAGGTCTCATCTTCGTCATCGACTCCAACGACCGCACCCGTATCGACGAGGCCAAGCAGGAACTCACAAGGATTATCCAGGACCGAGAAATGAAGGATGCGCTTTTGTTGGTGTTTGCGAACAAGCAGGATCTCAGCGGAGGTGCGTACACATTAGCCAATTATGAAGGGGGATATCGGGCTGACATGACATAGCTATGCGACCAAAGGAAGTCTCAGACCGTCTGCAATTAGACAAGATCGCCAAAGACCACGTATGGAAGGTGGAGCCCAGTTGCGCGACAACGGGAGAGGGTATCTTTGAGGGATTGGTACGTTCAGACTTGACTTTACTTGCGCATTCGCCTACTAACATATTTACTAGGCCTGGCTCTCCAACAACGTCAAGCTACCACCCGGCGCCAAATAAACGCCCCTACTCCGATCCACGCATCCCCGTCCCTCTCTCACAAATACTGTCCGCGATACCTGAACGACTTGCATGCTCTTCCCTGCATATACCCGGTTTTTCCCTCTCTCTATTTAGTTAACTTAATGTCGCAACTTTATCGCCTTGTAATCTTCTTAATCTCCGGCTCTATTCGGATTGGAATTGTACATTAGATATGTACAGTTCTTTTGGTCTTGTGTGTAGATTTTTTCTGTTGGTCTGAAGATGGGTGGCTGGCTGGTTGGCTGGGGTGTCTATAAGCAAGCGATACTGATCTTTATCTTCCCGTGTGTGTGTGTTTCTTGAGGTGGTGGTGGTGTGGATGGTGATGTGGCGTTTTTGATGTCTAATATCTAGGTTGGCCGCGACTACCTTCTCTGACGCTCCTTCCGAACCCGTCTTTGCGACTTTCTTTCCCCGCACTCATCAATTACGGATCTTTCAACCCCACAACCTTCTCCTCTCTCTGGTGTACGTCTTTGATACTTCTTCGTTACGATTATGGTTCACTCTACTTCCTTTGCGGGCACTGTCGCTTGCTGCGATGTGTATGCGTTGAAGCACGTTAGGTAAGCAAGCTCTCGCACATTGCTTGTATGGAGTTGAGCTGCGCTCTCGACAAGCTGAATGTTCGTTGCTGAGCAAGAGCTAACTGGGATTGAGGTACATGGGAATGACCTTGCGCATCAGATTGGTCTACTCGCAAGCGTTCCTGAAGTCATTTTACTAATGTCTAACATTGAATTATTAGGTTTGCGACATGATGAGACATCATGACTTATTTAGGGGTACTCTTTGTTGTTGGAAAACTGCCGCCCAAACACGATTGCGTTGGCTTATCTCGTGGTGTTAGCAAGCAATGAGACACTCATGGACGGGTATATGAAGATGCTGGAGAACAACGTTGAGACAGACACCAGCGAACGCAGCTGATACCTTGTCTAGCTACGCAAGACAGGAATTCAGTTTAGAGGCATCGCAACACATCTTTCCTATTACCCTTCACCACCTACGACTCCTCGTCTCCACCCCGTCAACACCACACCCATGACTCAGATCCCAGGCATGACCCTGGACGCAGCTAGAGCCGCACTTCATCCCAAATTCCAACGCGATATCGACGCCGATATCAAGTACGATAAATGCATCTGGTGCAAACCGGGCCAAGCCAAGAAGAAGAAACACGCCCTCGTCGACTGCCCTACCGCCCATCCCTTGCCCACCGATCGTACTCCACTCTCAGATGAGGTCTTCAATGCCGGTCAACAAGATGCCGCGGTTGCGTACATTCATTATGCTCAGCTTAGGCACCATCCTCGAGCTAACGGGGCTACGGCTTTCATGGCTGGACTCCCGCCCGCGCAGATAGGAACGTATGTCGTGCCAGTGCCCGCTGCACCTACAGCTCTCCCTACCCTTCCACCTGTTGTGAATACGTATACGCCTTCGTCTGTGGTACCACCTCCTCCCGCAGCATTGTCAGGTCCTCTTCCTTCAATCATCCAACTTGCTCCAACAGCAATGCCGCCTCCTGCTTCAATCACCCGGACGGCATGCGCAACCAACATCGGGGCAGCAGATGAGACGGTGTCTGCTACGTTAGCAGCCGATATGCAGTCTTTGACTATCACCAACGCAAACACCGCGCTTGATGCTCGCCCGTCGTCAGAAGCTAGTGAAGTTGGATCCCAGACAGATCAAGACGTTGGTCAAATCGTTGTCAATCGTCAATCTACTACCTTTGGGCCAACTCCCACCGCTTCGGTCGTCCCGAGCGTCAATCTTCAAGACTCCGCTGCTATCAATTTCACGGAGGCTGCATCCTCTTGTCCGGCCCCAGCAGCTTCAGGTCATGTCGCGAGCAATCCAGTCTCAGTCAATGGTGACCTAGGAAAGAGACTGTCCAACTTGAAGGGTCGCGCAAAATATCCTCTTAGACATTCGCTCCGTACGGGACCTGCCAGGGGACAAGTAATTACAAACTATTTCAGTATGACATTCGACCCGAAAACAATCTTCTACGAATACCACCTCATAGGCATACCAGCATCCGAATCACGGGCCGGCAAGAAGCGTTACACGGAGACCATCATTCAAAATGTGCCCTTCCTCAACACTAATCGTACCCTTTTCGCTACTGACAACGCCGCCACCATCATTTCCTGGATAAACCTACACCAGTATGCAACCGGCGTGCGCGTTGCCACTGGTGACCCAGTCACTGGTGTCGGAGGCGCATGGAGACTACTGGATATCGTTGATCGGAACACCACTACGCGTCTGACTTTACAGTACTCGGGGCAGGTCGATATTGCTGGCTTACAATCGTACGCAAACACGACGCATCCGAATACCGCAACCTACGATCCCAGTCCAGCAGAAACTGCGCTTAATACCATCATAGCCACATGCATCACGAGCAACAACACATTGCATCTCAACAACCACAAGTTCTACGTTCGCGATGCCTTTCGAGATTTGAGAACATCCGAAAACAACGCTATTGCTCCTCTTAGGTCCCTGCGAGGCTATTCCTACAGGGTACACGCGACCATGGGTAATGTTCTTCTCAACGTCAGTCCAGCCAACAGCGCGTTTTGGAGACCGTTGCTGGTCAGTGAAGTTCTGCAACATGGCTCCGGACCTTTCGGTGGAGATGTCGAAGATGTGAAGCGAGCACTCAAGAATGTCAGGGTCTACATCAACTACTATCGCGACAGCAAGGATCAGAAGTGCAAGCACAAGAAATGTGGAGACGCCAAATGTACAGCGGGTGATAGAACCGGCGCACCGAGCCTCGACGTCCAGCACGCAAGACTCAAGACAATCCGTAACTTTGGACTGGCATGCAGTGCACAGACCTTTCTGTGGGAATGCAAAGACACGCAAGGGAATCCTATCGCCGGGCATCGGGCTAATGTTACCGTTCAAGATTATCAGTCCCGGCGTAGGTACAATTCTCATCACGTACACGGCTAGGAGCTGACCATATGATAGAATACGGGCGGACACTGCGACATCCTGGTTCGCCTGCGGTGAACATCGGCACCAATCTGGCACCTACATGGTTTGCTCCAGAGGATCTTCGCATCGTTCCAGATCAAATATACGCAAAGATCATACCCGATGCAGTAGCCAACGACTTCCATCGTGACGCTTGCCGGCGGCCAAACGAGATTCGATCACGAATCGAGCAAGAAGGGCTCGTTCATATCCCGATTACTCCACAACCCCACAATCTCGTAAGCCACCAATACCCAATAAGTCTGAGTAATTTTGTTTTAACATAGCCTAGTTGCGTTGTGCATCGATAAGTGTGAATCCAACCATGCTCCAGATACCTTCCGTCCATCTGCAATACCCAACTGTCCAGTACAGCGGCGCTACAACCAAAAAAGCCAACCATTCAGGAAGATGGAATCTTCAAAACGCCAAATTTCTCCAGCCTAAGACTGAAAACGTGACTTGGAAACTCATCGTAGAATCAGGCATTGAGGACAACTCGGTCAACATCCTAACGCAGCACTTCGACTTGCAACTCATACAGACCGGTGTTACATTGACTGCTTCAAGGCAAGGCGCACCACTGATCTTGCCGCTGAATGCTACCGAGACCGACCTCCAAAACACTATTGCTACCTACCTTGAGGATCTGGCAAAGCAAGAGGAACTGAAACAGAAACAGGAACCAGTACCAGTACCGGATATCTTCGTCCTACTGTTATGCAGGAAAGACCAGAATCTCTACTCCAGCTTCAAGTATCTGGCCGACAGAGTCTTTGCGGTTCAATCGATCTGCATGACTGAAACCAACATGACGGCACCCGGTGGAAACATCACGCAGTACATGGCCAACATAGCCATGAAAGCAAACCTGAAGATGGCAGGCATCAATCACTCCTCACCAGGCATAGAAACTTGGATGAAGAACACGTTAGTTCTGGGTGCTGACTGCACACACCCAGGCAGTGCAGCACTATTGGGAAGCCCTTCTGTTGCCGCCGTTGTCGGATCACTAGAGGCAAATGGTGGAAGATTCCGCGGAAAGCTCAAGCTTCAAAAAGGCAAGCAGGAGGTAAGCCTTTCCTTGCAACAACATCCCTACTCCCAGAAGCTAACAATATCGTCTTAAGATTATCACCGACTTGGGAGATTTCCTACTTGACCACTTTCGCGATTGGTACACTTGGCATAAACAGAAGTTTCCGGAAAACGTGCTCTACTATCGCGACGGTGTCAGCACCTCACAATACGACGAAGTGTTAAGGGTAGAGCTTGCCGGTATCGAAGAAGCCTTTCAGAAGTTGGTGACCCTCTTTGGAGGTGGGAACGTCAAGAAGCCGAAGATCACTGCGGTTATCGTGAACAAGCGACACAGTACCCGGTTCTTCCCTCGTCAACAGGGCGATGCGATACCTGGCAATGGCAACTGTAAGCCTGGACTTCTTGTGGAAAGCTCCATAACATCACCGTGCTACACAGACTTTTACCTCCAGTCACACAACGGTATCAAGGGAACTGCTCGGTCCACTCACTACACTGTCATCAGAAACCACATGGCGATGTCTACCACTCAATTGGAGGACCTGGTAAGTCTCTCGAGCAAGTCTCGTAAGCTTCCAAGGTGGCTAACGATGTACAGACACACAAACTCAATCACACCTACGTCCGAGCTACACTAGGCGTATCCTACGCGGCACCTGCCTATTATGCCGACCGCCTCTGCGAGCGAGCGCGCTGCTACCTTCGTACATGGTACAACCCCAACCCAAGCATGCGCAACAATTACCAGAACCTTATCCGCCAGTGTGAAACCACGGTTGAGACGAAACGCAACAACTCCAATGCGAATAGACCACCCCGTCTCAGAGGCCACAAGAAGACAGACGTGGAGATTGCTGAAGAGAAGAAGGACGCAGCTGAGGTCCACGAGGCTCTGGAGGAATGGCTCAAACCTAGGATGAGAGCAAGGTTCGTCGGTGAATTGCATGACGTAGCTAATAATGACGCGGGAAGAAAGAGACAGATGAATATGTTGCGCACCATGTATTGGATGTAGGTCGAGAAAGGGAGGAGAGGCGAGCTGAGTATGCTGGTGGATCGCTGAGGCTGGTGGGACACAGCTGGCGGCATATTTCCTTCGTTACTGTCTCTTTTGCGCATTTCCCTTGTTTCCTTTCGTCTGCTGTTGCGTCGCGTTTCCTACATTGTTGTCATAGACTCTGCTTTCCGCTCATAGATTTCCTTACCCAATAGACTGTTTCACTCACAAATCCAGTGCAACTCTTTACAAGACACGTTGAACGGGCATGGCAATGATCGAAAAAAGCTGAAGAATGTTATGACTTATATTGAAACAAGTCGCTTAACCTTGCGGAAGCTTGACTGAATGATGCTAAAGCGTTGACATGCAACACTAGATAACCCGACACTAACACCTCTAGCCATATTGCAGGCCTTCCCTAATCTAAACCACACCAAATACAAACGCCGTAGCGCTAGAATGCAACGATAAAGATGAAGAGCCAGGAACCAATGCGCCAACCCATCGTCAAAATACGTTAAGAATGTATGCAGTGGTTCGATGATCATCTCCACTGACCCTGGCTCAGCTTGAGCAGGCCTTCTACACAGCCGGCCTCCTCTGCCGAGTTGATGCTCGAGCGACCACTCGCGTCGTCACCGTGCATGAACTGCCGTAGCTCATCGTCTTGCTCGGGGTCGACAACACCCTTTCCGCCTTTCCGCTTGTCCTTGGCCAACATCGCACCGAGACTTGACGTCTGCGACATCAGATCTGTGTTCTCTCCCAGTATCTTGCGAGCTGCTCGTGAAGCAGGGGGCGTAGCAGCGACTTGGCGGTCTCTCCGTACAGATTTCGGCGCGTCAGGTTCCCAGTTCTCCTTGTCACTCTCGGTCTGCGGGAATTCGTCCGACTCGGTGCTTTCACCGCCCTTCTTGTAGTCGGTGTAGTCGTTGTTGGAGAAGCGGCCGTTGATGGTGGATGCGCGTTGCATGGAACCGCGGGCCTTCTTGAGTGGACTGCTTTGTACTTTGTGTGAACTGTGGCGTGCCATCAGCGGGCTGCTGTTTTGGCGGGCCTGGTTCTGTGCTAATATCCTTCGGTTCGCTCGTAGTATACCGATCGCGTCAGCTGCACTGCCGCTCTCCTCTTGCTCGGCACGCGTTGTCAGGCTGGTTGTTGACCGGCTCTCGGGATCGCACCAGAACTCCCATGCGCGCGAATCCCTGCTCCTTCCGATATTCGATGTCGTCCTTGGTACCTTGGGGCTTGGCTCGCCTCGGGCGGCGGCGGCTAGCCGATCGTTCAAGCCAGCTGCACTGTAGCTTCGTCGCAGGCCAGCAGCAGCACGGGAGAAGGAAGAGGGTGTCTTCTTCGACTTGGGCGGTGACGGGGTCTTGTCGAGATCAGTGACGATGCGTGCAGTACCGTCCTCATTAGTCGCTATTCGTACGAAAGAGTGCTTGCGCTTCAGCGGCCGGGAAGGGGTCTTGGTTGCATGGTCGGGTGATACAGATGGCTTCGGAGGGGGATTCGGAAAAGTGATGACTTCGGGCGTGTAATCTTCGAGATAGCGGACGAACGACGCGCTGCGACGGTTGGAAATCCATGATGTGCGTTGTTGCGCGGCGCCCTGTGAGGATGGTGCAGCCTGCTGCGAGTTGCTTAGTTCAGCGGAGGCATTTTCCGCATTTTGGGCTTCGGTAGATGGCTCTGCGGCGACGTCATTGGCGGTCTCTGGTTCGTTGGCGGAAAAGGCAGTGTCTATGGTGCGTGGCTCTGGGATCGTTTCGTCGGAAGTGAGTTCTGGCGTTGCGGGCTGCTCGGGTGGGTCAGACCTCGGGCACTCGCCCGCCTCTTTCGGCCCCGGCGCGTTATCGATATTGCGCGCAATGGCTACCGTCTCGTCCTCGGTGGGCGGGTCCGACATGGTGGAAGAAGAAGACATCAGCGACGCCGTGGAAGATGGTTCGAGAGGCCGTGAGCGACGGCGGTCGTTTTGGCGTTTATCTAAAGCAGAGCGTGATCAGGACGTGTTTCGAAAATCATGCGCACAACCAAGCCACACGCGACACTTCGGAGCGATTCAATACAGTCGATTGAAAAGCAAGCACCAGCGACGCGCACAACAGATGGATTGACTTACTTTGAAACCAAATCTAGGACGCGATGTTAGCAAGGCGCGCACACTCGTGACGTGGACAAATTGGCGCTTACCTGGACTTCCTTCTCGCCAAGCGCGACTTTGCGGACAATTTCTAGTCGTGCCGCCTTGTCTGGCTTCGGGTTCTTGAGATATTCCGACTTCAACACGTCTTCGTCTTCCTTGCTGCAAGATGTCGTGGTCAGCACTGATGGGGTGATGGAGAGTCGTGCCCGCGGGGTAGGCCGAAGTAGCTCCCGATGGTAGGTTGCGCACGAACCAACGCGTTGAACATGGGTCGACACGGTCGAGATGGAAGGGCAGAACTTGGAAGGAATGAGAGCATACCTGGTACGTCTTCTCTTCTGGCGAGCAAGAGCTTTGTTGTCGACATCCGGTGGCATGTGGTTTGCGACTGTTTCCTGCGAATGCACGAGAAAGGCCAATTGACCACTAAAACTGGCGCGTCTGACGGTGGGAAGACGCGATGACGCAGGCGAGGAAAACGACGGCAAGGGCGATGAGGCGGACATGATGGGATGACAACAACGAATGCTGGTGATTGGACTTGGTGTGATTAGAAAAGAGCTACCATGAAAGAGTGTTATAGTAGAAAGAATAACGCGTTCAATATGGTGGCAGGAAAGTAGTGTGCGAGGCGCGTCTTCAGTCGCGTACGTATCAGATTGGTCCGAGCCGAGCGCTTGCCTATGTCGTGCATACCACTTGACTGAACTTGCCGCCCGTGCACACGACCACTCCAGCCTCATATCTTGTATCATCCATGCTGCAGATGGTCACGCATGCGCGAGCATGATGAGGCTGAGAGTTTATCACATTCCGTCACGCCCAATCGAAGAATCGCTGACGGAAACGCGTGCATCTCATCACTTCGATAACCTTTCGTGGTTCATCTCGGCGTCTTGCAAGGAACTACGCGAACGCGGGACGACAATTATCTGTTTTGCTTTTCCAAGGTTTTCAGCCCTATTTCGGAACACGTCCAAGAACGCGTGTGAGCAGAACCTATCGCGCAGCAGGTTGCTGCAGCAGTATTGGCCCGTGATGTATTGCTGCCCTCCTTCAGGAGATCGTCTGCTTCCACGCGGGATAGAAACGCGTAGGAGTCGCGATGGGAACCATGCTTCTGTTTCCAGGCGCGTAGGACCAACGCAGCTAGTACACAAAAAGGATCGCGGTGAAACACGTCAGCACGTGACGCGCTAACCCTTCCAATCACCCCGCCACATCCGCGAAACACGAGTCAAACAACGCACGGTTCTACTCACCACGACGTTCTGACACAAACTCTCTACCATCGGTATCCTCCGATGACCTACCGTGCCTGTATGCATCATTGCGACTGCAATCTAGGCAGCGACACGCTACTCAACGACTAATGCTCTTGGCGGTAACTCTCACCGTCAGATGGGCTGCACGATGCTCAACCAGCATTCCATCTCTATTCCCGCAGATGCGCATACTCACTTGTCCTCCTTAGCATCTGACCTTTTGCATGCACTTTGATCTAGTCGCGGTCTCACTGTTCAATCCCTTCCTACCCCACATCCACCGGTGAAGACGACCATACAAGGCAGAAGGTTTTGGAGAAAGAGTCGGAGGTTTCCGTGGCTTGATTACACAAATCTCTCGCATCAAGACTGATCGGTGTCTTTCTGCCTTGTACAGTACACTCTGACGATGTCTGTGTTCAGGGAGCCAAGGAGTGTTGCACTGCTCGGACCGAAGCCGACAGAAGATATTCGTAAGACAGCTTACTATCCCACATCCACGTGCTGCATGCGGCACTTCTGGAGTTTCAACATTCACGTATTTGCCATCGAGATCTAACCGAGCGCCTGTGGCTTTTTGGCGTTCGTGCAATCCTTGAGCCTCACCGGTTTTGGCCCCATTTTCCTATCTCGTCATCTCCAGTTACCTCCTAACCTGCCATTATGATGGATGATTGGCGGACGGCTCCCTTGCCCAAATCACAACTACCAATGGTGTGCTATTCTGACAGCCCTACGAAACGAGAAAACCCGGCTGCTAGGTTCCTGTTCGTGTAGGCGAGCTACTGCATCGAGCCTCCGATGAGGTTTTCACATCCGAGAATCTGCACTTCGGTCAAAGATGCGGTCGCATCGTGGTGTAGGGCTAGCCCTACGGCTCCACTTTCGTACGCAGACTCCGCTTTTGCTACGAGGATTCTGGGGTCTGAGATCCTTTCCCACGGTACACCCGCCACTCTACTACTGGGACGGGGACGGGGACTGAACGTTCAGCTAGCCCTTCAATTGGTTGGAGCTCACTGCCTAGTGCTATTGTCGCAGGACATGACTATGCACGGTCTCGATGCTCGTTCGGCTTTGATTCGCCGAGGCCAGGTGTTTCTTCCGTTGATTTCATCTTTAGTCCTCTCATCGGATGCAGGGCTTAGACCTCTATTCCTCTCTTCCCGGTCTCTGCCCGCCGTCCGCAACAAGTGTGCTATCTCTTCCACTGTATCACATGTTGAGCCAAGAGTCACGGGAACTGTCGTGGACACCACCCCAGCGAATCGGCCCCTTATTGTTGACTAGCGAACAGTTGATCCAGCGGGAAAAGCGTTGAAAGCAGGCAACTGTACCCAAGAGGCGAAGAGGTCCGCCGTTAGCCCTTCATTATACCTTGTCACGCCAACCTCCGAGCATCCATGCACGTTGCAGAAGACGGTGGCAGTCGTTCTCCCTCTGTGTTAGCACTAGACTGGGCTTTAGGAACTCGTTGACATAACAGGCTTTGCTTGTGTTTCTTTACGCTACAAGTCAATCTCATTGGTAGCGTCACTTCCACATATGTCTGTATTGTAAGCGATGTTCCCATACATGCAGCTTTCCCCTGTTATTGCAATATTTCAGGCCGACCACGATAACTTGTGCGTTACATTCACCCTTTTCACCGATACAGTGCCACCCTTGTGAGTCACGGACCTTCATGTTAGCGATGTGATGGGGTTGACGGAGGCAGTCTTGAAGCCCAACTCACGTCCGGCTTTGTGCAACGCAAGATACAGGATCGAACTTATAAGCTCATACGCAGCAGCATCCTCTTGTAACTTAACAAGTTCAAGCAAAGCAATGTCCAGCAACATGCGCGTCGCAATAGCAGGTAAGGCAGCCATCCACGGGCCAAACAAATTGCACTCGAGCAACCTTCTTACACTCTCAGGCACTTCTGGTCTGGCGCTTCTGATAGCACAAGAGATCAACAACTCGACGAGCCACCAGCTGATCATTCTCTCGCGAACCGTAAGTACCCTTTGGAAGAAAATAGTCCATCTCCCGAGTACCATATGACAAACTAACGATTACCAGCATCAAACGAGCCTGATCGCTTCTGGTTACAACTGTCAAGTCGTTGACTACAACAGCCCCACATCTCTGCAGCATGCATTGATGGGTGTCGATACTGTCATCTCGACCGTAATGGGAAATCCCCAACTCCGCCTTATAGAAGCGGCTGTACAGTGCCGGGTTCGTCGCTTCGCACCTGCGGAATTCGAAGGTCAGCCAGTTCAGCGAGGCCAAAACGCGCTGCTCGATCGCGGACGCAACTCTGCGCTCGCCTTGTTGCACCACTACCGCGCCAACATACAGTATACGGTTTTCGTCTGTGGCATACTGTATGAACGCTTCTCGGTGAATGGGATGATGTCTCATCGCCTTGGGATTCATAGCGGCTATGGCAACGAGGGAGACTTCATCGCCGACCCGCGACAGATGACTTCGATGGCACCGATCTACGACGCAAATCAAAACCTCTCCTGCATCTGCCTGACATCCGCATACGACGTGGCACAGTTCGTGGTTCGTGCCATCGACATGCCAACTTGGCCTTCAGAGATGAGCATGTGTGGTGAGCGTATGACTGTCCATGCTTTAGTCGAGACTATCAGGGCGTGCCGAAGTAAGTATAGTCATCTCTTGTCCGATGAAATAGACTTTGCTAACATGTCTTTAGATCGACCGTGGGCTAGCATTGACTATCAAGCCCCCGCCAGTACGCAGTCAGTCTCTACCAGATTCATACAGTCGCTGATCAGCTATATAGACCTTGAATACCAAATGACGATGGCTCAACTAGGAGGAGACACAGCTGGACAGAGGCGGCTCGCGCCGCTCCTCGCGACAGCAGAGGGGCGCTACGATTTCGCCGTACCTGCCTACCTCAACTCAGTCTACCCGGACGTGCAGGTCACTCGCTTCCAAGATTGGTTTCTGCGCAACTGGGCCTCGATACCATGAACCAACACCGTTGTGGAGCATCATCCGGTACGATGACGATACTTCCGGGGCCGAATAATATCCGTACCAGACTGGTCATATTCGGATCGCATATCAGGGTTCGGTCCTTGGGATTCTGAAAACACTGTATGGGGCTCCATGCTCCATCTTCTCCACTTACGTACTGCTTCGTTCTCGTTCTCAGACTGTTTTTCTGTACTAATATTGAGTTGGCGATTGGACTAAGATCTGTGGGTCGCAATAAAGCCCCGGAGGTGTTTACGATGGGTATCTCTTTGCAGCTTACAATGCAATTGTATTCGTCATGGTACCGAGTCTGCAATTCACAAAATTTCGCCTTTCAGCAAGCGGCTGGTAGCATGATGGCAGTTGTGAAGTTCTGACCAAGGTCGTGTCGCTTACGCCTGAGACACTACTTGGAACGCCTCCACTACCAACACCGCACGCGACACGTAGCGGCTCGCTCGTTCCGAAGCACAAGCAACGCTAACTATTTCTGCAGAAGCATACCCGATCTGCGATGATGTGAGCAAGGGCCTTGTCAGAGTTTGATGGCAATCTCAGATGGGGAATTACATCAAATCGACGTCACCGGTGGGGCAACCGCTCCCCACTGCTATAATAAAACCACGACGCGCCTGAACACTCTTTTCTTTTCAGTATCACAACCACAAATTCTATAACATCTTCACGACTAAACTCGCATTCTCGACGACTTTATCTTTCTTACCATACCAACAACGTAAGTTTCATTCCAAGAGATGGTGTGGTGGACGGGTTAAGTTTGCCGTTCCTGGCGCGAAGCCTCCAGACCATTCACAAGCACCCTTCTATTCATAGTGTTAACAGTTCTCCAGCACAAACACATTCAAAATGGTTTCTTCTCAGCAAGGCTACGCTCCCACCACCACCGACATGAAGGGTAACACCCAGGCTGTCAACAAGGCTCAGTCCAACCTCCCTCTCCCCGAGCAGCCCCCTGTCGCCTCCGACTTCAACTCCGCCGATGCTAGCACCGTAAACGTTGGCTCCGGTGGCCAAGAAGCCTCTTTCTCCTCCGGCGGTGGTGCCATCCGCGACCCTGCTGTCGGCGCTGGCGGTGTTTCCGGACGTGAGGCCAAGGACGGACTTGGTGGCATCCCCAACGACGCTGTCTCGCGCGAGGCAAAGGATAAGGCTGGTCTTGCCGATACCACTGGCAAGGACTACGGATACCCACAGAAGAACGACCCCAGCGCGGGCGTCAAGCAGTAGAGTACTGTTAAAGGAGGAGTAATGAGATACCCGAAGCATCATGGGATTGTATGATTATGGCTACTATCACTGCGCTTAGTGGCGGACTGCAAGAGCAGTCTTACGATGACCAATGAATGAAATGAATGAACAAACAACCATGTCATCTCTTTGTCGAATTGTGATGTCGTGATGAAGACGACAATGTATGGATGGACCTAAACGTACTATTCCAAACTTCGTGTCAACGCCTCACGCAATTCGGATTAGATTGCGCATGCGACAGACGCACCAACAGCACCTGGCCGGATGGCACCCGTTCCTGACGCCAACGCCATGTCAGCCGCAGCATGCACGCATGCCCAATTCTAGGACGTGTTTGGGTGGAACCTTTGCCGGTTTCCGAACTAATGTCGTTCGACTAAAGGCGGGGTTGTTTTGAGCACCTAGATAAGGCTGAAGTAAGGTGGGATGTCTCAATGTGACGACGTCATGACGCAAGTATATCGGGGCTTGAAGTCTGACGGTATACATAGGTCAAGCTTGCACTTGAATTTAGGTACTCATACCACTCAAACAACCACAACTTCCTCAGATTAACCAGTTGATTCACTCCAAATCTTAACAACTACAACAAAAAAGAACTATACCTAACAACAACATGTCGGCTTCACACGGACAGAAGGTATGTTCTCCGTCTGGCGCTCTCCTACTTCGTTCTTTATCGCTGAATCGTGACATCATTTGTCATGACGAAATCGCAGAAACACTCACTAAGTTACTGCTCATAGGTAACCACAGACCCCGCGTCTAAGATCCCCATCCACGAGGGTGTCGGCACCGTCACATCAGACTCTCTAGCAGGCGAGTCCCTGAAGGGCGACGGTTCCTTCGGCGAGGGCAACCCCAAGGCCGCAGCAAGCAAGCAGCCATCATCCTCAACCACCACAAACACCCACGACACATCAAACGCCACAAAGCTCGATGCCGCCGTCAACGCCGAGGCACGCGACGCGCAAGAAGGATGGAATGAGGAGAAGATCATGAACTCAGGCAAGGGTCTGGGTAAGGAGGCCGGTGTTGGTCCTACATACGCAGTTACTGGTGGCTCCTCTGGAGGTGCTTCATCAGGAGGCGCTGCCAGCGCTGGCACAGCACCTACCGCTGTTGCTGGAACAAACATCGATCCCAGCGTTCTCCAGCCCAAGGGCGCCAACTTGACAGAGGATCCTAACATGAGCGGCAACACCAAGTTTGGTGAGATCGGTACAAAGGACGATCCTTCCAGGCAGGCGGAGCTCAAGTTCGCAAAGGCAGATGCGGCGAGCGCAGCGGTTGAGAACAGAGACATGGCTCAGGGCGGCGACAGCAAATTCAGCAACCTTTCGGATACCAACGCTTGAAGTGTTGATGATGCATGGCGATATACATATATCATAGAGTAGCGAGCCTAATGAATGAAAATAATGATCTGCAAACTGTTGTCAATGTTCTAGTGTTGAAGCGACAAACTCGAGGGGTGAAAGCCGCACGTGGCGGGGCCCTCTCAATCGGGCCTCTTCCGCGGGCACGGACGCGGGCCGTTGCAGCAGCTCAAGGTGGCCTTTCGCGACGCGGCATGAACCCCAAACCCCAACTATCAATGTCGTTCATTATCCCACCCACGCTTCTTTCCTTAACCTAACCGTTCACCAAATCGAAGTTGGGTCTGCAGCACCGCGATTGCACGTTTGACTGCCCATTATGAACGGCTACGGGGACAACGGGCACGACGAGGATCCATTTGGTCCAGCCAAGGGCGGCATTGTATCCAGTTTCGATGCTTTTCGTAAGTGTTGTCTTTACACGGGTGTGCAAATGAAGAGACGAGTAGCAGGCAGTTTGGAGGTCTCGATTGGTCCATATATGTCGTGATGCGACTTCCCAGCCACATGCGACACCGCGCTTGATCTAAGATGAACCCAAAGGCTGACAGACATCTACAGCTAAAACCAAGAAGACGTACCTCGTACAAGGCCGCAACTCCTCCGCATGGACAGTGACGCTTATCTTGACATGCATCTACCTCGCCTGGTCCGAGATAGCGCGCTGGCTCGCCGGCACAACCACACAGTCATTCGCCGTTGAGAAGGGCGTAGCTCACGGCATGCGGATAAACCTGGATATGATAGTAGCCATGCGCTGCGCCGACCTTCACGTCAACATGCAAGACGCTGCCGGTGACCGTACCCTAGCTGGCGAACTCCTGCGCAAAGACCCAACATCGTGGTCGCAATGGACCGGCAAAAACGCCGAAAGTGGGACACACGAACTGGGCAAAGATAAAAAGGCTGGATGGGATGATATTGAGGACGTACATGAGCAGCTGGGCAAGGCGCGGAAGAGCAAGTTCAGCAAGACACCACGCGTGCGCGGTCAGACCGACAGCTGCCGTATCTACGGCAGTATCATTGGAAACAAGGTACAGGGCGACTTCCACATCACGGCTAGAGGCCACGGATACATGGAGTTCGGAGAGCATCTAGACCATTCCAGTAAGTCCAAGGAACCAGAAACGATGAAGATACCAGTTACTAACACCCACCAGCCTTCAACTTTTCGCACATCATCCGCGAAATGTCCTTCGGCCCATACTACCCATCCCTCGTCAACCCGCTCGACAACACCATCGCCGTAACACCCACACCCCAAGACAAGTTCTACAAATTCCAGTACTACGTCTCCATCGTCCCCACCATCTACACCGACGACGCATCCATGATCCCCTACCTCACAGCCAGCACATCGGAAGACGACACGCCCTTCTCAAACATGTTCCACACGACCCACGCCATCAAAACCAACCAGTACGCCGTTACATCGCAGTCCCACAAGGTCGCCGAAACCTACGTGCCAGGCGTGTTCGTCAAGTTCGATATCGAGCCTATTATGCTGGCGGTAGTGGAGGAGTGGGGTGGCTTCTGGAGACTGATTGTTAGGTTGGTAAATGTTGTGAGCGGTGTTATGGTCGCGGGGAGTTGGGCGTGGCAGATGTTTGATTGGGCGAGTGAGGTTATGGGTAAGAGGCGGAGGAGGGGTGATGGCGTTGGTGTGTTGGGAACGCCGTCGGTGGAGAAGAAGAGCTGGGATTAGATGGGAGGGATTGAGGGGTTGATAGAGGAGGATGCATCAAATGGCGTTTAGGGTATCGGGATATGGGATATGTTGGGAGTTTTGTGAGTAGGATGATCTCTTTTCTACGAATATATCGACACTGCAAATCATGGAGCATGTGGATTGGCAGAGTGACGAATAGCGAATATTGGACCTCGAGATTGCGGGACTACGGAACTGCGCTATGGTACGTGTTGCTTTTGCTCCCTTACAATCTCCCATTGCATAGCTAACCCTCCTGGATAGAACCCTGGAAGTAGCGCGCACCTCAACGAACACTCCAATCAATCTTTCTCCCACCTTCTCCTTCTTTCATTCGTTGCTTAGCGGTTTGTGACACAGGGCGCTAAGCTGTCTCTTGGTCTTGCACCACTTTCGTTGGTCTTTGATTGTTTACCTCCCCACTAAACACTGACACCCGACTACACCACCCTTTACCCTCTAGCTTCTACCTTGTACGCTCTTGGACCGTTAGCTTTTCCGTCAACCTGCCAAGTGTTGATATTCGAACGCACCGAAAGATAATCATCAGTGCAATTCAAGTCAACTCAATTTGACCGCGACTATGGCGCCGCCAATCCCACCGCAAGATCGAGATGATTCGCGAAATGAAACAGGGGAGGAGCGAAATGATCGGGTACGGGAGGAACTCCGGGCTAGACTGCCTTCTATGGCTGGTCTCAGCGGTCGTGGAGAATTGTCGGTTTCACAAGAAGATGCCCGCGAAATACAACGACGATCAGAAGGAGAGACCAGGCTTCGGAATAGCGAGCGCCTGATTCGTGCAAGGGACGCTCATCGCCGTTTCCAAAATGAACACCCGCCGAGTCACTTCAACGCGGAAAGTGTCGGTGGTATCAACCAGACCCTGACCGAATCACAGGATCGTCTTATCACCGCCAGCCCGCGCCCGGATTCACCTTTACCTGCCCCGCGGTACAGGCCGGCAGGTCAAACCGAGAACGCCAATGAGCTACACGTTCGTCACAGTCGACCCGCTACAGAACGAACTAGATGGTCAGACTCAACCTTGGAGTCGCGTCTAGCGCCAGCCGGTGGTCAGAACATATTGTCTTTTGAGCCTCTTCAGCCAACTCAGGCTCGAAGCTACATGCCCACTCTGCGGTCTCAACCAGAGTTCTACATGACTGGAGTGATAGCCGTCGACACCACAGCAGAGCCTCTTCCCGACAACGCCGAGTGTACGATTTGTCTTGAACCTCTCTCAGACGATGTGGTCAAGTTCCACGCTTGCGGCCACATGTTTCATACCGTTTGTGTACAGAGCTGGTTTGATCAGAGCGCGCCGCGTACGGGTGTGAAGCGAGGTACTTGCCCGAACTGTCGCCATGAGTTGTACGAGCCAGATCCGCGATTTGGACGTCCACATGCGCAGCAAACTCTTCTTGCAGAGCCGGCGCGTTCACACATGCCCGCACCGCCACGTCTTACTACAGGGGACGTAGTGCAGGCGGTGCCTCCGGCGCTACCTCGTGCAGTAGAGACTCCAACGACGAATGCTCCGCGAGTTACTGGTAGTTCCGATACTGATGCTCGTCGCGCACAGTTCGTTCATGATATGCAAGAGCGTGTGAGGGCGCATGAGCAGCAGGAACAGCAGGCTGCCAACGCTTTAGCTCCAGCTCCAGCTCCAGATCTAGAGGTTGTAAGCGTCACTCGAGTACCTCCGGTCGCTCCCGGATCTCACTTACCTGGCTACGGGCCCCATCGTATTGAGTCATCGGAGAGCTTGCAAGGTGGTACAATGGAGCGAGATAGGCCACCTCCTCAAGTTCATTCAAACAATTCACACCCTATCAACGCGGCAATTAACGATATAATGGCAGATACTCGGCGCGAGATACTTTTTCAGCAGCAACGAGCACAGCAACAGCAACAGCAGGTGTTTGAACGTTCGCGGGCCAGTGCAGCAATGACTGAGGCATTGCGCCAGTTTGTTGCATCTGGAGAATCAGAAGCTGGAGATGGACCGGCAAATTCAGCCGTTTCGGGAGAATACCCTTCTATTGATAATGTTCAAGCACGCGAGTCTCGAGCCGCTTTAGCAGCACGTGCTATTGCGGAGCGTCGCCCTTTGACAGAAGTACCAGGCCTGAACAATCGAGTTGCAGTTTTTCCACCTCTTTCACCACAAGATGCTGCACAGCCTTTTAGAATCCGCGAATTACCAGGGACAGGGCTTGACCTAGCTACGCGCACGACTGATCAACTCCGAGAGGAGCAGGTCATGTTGTTGGACCGACTCCGTGCGATTCAAACACAGATAGGCCGCAACCTAGAAGCATCTGGACAGCCTGCAATGAATGCCTTTGAGCGAAGGGAACAGCTGCGAGAGATGGCCCGGAATAACCCACATACTGCACATCTATATGGTGGGCCGGCATCTGGAGTACAGGATAACACAACACATCGGCCGCCACCAATCGCGATTCCTGTACTTGCTGATCCATCGGTCACTGATCTGCGGTCATCTCGAGAGCTTACTGATTCAAGAGCTATAGGCACAGGAAATACTATATGGTCGACCCAGTATGCTGCGCCATCGCGCGATACTTGGGGTGGACTCAGCCCGTCGATGGCTTCAAATCGATCGTTAGGGTCACCACATGGTCCATATCCTTCCTCTCCAGGGATCCACCGCGACGTCTCAAGAATACACAGCCCCCTCTTTCCTCTCTCCCCAGATAGCCCTCGCGCCACAACGAACAGCAATATGCTCCATGGGCGAACCCTCGACGATGAACGATTTGCGTTGCCCGCTTCAATTACACGCTCTGAGACTGCACCGGACCAGCCACCTGCTTCCGGAAGCGAGCAGACTTCAACCCTGGATCACACACAGTCAGTACCATTTGTAGGCCGTGCATCCAGCACCGTCATTAGATTCAGGCAGGGTGACTCACTGCCCCTTAGGCATACATCAACAGAACCGTCGTCCCGTGTGCGTGCCGCGCGGTCTGCTACTCATCGGCGAGCACGAGCGGCCGCTGCATCAGATAGAGAGCACCCTGCCCCTAGTGTATCTCAGTCCGATTCGCCCTCAGAGGATGGCAACAGCCCCGATGTCGCTGAGACACTAAGTTAGGCTTGTTGCATTGAGATATCAGGCCTGGTTGAAAGAGGAGGGCGACGAAGGCGATATGGGTACGGTTGAAGCTGGAGCGCGTTCAAAACAGTAGTCCAGATCATCTCTTAAACTTAATTGTGAAGTGGATATGAGAAGAAAACGTCCGTGGTGCAGCTAGAGTCGATGATGGATCGTTGGCTGTCAATGTAGGACTTACCTCAATGGAGCGATCAATGGCTTGATATAGACATTAGATGAATACAACAGAACTCATGGATCGTAACTCTTGTTTGTCAGCCCCAGCTCCTAATTAACGTCACAAATGAAGGCCTGACGACGCGAAAGCCCAGATCATGGTGGAAAATGTGTTGCTCAAGACCGCAGAAGAAGCAGTGAAAGTAGCAAGTCATAATCTTTGTGGACACGATAAATGAACAGGATGATGAAATTCATGATTTGTTTTGGCGGACGCCTGGAAGGCAGCCCCACGACAACAATTGATGTTGCAGCTTGTTCGACATGTTGATGCGTTGTCGGTTCCTTTTGGCTCTTTGAGACTGATCTTTGGGTATATAGCTTGCCTAGGATAATAACTCTTTCCCTCGTATATTGCTCCCCAGTGTTGTTTTGTTCCTCCCGTGATACTCCCTTCTACTTCAACACCCACTCTCTTTCCCCCTCCTTCACATCCACAACATCACGTTCGTTTTCGATCCACTTTGCCTCACCGTACGGCAGCATAACAGCCAATACCTTGGCTTTGACCAACGCCAACGGCAGCGGTCCAAACAGTCTACTATCCCTACTCCATTCCAGATTATCGCCTTGTACCCAACAATGTCCTTCTGGCACTCTTATGACCTCTTCCCTTACGCTCGCCCATTTCCCCTCATGATCCACCGCATGTACATCATCTTCCCCGCGCCCCGGCGTGACAATACTGACAAAGTCGCCCGGCATCCCAATGATGCGCTTACACCCGCTCTGTTTGGGGAATATGGGATGATTATAGGTTATGATGTCACCAACGCGGAGGTTACGACCGCGACGATGAAGCGACGAGTATAGTATCCATGGGTGGCCCTTATAATGGTGGGGGATCGTAGGCACCATAGAGATCCCGCTGGTGGAGGATATGCCGCCAATGTAGGAAGAGCATACGTGGAGGAAGACAAAGCCTTTTGCGACGGTGAGCGCGCTACCTATTGGTGTATTAGCAAATCGGTTTGGAGAATAGTGTTTGAAGTACTTGCGGCCTAGGGTTTGGACAAAGCCGGAGCGGTTGAGGGTGCTCCATGGTGGCGGCATTACAATCGGATCCTGAGCTTTACTATCGCTCTAGCATCTTTTGGTTGTGATGTCGTGCCCGCGGCGGTCCACAATGCTGGCGCGGTGTTGTTGTTAGACCATCATCGAGGTCAAAGATGCTGACTTGCAGAATCCGCGAAGGTGATTCTTGCATCGGAAAGGAGCTATCGGGTTTTCGGACGTTCCCGTCGGAGGACTTGGCATCGTATTAGCCGATATGCCTTCCTCGTCAGTACCGATTCCGCGTCATAACAGGGACTTTGCGTCGCAATGCCCCAAGCAAAGCCACTGTATTTCACCAATCGTCTTACGTGTTGCTCTAGCTAGCTCTGGTTGGAAGTTCATTACTTGGCCAAACCTAGCAAATAGCTCCATCCGGAAACTGTCACGAGATTGGAACGGGCAATTGCTTGCTCGTTTGCTTCGCAAGTATTAGGACCGAGTAGTATTGGTATAACCTTATGTTTCCGGAGTTCGGTGGACTTGGCATGTTGTGCTGGCGGAGTGATTGTATAAAATGTAATACGAGGAAGCAGGAGGTATAGTCGCAAAAAAGCAACTGACTGAAAACATGCTTTCAACATCTCTACTATTCCTGTTCGTATCGAACGCCATCGCTAATTTCGTTGACCCGCGAGACCATCCGGTCATTCGACAACACCAAGCCTTGCAGGACTGCCTCCACGCAAAAGCTGTCCCTACTACTCTCAATTCCTCCTCAGATTGGACTTCTCTCACCACAGCATACAACCTCCGTCTCCAGTACACCCCAGCGGCAGTGACAATACCAGAAACTCCGCAGCAAGTTTCCGATTCAATAACATGCGCAGCTGCAGCTGGCATCAAAGTTCAGCCCCGGTCTGGAGGACATTCGTACGGGAGCTACTCTCTCGGCGGCAAAAATGGTAGCCTGACAATCGATCTACAAAAGTTTAACGAAATATCTCTGGATAAAGGCAGGCAGCTTACTCATTTCTTCATTATCTTTGCTAACAGGTCACAAGGTACTGGTATCGTTCGAGCAGGAGGCGGCGTGCGTCTCGGAAACCTCGGACTGGGTGTATACAAGCAAGGTCAGGCCGCACTGCCTCACGGTACATTCCCGGGCGTTGGCATCGGAGGGCACTATACGCATGGAGGCTTCGGATACTCTTCTCGTCGCTGGGGTAAGTACCGCTGTTTTACAAATATATGTAACGACTCTAGCTAATCGTGATATTGTTTAGGGCTTGCACTCGACACGATCGTGGCAATGGACGTCGTACTGGCCGTTGGAACTCAACTTCACGTCACACGCACTACCCATCCCGAACTCTACTACGCTCTGCGTGGAGCTGCAGATAGCATCGGTATCGTGACTACCTTCTATCTGCAGACCCAGCCCGCTCCGGCACAGATTGTCAGCTACTCCGTGAACTTCACTTCCGCGCTGAAGTCTTCGTCTTCCGTCGCCGATATCCTTCTCCAATTGCAGAAGTTCGCCCAATCTTCTCCTCTCATGGACCGTAATATTACACTTGAGATCTACATGAACATATTCGGCACCTTCGAAGTCCGAGGCTGGTACTTTGGCGACCGCACACACTTCTCCAGCGCCGTACTTCCCGCCATGCTTGAGGGTTTGCCGAAGGCCGACAACACAACGATCGCGACCAGAAGCTGGCTCGATGCGCTGCAGGACATCGCAGAAGGCGAACCTCTTGTTGAGCCTTTGACTGGCTACAACAACCACCAGACCTTCTACACAAAGTCCGTTGTTACGAGAGAGGCAAAGCCACTTACACGGCGCGCACTGGAGAGCTTTGCTGGGTATGTCATTAGTAAGGGATTGAGCGCAGAGTCCCCGTGGGAGACGTATATCTCGCTGTATGGCGGGAGGGATAGCCAGATCAATGTTCCATCGCCTGATAGTGCGGCGTATTCGCATCGTGATTCGCTTTGGGTCTTTCAGGTAAACTCCTCTCCTCTCCCCTTCAGACAACACTTATCGGGCAGTATCCCCTAAGCAGCTAGCTAATCCCGTTATTGATAGAATATCGGTTCCTCGGCCAATATGCTTCCGCCTTTTGAGTCTGGCATCAAAGCGTTCGTGCAAGGACTCAATACCGCTTTGACAGACGCACAGCCCGATGGCGACTTTTTGGCGTACCCGAATTACCTGGATCCAGAGCTGACACCAGCTGAGGCGCATCAGTTGTACTATGGTGCTGCGACTTATGAAAAGCTAAGTGTGATTAAGGAAGCGGTAGATCCAAATAAGGTATTTTGGAATCCACAGGCGATTGGGAACTAGGTACCTCTTCTCTAAGTCTTTGAGTGCCTCAACCCGGCCCCAATTTCAACCGCAATGCGAACATATTATCCTATTCTTGCCGTGTTTGTGTACCCCTCCAAAAGACCTATCATAGACTCCAGTCCCAGATGTTCTGCCCGCATCCGCGCTCTCGTCAGCGCTTCATCCGACACAACAGCGTCCGAATCGACTAGCATCCTCAAAATGCCTTCAAGCCCCGCCTCCACAGCCCCAATCAACGGTGCGCTCTCCCCAAGATTTCGCGTCCGCGCCAAAGTCTAGCAAAGCCCGCACGATACTTGCGTAACTCTATTCCGCCGCAACGTACAAACAGTAGCTGGATACATCTACAGGTCTAGTCGGACGAGCCTCTATTAAAGCGTCTCTTGAGACCTACAAGCGCGCTCAACTCCTAAGCACTCATCGCACGATATCGAGCTGGCCTGCGTTACAGGCCGCCCACAAGATCGACACGGGAAACTTTGTAGCCCGGGCCCCGCGCACAATGAGATACTCGAGCAGATCGGTCTAGCCGTCGCACGCTGCGTCTCTTACGAAGGCGCGCAACCTTTTGGAGTCGAGGAATATGAAGTAGTTATTACTATTATAATTTATTAGTATTTTTTATTAAGCAAAACACCAAATTTTGAGCGGTGACACTCAGGTAGCTGAAAAGCTAGTCGCAAAAGGGCAAGGATCCGTTGCCAGTACATCAAAGAACGTCCCGATAACGCATCCCACTTCACGAACTTTGCGCGACTTCACATGAACGCGCAAACATGGGTCAGATGGAAGATGAAGTGATCGGACTGAAGGATGCGGAGCAGGCTGATTTCCGGTGAGTGGCTTATCAACGAGATGATTGCCCAGTTTCTTACTGATTATCTGTGAAGGCATGCGCCGACTGGCCTCGATGCGGAAGGAACATTGCAAGATGCTGTAAGAGGTGCTTCCATTTCCTCTTCATACTATGAATCATGCATTTACTTCCTTGATATTTTCATTAAGAAGTATACTCCCAAATCGTGCGACTGCTTCTCCATGCTATTCCCATTCTCTACGTCTTTCTCTCAAAAACTTTCGAAAACATCACTGTCACATGGAGCTATCCCGTGTGCCCTGACCCTTCGCGTCGCGTTTACTACCAATACTAAACCTCCATACAGACTTAATAACATCCTACCACGGCCTCAACCCCTCAACAATCGACACTCTCACCACCGAACCCTCACCCCTACAATTTATGCGCCACGTCGCCCGCAACCGACCCTTCATCGTCCGCAATGGAGCCAAAGACTTCAAAGCCAGGAAAACATGGAACGCCTCGTACCTAAAAACCGTGATGCAAGGCCAAAACGTCAACGTAGCAATCACACCCAACGGGAACGCCGATTCCGTCGTCTCTCTCCCCTCAGGTGGCGCGATATTCGTCAAACCGTATGAGACCGAAGAGCCCTTTGAGGATGTTCTAGACAAGATCAAACAACAAGAGCAAGAAGAAGACTACAGCGGTCCAACACGTTACGCGCAAACTCAAAATGACAATCTGCGTAACGAGTACTCTACGCTCTTCGCCGATGTACCCAAGAGCATACCGTTCGCGCGTATAGCACTTGAACAAGAACCCGACGCCATCAATTTCTGGCTCGGAAACTCTTATTCGACGACTGCTCTACACAAAGACAACTACGAGAACATTTACGTGCAAATCCTGGGTCAGAAGCATTTCGTTCTCTTGCCGCCGGTGGAAGCGGGATGTATTAACGAGAAGAGCGTGCTAGCCGCGACTTACACTCCGAAGGATGAAAACCTATCCCCTGAAGCGCTTAAAAACGGCGATCTGATAATGAAGGTCGATGAGCCGGAAGAATACGTCCCATTCGCAACGTGGGATCCGGATCAGCCCACTACCAACACCACGCCGTACTCCCAACACTCGCAGCCACTACGAGTAACGCTCGAAGAAGGCGACATGCTATACCTACCCGCACTATGGTACCACAAAGTAAGCCAAAGCTGCAACGAAGAAGGAATCTGTTGCGCGGTAAACTACTGGTACGATCTCGACTTCAGCGGTGGGTTCTGGAGTACCGCGAATTTCGTTCGAAGCGCCGGCTTGCTGAGCATGGAGGAAAAGACAGCGCTACAGGCAAAAGACGAGAGGTGATTGATCTGTGCATATTAACAAAAGAAACACACTGTACTACGATTAGGGGTATCTCTAGGATCTACAGTGACTATCAAGTCCAACGCCATGCTGATGCTTCTCTAACTCTCGTCTCCGTCTATTATCAATTCTTGATCTTCACTTTGATGCCAACGCCCCTGGCGCTCTGCCAAACACTGTCGCTGACTTTGACGGGCAACTTCCGTCCTTTAAGTCTCTGGTCTATCAGCCATAGACCCACGACGAACTCGTACCTGCTCAGTCTTCCAACACCTCTACTGTCTACGAGGTCCCAGACTTCTTCCAACACGGGTGTGGGTAGTCGACTCCTCGTCCAGATCTCTTTGACGAGAAGGTTCAGCACATCGGCTGATGGGTCATCGTCAGGTGGTGCACGATCAGGTGAGGGTATGTGACGACCCTTGTTGGCAGCCCATACACCTTCGTATCGTTTCCGCTCGCGTTCGGTTATCTGGTCGCGCCATCGCTTCCGCGTGCCCTCATGATGTTTGTTTGGGTGTTTTCGCCCCTTGATGCCCATGATGCGTGTGCCCTTCTTCTTGTATTTGTCGACCTTGTTGTCTTCCTCGTCGGAGGATGACGGTTCTTTGCGCATTGTAGTTCGCAGTTTGCCGGCGCTTTTCGGAGGCGACTGTTTAGGCGGCGAGGGCGATCGGTGGAACGGCGAGTGGTGATGGTGCTGTTTGCGTGGCGGGAAAAGAGGTTCGACTGACATAGGTCGAGGGGCCGGCGAGACGTTGCGAGAATGGGAGGCTAGGGCGGCGCCCATTATGGCGCTCGATAGAGACTCGCCAGTCATGTGCTGGGTAATCTGCTTGACAGACTCTCGCTGGTAGTTGTTATGGTACACTGAAGGCGACCCTGTTCTGTTTGCTGACATTGGTCGTCGGGGAGGTGAGAGCTTCTGCAGTGGAGCCATCGAGGCTGGGTTCTGGCTCTGGGTGCGAGGCTTGATTTGTATTGGGGCTGAAGGTTGGACTTTGTTCGCAGCCGGCGCAGGATCAGCTTTCCGCGCAGTCGATCGTCGCGGCGGAGGTAGAGCAGGTCTAGGCTTCTCGTCCTCCTCCTGGTCTTCTTTGGCTGACTTGAAAGAGGTGGGTGTAGACGGTGACTGATGGCTTTCTACAGACGCAGAGACTCTGCGGCGTTGTAAGGACGATGACTGCGTTGTGTCCTCCGACTTGGGCCGTGTTTGCCGCGAACCCCTCTGCGGCGGCTTTGAAGGTGGGGACGTGGACGTGTTGATTGCTGCTAACTGCACCGGCTTCTGTTTGGTTGGAGGAGACTTCAGAGGGTCCTTCTTGGGTGTATTGAAGTATGCTTGATCGCTGCTGCCATCAGCGTATTGTGGGGGCAGCTGGATCTTGTGCTTCGGTTTCGGCTTGACGGGCGGCGGTGTCTGCGTTCTGACTCTCTGCAGCGGTGCATCATCTTTCGGCTCGGGAGGCAGTTTGAACGCACGCTGCGGCTTGGGCGATTTCACGGGGGGTGGAGAGTTCTGCGCAACGCGTATCGGAGCGGAAGGCTGCTTAGTGGGTGTACTGGGTCGCGCCTGCTCAAACATCTTGACGAGCGAATCCGTTGGCGGTATGGGCATCTCGTCGGTAGCCTTGTGTTTTGGCTCTGGCCGTCGGGCATTGCGCGCAGCTGCAGGCGATTCGAGACTGTCTCTCCTCTTCCGCGACTGTGGCGTGGGCTTCTGAGACTCAAGTCTTGCAAGCACATTTCCTACGCTGCCCGAGGGGGGCAGTGCATCCCTCTCGTTTGGCTGCTGCTCGCTCATGGCGGGCGGAACAACGGCCTTGGCCTGGGGTATAGGTCGCAGAGGGCTGTGTCGAGCTGCCGCAAGCCGTGCCGCGATATTCGAAGGCGACGAGGCGCGATCGGGGTGATCGTCAGGCACGCTCAGCGACGCCGTGCTGTTCGATTTGGATAGGTTCGGCTTACTGACGCCTACGGAACCACCGGTATGGTCCTTCCGCAAGGATGCCGGATTGCCTGTGCCGACTTTGGTTGCAGCCAGCAAAGCCCCATTGTCTCCTCCAGTATACGTGTTCACCAAAGGCTTCGGTTTCGCGGGAGGTTTGGAGAAGGCTCGAGCGGCACCTTGTAGCGCAGCATCTCGTACGTTGTGTTGGGTATCGCCGGTCGACTGCGGGACCCAGCCCTGATTACGTGCAGCGCTCATTTACGGTCCATTGGATGGTGAGTAATAATGACGTATACGGGCAATTAGGGGACAGTAGTGCGGGTGTAAAAGGTATTTGGGCGCAACATGAAAGCAAAGAAACGAAGGACTAAAGGGAAAACGAGTGTTGTGGAGTCGCAATTCCCCCAGTTTCCAAGATTAGTATCGTCAGCCTTGTGAATCCACGGCGTAGGTACCCACTGGCATGGGTGACGCCTTGGGAGATGCGCTAGCTCATTGCAGCCTGATAGCCACGTGATCACGCGTGATACGGCTTCCAGGCAGCCACGACTCAGCCTTCATATACAAACAACCGTTACACCCATCAACTCACTCCTCCAATGCACTCAAAATGGCCGAAGACATACCAATGCCGGATGAGGAGGCGGTCAGAGAGAATACGCTCATGTATGGTCATGACGATGAGCTCGACGACAAGTACCCTACCCGGCCGCTGAACCTCCACAAGACGCCCCGGTTCCATACCTTGTTCACAGACCTATTCAACCCACTCATGGAAACACAAAGGAGGAAGCAGCCCGTGGGGGCTCGTCGAAGAGTTGGGCCTCATGGACACTCGAACCTGTCACCCCATGAAGCGAAACGCAACATCATCGAAAGATATATTGCAAATTGGCGAAAGCAAGTTGGAAACGACTTCTACCCCGCGATGCGTCTCATGATCCCCGAAAAGGACAGAGATCGAGCTATGTACGGTCTGAAAGAGAAGGCAATTGCCAAGATCTTGATCAAGTGCACCAGCATTGAACCCAAATCTATTGATGCCGAACACATGACGGATTGGAAGCTACCCAGTCAGCTCAGCTCAGCTTCGAATGCATCTGCGGGAGACTTTCCTGGACGATGTTACGATGTCTTGTCAATGCGGCAGATGAAGACCGAGTACAGCGACATGAGCATCGCCGAAGTCAACAATGCTCTGGATAAGCTGTCGCAGGTTGGTGCCGAAGAGGAGCAAGTCAAGATTTTCAGGCGGTTTTACCGAAGGATGAATGCGGAGGAGATGACCTGGCTCATCCGCATGATCCTCCGTCAGATGAAGATCGGCGCTACTGAGAAGACACTCCTGGACATCTGGCATCCGGACGCGGAGACACTGTTCAATATCTCGTCAAATCTGCGGCGAGTGTGCTGGGAGCTTTTCGACCAGCAGATCCGTTTAGAGGGCGAGAGCACTGAGCTGAGCTTGATGCAATGCTTCCAGCCCCAACTAGCTCAGTTTCAGGACAAAGTAGGCAACTTTGAGAAATTGGTGGCCCGTTTTCAAGCAAAGGCGGACGATGATATGTTTTGGATTGAAGAGAAGCTTGATGGGGAGCGCATGCAGCTCCATATGACTGAAGATCCCGACGCACCTGGTGGAAGGACATTCGGGTTCTGGTCACGAAAAGCCAAAGACTACGCATACCTCTACGGCAAACACTTCGAAGGCGACGAGGCCGGTGCACTTACACGTTTCATCAAAGACGCCTTCGGAAAGAAAGTAAGGAACATCATCCTCGATGGGGAGATGATTACTTGGGATATGGAGAGGAACCACATCGTGGGCTTCGGTACACTCAAGACAGCAGCAATATCCGAGAAAGAGAACAAAACCGACAAAGATACTGGTCAGCGGCCACTGTTCAGAGTATTTGATTGCGTCTATTTGAACGACAAATCACTCACACAGTACACGCTACGCGATCGACGTCGCGCCCTTGAGAGTGCCGTCAAGGGCATACATCGTCGTCTCGAGATTCACCCTTACATCGAAGCACGCTCGCATACCGAAATTGAGCCGGAGTTACGGAAGGTTGTTGCAGAGTCATCTGAGGGTCTGGTGCTAAAGAATCCGCGTTCCATGTACTGTCTCAATCAAAGGAATAACGACTGGATGAAAGTGAAGCCAGAATACATGTCAGAGTACGGCGAGTCGCTCGACTGCATAGTTATCGGCGGGTACTTTGGCACTGGGCATCGCGGTGGCGCCCACTCGTCCTTCCTCTGTGCATTGATGGAGAAGGACAAGGTAGTGGCGGACAACCCACTGTGTTATTCATTTTTCAAGGTCGGTGGTGGATTCACCCTCGAAGAGTACGCTAATATAAGGAGTCGCACGGAAGGTAAGTGGCATAAATGGGATCCTCGACATCCGCCTCCGTTCATCCAGCTGGGCGGCCACGAGAGGAACCGGCAATACGAGCGGCCAGATCAATACATTAGACCCTGCGATTCCGTCGTGCTCGAGTGCAAAGCAGCAAGCGTGGAAAATAGTGACAAATTCCGCATGACATACACGCTTCGCTTTCCCCGTTTCCAAAAACTCAAGAAAGACAAGCGATGGGATCAGGCCCTCTCAGTACAAGAGTGGCTGGAAGTACAGAGTCGGGCGGAAACAGACAAAAATGAGAAGGAAAAAGAATTCAAGATCGAGCAATCACGAAGGAAGAAGGCCAGGACAACGAAGAAGCCACTAACTGTGATCGGAAACGATACCGTCACCACACCGTATGCAGGCCCAGTGTCCAAAGTCTTCGAAGGCCTAAGCTTCTTCATAATGACCGAGCAGATTTTCCCGAAGAAGAAGTCGAAAGCAGATCTCGAAGCCCTAGTCAAAGCCAATGGCGGCAAGATCGTGCAGCGCGATTCCATGGACAAGGACCTCATCATCGTCGCAGACAAGCGACTAATCAAGGTGGCCTCGCTCGAGAAACGCGCAACGAACAACATTGTCAAGCCCGTCTGGATCCAGGATTGCATCAGGCAGAACGAAATAGACGCCACTCCCCTGCCATACCTACTTCCGTTCGAGCCGAACAGGCACATGTTTTATCTTCATGACGACGATCAACTGGACTACGAGAACAATGTGGATGAGCATGGGGATTCGTACGCGCGTGACATCGCGGACGTGGATGAGATGAGGAAGTTATTGGAGGGTGTGTCGGTCCCGGAGGATAATGAAGCGTTTGAGCGAGAGGGATTCCTAAATCAACTGGAAGACCACGGAGAGTCGTTTGCGCATCTCAAAACACATATGTTTGGTACAGTGAAAGCTGTCGTTCAGGATGATCCTGGACGTCAATCCGGGATGTTGAGGCTCAGAGTACAGCTAGCGAGAAGCTACATTCAATTCGGGGGCGGCGTGGTGACTGACAACATGGATGCGGAAGGCGTCACGCATGTCGTTGTGCTAGACGAGCAATCTTCAACCAAAGACGCAAGGACTAAGATCACTGGACTTGCCAGAATAGTCGGCGTTGCCTGGGTACAGAAGTGCTGGGATGAAGGTACCATGGTCGATGAGGAGATATACCAGTGGGGTTAAGCGTTTCTCTCAGACCCGCAGTGGGAGAATGACTATAATGCATATTTGACGATACCACGAAGCCTTCATAGCAATGCTATTGTATTCACTATCTTAAAACGTGCTCCCACTCGTTAGACCCCGCTTCCAACCTCTCTTCGTCATCTCCCCCGTACTCGTCCTCGTCACCCTAAGCTCCCTCTTCTCTACAACCAGCGCCCCTCTACTCTGCGTCAATCGTTTCCTCAGCTCATCCTCCTCTAGGCAATCCGCCTCGTTACCCAATTCCTCCCGTATCGCAGCCGAGTAATCCATGATGCTGCGCAAAAGCCCTGGTCTCCTTCCACTTCTATACATCATAGATCCGCGTCGTGTATCGAGCCACATACCGACCATGATGCAGACCCAGATGAAGTTGAATATCGAGACCATGAAGAGGAATATGTACGAGAAGCCCCATTGGTACGTCTCGCTAGGCTTACAAGATCCGTGGTCCAGCAGGTAGTACCCAGTGTAAGAGTGATTCACATCTGGACGTTTCTCAAAGGCGTACTGGAGTGGGAGAAAGTCGTTAAGCTTTTTGCCGGAGTCTAGTCCAAGGCTCTCGATGGGGAAGGTTGCGATGGCGAGGCTGTAAGAAGTCGGCGTCGTCACGCCGTCAAATACAAAGTCTGCCGTGATATTCAAGTTGGGATTGCCATTGGTCATGTTAAAACCGCGGGTGGGTATGGCCTCAGCCAATAGTACTTTAGTGTCTGAACCTTGCGTCATGAAACCTGTCACGTTCCAATTGCCGAACTGACTCCGATCTGTACTACGTTAGCTGAGAGCCAGAGTAACTTCTAGCATACGTACAATGATGAACGGCATCAATAAGCGGCTGATCATCCGCTGTGACAACGAGGGGTGCTTTCAAACCCACCCTATCGGCGTCCTCGATGATGTAAGCCACGTCCTTGGCCTTGCTCCATTCCATGAGATTACCATCGATATCTTCAATGTAAGGTTTGTAAGTCGTGATATAACCCGTCATGGCTGCCATTAGCGTTGGAAAAGCGATAACATAGAGGGTGGAAAGCAGCATCGAAAGGATAGCCAGCCAACGGAAAAACCGCTTCCAAGTGCCTGCCCCATAAGCCAGGAACTCTTTCCCTAAAACACCAAACGTAGCCATTGTTGTTGTCTCGAAGGCTAGAGCGGCGTATAATTTGTACGATGTGTGATGCATCTCCATGTGATATACAAGCCACTCGTTGAAGACGCGATAATTGGCCCATGCCAGTAAGAGTTGGCCACCTCTTCCAATGATCAAGTCCCAGGCAACGTCGATGACCTTTACCTGCGTAAAGGTGAGGGCGCCGAAACTCAGGTTCGGTGTAAAGAAGTAGGAGGAATCCATGATGCGCCATGTTGCTCCGGTGGCTTCTTTCCATAGGCCGTTCGGGTAACAGTCTCGTCCCTTGATGTAGCCCTGCGATACCGTTTCTGCCGCAGCAGCGAGGCCGACAATGCAGGCGAGCGCAAGAGGGAGTGCCAGTAAGATAACGGTTACTCGCCAAGGGAAGGGTGACCATTTCTCGTAGAATGTCGTCCTGCGATCTTTTTCAGGCCATGCGTGAGGCGCGTCGGACTTGGCATCGCTGTGGTTGTCAGCCACGGTAAGCAGGTCAGCGCTCCTTCGCGCATCGTCATCAACGTCCTGGCGAACGGCAGAGAATTGCGTCGTAGACTTCATTTCTGAAGCGAAGCGGTACGCGATGCATACCAAGAAGATAAATCATGAGCGGACGGGGCGAAGTCAGCCTTATCTGAGACGACTTGCAGATCGGGCGTATTCTCAGGCGTCCTGCCAGTCCGGGGATTTGCGCAAGGCGCAGCGTCCGCAGTTGGGGGCCAAATACCTACCAACGAAAATAACCTTCCTTTTCGCAATGAGTAACTGGCGGCATGTCTCAGTTAGTTACAATAATTCAATGCCATGAGTGCGTCATAGAGCTTGTTGATGAAATCACAGCGTCGGCGACAACAGCAGCTGCAACGGTGCGGTCGTTCATCCTGGAGGGTGAGCATGCCGGATCGTTTGGGTGCACGCCATTGTGTGTACGAGACTGTCTTCTGCCTAGTATTTAAGGATGGGCGTCGGAGTTCACAATCGTGAGGACTGTGGCAGCGTACTTATAAAGTCCCCTGACACGCCCGCAAACCCGGAAGCCACACCCTTACGCCAAGACACTAACAGTATAGTACCCATAGCAGTGAAAGTCATCAAGCTGCCATCAAGCTTCATCATCCTATGAGACAAAATAAGGATACCCCTCTGGGCGATAGGCGATCTGACCCCGGATCCTCAATGAAGTATATATTGAGTTCTCGCCGGCAAACAGCTGTCTTCGGTATAGCGCAGCGCACCCCGCTTCCAGGCAGGGCAGGTACCTGGCCAGGAGGTACAAAGGCCGATAGCACTTCATATCTTGTCTGACAAGATGATTCGCTCGTAACACCGTCGTCACGCGACAGTTCCCTGCGATAATACGATGTCGCGGATGCAGCCTTGCGGTTATCTGTCCCTGCGACAGCAACTTCATGACTTTGACTGTCCCGCGTCCTCCTCTTCGCAGTCCAAGCCAGCCACATGAAAAGCTAACAATGGCAAGCATCTGGACCACCCGCACAACTCTCCTAACAGGCCTCGTCATCTCCCTCCTCGGCGCCTTCTACATCTACCAGTCTCCCACGCCGCTCAACTTCAGCATGCCACATCCAAGTTCCAGTCGAACCAGCATACCTGGGTTAGAGTTTACACTAAGCCAAATATCTCGTTCTCCACCCACTCTACTCGTCAAGCTCAAGAATACCAGTCCAGATACTCCTTACACCGTTTTGAAATGGAATACACCGCTTGACGACTCCGCACTCAACACTGGCGTTTTCACGGTTACTGAGGCGGAGGGTAGGAAGGAGGTGGAGCAGACCGTTTTGCAGGTTAATCGAAAGATGCCGCCGCCGCAGGGGTCGCTTGTTACGATCGCTCCTGGAACGGAAGAAGAGGTTGAGGTCGTTTTTGAGAAGCCGTGGATGCCTGAGCGCAAACCGGCAAAGTACAGGGTTCAAGCGAAGGGAATATGGAAGGGTGTCTGGGGGAAGTATGGGGATGAAGTCACGAAGGAAGAGTTGTATGCTTATGCCGATAGCCCATTCAGTGGATGGAGGTTTGCGACGGGTGAGGTGGTCATGGAGGTAGAGTGAAGAGATCAGGATGCTGAAGTGTGTAAGTGGCAAAGCAATTTACAGTATTTGATTGTTTCTGTAATGACAGATTCCTGTTTGTTCTTCGTTGACTAGCAGCCTGCTGATAGCCCGACCGCCCAGCAGCTGCTGTGTAAATTCTTTCTCCTCGATCGCATCGCCCCCTCGCTTCAGCTTCACGCTTTCCACAGTTCTACAGTTCAGCCCAGCCGAACCATCATAGGATCTTGCACTGTAGTAATATCTGCCACAGATACTATAACACGTCAGTACCTCATCGCCTTTCTCATCGTCCAGGTCATATACCTTGCTTGGTTTGCCCATGCGTTCCCTTATCGAGACTCGTGACTTGCTCGACGCGGTTGAGGAGTAGGTCGATGAACCGTAGGTTGATGTGCGTTCCATTTTGTATGGCGAGTAGGTATATGCGTATGTATGTATGTGTTTGTTCGTAGGTGTTTGAAACGGTCAAAAAAAAAAGGAAAGACGACTCGGTATGTCCAGCAGTAAGGAAAGTGGTATAGGAAGGAATGACTTGATGATGATACTCCTCCACAGCAGCAGCGAAAAACCCAGAATATATACTCAAGTATCTACCCAAACCTTCAGCCCAACTCCCATCAAGTTTGGTTGATCGACCCTCATCGACCTCGCAGATCCTCACCCAGTCCAGCCCAGCTCCATCGCCGTCCCAATCCATCACCCACCTTCACCAAAAGTTCTCTAAACTTTAAACTTTATTCCAACACCCGGGTCAACATGCCACCCAATAACGGTCGCAACTTCCTTCTGGCATGCGCCAACGGCCCAGATCCGCTATCCGCTTAAACCCGTATTTCGCCTCCGCGCGAACGAAAAAGCAACCACGCAACAACGAACTTGGGCCCAGGGCCAGGGGTGGAGGAGAGCTGAGCAAGTCTGAAACGCGGAGCATCGCGCCAACGGCAGCGGGCGGTTGAACCCCGTCTGTAGTTCGGATTCGGTGCGAAGGCCACAATGCGGTTTAGCTCGCATACATATTCAGAATACGGGTTGCTGGAATATGCAGGTATGTCTGAATGAAGGAATAATTGATTGGGCATGGTGGGGATAGTGGGGATGGAAATGCCTGCGGAAGCGGAAGTTAAATCAGGATCTTTGGTGATGCGTTGGATTGTTGCGCGATGCGCGAGGTTTGCGACGACTCATGCAGATGACCCACCGGCATAATTTTTGTTCGGGGAAAACTTCGCACTTTGGGTGAGAACGTCGTATGATCGTGAAAGAGAATGCGATTTTGATATAGACTGGGATCTGAACTTGGTTCCCGAGGTCGCAGTGGTTGTTGAAGCTGTACTGTTGTATGCGGGAAAGTGATGATAGCTTTGAGTAAAAGAAGATGTTCCATTACGACCATCGCAAGCAAGCCGGGAAAGCGTGGTTACAGTACCCTGAAGCAAGCCCATCCGCCATAGTCCAATACTATCTCAATTCCCATCAAGTCCATAAGCTTGCAATACGCGTTTCGCGACGCCCTCTCCACTCCAATACGCCCCCGTCACCGTCCCCAATGCAACAAACGGCGCGCAATGCTCTCCCGCCAACCAAACACCGCGTTCAGGCAAGCCTCTTCGTAACGTCTCCACATCTTCGTCACCCTTCTCAAGCCCTACCTGGAAATTGCAGTAGGAGCCATACCCGGCGAGTTCGTCATTCGCCCAGGCTGTTGCTAGGATGGCTGTAGGGATGCAGGAGGGGTCGTTGGGGTTGTAGTTGGGGAGTTTGGTGTAGTAGGGTGCGAAGAAGGAATTTAGGAGGGTATTGTGCTTTACTTCGGGATTGGAGGCGATGAGTTGTGCAATATGCAGGCTGGTTGGGCCAAAGGTGTAGAAGAGGAGGGTTGGGTGGGCTGTTCCTTCTGGCAGGGCGGCGAGATTTACGGCCTCTTGGTCCCAGGATTCGGGGTTTGTTTCAGATGCATAGGTTGGATGTGTCCAGTGTGTGAAGCCTGGGTAGTGAGCTGGGTTGACTGATGAGTCTGTCGTTTGGTGGATGGGCGCCGTTGTTGCTGTTACGTTTGGTTTGCTGGGGTCGCGGGACGCGGATGGCGAGGTTGAATCGTTAGTGATGGACTCATTCCAGAAGGCCTTTGGAAAGCTGATGTACACCTTGTCTAGATGCCCATACCCTAGACTTCCCACAGCGTCCGTCAGTTGTTTCGGTAACTCTGGGACGAAGGCTCCGGGATTACGCTTTAACCAGCCCAGTGGAGCCGTCATGACGACCTCGTCAAAGGTCATGGTTCGTTGGCCTTGAATTTCGACAGTGACACGTGTATCCTCGGCTTTGCCTTCTGATACGATCCGCTTCACTTTATGCTCAAACAGGATCGTCGCGTTCTTCAGTGCCGGCTCAGCGATTTTCTTCAGTACCTTGTCGTATGTAGATGCAACGAAGAGATTCTCGCCGTCGATACACTCTTCGAGCCAGAAGAACTTTAGGCTTTGCCTCTGAACGGGCGAGCCTACGAAAGCACCCCACATCTCCGCCATTTGGAGTATGGTTTGCCGTTGCTTCTTTGCTTCCTCGTCGTTATTGGGAAACATTTCTACGACTTGTTCTTGGAAGTAGTCAAACAAACTTTTGTCCGTGGGTATCGTCGCCGAGGTTTCGTTCGACAACTTCATAGCTCGCTCAATGATGGTCCAGACATGTTCCGTATTCTGTGCCGCGTCTTTGTCTGACATGTGATTTCCCTGGCCGTCGAAGACTGATTGGCGGCCATCCCAGTTCATGGTAGTAGTTTTGGTTTCTTTGGCCAGATCTAGTATAGGGTTGTCGTCGGTACCATGTATCCAGTTCGGGCCACTGGGGGGACATTCAGTTCATGCAAGCTACATAGAAAGTCGCGAACTTACAGGTCAACCCTATGGCCTAGCTCATCGCTTTGACATAACTGATAGTTCATTAGCGTGTGTCAAAACCTACACAGCTAGTTATACATACTCTCCCACCAACCCGCTTCCGTCCTTCCAACATTGTCACTTTAACGCCCTGTTTCAGCAGCAGATCCGCACATCTTAGTCCAGCGACACCAGCGCCGACAACGCAAACATGCGGTATCTTGCCCGCCGCTCTCCTGATCATATTCGCCTCATCCATGTAGCCGTGATTATGTGGCGAAGTAGACAGGTCCTTCGAGATTCGAGTCTGACTCTCAGGCGTGGTTCTATCAATCGCCATGTCAGCCCTGCGAACTGCATTCTCGTTGCCAATGTTCCCCATGTTGATGGTGTGCGATCAAAAGTGAATAAGACGATTGTATTGATAAAGGATAAAGGGGCCCGAAATGACGCGTTTTAGAGTAGACCAGAATTATGTTGACAAGCAAGGCTGCCAGATCAGTCGCCGCGAAACGTGGTTCCGAGAGTAAAGGTACAGCGTGGTTGCCACGCTAGTGGCAATGCGTAAACTGTGCTTCAGAGTATAGGATGTTGGCTGCAAACGGAGGGGGATGAGGAGAAGACAGGAAGAAATATTGGAACAGGAAATTTTGCGTTGGCGAAAAGGCTGCTATAGAAACGGTAGTCTGAGTGGCACGGTACTTCAAGTGCGGATAACCGTTCACGTACCTTGGAATTTGTCTAGCCTGGAAGAGGAAGCGGTTTGTCAAATCTTGGTCTTGTGACAACTGCGAACCAACGTATTGTTTCAGTAATGCCAACGTGATGCTATTATGTTGGAAGTGAGGCGTGATAAGATAGATGTTGTACGCTGTCAGGCGTATGCACGTCAGATCGCGAACGGCAGGCGCGACGCTAACTTTAGTTAGTGCCACGAGGCCGAACCAGGCACATGATTGGACGAAATGGAAGATGAACTTGAGCTCAACGCTTTAGATTTCTATCTGAAGAGTACACTACGAGTATTGTCCTCGTACATGGTGGCATGTTATTGCCGTGGTATCATATCTCATCCATCATCCATCAAGATCGTTCATTCCTCCACGTCGCACCTATTTGTCCTTGGAGCCGATGTGAAGCTTATTCTTCATCTTCTCCTTCAAGTGCGACATCTTTCCACCCTTCTCCTCGCCGCTTGGGGACGTAGTCAAATCAGCAGACTCGGACTTGCGACCTGAGTGCTCTCCAGTCAAACCTGCGGCACCGTCAGTACTACCCCGACTTTGTCCGGGTTCCCGTGTCCACAAACCAGAGGCAGCGTTCTGTTTGGCAGCAGCCGCTTCGAAGTTGCTGCTGTCAGAAGGAACGCCTGTTGATGTCCACTCTGGAGTGTCGCGGTTCGCAGAGGCCTTCTCGGCATCAGTCTTAGTGTCGGTACCAGCGCCACCCGCGTATGTGCTTGAAGCACCGGTTACAGAGTCGGGAGCAGTAGTCTTAATGGCGGGGTCAGGGCTGGTAGTTGTGGTTGTGGTGGAACCAGGAGCCGCAGGAGTAACATCGCTGGGACCAGTAGGCCCAGCACCTGGTGCACCTGAACGACTGATGTCGTCAAGCGGGGTGTCCTTCCAGATCTTGTCCGTTACTCCAGCCTTGTCGGTGATGCCAGTGCTCTGAGTTGTAGAGGAGGTAGCGCCAGTGTTGGACGTAGCAGTGTCAGGATTGAGGGGCACGATGGGCATGCCAACGTAGGACGGGTCCTTGCTGTCTGAGTAGATCTTGGGGTCGGTCGATGTTTCGGTCATAGTCTCGGTCGGTCCCTTGGTGGTAGGGTCGAGCTTCAGGAACTCATCTGAACCAGAGGTCTTCTCGGCTGCCTGCTCGGTCGCCTTGGCTGTGCGATACATCAGTATTTTGGTCTAGTATGCATCGATTGCCGAATACTTACCATCGTTGCCTTGGTCAAAGGGCTCTGTTACAGTTCCCTTACCGAGCTCTCCAGAAACAGGCTCCTTGCCCGCAGTCTCGTTGTTCGAGTAGTCGAGGAAAGTTCCCTTGTCAGCGGTCGCTAGAGGGGTCGCTATGAAGCGGGGTCAGCATAGGCCTTCCAATGCGCGGGTTCGTGGGGGCTCACCAAGATTGCCCTGGTCGTAGGGCTGAGTGACAGTGCCCTGACCCTGCTCACCGGAGATAGGCTCCTTGCCGGCAGTTTCGTTGTTCTTGGTCTGGTCGACTGCCTCGTCGGTCTTGGTCTGGTCGCCGTAGATGAGTTTCGAGGCTGCGCCAGCAGCATTGCTTGCGAGGTTGGTGATGGTCTCCATTCTGGCTGTGTTTTATGAGGGTCAATTGTAAGAGTTGAGAGAATGAAGTGAGGGAAACTGGGTATCGTGAGTATGCGCGGAGTCAAAGAGTCCGTGTTGGCGCGTTATGAAGGCAGGCACGCGGGCAGTGACGTAGGTTCCTGCCGTGCCTGCGTTTGTCCCTGTTCTACCTACCCAGAATTAAGCCACAGCCAACATCAACACCAACGGGATAATCTACAGCGAGTAACGATGTGGGGCTCATTTTAAGCGTATACCCTGATTTAACCTCAATCAAGCTCGACAATGCCGCCAACATACCAATCAATCTCATGCACTGCAGCGGCCCGGAGCAGCGTCCAGGCGCTTTCAATGGCTGGCATGTGCGGGTATCTGGATTTAGAGCAAGGCGTACCACCCTAGATCTTGGGCTTCGTAATTGTGATCAGCTTGCTGCCCATGCTGGAAGCTCGAATCTCGGCCTCGCTGGTTGAAAGCGACGCGGCTGGGTTGACGTCACAACTGACTGCAAACATGTCAAACATCAGTCTTGGCGCGTTCTCATGCGTGCCGCGATCACGGCCAGCGCCCTCCACATGCAACTCTACGCAAACGTTTCGACGTTTTCGCATTGTAACGACACGTATTTTCTGCGAATAGAAGAATTGCTAGTCGACATCACCATCTTGCCCTCATTGTAGTTATGCCCTGCTAATCCTCCGCTACCATTAGATCCCAACCGTCCATTCCATCCGTCCGCTCAACCTCCTCCATATACTCTGCGCGATCCGCTTCCCAGCCTCCATCAAGCATCTCGAAATGGAAAAAGGCAACGCGTCCCCCAACTGTGCGGGGCCACTGGCCAGAGTGCTCGCGCAAGATCTTGTCTATATCCCATAGCTCGCCCATGTCTGCCTCGAAACGCACCGGAACATCGCCGCGCACCACCGCCTTTATAACGTCGACGAAGTCATCGACTACAGAAACCCCCCACTGCTCGCCCCTCCGGCGTGTCAGTTCTTCAGCGCCTTCCTGCCATAGCGCAGCCCCAATCATGGCATTGCAGAGGAGCTGACTGGCTCTCTTAGTAGGGGCATGTAAGACCAAGGAGAAAGAACCCGTTGGCAGGTCCATAATCCATGGCATCCTTGCTTCGTGTATCCACGCTGCAACTTCCTCGAGACAGCGCCGGACATCGCCGGAACGCTCGCTATTGGGGTTAAGCACAGTCCCCCAGATGTCGACGCGTCGCTCTATCCGAAGTCTAGGATTTTCGAGCAAATATGGAACAAGACCGCGTGCGTGGGTCTGGGAGAGTCCTATGCTCGTGTAATCTTTCTGGATAACAATTTTGCGCACTTGCGCACGCTTTTGGGATGTAAGACGCTCAAGGAATTGAATGGCAGCTGCCGCTGCCGAGAAGTATTCTTTGAATCTCTTAATGCGACCATTGTGGAAAGATCTACGTTCTGGTGCGGCTGGAAGATATTTCGCAACCCTGTCAATGTCTCCTTTATTTGGAATCCACCAAAGCGTGGGCTTCCAGTCGATAATCTGGAATAGGGTGTCTTTAGTGTACAGTGGTGGCCGAGAGTGACTTCCGCTCTGGTCGTCGTAATCATCCTCGTACTCCTCTTCATTTTCGTCATCCATAAGCGGGTCATAATTCAACGGAGCGGTCATCCTCGCGAATGGATCGTACGCTTTGGAAACGAAGCGCTCGAACGCTAGATGCGCAGCGATGATCTGAATAAGATCCTAAAGTATAGCATCTTTGACAAGATAATCCAATCTCCACACATGGTAAAGGTGGCCTTCCTTTAAGCCCGTTCTACCCTCCTTGATAACCGTTTTCTCTAGCTCTTCCACCGCTGTGTTGCCTGGATACCTCGATCGCAGCGCTCTCAAGGCTTCTCGTGTGACAAGTGGATATGCATTTGATAGCATTATATGGAGACAGTAATTCCGCCCTTCCAGGAGATGGCGTTACAACGAGGTTACAGAGCTTGAAGTCGTGGCGCCAGGAATCTGCGGAAGGACCTTGAATCGGAGCGTGTTTGATTCCTACGCCAACCCGTCTATCTTTATTGTCACTCTTTTGCAGGTGTTGATCAACGCGACATCGATCTTTTGTACATTATCTAGCCGAAACTTTTGAGCCGATGGATCGTAGATATACCCTTGCTCTTGATGCGTATAGTAGTCATAGATTTCATCTCGCAGTTCTCGTGGCAGGCAGAAGATGAGAGACTGGTGCTGATCACAAGTCTTCGATAGCGTCGCGTCTTTTGCCATGATGGAGAGGGTTTCCCGGAACTAAGCGCTTGTAATGGGACTTTAGAGGCAAGACACAGAAGCGGCGTCGCAAATGCTTCGAATGGCTTTTGAAATGCGATAGTCCGGGATATCTAGACTTTTTTTACATGAGGAAACGTGAAACTCGGTACCAGTCATACTAGTCCCAAGGGCGCTGCCGAGGGTGCTGCAGCGGAGGTGTATCACGATACCGTAGACCCCAAAAGCGGTATGGCCGATGCTGAATCCTTTTAGTCACAGAGGGACCGGTGGAAAGTTTTAATCACCCAGCCGGTGCAAACATGCTGGATTATTAGACGAGGATGTGGTTGCGCATGTGAGACATTATTACCAATTCTTAGCAACTGAAGACTCCGAGAAAGCGTTGGAACACTACTTGCTCATAAGGCCAGAGTGAACAAACTTAACTCACAGTGAGTCTCAACTACATATGTTCACTGACCATCGAACGGCATTGTCATGCAAGTAGGGTCTCCGCAAATCAACCCTCTGGTACCCGGTTTCTATCACTCATTCTCTACCGAAACGTCCCAGCCTTCCGTTCATTTGTCTAGTCCTCCTCTTCAAGTGACAGTTCGTGTCCAGCATGCTCAGTGGTAAGCTTCACATATACGTCTTCGCTATCTGCGGGCCATTCGCCGACATGGTCGTCCAGAAGCTGGTTGATATCCCATGCATGTCCCATATCCGCCTCAACTCTTGCAGGAAGCTCGCCTGTAACCATCTTCTTAACACCATCCGCAAAGCCTCTATACATTGGATAGGCGACATATTTGGAACTGTGACCCATCCTATGCTTGAGTATAGTGCAGCCCTCGTCCCAAATGGCAATCTTAATAAGAAGGTCGCTCAGCCGTTGGCTCGCTCGAGGTGTGGGGCCGTGAAGAATCAAGGAAAAGGATCCAGGCGGCATCCCGAGCCTCTCGAGGAACTTGGTTTCAGAAAACCAGGGCGCAATCTCCTCGATTCCTTCTTCCAAAGATACGCGATCGAACAAGTCGTGCTGGAAAAATACATCTACCCTTCTCTCGATCCGAATCTTGAGATTTTCACGGCAGAGAGGGATAAGGCCTCTAGCGTGAGTCTTCCCATCTGCCACGCTTTTTCTGTCTTCATTAATAACAACACTGCGTAGATGCATCCGAGTGGCTGGTGGCAAGCGCTCTAAGAATTGAATAGCCACCGCGGTAGCCGAAAAGTAGGTCTCATCCCGACAACGGCACCGCGACCATCCATCAAAGTCCTTTCCTGGTCGAGGCAGCCATGAGTGAAATTCGGCGATCATGTCGAGCTCAGCGCGATCCGGCATTCGCCATGGGTCCGGACGCCATCCAAGCGCTAATGCCTGAATGGCTCGATTTGGGTACGCCGGATCTTGATATACAATCCAATCGGCTGTGCAAAGTCAAAAAACTGCTCAACATGACAAGTCAATGGACGCTTACCGTCGTCTTCTTCAAGCTCCTTGGTGTAGTCTTTGGAAGTCAGCCGCCAGAAGTCTGGTTGGGTGGAAAGGATTTGTAGCAAGTCTTGGCGTAGAGTTGAGTGCGCTGTATAGTCTATACTCCAAATTTTGCGTGAATTAAACAATTTTCCCCCTTCGAGCCAGTCGATCCTGGCACCCATCTCGATGAACGCTTTCTCATCACTCATCTCGATAAATCCCTTTTCAATCTCCTCCGCCGCAGTACTATCCGGATGCAACTCCCGTAGGCGCTGTATAGCTTCGACCGTGACCAGAGGACGGGACCAACAAAACATACGTCGGAGAGGTCGTTCTCGTTCACGGAGAAGATGATCCCATACAGTCGCGTTCGAGAATTTGCTACCAGCTGTGGGCAAATCGAGCATCGTACGAAAGATAACCCTATTCACCTGCAGAGCTAGGCCCTCCATCTCGGTCACAGTCTTCTTGCAAGTGTACTGCAAACTCAAATTGATCGGATGTCCGCTAGCCTGTCGAAGCTTGTCAGACGTGGCATCGTGGTGATAGCCATTTTCCTCAAGGACGTAGTAGTGGTAGATCTCATCGCGCAACTCCCGCGGGAGACGGAAGAGAAAGGATTCGTTTTGTTCGTTCATTCTGATGAGGCGATGTTGGTGTTTCGAAATGTTACCGTGTTGAGGGCGGACAGGTGGTGAATAGATGTCCAAGCGTATGTCTAGTGGCCGCTGTGCGCTGTCGACGTGTCGCCCGGTAAAGTTTAATCGATGAGCAGTACAAGCTGACGAATTGTAGTGTGTTTCGTAGCAACAATGTCCCGAAGGGCTTTAGAAACTGACGGTAGCAATCCCGCTCGCGCATACGGTCGATGTCGATGGCTGCGAGGAGTTGAAGTTGGTAGGCGAAGGGCGCTTGCAATTCGGAGGGCGGCATCACCAAAGAATGCGCCCCTTATCTCCAATTCATCTCGCTCATGGCAGGAGACACAAACTGTACGCACATACAAGACGTCCAGAATGGTTGGGCACATAAACTTTGAGGAGCGGTGGTTGGGAAGTGGGACGGGCAGTTTGCCGGCGACAGGCGGCAGTCTGACTCAACCACCCAACCATCCAACCACCCAGCGAGGAAGTAACGAGCGCTCGGGTTTGACAGCAACGGTTATCGTCACATAACGGTGCAATCAATCGCTTCGACCACGCTCAAACCATGCTGTCGATTCCATCGGCCTTCCAGAACGAGGTGAAACAAAAGTCAAACTTTACTCAAGGCTCTGCGCAATATATTGTAATACGACCTCTTCAGCTAACTCCCAAACTAAGTTACGATTGCAATCAATCATCTTAGGATGACAGGTTTCAGCAAAATGACGCGAACCTTACATTCTATTCCTGTAGTAAGACAGAACCAAGTTTAATGACGACGTACGCTTCATAAAGTCATTGTCCCGCCGCCCTGAACTACGCGATGTATCTGGACAAAGACGCTATTGCTTTGACATCATGCACACAACGACGAGAATCGACGGTAGCGACTTTGACATGATCTTCTTAGGACGCAGGCATCCTTCACAAGCTAGTGAGGGTAACAATGTGTGCTCTTTGGAGCAGGATGAAGACAGTGAATGTCACGACCTCTTTCGTACCCTTTCTACAGTGATATGGGGTCAGCAGATGTGCAATCAGACCAAAAGAAGGCGTTTGAGCCTTCATTCATCTATTAGCTCAGTCCATCGTTGCGATCTCGGGCGAACAAAGGTATTTACACTCTGCACTCACTCCTCCACGCTGCTTTCCACTCCAGAATCCTCTACCTTCGCAGTCATGGAGTCCACAACCCAGCAGCTGTCAACATACCCTCACATCATCCCCCTTGCTATCTCCGAAGCTAACCATCACCGCCGCCAGCCTAAGATCCGGAGTATGTCTGACTATGAAATACAACGACTCCGACGCTCTGACAGCTTCATGAATTACAACTACCATATCAACACCACATCCACGAGGCCTCGCCATATGATCTCTGGATCAAGTACCCCAGAATCCAAATACAGACCCCATCACAGGAAGGGCGAGCTACGATACGACTTCAGATTCGGCAACGGCTTCGAGCAAAAAGAAGACGCACGCTTCAAACATGCTCGACATAGACGGGATAGAAGCAGCGTCTTCACAGTCGCAAGCGCACGAACACTATGCTCAATACCCTCCGAGCCGCCCACCCCTATATCGCCTTCTCCATCTTTTCTAGATCTATACTCACCGTCTCTCCCTCCTTCACCAACCGTCGCTTCAAATCCGGCATACGCGACAACATCCCACTCCACCCTGACGCCCCTGGAACTCCAGGACTGCATTAACCACGGTCGTTATTGCCGCCTGAAGACATTCCTGCTCGAACTTCTCCACCTAGATCTCAAGCTCCCGTCTTCTGCATCTACCCCGAGGTCCTCAATGAGGACAATCTGCAACCACAAGTTCCACCATGGACGGTGCAAGAGGTGCGATTTATCCGAAGCTATATTCCCGTACCTTGGTGGTGGATTGCTAACATCGGGTTTTCATTGCAGGGATTTTGGGTGTGAAGCATGTAGTGATATGCATGTGTCGGTTCAAGAAGAAGAGTGGGCGGAGCGGACACCCTCACCATTGGATATCTCAGACGAAGCACCGCAAATTGATGTAAGTCTGGGTATAACTTCCTCTTTTTGCCCCAGGGTATCACTAACATATCGCTCCTATAGCCAATCGCTTTCATCCCAATCTCCACCACCCAACCTCATCCTCTTGACACCGGCAGCGACTGCGCATCTACATCGACACCCAGCTCTCATTCGAGCTTCTCCTTCTCCCCATCCCTCTTCAGATCCACACCACTTCCCCGCGACACCCGACCAGACCTCTCGCCGCCAACAAGTCCACCAAACTACTCACTCCCCATCCCCACACACCGACCTACCCACCACACTGGTCCATCAACACCATGCCGTGCCCGCATACCCACCGGCTTCGCCAGATACATATCTCCAAGCCCCGAAAGCACATCCAGAACCTCCGTCCTAGGCTCCAATATCCCCGCAACCGCCGTAGCAATGCTGCAAGCCTCGCCTACGACAGTCCACATCCGGCAACCCCATTCACGGCCTGGCACCGCTGTTCAGTCTACTCGATCACCATCACCCTTATCCACACCAGTGACTGAGATTGAAAACCCCCTCTCGGATACACCAATCACAATAATCCACATCCGGCAACCCCATTCACGACCCGAACCCGCTGTTCAGTCTACTCCATCACCATCACCCCTATCCAGACCAGCAACTGAAATCAAGAACCCCCTTCGAGATGATACCACATCCCAAGCCTCGCCTGCGACAACTGTTATCCGTCATTTACACTCTCAACCTGGGACCGCAGTCCAGCCTTTTCCGTCTCCACCACCCACAACAACACCAACAACTGAAATCGAAAACCCCCTTTCAGACACCGCCCACTCAGCCCCCCACAGCCCCCCTTCCCCCGACTCCCGCACCACCATCCTCCGCCTCCACCGCGCCCTCTCCACCTCAACCAGCTCAACAGACACCCACCTAATCCGCACCGCACGCCTCGTCCTCGGCCTCGCCGTCCAAAGTGCCGCGGGACGCATCCCAGCGGACATCGCGGAGAAAGTGTCAGCGCAGCTCTTTTCCGAGGAGGGGCAGGAGGTCATGGAAAGGGAGGAGTTTGTTACGTTTGTGAGGGAGGCGGTGGAGAGGGGGGAGGTGAGTGAGGTGAGGGGGTCGCAGATCCTGGAGTTGATTAATGCTAGTGGGGAGGGGGATGTAAATTTCGTAGCTTGATGACTATTGATTATACGAGAACCTGGGGAGTGTTGAGTTAATATTGTTATAGAGAAGCCTGGAGCTATCCAAGATATGGTTAGAAAATGGGCGCAGGACGCGACGATACTTTAGACACTCAAGATGAACTTATAATAATCATGTTAATATGAACTTGCTAGACCTCCTTCACGACCCATAGTCGCGCACTGATTTCTCCTAGGACTCCTTATATGATATCTTGATTCATTCCCAAAACCTCCCCTCAGTCCTCGCGCTGCAATAATCATCATCTCAATCATCGCACCTCCTCATTCTCTGCTCATGCAGTCTAAGACTCTTAACATGGCTCGCTGACAAGTGGTCCAGGATAGCGTCATTCTACTCGTCCTCCATGCCTTCCAGTAGCGTGTGTTCGAGAACATCGCTCAGCGTCACCATGCCCTTGAGCTTGCTGTTTTCATCGATGACGACGAAGCGGTGGACGCGCGACCTGCGGATTGTGTCGTATAGAGTGGACATGTTGTCGTTGAGCGAACAGGTGAAGATACCAGGAAAGTCCTGCGGGTTGTTAGAAGCGTGTGGGTGATGAGGAGGGGAAGACTGACGTCTGAGCGTTTTAGTAGCGCGTCGCCGACAGTGAGGTTCAGGTCGTCGTATACACCGCCCTTGATAAGTGCAATGACGTCGACGGCTTCGAAAACGTTCAGCACGGTACCTGTTGGTCTTAGCCAAGTTCTTTATAACCCAGCACTACCACTTACCAGCTCTGTCCAAGATAGGCACACTCGATATGCTCTTCTTAACAAGCATGTGGATGACGTCCATGACCGGTGTATCCATTGATGCAGTCGCGAGATCCTCGTATGTACCGACATTAAGCTCCTTCAGCGGCTTCCGCAGCTTCTGTGTTTCCTTGACGTTCACGGCGATGAACTTCAATATGCGGTATTGAGTGATGACGCTAACGACCATGGTTCTACGTGTCTCGTCATCGCTGTCGACTATGGGTATACGCCGGGCGCGCGACTCGAGCATCTTGCGGCATGCTTCGTATACGGGTCGGTCGGGGTGGATGGATATAGTTTCTATGGGTTTGACGCCCAGTGATCTCTCGATGTCTGTCTTTGTGAGCTTGGGTTCGGTATTGGAGGCACAGCGCTTACCTCGCAGACTGTTCAGGCGGAACTGGTCGACCCGCGCCAAAGCGTCCGGGTTCTGCCAGTAGTACTGTATCACGTTTATATAGTCTGATGTCGTGAGGAGTCCGGCAAAGGTAGATGACTTGGAGTCCCATAGCGGCGCTGAGACGATTCCTACACACACCGTCAGCTCGCTCTTGCTTCTATATCCAATGTCCAAGCTCACCATTCTGGTTCAGTATGTTCAGACTCTTCTTCACCAGCAATGCCGTGTCAAAGACGATCAGGCGATAGCTTATAGGAAGAACATCGTAGCTCGTTCTGGCCTTGAGGAAAGCTCTGATGGTTCTCTAGCTCTTGTCAGCTACCGCAGCGACTGTCCACAATCTAGGCTTCATACCAGGCCTTCCAGTTGCTCGCGATCAACAGCTGAAAGTTGGCGCGGCTGCTCTTTCGGGGGCAAAGGCGCTCGGGACTGTTGGAGCAGGTCCCTCGGCGTCACAAAGGCGGGTCGCGCATCGCTCGTGAGGGCGTTGGTCGTAGAGTCTGCCGTGTCGACGCCCGACATGATTATCGCGTTGCTCCTCGGAGCCGCATGAGCGTGAATCCAGTGATCCAAGCTTCGGGGATAGATGTAGCGGGATGGGGACTAGTAGACGCAGGATTTCTTGAATGCGGTGAAAGTCGGTGCAGGTAGAGGCCCCACGATCGTCATTAGCGCATCGTGGACCTGGAATGTCAATGCGCAAACATGCGGGGCAAACAATGATGTAGGAGCTGAACGGCAGCAAACAAACACGTATGGCAAGCTCATCTTGACTTTACTTGCTTTGCTTTGATTGAATTGAAGCGCTCAGCTCTGAGTTACGGCTAACCTTAGGAAATGCACCCGACAGAAACCTGGTCCTGAAAGGGATCCTCAGGTACGCTAGAAATCATACACTGCCACCATCTCCTCATGAACATTGCACGCCACCCTGCCATTCCAAAACATTCCTCCAATTCATAGTATCCATATGCCAAATAGTGACCCATCCACATTATGCGTCATGTTTCCTGGCTGCCTTTGCAGCGTCCAAGTTGAGCTCAGGTCCTGGCTCGGCCTCGGCCTCCTCCATGATAATCTCCTGCGCCGCTGCTTCGACCGGTATCTCTGGCTCGCCAATCGACTTCTTCGCTTGAGCCACGATGGCGTCTGCTTCGGTGATGCCGCCCTTCATGGTCGACTGGTCACCGTCCACACCCATCGCGGCGTCGTTCTTGCGCTGCCGGAGCGCCTTGTTGTCGAAGCGAACGACCATGCAGGAGAGATTATCAGTGGAAAAGCGTGCAAGGGCGTAGTCGACGAGCTTCTTGGATGCTTCTTGGGGATCGTGAACTTGGCGGACGAGGTCGACGGCTTCCTGGTCGGAGCAGACATCCCAGAGCTACGGTTGTTAACGAATATCATGAATGTAGGGCTGTACTACTTACACCATCGCAAGCGAGAATGAGAAACTCGTCCTGCTCGGCCTGGATAACAGTCTCGGTGGTGTACGGATGTCCGGTGACCAAGTCCTTCATATAGGCATCGCCCAGTGCTCGTGTGACAGCCAGGACGCCGTTAACGCGGTTGTTGAGAATCAAGCCACCAGCGCTGGCAACACGGCGTCCCTCGTTCTCGTCGCTGCCCTTGTGGTCGTAGGAGAGGCGGAGCGCTCGGCCATTGCGGCAGAGGACAATACGCGCATCGCCTACGTTGGCGGTGTACAGCACGCGTTGTCGGCTGGCCTCGTTTCGTAATCTCGCCTCGACTTGCTGCTCAGCTGCAGGCTCCACAGCTGAATCGGTAGCCTCCCCGCCTTCGCCTGCATGCTTGATAGCCGATACTGCCGCGGGGGCAAATAGCACTGAGCCGGTGGACGATTGCGCATTAGGTACTCGGTCCTCCCACCTCAGAACCGCAATCACCGCAGTACAACCACTGTTCTTCAAAGGAAGCTTCTCCAACTGCTGGTCGACTACAGTGAAGGTCTGATCGAGCAGCTCGGGTATCGGGGTGTTGGGGTTCTTCCGGATCGTCTCTTCCAGGATCAGGTGAAGCTTCTTTCCACACCAGTCGGCAGCGAAGGTTCCGGCGTGCCCATCAAAGATGGCGAAGTATCCGTTGTCCGTCTCAACTACGGCTTGCGACAGAGGGTCAGACTGAGTGGAGCTGGCGTCGGAGATGGCGCGGGCCTTGTCGGCAGCATACGAGGGCGCTGGGGTGCTCAGGAAGTTGTACAGGTATGCGTGGGTATCCTCCATGGTTCGTCTGCACTTCTTGTTCTTATCCTCTGTAACACCAACGCGGAAGGTAGATCGTGGGCCGGGCGCCGACTCGCCGGCGGAGTTGTTGAGGGAGCCCTGGGGGACGCTGAGAGCGGCATCCGACTTGCCCAGCTTCTGCATGGGCGTCTGGGGGGCAGCCTTTTCGGTCATGGTGGAGTTGGTGGTGTTGGTGGGAGAAGAGCCGCCGAGGTGCAGCGACTGTTTTGCGCTCGAGAACATGTCGCGGGCACGCGATACGCCACTACTCCGTCGTTTTCTCTCGGTGGGAGCGGAAGCGTCACTGGGCTTGCGATCTATGGAAGCGGAGCCGTTGCTGGTCGTGTTTGTCGGTGCAGCAGCTGCGTTGTCCGCCGCTGGGGCTGCGGGTTTGGGCGCGTCATTGTTGGCAGGGGTGTCGATGGCGGGACTCTCGTCGTCCTTTGCATTGCCAAACATTTTCGAGAGCAAGCCTCCCTGGGCGCTCCGACGCCTGTTACCTGCCAGCTTGGAGGATGGCGCTGGCGTTTGGTGACTGGGTAGTGGCGGCGATGCAGATGGGGGCGGCCGAGGCGGCGGTGGATTCGCGGAGTTGAGATAAGCGGGGCTCAAGGGACAAGAATGTTAGGAAAGATGTGGACGGATGCAAGGGGAGGAGTCGTGGGAGTTGTCGGTGTTAGGTGTGATGACGTCGAAGGTGTATGGCGGGGCGAGCAGCCGGAAATATCAATTGGCGCAAGAGAAGGCTTGACGCTGGGAAAAGATGACAAGGCGCGGGCACGTTCCAGGGTTGAGATTGGACGATCGTCGAGATAGCGTGGGCGGATAGGCAGTGAGTTGCAGACAGCTTGAGCAATGGGAACCCGACTGCTTGTTGTGGAAGTGCGGGGATTAATTGTGCAGGTACTCGACTGAAGAAGGCGACCCCGCTAGGTACTGTTCAAGTGTGAATGGAGGCGACGGCGCAGGCCAAATACACGGTCTTGTGACTCGGCTCTATCACCACCAAGGTTAGCATACCCAAAGCAATTCCAGGGTTTTGGGCTACGGATCAGCACGATCTAGGCTCACGCGCATGCAGGCCGGCGCGTACGGTGGAGCCGGCTTGAATTGACTAACATATCTATGTACAGCCCGCCGGTCATGACTATCCCGCAACATGAAAAGCGGAAATTTGAGATCATCAGATCTTCATACGCAGATTGCACTGTCTCTTGACGTGATCAAGATTGAACGCTCTATTCAAGCCGTCGGCCTGAAATCCATGCATGCTGACACCGAGCCAAGAACGCTGTGCGGGCATGGCAAAGTTGCTTCTTGTACTAGCACTTCACCTCACCTTCTCAGGCTGTCCAAGCGTGCCTGGAGGTCGTCGTCATCAGGGTCAGCTCCGCCGCCGCCAACAGCCTGCGCCACCCTAGCTACAGGTACTGCGTTCTTCTGCAGTCCGCTGGGCGTCTCGCCAAGCTATGCGACGTTAGCGATTGCGGTCTTGGTGTTGAATAAGTACTCACAGCCTGGCCAAGGTCGATGCCTATCTCGTCCAAGACCTGGTTGACGACGTCTTCGCTCTCCTCTTCGTCTTCCATGCCAGTGGCATCGTCGATAGCGTCGTCCATCATCTCTTGCCTCTGGTCCATAATGTCGTTCTCTTTCTCAAACTCCATGGCAATGCGTTGGAGCGCGGGGAGGTTCATCTGCCTGTTCATGCTTCCGAGCAGTGCTGCGCATATTAGACTGGTTTAGCAAAAGATTGTAGATATAGACTTACTTGTCGCGCCCTTCATAGACTGCATCATCTGCTCGTTACTGCGTACCGTCTGCCTGGGGTTAGCCATGTTCTGCCCCTGGTATGCATCGGCCATACCTGTATTCTCAACGAAATCGCCTGTAGTTGTGTGCGCATCTGGTAGAACTTCTGGATATATCTTGCGCACGTTAGCCATGTGCTATCAGTAATGCGATAGAGCGGCTCAGCATACCGCCGTGTCCGCACCAGGTCCTTTGCCTGGATGCGCAAAGGCCCCATTTGCCCATTCTTTGCGCTCTTCTTGATGTCTGCGACTAGCTTCTTTTCCTGGTTCTCGAGCTTCACGCGCTCACGGTCCAGCTCGCGTTGCGTCTTCTCGAGTGCGCGCTGGTGTTTCCGCAACCGTTCCGCCGGCGTCATGCGCTTTCCGAAGGCCCATTCTACAATCTTCCAGGCTTGTCAGCATTGGCTCCGTATACGAAGAGGTATACATACGTTCATGGTTAGGACTAGATTGTGCGAGGTTTGTGGAGGATCCTGGGGTAAACTTGGAGACGTGGGTGCAGCGGGTAGCGCGCGATACGACGGACCACTTCGTTCGGATTATGAGGCTAGAGGAAGAGACCAGCTCTGAACTGGCGAGTGTTTGTACGGAAGTTGCCAGAGACGTCAAGTTGCAAAAAGTGGCTGCCTTGCCCGATTATGTCATTCGATGTTCGGCCGGGTTGAGGCGTGGAGGGCAAGATACACAGATGCAGGTATGGCGATGCCGAGCCTCGAGGGAACTATCTACCACTTGCCCACCTTTATGCAAGCGCAATTATAGTACATCAATTCACCCAAATAATTCACGCATCAAACAGTGCCCAGCCAGACGCACACAGGTTGACGTGAGGTAGCTGCACACGTGTATGCCGCGGTAGTGCCCTGGTGGGCGTGTAGCTGTCACGACAGCCAATCCCTGTTTCGGTGCGAGGTGGCGTGTGCACACCAACTCTGACGTTGTCTCAGCATATTCTTTCTCGACACCGCCTCTCTCCACAACAACACACCCGCCCCTCCATATCTCTCACGACATGCGCCCCTCCTCATAGCGCAACCCACCGAACCACCTCGATGAATCCCGATCGACGAAACGGCCGACCCAACTCGCCCGGCGAGTCCTCCAGCAGCGGCCGCCGTGGTGCGTCCGATGACTTCGTCCCGCGCCGGAATGCTGGACCTGGATACATGACGGTCGGCGGCGGGAGCACCACGAGCGATGCCGCCGCCCGCCTCGTCTCGATGCTGGACGAGGACTCTGGCTACGGCGGAAGTATGCAAGACGGCGAGGGCAGCGGGATGAATTGGCGGTCTAACATTGGCGAAGACAGGCCATCACCCATGTTGTCTGCCGGGTCAGGGAACGCCGAACACGAACGACAGCGCAGCCATGTCCTCCAACTGCGCTACAACCAGAACAAGAACGCCCTCGGCCGGGCAATTGCTGGCACCATCGAGACGCTCAAGAGTTTCCAAGAGATGAACCTGAAATGGCCGGCCCACTACCCCTCGGTCCAGGTGGCTGAAAAGCAAAAAGCACATCTGCGCAACGAATCACGGCCCGGCCTGGCGCACACGCAGTCTGCCATGGGCAACTTCGACCCCGACATGCGCTCCCCCGAACGACCGCGAGGACCCCGCCGAGCGGGCACGACAATTGGAGATGACTTCGGCGCCGAATCGAGCTCAGCCGCCGAACAGAAACGCAAGGAGGAGCCCAGACTGGTTACGCCACAGCTGGCCCACGACTTCTCCGTCCTGAAGTTGGAACTGCGCATGGGAGGCCGGAACCAAACAGACCTGGTACACTCGCTCGAGAAGAACTCTGTTGCCTCTCTCCTTGACGGACAGATCCAACAGAGCATACGCCACCTCTTCTCTCTCAAAGAACGTATCGAGGACACATCGAGCAAGGTCCTGGTTACCGGAGATCTCAACGCCGGAAAGTCGACCTTCTGCAACGCCCTTCTCCGACGCAAGGTCCTTCCCGAAGATCAACAGCCCTGCACAAGCATATTCTGCGAGGTTCTTGACTTCAGAGAGAATGGCGGAGTCGAAGAAGTCCATGCGATTCCCATCGGCTCGACATACAACCGCAACGACGAGAGCACCTATGTTGTATTCGACTTGAAGGACCTTGAGAAGATCGTCATCGACAACGACCACTTCTCACAATGCAAGATATACGTCAAGGACATTCGGGACGTAGATGAATCTCTTCTCAACAACGGAGTCGTCGACATCGCTCTCATTGACGCCCCAGGTCTGAACGCCGACTCTCTGAAGACAACCGCCGTTTTCGCTCGCCAAGAAGAGATTGATGTGGTCGTCTTCGTCGTCTCTGCAGCAAACCACTTCACCGAGTCCGCCAAGAACTTCATCTTCACCGCAGCGCGAGAGAAGGCATACATGTTCATGGTGGTAAACGGCTTCGACACCATCCGCGATCAGAACCGTTGCCAAGAAATGATTCTGAAGCAGGTCGCTAATCTCAGTCCCGCCACGTTCAAGGAGTCTAGCGAACTAGTACACTTTGTCTCCAGTAACGCCATTCCCATGGGTGGTGGAGGGAGCCCCCCAGATGACGGCGGCGACGATGACCCTTCTGACAAGGGAAAGGGCAAGGAAGCAGAGAAGCAACGCGACTTTGCTGACCTTGAGGCCTCGTTGCGACGTTTCGTATTGGAAAAGAGGGCACGATCCAAGCTGGCACCCGCGAAGACCTATCTCCTCAACGTGCTGGGAGACATGAACAACCTTGCCACTGTCAACCGAGATGTGTCCCAAAGCGAACTGGACCGTGTCACCAAGGAGATCCAGGCGCTCGAGCCCGAGTTTGAAGAGTCAAAGAAGTCACGGACGGAAGCCGGAGAGGCAGTAGATCGTATGGTCGAAGACACAACATCAGACGTCTATGGCCACACCCGGGACACGCTCAACAACTCTATCGCTAGGGTGGCAGAGCAGGATCTTGGCATCGAATACCCTGGCCTCTTCTCAGCTTACCAGTACGCCGAGGATATCAGAGACTCCATGCTCCACGAAATCACCGAAGCGGTTCGCTTGTGCGAAGAACATGCACGAACCCAAGCGGTACAAGGCTACAACGGCATCAAGAACTTGGGTGTTTTACATCTTGGTAACAACCTGTATGCCGATGTCATGTTCCGCCCAGAGAGGATGTTTAGGAAGTCAGTGCACGCTCTCGCCCGCCAGGTGGACATCGACATAGATCTATGGGACTTTTTCGATGTTGCCAGTCTATGGGAACGACAAGAAAAGGCTGCCGGTGCTGGTATGGCCATGACTGTTGCCGGTGTAGTCGGCGGCAGGTTAGTCGGCGGCGTCGGCTGGCTAGACGGTGCCCTTGGTGCTGCAAAGGTCATGGGTACGAGCAACATGAGGAGACTGATCATTCCCGGTCTCATCGCTGGTGGTAAGCACATCCTTTCGCTGTTATGTAATCTATACTAACTTCTATAGTTGCTCTCGGAGTATCATACGTCTTGGCTTCCGTACCTAAATCGCTACCTCATCGTCTTAGCGCAAAGCTTTCCCAACAACTCTCAGCGATCGACTATACACACTCCAACGCCCTTCGCATCAGCTCAGAGGTTCGCCGCGCACTCAAGGGCCCTGCTAACGATGTCCGCATCGGTCTGCAGAGGAACGTCGAGAAGCTCCAGCTGCAGAAGGAGGAGACAACCAAGCTTAAGGCAGAAACCGAAATCGCTCGCAAGTACTTTGGCAACCTCGTGCGCAGCAGCAACGACCTACGCCAGACGGTCCAACGCGTTGATTTGGAGGCTGCGCCACCAGCGATCAGCAGCCCGATGCAGTAGATGTTGTCATGTCCTTATGCTATTTGAAAGAGTCACGGCTTACGCATACGAAGAAAAGGTTCAGCATGGAGGCGTTTGCAGGTGTTTAGGATAGGCCATGATGAAATAATCTTGCCCGCTTTCTCAGTGTACATAGAATTGACCCAATACCCCTCTTGCCCTTTGGTCGAAATCGATAGATAGATACATCCAAACTCTGAACAAGTGAAATGATTATAGTTGTGATAGTACTTTTTGCCAAGCTGTCGCGCGTTGGACCCTGTACATTGATAGTGGACACGCGTGAATCGAGACCTCGGATCTGCGCACGTCATCCGTTCAACGCTACCTACCGCCCGCCTGCCTGCATCCACCCGCTCCATGGCGGCTCATGCACAACCGAAACCACCCTCATGGAAACTAGAAGAGACCCCCGATCTTTTCTCTTCTTCATAATCCTGCTGCTGCTCATCAACTCGCCCGAACCGCAACAGCCGACGTTCAATGCGCGCACCCGCTACCGAGAGCTCGTCGAGCGCGAATACTACCAACTCGATATCCTGAATCGGACGCGATACGGCGATTTCAATCCGAAGAAAGACAAGTGGCTGAACGTCACTGGGCTGAGGGATGAAGATGGCTTCGCATGGGACTTGCTGGACCCTGTGAAGCAGAAAGCGAAGGCGCAGTCTGAGCGACTACTGGGAGATGTGTGGAAGGGCATGCTGGATGGACCGCTGCAGGAGGGAGAGGCTGGTGTGCCGGTGTACAAGAACCTGTCTGGATACGTACAGGGAGAATGGACGCGCTCGCCGCTCAGTCGCATACGGCATCCCAGCGATATGGGTAACGCATCGGCCACCCCCGATAATCCCTTTGGAAACCTGGTGGAATACGATAGGAACCTGACTGGTGCAGGTGGACCATTGCGGATACACGTCACAGAGCTAGAGGATAGAATGCGGAGGAATGCGAACAAGACAATATCAGAGATCAGCGCGAAAGTGGTCATTGGAGACAAAGACAGCTTTGGAGGAAATTGGTGGGAGTTTGTGGCGCACGGCGTTCACTTTATGAAGAGTGGAACTGCTGTTCTGACTACTACGAGTGATCGGTTCGCGGGCATCTTCGCTTTGCCTCATCTGCAGATCACGCCTTACTTCTACTCGACCTCTCAGGAATTCCTCAACTGGACCATCCACGAAGCTATAGAACGGCAGGAGAAGAGAACTTTCCCGAACTGGAACCCCTGGACATCCGCTGCAGAGGGCAACAACGAAGGCATGTTTCAAGGGCACCACTGCGAATTTGTCTTGTATCTTCAGGAGTTTCCAAGTCAATCCAACGTCGACATGGACTGGCTCGAGCACGAGCTTCGCTTCCCTACTGGCGCTCCCGTCCCACACGACATCCCCCACGCCATGTCCATGGTGGGCTTCTCTCCAGATTGTGGTTTCGTGATTGAGTCAAAGGGCCCTCCAGACTTCCCGCCATCGGAATCCATGCATCTGGTCGGATCCAAGACAGAGGACTTCAATGTTCGCGCGAGACATGGCATCCTTGCTTTTGCTGTCAGTCTTGCGTTTCAGCTTTCCTTCACTCTCAAGCAGATGAAGGAGACAGCAACGCCGTCCATGCGGAGCCGAGTCAGCTTCTATACCATTGCTATGATGGCTCTTGGAGATGGCTTCACGTTCTTGATTCTCATCTTCATGTATTTCTTCCTCGGTACGGCACAGTTGGCTTTGTACAGCATCGCGTTCATAGCGCTTTTCTCTGTGCTGACACACCTTCGCTTCTTGATGGATATTTGGTCTGTACAAGCAGCAGAGAGAGCTCGTCAGGAGCGACAAAGAAGTCCTGCAACTACTACCGCAACTCCAACTCCAGCTCCTGAGCCTGCAGATCCAACACCGCCCACTGATGGCGGTTTGCCCTTACCGGCTACTGCCGCTCGACCGCCACGTCCACCTACTCCTATCATTATTGCACCAGACCAGGACGACCCTGACGAAGACCTCACTCCGGGTCTGAACAACACGCCAACTCCAGCCGGGGCTACGACAACGAATGCCAATCCCCGGGCCGAGCTTGGTGCACTGTACAGTCGCTTTTGCCTTATGCTCATAGTCCTGTTCTTTGTAACTATACACTTCGGGACTGCGCGCACGACCTACCGCGCGATTTACTTCGACGTCATCACTTTCATCTATCTCTCCTTTTGGGCACCGCAGATCTACCGGAACATCGTGCGCAACTGCCGGCGAGCTCTGCGCTGGGACTACGTTGTAGGAACCAGCGTGGCCCGCATCGCGCCTGTCGCATACTTCTACATGAAAGACGACAATGTGCTGTTTTCAAAAACAGACTGGAGAGCAATGGGCTTCCTAGCAGGCTGGGTGTGGATCCAAGTGGTAGTGCTGGTGAGTCAGGAAATGCTAGGCCCACGCTTCTTCATCAGAGACGGATGGGCGCCCCCAGCATACGATTACCACCCTATCCTACGCGAAGACGAGGAAGGCGCAACAATGCCCCTCAACATCACCACTTCGCCCGACTCACCCACCACAATCGACGCCTCGGCCCCCGACGGCGAATCCTCCAAAGCCTCGGGCGAATCCAAATCCAAGGGCAAAAAAGTCTTCGATTGCAGTATCTGCGCCAACGACATTGAAGTCCCCGTCATACCCGCAGGGGCTGATGAGAGCAGTGTGGCTGGCATGGGTGGGACGAGCATGATTCTGCAGAGAAGGCAGTACATGGTGACGCCCTGTCGGCACATATTCCATACTGGTTGTCTGGAAGGGTGGATGCGATATCGACTCATGTGTCCGAATTGCAGAGAGAGCCTACCGCCGTTGTAGGCTAGATAGCTTGAATACAGTAATATTCTTCCTTTGCATCAGCATCATCAGGAGAGGACTGGAGATCAGCATGCATATGTGTAGGTGACGCATGTCTCACTGTCCGCGTAAACAAGTGGATACCTCTAGCTCCACTTTCCGCAGTGGCAGCAGCAGCGCAACGGTAACTGCCACAAGCTCCAGGGGTTTGCGCGTAGTTCCATACCAGCGCGCAGTCGCGGGATCACGACAACTAAAACCAGACACATGGTACATCCACATCGCCACGTTCTCCGTCAATACTATATGCCTGTCAGTGATTCCAAAGTGCGCGGCAGTTATAATTAGCACGTCTACGCCACAGATCGACGCTTAGACGCTAGGTGTAGGGTACAGCATCCTTTACCGGTTCCACAGCTGGGGCTGAGCATCACTCGCTTTCTGCCCCGGTCGGTCTCTGCATACGCAAACCGCAACCCTCAGCCTCTCGTTTCCTACATTCGCTTCGTGGCTGCATTGTGTGCTGGCGTTGGTGCATATAACGACGGGTGCTTGAGTTTTCTGAATTAACCTGTTCTTCTTGTTCCTCTTTCGTGTTTCCGAGACGCCGAACGAACCCCTGGACTTACACAAGGCTTGCGCGAGGCCTGTTCCGGAGACGACAAGTCGTCGCACGCCCCCCAGCTTAACCAAGGCCAAACCCTTCGTCTACCCCACAACTTCATTGTTCGACATAGTCGACCTCGCCTGCACTGCACCCGGCGACACGACGCATTCTTTCTACTGCACTGCGCATCACGTTGTGCACCTTCGCGCCTTCCTAATACCACCACAAGTGCCTGCCCACCATGGCGGCCAACGACTACTACGGCAACACCCAAGGACAGCCGCATGACAGGAACGATGGGCCTCTGCCACCGATACCCAGCAACCACACGCAACATTCCATCTCGCCCGTCAGCACGCCCTTTGGCGATCGACCCTATCCAACCCAAACCGCAAGCAGCGGAGCCCTCGGCGGCTATCCCATCGATACCTCGTATTCGAATACCTCGTACCAACCTCCAACACAATATAGCTCGACGGCACACATCAACGACCCGTACGCGCGGCAACCAGATCCGTTTGCCGACCAGAACGCAATACCGCTTCAGAACCAACCGAAGATGGATGGCAGCAGTCCGACGCGGTATAATGGTGACCCAGAGTACTATGGCATGGGTGTAGAACCAAGGCGGAGAAAGAGTAAAAAGAAGAAAGGCATGTTTAGTGGAAGGGTGACGTGGGTTGTGTATATTCTTACGGCGGTGCAAGTTGGTGTATTCGTGGGAGAGCTGATCAAGAATGGTACGTCTGGCACATGGAAGTAAAGAAACAGACTGACACCCCACAGGCATGTTAACTGGCAGCCCCATCCAAACGAAACCCAACTTCAACATCATGATCGGCCCCTCGCCCTACGTCCTTATCAACATGGGCGCCCGCTTCACGCCCTGTATGCACAACATCAAGCGCGTCATCGAAGCGCAACCAGGTCCCGTCGTATCCTGGCCCTGCCCCAACACGACAACCCTCACAGACAACAAATGCACCCTCGCCGAGCTCTGCGGCATGGGCAGCGGCGTCCCGGACCAAACCTCCGTCACAGACTTCAAAGACCGCAGCCACGAACCCAACCAATGGTGGCGCTTCATCACGCCTATTTTCCTACATGCAGGACTCATCCACATCGGCTTCAACATGCTCCTCCAATGGACACTAGGCCGCGACATGGAAAAGGAAATCGGACCCCTCCGCTTCGCCCTCGTATACTTTTCCGCCGGCATCTTCGGCTTCGTACTAGGCGGCAACTACGCCCCCGACGGCATTACCTCCGTCGGCGCTTCTGGCTCTCTTTTCGGTGTCCTCGCACTCACCATGCTGGATTTACTGTACAATTGGTCCACACGCCGCAGTCCCGTAAAAGACCTCCTCTTCCTCCTCCTCGACATGGCCATCGCCTTTGTCATCGGCCTCCTTCCCGGTCTGGACAATTTCTCTCACATCGGCGGGTTCCTCATGGGTATCGTACTTGGTATCTGCATTATCCACTCTCCCGAGTCACTACGTGCAAGGACGGGGCAGAGTGAACCCCCATATGCCACCGTAGACACCGCACCTCTAGCCCATTCTGCATCGCTCGGTGCGGATGGAGAAGAAAGCAAACCAAAGACCAGCAACAGCAAGATCACGGCGTTTGCAAAACAGCCCGTGGGCTTCTTCAAGGGGAGGAAGCCGCTCTGGTGGGCGTGGTGGCTTGTCCGTGCTGGGGGGCTGGTGGCAGTGTTCATCGGGTTTATCCTGTTGTTGAGGAACTTTTATGAGTGGAGGAATACGTGTAGTTGGTGTAAGCATTTGAGCTGTTTGGTAAGTCCTTCCCTTTTCTTCTCGTGGCAAAAGCGATGGTTACGCTAACGACATTCTCAACAGCCGATTACCACAAACGGAGTCTCATGGTGCGATATGGGAAGCCTCAATCTTACGACGACGGACGCGCCGAGCAAGCGGAGTTTGAATCCAAGTCATTTGCCCAATTTAATGGCCGAGATGGCGGTGGGACGCATCATGTAGGGAGGAGAAAAGCTGAGCAGATGTGCTATTCCATAGAAAGCTCCGGTGTTGGACAGATCTGCAAGGGCTGTCCGAGCCCGGGGTTTCGTAGGTGGATGCAAGAACATGAGAACTCTAGTTCATATTACTGGGAAGTCGCTGGGATGTCTGATTGTGTCTACAAGTGACTTGAGAAGTTCAGTCCATGTCACTGGAAACTGCAGGGCTCTGTTTCTGGTTAAGGACATATACAGGAGGTTGGAGTGTAAGCGGATACCTCTGTTCGCACCCGGGTCCTTGTAGGTGATGTGATATTGGAAACAAGGATCCATGTTTCAAGTGTCTTGGAAAGGCGGGGGCGTTGTACATGATCGTCCTGGAAAACACGGATTAGTTGTACATGATATGATACCAAACCCACGAAGCCGTGGATAACGGTCCTGGAAATCCCAGGTGCCTTGTAGGCGGAGCATGGATATCATATATTCAGTATTGAAGAACTGTAATTTTTTTCTACTGGTACATTGGGTGCTTTTCTTTATGTATCATCATGGTCGATGGCTGAGAAGAGCATAGTAGAGCACTCCGTTTTGAGAAGAAGAAATCTAGTACCGCCGTGGTATGCCATGTAAAGGTACCGACTGACCCTTCAAGCCAATCTATCTCATTCCAGAGCTTGGTCATGAGCATGAAACACGTGCTGTCGATATATCGTTGAAGGGGATTTCTTGCCCAGTGTGGTTCTCGTATACGACCAAGCGGGCGCAAGGCGGGGATGTAATCGGTCTTCGATTCTTATCACCAAAGCCGCACACGCAGACCCATTCCCAGCCCACCACACCACACCTCTTCATTCCACTTCACTTCACCACAGCGACCCCCCACCCATGCCTCCAATCCTCACACTCGACCTAACAGGATCCTTCCAATCCGGCGGCGTGGTAACCGTATACTGAAGATAACTCGCAACCGGCGGCTTATACAACTCCATATGGCCCGTCTCAGAGTTCTGCATCATAACCGCACGTGTATTGAGGTGATCAGGCCGAATCTTCTCTTCGACGCCGAGGAAGCCGCCGGACATGCGGTCGAGGAAGATGGCGAAGTTGTCCGTCTGATTGATGTTACAGCGGGCGCCGCGCGACTCGCAGTGCGCCATTAGGGCTGTTGCGGACTTGAAATATTTGAGGCATTTGGGGCATTTCATGCGGGTGATGCGGTGGTCGCCTAGGATGTGCTTGTTTAGGTCGCTGGGGATGGGGAAGTTCTGCCTGTGACAGATTAGTGCTGGGCTTGTTTCAGAATGGGATAATGAACTTACTCGCAGATGAAGGGACAGTAGTACTTGTTGACAATAGGATCGTAGAAGCGGTCTGGGTTCCAATCGTTGCTCATAGGGTCCCAGAAGCGGTCACGCAGGATGTTTGGCCCGTGCTCCTTCTCCATTGTCTCATCGTGGGCGGAGATGGAGAAGTCGCTGGGAGGGGCGTTGGGCTTGGCGTTGGGGAATAGTACTGAGCTCCTTGTCTTGCCCTTGCGAGAGCCCCAGACCTTGGTCTGGCGACAGGAGGATTGGGTGTTTAAGCTCTGAGCTGCGGAGGCATCATGTGCAGAAGAGCAACTCTGGCCTTGATGAGAGTGTCCGGGAAGAGAACTGGTACGTGCAGGATAGCCAGTTAGAACAGGAGATCCAACGGATGTTGAACAGTCGGAGTCATCGTCAGCATCTCCGTTGAGAGATATACCGCCCATCATGGGTGCAATTGCCGCGTCCACATCCGGAATGGACTTGGCCTGACATGGCAGAGGAGGGTACTGGCCATAGAAGACTGGGATGTGTTCCTCATCTTCGGATTTATCCGGCTTGATCGCCTCGTACTTGACCTCTCCAATCTCATGCTCGTCGCCGAAAGGATCGTCACCAAGCGAAACCCCAGTCTCGCGATCATCGTCGATGGCTGCCTCGTACTTGGATGTCTTCTGCAGAAAGCGAGTGTATTGCTGACCGTCTTTCAACAAGTCGGTAATCAGATGTTTGTGAACGATGTGGCCTTGGAATTGGGATGCTGATATGACGTCGCAGTGGCCGAACTCGAGGTGCTCGATGAAGAGGCATGCGCGGTAGAACGACTTCTGGCAGCCGATGCACGTAAGCTTCTGATCGACCTTGTGGTTGAGCTCGATGTGGCGCTTCAGACCTGACTTGCTCTTGAACTCGTCACCACAGACGCGGCATGCTAGGTTGTGCTCTTCCGGGCGAGTGATCTTGTGCATGGCATAGTCCTCGAAGGTATCGAAGTCTTCGTCACACTTGTGACAGTACTCGTGTTCATCGGTGTTCTTCTTGTGATTCTTCATGATCTTCTCTGTGTCGAAGGACATGTTGCAGTCTTTGTAGGTACACTTGACGCGTCGGATCGGCTCGAGTGTGGCTGGCATCTTGGTTTCGTAGTTGTGATAGTCCCAGCGTGAGTTCGTGGGGGTGGTTCTTGGAGGTACGGGCTTGACACGTTTCTACTATGCGCGAAGTCAGTCTTAAGGCAATCGGGACCCGCGGCATTAAAGCTGCGCTCACCTGCAAGTGCGAACTATGTAGGTTGTCGTCTTGGCTACGCTTGTGTGATGGGCAGCCCTGGAGTGTGCAGTGGCACGGACAAAGGTGACGTGTTTGCGCAGCCGTCAATGCTTCTCTTGCTCTGAAGACGAGCAGAGAATTGAGTTTTGACTAAGCCTTTTCTCAAGAGTGAGAGACCTTTGCTTTGGTTGACCGTGTACTAAAGAAAGAGCTTGGTCTTGGCCGAGCGAATGCAGAAAAGATGGTGGTCTTGGAAGGAAGGAATCTTATAGCTTGGGGTGTATATGTAGCGAGGAGAAAGCTAGCGGTGTGATCATGAGCCAGGCAGAAATGACAGGTGAGGGAGATTCTGGGCAAGAGCGGTGCGTTTGCATTCTCACCTAGGAAGCTGCACCGTGGACCAACAACAAACCTACCCCGAACCAAGAGCATGGCTCCATTGCAAGGATCGCAGTATTACAAGAATGAGACAATAGTCGAACAGAACAAGACGCAATCGTTACGAGAATGGACACAAAGAATCACAATTACAAGAGGTATTATATTTGGCATGGGTCACATCTTTGATTCCCCTTACAATGCCACTAGAATCGCGAGTATGGCAGCCTACATCTTGGTTAGTGACGGTCGCGACGACGCCAGATATGACATACCATTTGCCTCTCAAGGTAATCTTTGCCCACTCGCCCTTCTCATCCGTCTCCTTCTCTACCTTGGTGCTGAACGAGATAGCGCTCATGATGCCATCACCGAACTTCTCATGCATAACCGCCTTGTACGCCTGTCCGTAGTTCTGTACAATCTCGTATAGGCGGTAGATGGTAGGGTCCTTTGGCGGCATGTCGAGCGTACTGCCTCGGTTGGGGAAGCCTCCGAGCTGCGATTCGAGCAGCCCAGCGTCGATTTCTAGGATTTCGGATAGCTTCTTGATGTCCTCAGCGGAAGCCATGGCTTGTCCGTAGAAGAGAGCGGCGATTGCAACTTCATCGCGCCCGACGTGCTTTGCAATGGCTTCGAAAGATAGGTTCTTCTTCTTCTTTGCTTCGAAAAGGGTTGGAGAGGAGGGGGGCAGCCGAGGAATGAGCTCCTCCTATGCGAACTTTAGTATGTTCCACCATGTTTTCGATTTCTCCTTACGTTCAAAGTAGCAATTGGGTGTTGCGCCATGGTGATAGGCGTTGAGTGGAAGCAACGGGCAGCTGCGATAGGGACAGCAGGTCGTACAGATCCAAATGTGCGAGAAGCCAACCTGGCAGAAACCGCAAGACGAGATGAGAAAGCCATTGTGGAAGATATAGCAAATTGAGGAGACGGTTATGTCAACGATGTTGTGTAACGACGTGGGGAGATAAGGTGAGGAGCTCTCCAGCTACCGAACCGCTCAAGCAGCCGATGATACAAGGGTACGTCATCCATGTGCGTTCCCGCATCTCGATGCGGCCCACAAATTGTGTGGACTCTCGAGCGGGCGCTTTGTACAGTATAGGAAGCTCCTACTACAGCCTTCTTCGCAATGCGATATGGTGGTCGGACTGTCGCGCCCACGTTGCGCAGTGTCGCGAAGCTGTCAAAAGAGGGGGAAGCTCCGTAGTGGTGGGGGTACTATGAGGGGTTACATGCTGGATCCTAGCGCCTGTACGCGCCTGGCCAACAGCGACGGAAATCAGGGTGCGCGCACTTCATTGGTGTCTGTTTCACATGTTCAGCTCGCACGCTCGGGCTTCCCAGCATTGGTTATGCGTGGTCCGTCGCGCTGAGATGATGACGCGGGGTCAATTTGGCCTCGAGCTCCAACTCTGAAGCTCTATCAACACTCCGTCAACTCTACACCTTCGTGCTGAGTGGCAAACAACCGACAGCCTCAGTCCGGCACAATGTCTCGCCGAGACGACGATCTGGCATATGGCGACTATCATGGGCAGGAGGGCGAAGAGGGAGATCGCGGCCTTATAGGTGACATGGGTCGGCGTTTTGGCTTTGGCAGAAAAGAGGTCAGTACATTCCTTTGAAACGCCATGCGGTCATTGTATGCTCCATGTGTATCGCCCTGTTGAGAAAGTGGAATTGCCCCACTACCCACAGTCATAGCGTTGGGCTGCCTCGTCATTCACTGTCCTCGCGTATCTTGCGTTCCTATTCTACACCGCCTAGCTTGCTGCAGGGACAGGACGCGTATCTCGAAGCTTAAGTTGGATCTACGAATTCCTAACAGTAGCACCACAGAACAACCAACCCACATCTTCATCTTCAAACCAGGGCAGCGGCGGTATGTCGTTCTTCAAGAAGATCCACGACCCTCTCCACGGCTTCGTTTCCGATCTCAAGGATGCCATATCCGGTGATGATAACGCGCAAAAGCCCCCGCCGGGTACATACCAACAGCAGAGTCAGCAGGGTGGACAGCTACAACCCGGGCAAGAGTACCACGAACAACACCGCTTCTTGAGCTTCGCGCCTGAACGACATGGCAACGAGACCAAGTGGTATGTTGACGGATGCAGGTAGGTTTTGGATTTCCACGTGCTATACACGGATTGCCAATTGACATGTATAGCTACATGTATGCCGTCTCCATAGCTTTGGAGCGGGCTAGAGAGTCGATCTGGATTCTCGACTGGTGGCTCTCTCCCGAGCTGTATCTTCGCCGCCCGCCCGCCAAGAACCAACAGTACCGGGTCGACCGACTGCTACATGCGGCAGCAGAACGAGGCGTCAAGGTCAACATCATCGTATACAAGGAGGTTACGCAAGCTCTGACCCGTAAGTTTTTGAATCCAACATTACCAGACTACCTTCATTCTCTTTTACCGAGTTCGACGGATAGGTTCACCAAAGGCCTCACGCGGGTCGGCCTAGATGTTATATTCAAAAGTCTTGAAGAGTGGGAAAAGACAGATCCGCTGATTGCCCCACCTATTACAGTCTCCTCCGCTCATACCAAACACCATCTGGAAGATCTCCACCCCAATATTGGTGTCTTCCGTCACCCCGACCATTTACCAGATGCGGCGGTACTACAGTCTTCCTTCTTCGCATCGATGAAGAACATGTCCTTCACCCCAGCAAAGCTCGCCCAGCTTCCCGGAGACGGCCTAAAGGCGATCTATGGTGCTCACGAGGGTACTGTCATGTACTGGGCTCATCACGAGAAGCTTTGCCTGATTGACGGCCACATCGCATTCATGGGAGGATTGGATCTTTGCTACGGTCGTTGGGACACTAACCAGCACGCAATTGCTGACGCACATCCCGGAAACATCGACCGAATAGTGTTTCCAGGTCAGGACTTCAACAACGCCCGTATGCTGGGTAAGTCATTAACGTGTTTGTGGCGTGTTTGTCAATAGGCAGGCGCGCTTTTACTGGACGAGGCGAGGTCATTTGCTGACAACGAATAGACTTCCAAGACGTAACCCACTGGGAGAACAACAAACTTGACAGGACCCAAAGCTCTCGCATGGGATGGTCTGATGTAGCGCTGTGTCTCTCCGGTCCAGTAGTACAGGATCTTCGTACTCACTTTGCCCAACGCTGGAACTTCATCTACGACGAGAAGTATTCTCACAAATCTTCCCGATACACCAGGTTACCGGACACCGGTAGCGGGGCCCAAGAGGCACCTTCGATGCAACAGCGAGGATTCGAAGGCGAAGAAGAGGGAGAACGCGGATTTGGTCGCGAAGAGGAGGGCGAGCGAGGACTGTTCGGACATGGCGCTGGTGGGCATCTTCGCCAAAAGATGCAGAGTAAATTCGAGCAGTACGGCGGCCAAGAGCATGGATCGCAATACGGTCAGCAACAGTCGCACGCGGAACACAGCTCCCAGAGGGGTGGCGTGGATTGCCAGATTGCCCGCAGCTCTGCCAAATGGAGCCACAACCTGGTCACTACTGAGGTCAGTGATACGTCGGACCGAGAAGAATTCGACTAACGATCTTACTAGCACTCCATCCAAAACGCTTACTGTGAGATTATCAAAAACAGCAAGCACTTCATCTACATCGAGAACCAGTTCTTCATTACCGCCACCGGCGATCAACAGAAGCCGATCAAGAACAAGATCGGCGCGGCCATGGTTGAGCGCATCGTTCGTGCTGCACGAAATGGCGAGAAGTACAAGATGATCGTAATGATTCCTGCTGTGCCTGCATTTGCTGGAGACTTGAAGCTCGACGAGGCGCTGGGAACTCGAGCCATCATGGAGTGTAAGTCGGACTCGTCTCTTCCGTATGTGCTATGCTGACGACAACATCACACAGTCCAGTACGACTCCATCAACCGTGGTGGTCACTCCATCTATGAGGAGATTGCTAGAGCTGGATTCAACCCGATGGATTACATCCGATTCTACAACCTTCGCAGTTACGATCGCATCAACTCCAGCTCGGTCATGAAGGAGGCCGAGCAACGTAGCGGCGTCTCTTACAACCAGGCCCAAGAAGGTTACGATGCAGCACACGACAATGCACGTGGCTACGAAGCCTATCGCCCACCGCCCACCCAGGAGTACGGAGTGTATGAGATGGATGGCTCCGGCCGTCCTCCTTCTGGTCACCAGCAGTACGATGCTGGCCCACAGAGTCAGGGCAGGCCCGGTGATTACGACCGTTACCAACAGGAGGCTGTCAAGATCGGTGGCCGACAAGGCCTTGGCGACGGGCGTTGGGACACTGTCAGCGAGTGCTACATGCTTGGCGGAGAGGATATCCGCCGTGTACCTTGGGAGGGCTCTGCTGAAGACGAAATGGACGCTTTCGTGTCTGAGGAGCTATACATCCACAGCAAGCTTCTCATAGCTGACGACCAGATTGTCATCTGCGGTTCTGCCAACCTCAACGACCGCTCCCAGCTCGGCGACCACGACTCCGAGATCGCAATCATCATCCAAGACCCCAAAACCGTCGATTCATACATGGACGGTCGAACCTACCGCGCATCCGAATTCGCAGCCAGTCTCCGCAGAGAGCTCTTCAGGAAGCACCTCGGTCTACTCAAGCCCCAAGACATGGAACGCCCAGACGCCAACTACCAGCCCATCGGCGTCCCCAACCAGTACGACTGGGGCTCCCCAGAAGACCTCCAAGTCGCCGATCCTCTCTCCGACGACTTCCAGGCCCTCTGGAACTGGCGCGCCCACACCAACACCCAAGCCTTCGGCAAAATCTTCCACCCCGTCCCCAGCGACGAAGTCAAGAATTGGAAGCAGTACGACGAGTACTACTCTCGCTTTTTCGGCCAGGACCAAAAGGCCAAGGAGAACAAGAAGCCGAGCTTGTACAAGTGGGGTCATGTCGTTGCGGAGAACTTTGCTCAAGGCGAGCAGGGTGTGAGGGAGGTTAAGGAGGTGTTGAGTACGATCAAGGGAAATCTGGTGGAGATGCCGTTGCTTTTCTTGAAGGAAGAGGATATTGCGCAGGAGGGTATGGGTTTGAATGCGCTTACTGAGGAGCTTTACACTTAGGTTTGTGGAGAGTAACGGTCTACCTGGGTATGATTTCATGATCAAGTAGGATGAGAATGACATCTTTGTATAGACTGCGCTGGGCATTGGATGGAAAAGGCTGAGTAGGCGAGCATGGTATTCAAGAAATGTGTTTTCATTGTGCGTTATCTGACATGATCATGATAAGGTATCTAGCTAGCTGCGGATCTTCGTCATCACTTTCCTGCTTGAGCGGGATCAGTTGCACGAGTAGGGCTTCAGCGACTGACATCATGGATCGAAACGAGGTTTACGTAGGTACTCAATTGGCACACTCTCCATTCGGAGAAGGAATGGATGGACAACCACCTTGTGGCAGGCATTCCCCCGGGGTTGAGCGGACAGGGACGCATCGTAAACAGTTGTACTCAAAATAGTCAGGGGTCTCGTTGCAGATAGCCCCCTCTACACAACCTGGTCCGCTCACGATTAACGTCTTAGGCACCTTTAGGTTCTCGGATGTTCTGGCATTCGACGTGCGTGCGACGACGCCGGCTAGAACAGCCCAAAGCTGAGTAGCGGACGTCACTGCACGGCCATCACTGAATATGACGTCAGTGCCTAGCCAGTTCACCAGACAGACACATAGAAGGTCATGTTACTTATATGCCTGACATGTCAGTGCAGGTTTTGTCGTATCTCTTGGTGTACTCGGCGATCTGACGCTCGTTGAGTTGGGCGTAGTCAATGACAGTGTCACGGGCAGCGTTGAAACTAAGCAGCACTCCGTCATCTGCAAGCCAAGTTATGCCGTCACCAGGCTCGAGGCTTCTCATAGCTTCAGCGAGCGACTAGATATGCACCGTTAGTACTCGGTCGCATGGGTAGAGCTTGTTGTGGTACGTACGGACTCATCTGGGGTGGCTGCTGCCAGCAGAAAGGTCGCACTAGTGGATAGGAGGGAGGAGAGCTTCATATCGAATGTAGGAGCGCGATTATCAGATATGGTAAAGTGTAATCTGATAGAATAGAGTGTGCGTGTGAGATAGTCGAAATGTTGTGGCGAGGTCAATGCTTTATGGAGTGCCTTTCCATAGAAGATCGCATGCGAAATCCCATATAGGACATGACTATCACTGCATCTCGCAGGGCTCTCGCTCACACGGTGTGCTACATATTGCGATCAGCAATCTACTCTACCGCTTCCCTGGCTACGTTTTGCCACAAAACAACGTCTGCCGAAAACAGGGCCTGATTTGAGGCTGCCTAAACAGAGGGAAGAAATAAGCATGATGATTGGCCGTTCACCCTGACACCATGTCTCTTCCTCCAGCACTAGCAGCTCTTCCATAGGAGAGCACCGTAACACGACGTTGTATATTCCTGCACAGCGACTGTGCCGTACCGTTGCAACGCTACGTCATGTAGGAGCCGGCTAGGCAGCACCACAGGCGCCGCTTATAAGCAGGATGATGTTCTACTGCTAGATTTTACCCGCCTCACCCATCCATCGTCAACAAAACTCTACTGTGAGTTACCCAAGTTCTCCGTTTTCCCCGAGCCTGGGATTGACATGCGTCTGGAGAAGTGATAGGCGCACAAATTCTTCCAGCGCTGAGAACGAAACAACTATGTCCTTACCAACAGCGTCGCCGCCGTCACCTCAAGCGAAACCACCTCAGGGCGAAGACAGAAGCCAAGATCAGCTCGAGTCAAAGGATTCGCCTCAAGTTGAAGGCTCCAATAGTGAGATAACCCAACCTGCGCAACCTCAGACTGGAAGAGAGCAATTTAATGCCATGATGAGGTCAATGAAAAGCCATCCAGATGGACACTGCATCGGTTCGATTGGTACCGATGGGGTCTACAGAGAGATCCATTATCTCCCTGGTCCGCCCGACCAGATAAGCGACTACGAGATATACGACGCGAAACCCATGTCGCCGGAGATGATCAAAGCCTGGCTTGACACACGGCCTTGGAAACAGGAGACGGAAGACAAGTACCGAGACGCTGATGGTAGAACAGTTCCACAGGAGTGAGTGCATGCTCAATACGTATGTTGGGTTTGTGAATATGCGCTGACATGATGCGATGGCTTTTAGGCAGTGGTGGAACCCGCCGCCTGGTATGCTTTTCCCCATGCGATCGAAGAACGAGCGCGATGAGGAGATGAGGGTGTACCGCGAGGAGAGGAAGGCAAAAGAAGAGAAGATTGCAAGGGGAGAGATTGAAGCGGAGGTGCCTGTGGCATGTAATAGTATCAAGAGTGACTATGATTTAAGTCCTCGCTAGGGTTCGCCGAAGGCGACGAGCAGGGCGTAAGAGCTACTACGCATTGGTCGGTTGGGAGTGAGATTTTGAAAATACTCGGTCTCATGCCCATAGTAGTGTTGGGGATGGGTTTGGGGTTGTCGTTGCTGCTTCCAAGTTCATTAGTATTGGCAACCTTGGAGATCTAGGCCTTCGGTATGGACGGCTCCTCCACGGATGGGTACCAAGCCTCCGTTCAACTGCATGAATGAAGATGTGTCGTTTGCTGTAGACTATACCTAGCGCGTGTAGAAGTGGGTGAGTGTAACAGCCCGCGTAGATAGGAGGGAGCTATCGCCCAATTAGGTCAATGGCTTGGCACGGCGTGTGCCGAGGTGGTGATGTCATTTCAGGCGCTTCTTTTCTCCTACAAGGAAAACCAACATATCACCAACTCCACTTGCTTTGCTGATAGTCGGTATTGCGATACCGAGTGTCAGTGACCGGGGAAGATTGAATCTAGGTATTCATTATGTGTCGCTCACGAAGGTGCCTGACTGTATATCGGAGAAGTTATTAACTAATCTACTCAGGTAATTGTACATTTTAACCGGTGCGAGGAATGCTCGCATCACTGATCTCGTAGTATTTGCGCATTTTCCTTTGCCTCTCATCGACAGAGACTAGGTGTAAACTTCCATCAATGCCAACTGACAGGAGAGAAGCAGGACATAAACCATAGGTGACCCTAGCCAGCTTAGGAAGCAGTGCTATCAGCGTTCTTCTGGAAGAGTCGCTTGCGAGGCATGAAGATGCTCAGGACAAGGACAAGAGCGCCACCGGCAATGGTAAGGCTGTAAGTCTTGCTAATGGCACTGACGATGGCTGCAAGAACGCGGGTCTTCAACTCTGGGGATAGGCTTTGTACGATATCCGACCGAGCACCGAGGATAGCGGCCTGGATATCGGCTGAAGAGACATCAGTCAGAATGCCCTCGATCTTGTTCTGGCTTTGGTTGAGAAGGATAGCGTTGGCGATGGCCAGAGCAAGGGTGATGCCCACAGACTGAGCCAGCGTGATGAAGCTGATGGCCGGTGCAATGTTTTCCAGCTCGACGACTGCCTGGGCAACTGAAAATGGCGCCTGAAGAAACATGCCGACTCCCACACCCATTAGAATCGTGAAACCGTATACGCGAGCCGTGGCAGTGTCCAGATCGATTGTATACATGAGAGCAGAGCCGATTACCACTAGAGCGCCGCCACCGAGAAACCATGGCATAACATATCCTAACTTGGACATCAAGCCACCGTTGATGAAGACGGTAACGACCATGACGACGATGTAAGGGAGCAACCGCACCCCGGCATCGAGAGGACCGTCGCCCTGGGTAAACTGGAAAAAGATTGGGACCATGTAGATCGGGACGAAAGAGCACGCTCCACCGGCAGCGGTGATACTGAAGAGAATGAGCACCATCCGTGATCGGAAGAACTGCACAGGGATAATGCGACGGACTTCCGTTGTGAGTATGTTCCAATACTGTTGTATGCCCAAGATGATGAACAGAACGCCAGATACGACGAACAGTGCGACGATGCGGCCTGAGTCCCACGGATACGAAATACCACCCATATTGATAGCAACGATGAAAGTCGTCAGTGCGCCGGCCTGTAGTATGATACCAGGATAATCCATGTCGGTAATTCGCCTGTGGAACGAGACACCGGGCCGAGGATCCCTGCTGGGTATGAGAAATAGGTAGACTGGAGCGCACGCTGCACCGATGAGTAGGTTGATGTAAAACGCCCACCGCCATCCCACGGCAGACTCGCTGAAAGCACCTCCGATGACGGGGCCCAGGACGATACCGAGACCCCAGGTAAAGCCGGTGCCAGAAACGTAGACCGGACGTTCAGACATGGTGGTAGTGCCCGCAATGAGCGTCATGCAGCCGACGTACAGACCAGATCCTCCCAAGCCCGTAATGGCACGGCCGAGAATCATCACGTTCATCGACGGCGCAGCGCCGCAAATGGCGGAGCCGATCTCGAAGATTGCCACATGGAATATGTACAGCCACTTGGCATCGAATTGGCCGTAGATTCGTCCCCAGAAAAGAGTGGTCGCTGTAGCGCAAAGCAGGAAGCCAACACTCAGCCACGAAAGCTGCTGAATGCCGCCGAATTCTTCCACAATGACAGACTGGAGGTCCGCGACTACCGTAGCGTCAAGTGCGTAGAGAAAGGTGGAGAACAGGATAGACACCATGGTCAGGTACCATTTCCAGCCAGAAATGTCACGCGGAGGCTTCTCCGGTTCCGCTGCATTGCTGAGAGTGCCAAGCGGAGGCTCCGCTGGCTTCTCGTCGTTGATTGAACGCGCGACTGGTGTCGAAGAGGTGTTGGAATCCATGGGAAAGAGATAGGAACGGAAATGCAGGTGGAGTGTGATTTTACCGATCGGAGTGCTGTAACCACATGTTTTTGCAGAAGTTTTGTCCCCCAAATACAGCAAGCAGCTTCGGGGTTGGTAATGCGCAACGTGAGAAGGTGCCAAGGACCGTAAAATGTCGGCCGAAAACGTCGATCATGTAGGTAAGCAGTGGGATTACCAACGCACCCTTTCACTCCCACGACTCCCACCCGAAAACCAGCAACGATCGGCTGACTGGCCCGAACAAGCGACAAACATTCTACGCCCGACGTCTGACGATGGATCAGGCCCGACATCTTACGGCAGCTGCACAACTTCAAGCAAGAGAATGATGACCGAAATGATGACTGGCGACTTGTATAATTCGAGAATGTATTCTCAAAGCATAGGAGAAAGTTGTTCATTCCGATCAGTACGACACGCGCAGCACCATCATGTCAACGCAAACAAACGGCGCTGGCGTTAAATCCGCTCCTAACACCGAGCCGGTCGACTTGCTCGCCCTCGCTCAGAGAGTTACTCAGCATACGCAGGCAATCAAGGACTATTTGGTAGCAAACAAATATGCTTCGCCTACGTTTGCATCAGACTGCATCGACCGCCCAGAAACGATTGAGTACGCTGAGCTTCATGGTAACTTGAAGCGCTCCCTGGAAGACCTCCAATATCTTGTCGAGGGCCCCAAACGTCACTTCCGCACACTTTGCTGCCAGGGCTATGAGCTCGCAGCCATACAAGTGGCTCTCGACTTTAACTTCTTCAGCATCGTTCCCGCGCACGGCAACATCTTGCTGGAAGACTTGGCGAAATACGCAGGTGTTGACCTGGACAGGACCAGCCGCATCGTCCGCCTCCTGATCACCGAGTCCATTTTTCGGGAACCCACCCATGGCTATGTCGCCCACAGCCCTAGCTCATATTTTCTACACCATGACGAAGAGATTCGCTCTACGGTGCACTATACGTATGTCGTAGATCGCAGCTATGGTATATTTGTCCGCACACTGACCATCTTGGATACAGTGTTGATGAAATGCTCAAGGCCGCATCGTCCACAGCTGATAACGTGAAAGCATCCCCACTTGAGTACAACAGTGCACTCACTCCGTTTACCACTCGACACGGCCTCCCAATCTTCGAGTTCTACGAGAAAGATACCCAACGTTCTATCCGCTTTGCTAAAGCCATGGCTGGATGGGCTAAGCGTAGGTCACCCTTGCTCTGAACCAACCTCCGAGCCTGACGCTGATGTGCCTACAGTGAACTTGAACATCAACGTCCTCAAGGAGGCATTTCCCTGGGGGAATCTCAAGGGCACCGTGGTGGACGTGGGTGGTGGCAGCGGTAAAGTCTCCATCACCCTGGCTGAACAGTTTCCAGCTCTCAATTTCGTGGTACAGGACTCCGCCGACATGCATCTAGCGGGCCAGTCTTTGCTCACTGATGACACCAAAAAGCGGGTTTCCTTCATGCAGCACAGCTTCTTTGAGCCGCAACCAGTGGGAAACGCAGCTGCCTACATCCTGCGGGCGTGTGCGCTGAACTGGTGCGACCAAGACGTTGTCACCATGCTGCGCTCTCTAGTTCCTGGACTCGAATGCTCCGAGCCCAACACACCACTGCTCATCAATGACCTGATTCTCCCGGCCCAGAGTTCGGTCACACGCGACTTTGAGCGTGGCCTGCGTCAGATCGACCTCATCATGTTGGTGAGCTTTGGTGGCAAAGTGCGTACTCGGGACGAGTTTGAGGCTTTGTTGAAACAAGCGGACGATAGATACGAGGTTCGCAGCTTCCGTCCAGAAGGTCTGATGGGGCTGCTTGAGGTGTACTTGCAACGCTAAGTAATGCAGTTGCAGGGTTGGGGATATAGTGTATATCAGCGCTTCGTGGTTCTTTGAAAGCGAAACTTCCGCCACTGGGATGGCTTGCTCATCCGTGAATCATGTACTGAGGTCCCAATTGGATATAGTGTGTCACGTTTGACGAAGTCGATTTATACCATCATACCACTGCTGACGACGCGAGTACGCAACCATCAGTATGTAGTCAGCCCTACTGCCCACTGATGCATTGGATATTGGATTTGAGTGACTCAATGCCCTTTTAGACTGCCGCCGTAGTGCACCTTATCTCTAGCCATTCACCATATTGGGCCTGATGGGTACCCTCTGTCAGCGCCAGTACTGCCGCTGCATAGCGTGCCGTTCCCTTACCGTTCCCTTGCTTGGCGGGTGCAAGGGTACCTGCCGCGCCGCGGCCCTGTAGTGACCACAACAAATACCACCCCCACACTCGATTTCGATTCTGCGCGCTTGCTTTTCGTTCCACACTTTTGTTTTGTCCCCACGATGCAGAGCACCGGCAAGAAACGCATTGTGTCGTCGTGCATTCCGTGCTACACCAGGAAACAAAAGGTGCGGCCGTCTTTTGTTGTTCCCTCACGGCTTGGGCCATAGCCTTGAGCGGATGAATGGACATACCAATACGCAGAAGGACAATTCAGGCTAACTCAGTATCGCTAATATGTAGTGCAACCGTCGCTACCCCTGCGATCACTGTTCACGTCGTCGACGCCCGGAGGAGTGCGCATACTACCCTTCGCAGGCATTGCAGGCTGAGCACACGTCGCTACGAACCCAGAGGATAGAGGATCGTGACAACGAACATGATCAACTCACCGCGAATCACGATTTCCAGCCGCAAGACAGCGAAGCTATTGAGACTGCCACTAACGCCCTGACGAATTGGAATAACGCAAGACCCCGAAGTTTCACATCCGGCTCAAGCAGCAACTCCATTGCGGAATCATTTGGATACTTCGAGTACAGCGAATGCAATACCATCGCCTTGGTTCGCAAGGTAAGTCGACCGTATCTCCAGTTGCACGTCAACCTAAGAAAAAGCCGAACAGGTCTGCAGCCTACATCAACATGGAAACATGCAAAGTAGGTGACCTAGCGACGATTTAGGCTCTAGACCAGTTCAGATTTTTCCTTGCGTGAGGTGGTTGCGGTATTTGAACAAATGGAGCGACCGATCGATTCATCATTTATCTAACCAGCACTGGTATGAACAGCTAGGACTGAATAGCGGCGAACACCACGGCAATCAGGACGTTACTCGAGAGGCGTCCCTGGAGGTCGAACAAGAAATGAACAGGATGCCTGATCGTCAAATCTGCGACTTCCTGGTCCAGTATTATATCGACGATATTCACTGGTGAGTATCCGCTCGTACCTTCTTCGTCAACCGTACGGGAATCATGACGATGAGTCGCAAGTAGGAGTACTTCATCGCCCTATCTTTGTCACCAAATGAGGGAAGGTTTTGCTAACGCTGATGTATAAACATAGGAAGGAGCAGCTTGTGCACCCACCATGGTTCTTAGCACAGTATCAACAACTGTGGAGCTTGGGAACTGTATCATCCGTCTTCTATGTAGAGTTCGTGGTACTACTCATGCGAATGTGTTCGTACGCATCCCAGTTCCTTCCTTCACCGTCACATCCTATCGACCGCATTCGCAGAATGTCTTTGTCTGAGATCCGTACGTTGTGCGATGACATCGCGGAGAAGCTAGCTAGTTTATGTGCGCGACTTGATGCCAGAGGCTCTTTACTACGCGTGCAGCATCTGGCGCTCTTGGGATTGCGACTTCAGTGTGAAGGGCAAAACATGGCCTTCTGGGAAACGCTCAACAAAGCTGCTCTGGTAGCTCAGAGGGCCGGCCTCCATCGAAACCACACAGTCCACATGCCAGAGATGCATGGACTGGAACAGGAGATGCGACGGAGAGTGTTTTGTAACCTCTACGTTTGGGACAGGTACGAGATCTTACCGTCATTAGTGGAAGTGGTCGCACGTCCGTTTTGTTATTCTGACAGAGTCAAACCGTAGTATGCTCTCACGGCAACTCGATCGTATCCCGTTTCTTCCCGCCTCCCTAGACACGGACAACCTTCCGCGAATGCATCTTGCGCCCATTCTGGACGACGACAGTGCCCCAGAAGCATTCTCAGAACGGATGTTGCAGGCTCGCTTGGCCACTTTCTGGCGGAGATTCCCCTCGACATCGTATACAGAGTATGACGCGACTGCGACCGAGGAAAAGTATGAGCAGTTCTGCTCTGAGTTTCTCGCTAATATGCCTGCCGCGTTCGCTCTTCAGCCAAGCGAGCAGTGGGACGAACAATCACGACGCCTACCTATGCAGCGGCAGATTCTGCATATCGCCATATACGAGAGTCTATGCCAAAACTATCGTGACTTATTGCTCTGTACAGCTGCTCAAGTTCAAAGACTTCCTGCGTACAAACAAGTCCTGCTAGCCTCGCAGAAGAAGGCACTCGCGGTGGCAGCACTCAAGGTGCTGGACGAAGTCTCAGAGCTGCACGCGAAGTTGGGAGGGTCTCATACCAGATTTCCGGGCATTATATTACCGACATTCGAAGCTGCAGTGATTCTGATCGGCGTATGTAAGGACGCCGAGTTCCCGGCTGGTAGGGTGATTGGCACGGGCCATACATCCAAGATTGATCCTCTCGGCTCAGGCGCACCACATCTCAGTCGCCAAGGGTGCTTTCAAGCCACGAGAGATGCACTCGATCGCCTAAGAACCCTGGCTGAAGTCAGCGTCATGGCTGAAGAAGGTGCGAACGCGTTGTCCTGCCTTCTGAACGAGAGAAACGCGTCCGATTCCACAAGCATGGGGCCACATGTCTCTAGCCTCAGCGCAGAAAGCGCGTCATCACCACTGAACATCGCAAATCTGGTTCAGGCCCATCAGCCGGCGAGCGACACCTCTTCGTGGCCGACGTCTGCTTCATCTCCATCAATGCTCGACACGGGCCTGCTTAACGATTTTCTGTACAGTCCTCTTTCGGACATCTCGCGAAGGTAGATATGCTGCTTATTGGGATAAATATACTTTAATTACTCTAACAGAGAAATGAATGTGTTTATCAAGGATACGCGATGAGGCGCACCAAGGTCCGATCCTCTAGCGCAACCGTGCGAGGTGGCGTCCCGAGGTCTGCTCGGTCGCGTCATCGGGCTGGCACAGCGCGCAGAGACAAAGACACCTAAACCATCACCTCCTCATCAACCATGACGTACCCTCACAATGACCAAACGTCTAGACATCTCGCAGAGTCCTTCTGCTCCTCAATCGCAAATGACACTGATCCGCCCGATGAACGATACCGTAGCTAGCCTTCGGGTCAGCCAACTCAGGAGACACATCCAACAAGTCGAAGTTCCAGACCACCAGGCAGACGACTAAACGCAGCTCCAAGTACGCCATCCTCCGTCCCCAGCAGCTACGAGGGCCCATGCCAAAAGCAATCTGCGGTAGCGCGTTTGCGTCGAATTCAACCCCAGCAGCAGTATCGCCCTCTTTGCGAACAAGCCAGCGCTCTGGATCGAAAACCCGCATGTCGCTCGTCTCTCGCCATCCTTTCGACTTGGCGGCCGTTGCACTACGACGCGCACTCTCCACATCGAAAGCTGGCGCGTGAAAGCCTGGCCCATTGGCAATCATCACGATGTTCGTCCCTTTGGGGATGCGGTGGCCAAGGACCTCCGTGTCGCGCTTGGCCTGCCGAGCGACACTCGTCGCGTGTAGTCTCAGAGTCTCCTCCAGCACGGCTTCGAGATAGGGAACGCGGGATCCCGTCAGTTCTGCGAGCGTCGGGGCGCGCTTCTCCGCATATGCATCACTGTATGCCTGATGCAGTGCATCTCGCAGCTTGTTCTGTACGTACTGGAAACGCGTGAGGTAGATGAATGTCCAGGCAAGTGTCGTACTGGTTGTATGCAGACCGGCTATGAATTGCCCTGCGATCTGAAGCACGATGCTTTAGCTAAGGTCCAAGTCCGAAAGAGGTTTAGGCTATCCATGACTTACCTCATCCATCATAATAGGATTCCCAAAATCGGCCTTCCGGTTCTGCTTCTCAGAAGCCTTCTTTTCACGCACCAACATGTGCTCGATTGCGGTTCTCGGGTCGTTCGTAGCTTCGAGGCGTTGCAGAGCTCCCTGGATTTGTTCCCTCACAACTCGTCTCTTCACGGCCGTCACTCTTTTGTAGCTGGGTGTCTGACGAATTAACCACATGGCATACCTCGGCGACATAGCTTTGGTTACAACATCGATCTTATCGACCGTCTCATACAGCGCTGAGATGAACTCGTGGACTGGAGCCTTTGGAAACCGCACTTCCCCTTTGGGCCCTGCAGCCAAGCTGGTCGGGGTCGTCCGTGAAAGTGCCTCGATTTGTGGGCCAAGCGCGGTTTGCTTGAAATGGCGATCGAAGACGAATGACAACATCCCATCCAGCGCACTATGATCCAAGTCATCGTTGACGTCGAATGCAGAACCGTTGGCGAGCCTCGCCTTAGTCTCCCAGAACCTGATGAGATTCATCGAGTTGTCAAACATGACGGGCCCAACCACATTATTGAGGAAAGTCGGGCTCATTAGATCCTGCAGCCACGCTCGCGTCGTTCTCCATTGGGCGCCTGTCTTCATTCGCGCATGGAAGTCGTCCATGGGACTCAGCCCGTCCGTGATGAAATTCGATCTGTCAAACTCTGGTCGCCGGGTCATGATATCGTACGCTTCGATGGGGTCAGCGAGCAGGACCCAAGGCTTTGAGAACGGCTCTACGAAGACCTGACACAGCGGCGCCTGGAGCTTGTTGACCTGCTTGACCAGCCACACATTCAGCTCCCGAGTGACGCTGACTTCACGTAGCATGTCTGGTGCATCGCCCAGCAGTTTACGTGCTGAGGTCTGGCTGTAGGGGATTCCTGGAAGCGGTCGAGGGAGGAGGCTGCGGTAGAGGGCGTACAAAGCTCCAAGGCAAGCGACGACCCCGAACGAGGTCGACAACAGCCCATGTCCAGAGACGTCAATTGATGGAAGGAATATCATGACTCCAAGAAACGGCCGAAGCTTGAATAGACTGAAGGATAGGTAGTATTCGGATTCGTGTTCAGAGTCTGCAAAGAGTTCAAGTGTTCAAACCAGACGTCTATCAAATACCGGACACTACTCTAACACAGCGGCTGCCATAGGCAAACGCCACCTCGGCACAACTATCGAAGATAGCCGATTTGGCACACAACCAGCTCTGCTCAACCGATGTTCTCCCCAAGAATCTATACTCTTTCGCCCGATAAACTTCGGTTCAAGCGACCTGGCTTATCTTTCCTCCGGACATGTCGGCGGCTGATCGCTGACCGCAATACGTACCCCACCCGCATCGGTCTATGATGTTGGCAATACTCACCTTTCGAGCTCATACGCAAGGGATAACCTTTCTTTCCTGTTTATTCCCACATCTGTGCAAACATGCTGATAGTCTGCATAGCGGGTTTCGGCCGAGTTTTGACGGCTAGTAAGCTGACAGGATTCAGCAGCGAACACTGTCTTGGCATGGGCTTATCTCGTTCTTTGGTAATGAGGCCTATCGGTGCAACATCAGCGGATTACAGATGATCTTCTGCCCGTTCATGTAGCTGATCGATTGTAGAGACCGGAGTGTGGGTTCCACAAGAGGTAACCTTGGAATGGACAGGACCGTTCAACACATATATTCTCTCAAATTGACGTGCATTGGCCTGTTGGAACAATTGCAATAGTTCAGTATTGTTTTGCTATTTGTAGCTTCGCACTTTCCAACGACTATTAGACGATTGAAGATGGCTAAATCCGAAGAGCCTGAGCCTATGGCGATAGTCGGCATGGGTATGTGATCGAGCAATACCTATATATCATGAGCTTGTGCTGACGCAGTTCAGGTTGCCGCTGGGCTGGAGGCGTCCGTAATCCTACGGATCTGTGGGAACTTTTGCTAAACAAGCGCTCCGGCTATCAGGATTGGGCGGCGCCACGCTTCTCGGCAGAGGGCTTCTACCATCCCAACCCAGAGAGACCAGGCACTACGGCAGCAAAGGGAGGCTACGTGGTAACTGAAGATCCACGACTATTCGATCCATCTTTCTTCGGCATCTCAGGTCTCGAAGCAGAGACCATTGACCCTTCCCAACGTAAGCTACTGGAAGTCGTGTACGAGGTACTGGAGAGCGCAGGCGAGACGTGGGAAAGTGTTGACGGGACGCGCACTGGTGTCTATGTCGCCGATATATCCTATGACAACTCGTACGCGCAGACACGTGACTGGGAGTATGCACGTCCACACGCTACCACCGGGGTCTGTCACAACATCCTCAGCAACCGCATCAACTACGTGTTCAACTTGCGCGGGCCCAGCGTTACGCTGGATAGTGCCTGCACGTCTGCCATGTACGGACTTCATATGGCGATCCAGGCGATCCGGGATGGAGACTGCGATTCGGCGATTGTAGCGACGGCGAATTATATCATGGATCCCAGCATGCAAATTGCCATGGACAAGCTGGGGGCTTTGTCTGGTACATCCATGAGCCATGCGTTCGATGCCTCCGCCGATGGCTACGCTCGTGGCGAGGGCTTTGCAGCTATCTACGTGAAGAAGCCGCAGCAGGCCATGCAGGACGGAAATCCGATTCGTGCACTCGTTCGCGGCAGCGCTATTGGCGCCAACGGTCGCTCCAGCGGGATAACGCACCCTAGCGGCACTGCTCAGGAAGACATCATCCGGAAGGCGTACCAGAACGCCGGCAACTTGTCTCCTTCCGAAACGCCATTTCTCGAGTGCCACGGGACGGGCACAAGGGTCGGCGATCCACTCGAGGTAGAGGCCGCTGGCAAGGTGTTCGGACCGGGACGATCCAGCTCAGAGGAAGACCGTCTCTTGATCGGATCCGTCAAGACCAATCTCGGACATACTGAAGGTGCTGCAGCTCTTGCGGGTATCTTCAAAGTCGTGCTCGCCCTTGAAGCAGGAGTGATTCCGCCTAGCATCGGCGTGACGACGTTGAACCCCAGGATCGACTTTGACAAGGCCAAGGCCAGGGTCGTCACCGAAGTCATGCCATGGCCAGAAGACAAACTGCGACGTGCCAGTGTTACATCTGCTGGATTCGGTGGTTCCATCGGGCACTGCATTCTCGACCACGTGCAAGTCGTGTATCCGGACTATGTCAAGCCGGGTATCGTGGACAGGACCAGCACAGTCAATGGACACACAAATGGTCATACGAACGGTCATACCAATGGCCATGCAAATGGTCATGCAAGCGGCCCGACTCACAGCCATGGGAACGGCTTGGCGGTAATTCAACCCTCTACGCCTCAACCTCATACAAAGACAAGAAAGGCAGATATCGGCACACGTGAACTGGTGCTGCTACCTTTCGCTGCTCACAGCGACACATCCCTCAAGGCCAACATAGACGCGCTCGCTCATGTCATCGAGAAACATTCACTGGCAGACGTGGCGTACACACTCGCGGCGCGACGTTCCAAACTTGCACAGCGGACTTTCCGCATAGTCAGCAAACACGATGTCGCGCAGGGACTGATGGAGAATGTGGAAAAGACCTTCTCAAGTCTGCCCGGTGAGTCGCGTCTGGCTTTCGTCTTCACCGGGCAGGGCGCGCAGTGGCATGCCATGGGCGCCCAACTCTTCGACTACAATGTCTTCCGCACGTCAATCGACTACCTGGACCGTGTACTCAAATCTCTACCCGGGGCGCCGTCATGGAACATTACAGAGATACTCTCTGGAAACTGCGAACCGGACCGCGTGCAGATGCCGGATGTCTCGCAGACAGTCTGCACAGCGATACAGATCGGTCTCGTTGACCTCCTTGCCTCATGGTCTGTTCGCCCTGCAGGTGTCGTGGGACACTCCTCTGGCGAGATGGCAGCTACTTACGCGGCCGGTCGCATCACTGCCGCCGAAGCGATTGCCGCGAGTTTCTTCCGCGGGCAAGCTGTGGCGCAGAACAAGAAGAAGGGCGCCATGCTGGCTGTTGGTCTCGATTGTGAGCAGGCCGGTGAGTACCTTGAGGGGCTCGAGCAGTACATCAAGATTGCAGCTGTCAACTCGCCCAGCAGCCTGACGCTCTCTGGAGACGAAGAGGCTGTGAAGCGGCTCGCTACAACCCTCACGCACGACGGCGTATTCAACCGACTGCTGAAGACGGGTGGAAATGCATATCACTCACATCACATGATTGCGCTTGGCCATGCGTATGAGACACTGCTCACCGATGGCATGGCGTACCTTGAGAAGTCCGGGCTGAAAGGCCAACGCCCAAAGTACCCTCATATCCCTTGGTCTTCGTCAGTCACTCCTTGGAAGAGTCATGCAGGAGCGAGTGTTCCGATTTCATACTGGAGAGCTAATCTTGAGTCACCTGTCCAATTCTCAGACGCAGTGGCCAACTTGGTCAGGCAGGAAGAACTCGAGATTATGGCGTTCGTGGAAATTGGACCGCACCCGGCGCTGAAAGGTCCGCTTGACCAGATCCTCAAGAGCATTGGCAAGCCACTTCCATATACGTACGCGTTGAAGCGAGGTGAGCACAATGCAAGATCTGTACTACTGCTCGCGGGGTCACTATTTGGTCTCAACGCTGAGATCGACTTGACTGCCGTGAACGCAGTAGATGCAGGTGCTGGGGCGCTGGAACACGGTGTTACGTCTGTTAATCTTCCGCCATATCAATTCAAGTATGGACCGGTTGCATACTACGAGACCCGGGCTAGCAAGGAATATCGTCTTCGTACCATCCCCAGGCATGACCTTATCGGATCAAGAGTAGCTGGCAACGCGAAGCTTCGACCGCAATACCGTAACGTGCTACGTTTGAAAGACCTTCCCTGGTTGAGTGATCATCGTCTACTTCCCAATGTTGTATTCCCGGCTGCTGGATATATGTGTATGGCAATGGTGGCGGCAACGCAGCTCTATCAGGCAACCGAGGACGCACAGCCAATTCTAGGGCACTCGCTTCGCAACGTTAATATTAAGTCAGCGCTGAACATCCCTGAGGATCAATATGGCATCGAAATCATGCTCAGTCTGGAGCTCGACGACAAAGCTACTACACAAGAGCCGGCCTGGGTCAGTTTCTCAGTCAGCTCCGTCACACGTGACACGGAGCAATGGACGGAACACTGCACCGGAATGGTCAAGGTGGACGTCTTTGAGCACTCGCAAGTTGAAAAGATGAACATAGCTTCCGAATCTCGGGCGGTGAATGCGCGCAGCTGGTACAAGAAGTTCGCTGCGATGGGTCTTGGCTACGGCCCTGCGTTCCAAGCCTTGTCTAAGATTCGAGCCGACCCGACCAAGAATCATGCTACCGCAAGACTCAACCTACAAACTACGACAGGCATGATTAGAGGTGGTGAATCAGAATATGCGATCCATCCCACCTCTTTGGACGCCATGATCCAACTTGGCCTCCTCGCATCCCATGGAGGCCAAACAGACAGAACGACGACAGCATTCGTTCCCATTCACTTGTCTGAGCTGCGTATCAAGAACAACATTGCCCAAGCATCGGGTACAGCGGTCGCATACGGCGAGTTCAAGGGCCTCCGATCAGCGTACCTTCAGCTCCAGCTCCAGAATGAGGCAGGTGACGTCCTTTTGGACATTGAGAACCTCCGGTGCGTTAGCTATAGTCTGGAGGCAACGTCTTCAGACAAGAGTGGAGCCAAGAGATTTTCAAGCCCGTTCACGCGCATGGTGTACAAACCAGACTTCCGAAGTCTCAGTAAAGAGCAGGCTCGTCTGCTTTTCTCTCCACCGTCGGAGAATGTCGCTCAAGAACCAGTGCTTGCTCAGCTCGATAGTATAGCGTCGTGGATTGCTGTCGACGTATCTGAGACTTTGTTGAACGACACTGACTCGATGGAAATCGATGAGTCGGGAACAACAGATCGCTACATTGTGTCGCTTCGACAATTGGCTAAGAAAGCTCAAGCTGAGCAGTCGAAAGAAATGTCAGCTGGGGAACGCAAGCAGCGTCTAC